AATTTTTATTTTTCATTTACTAATATTGATTGTCTTTTTTGCAGCTCGAAGGAGAGACCCACTCTTGGGTAAGTCTAGTTGTTGCTTATAGTTAACGCCTTGTTCTTATGTTCCATGTTTTGTATTAGCTAAGCTATGTTCTGTTCTTTTTTTGTTCGACACGTTGTGAATAATCTTACAGTGTATTTTGAAGGAAGGAAAACGAAAATCGTTTCTTTTTCCTTCATTTTCTTCTCTTCCCTTTGCTTCCTAACATCCAAGCGTACCCTTAAGTTTTTTGTTTAGTTGTTTTTGGATAGCGTGAAAATAATATGTTCATAGCATTATAAATGGTATTACGAAATCTTTTTGAACTGCACCGATGGAATTGTTTGTCAATCAAATTTGAGTGATGGTGGTCTTGGCATTTTTTATTTACGCTCCCTTGTACTCTCTTTCTAACAAATTACAGTTTAATAATATAAGTGCTATTATAACTGGAACTCTGCAATCATGCAGTTGGTGTGCCTGTGCAGTATGATATACTTATTCCGTGCACCTTATGTAATTGTGTGATTTCTTGTATATGAATAATCTGGCTGAGGTTCATATCTTTTGCTTTGTTTATCTTAATCCTCAGTGGCACGCGGATTAAGACCCGCAAACGGAATATTGCAGCGCCGCTGGACCCTGCAGCATTCTCGGATGCAGTGGTCCAGATTTATTTGGATAATGCTGGTGATCTGGTAATATTACTGTTGGATTTTACAGTGTATTCATTTGTTGTCTGTTTGCATTGCATACACACTCTCACTTTGATTTATTCACAAACTGATTTAGTAATTTATGCTTGAAGGAACTTATTGCTAAGAGCATTGAATCTTCTGACCTTAACTTCTCAAGATACGGTGACACCTTTTTTGAGGTAAGCTTCCTAAACCAGAAGAAAACCTTTATTTTCTCCTTGTGGGTTTCAGTAACATGGAATTTTTAGATTTGCTACTTGTTTATCTTTGATTTTGGGTTTAATTATGGGAGAACTAGATGCATAATTCATGGCACTTCTGCTTTCATGCTTTGATGGTATCTATAAGTATTATGGTGTGGTGTGCTTATATGCTATCTACTTTATCAAGACTTTCTCAATCTGTGTGCGCTTGTGTGTAAATGTTTATTTGGTTTTCTCCTGTTCTCTCTCTAGTTGGTAGCTGTTACCTGCCAGTGATACAAGAAATTGCCGTATGTCCTGACATTTTATTTTGCCTAAGTTTAGAATGCCTCTGATCCTTTTATAGCATACTCCTGGTGCATCTGTGGTCAAATTTTTGTGATATCTACATCTCTATCAGTACTAAGATGTGGGTTATGGAGATGGCATAAATGTGGCCCAACACCTTGAATCCTAAATTTGATTCACATTCTTCACCAGGATTGGGCCATTTTTATTGAATATAACATTTTATTTCCTCATTCCATTTACTAGAGCATCAATAAGGTCATCAACTAATTTTAATATTCCCATTGTGTTATCTTTTACTGGTAGTTGATTTTTGTCTGACGTACAGATGTCCTACTGATCAGTTACTGCTCATTTTGCATTACTATAGGTTGTTTTCATTGGGGGTCGTACACAACCTGGAACTACCAAGCCTGATGAGGGGGACCGCCATCCGTACTCTATAATAGAGTGTGAGCCAAAGCGTGAAGTCATCTTACCATCTGTAATCTACATACAAAAGATCTTGAGGCGAAGGCCTTTTCTCATCAAGAACCTTGAAAATGTTATGCGAAGGTTCCTTCAATCCTTGGAGCTTTTCGAGGAAAATGAGAGGAAAAAGTTGGCAATCTTCACAGCACTTGCATTCTCTCAGAAGCTATCTGGTCTCCCACCAGAAACTGTGTTCCAACCACTTCTTAAAGATAACCTTGTGGCCAAAGGGCTAGTTCTGTCATTTATAACCGACTTCTTTAAGGAGTATCTGATTGACAACACCCTTGATGATCTTATTTCAATTCTTAAACGGGGAAAAGTAGAGGATAATCTTTTGGACTTTTTCCCCCCTGCAAAGAGATCTAATGAGTCTTTCTCTGAGCATTTCAGGTAAATCTTGTTAGTGAGGAGGACATATCTTCATAATAAAATGCTTTGAAATTATTGCTTTATGGTAGCATGGTTGGTTTTAGTTGTGTAGGCCATTGGCTCTTATTTTATTTCACTTTTGGCAGTTCCAACAGCCTTGATGATTTCTTTTTGTGAATGTTTTTTTTATTTTTTAATAATACTCATACTTAAAGAAATTAATCTTAGTGCAATACTTTGTTGAATATAATATTAAAGCTATTCTGCATCCTTTCAGTATTGGATCAGGTACTTGATTTTGTGTAATGTTAAATAGTGTTAGAAAGGCATGCAAATCTTACTTATTATCCTTGGGTTTTGCCACACATTTAAGCTTAGCATTGGATATACTGTTTCTTTTTCTTTAATGTAGTTAAATGGAATGCACTACTCCTAAACAACCTTAACTGTGGCCGGTAAGTAGTCTATTATCAACTTTCTGATATGTCAAGTGTGGAATTTTATTGTTTCTGAATCTGCTGTAACATTTGCCTTGAATTGGACATTTGCTAATTTCATCTAAAGTGGGTTTTTTATCTGTTTAAAATTTTGGGGGTTGATTTATGTTCTTATTTTCCTCTAATTGCTATTTCTAACATTTTTATGGGTGTGTATTTAGTTAGACTATTATACTACGTTTATATTATTCCCCATTATTCTGTTAACTATGATGGCACTTATATATCAATGTCAACTTTTTAGCAAGGAAGGACTGGTGGCCTTGGTGGAGTATAATGAAAAGAAAATATTTGAGGTGAAACTTAAAGAAATGAAGTCTGCTTTGACAACACAGATAACAGAGGAGGCTGATATATCTGAAGTGATTGAGACTGTGAAGCTGCGAGTTAGAGATGCTAAGTTGCCAGACTCTGTGGTAGTGCGGGTTTTGTGGGATGTTTTAATGGATGCTGTGCAGTGGTCTGGAAAAAATCAGCAACAGAATGCAAATGCAGCTCTGCGCCAGGTATATTTTTTAGATAATTTGCATCTGTCAATTTTTATTTGCTGGCGTAGGAATTTTCACCCTTGTTATCTTCAATTTTGGTTTCTAATAGAACAGAAACAGATGCATGTATGGGTTTTTGAAGATTCATGTTTTATGATCTGAGTCAAGTTATAGGTGTTGCCAATGCTCTTGGCTGGAATTTTTTGGTTGGTTATTTACGTGTCTTTTAATTGCTTGAACCTCTCGATGTTAGTCTCATTCCCAGCTTCGGTGGTTGAACCTACCATTTTCAAAGAACTGCCGAGGAGCTTATGGATATTGTGTATTCATAAGCTAGTTGAGTACTGTTTAACATTTTCTGTGTGTGGATATTTTGTTTTTCAGTGTTAGCACATGGACGATTTGACTTATTTGTTTAGTTACATCAACTTTTAAAGTTGTTAATGACGGCACTGTGTTCTTGAAGGTAAAAACTTGGGCAGAACTGTTGAACACATTCTGCACCAGTGGGAAACTTGAGCTGGAACTGATGTACAAAGTACAGATGCAATGCTATGAGGATGCTAAACTGATGAAGCTGTTCCCTGAGATTGTTCGATCACTTTATGAACAAGATGTGCTGGCTGAAGATACCATTCTTCATTGGTTCCGTAAAGGAACAAACACCAAGGGCAGGTATGCATTTTATTTTGTGGACATTTCTGATTCGTGAGTAATGTTATTTATGAAGTTTCCTCCATATGGTACCTGTAATTTTTCCCGTCACTATTACTTATTGCTGCTTATTTGGAATTGGTACAGACAAACCTTTGTGAAGGCACTGGAACCCTTTGTCAATTGGCTGGAGGAGGCTGAAGAGGAGGAATAAGTGTGGTGTTGGTTCAGGGCTGAAGATATTACGCAATTGTCTTTAGCTCATGTACCATTAGCTAAGATATTGACTAGTATTCTCATAAGTTTGATTCTGCCAAGTACTGATAATCTATTTGTGTTTTGTATTTGACCCCGTTCTCTCCATCGTGCCCACAGGACATATCACAGTGCTTGTTCTTTTCCGCACGCCACTGTGATTATGTTATACGGGTGTATTACTACTGTATTTTGAGTGTTCACTTCAATAATGGGTTTACTCCTAATACTGACTTGCTATCGTTTGTTCCAATATTTATCGCTGCCATTGGGCGTCGGAACTTTGTGATTCTAATTCTATGGGTTGTTTATTAGCTTTATCTAATTGATTGAGAATGTTAACCTTAGGATGTTACCTGTACCATGGAATCAAAGATTAAAATAAAATTCACGAGTGAGGATGTCGTAGCTGAGTAATTTAATGCTGATTAATGAATCAATAGTGTTTTTTAAATTGAAAATTATGTTGGCAATGTGACATTTTTGAACTTGTACTTTTGAGGGTGATTGGATAGCTAATGTCCCAAGAATTAAAACCATAGTTTTTGTTGTTTAAAAACCAAATTGTTGGATAAATTAGTGAGTTTTCGCACTTGATTAGTTTACTTAGTTAAAAGTGTAATTAAATGATTAAATTCTCAAGATATTAAAAGTACTGTGAACTAGAAACATAATCTTCATCAGATTTAACAGATCAACTGAATCGTCCGATTAATGTGTATCGACGTTTTATTCTGTCGTGTGGACATGCATATACAATTAGCTAGTGTGAAATGGGAATCTAGAACATTGAATCAGTTTTATAACAATGCATTAAGATATTAATTAATTTGGCTAATTGTAGCAGCATTCTCCACGGAAAATATTAATAACAAACTCTTTTGTATTAATTAACAAGGAAAGTATTATTTTCCATCGGATGATTAATTAATTAATTTTGTTTAAAAATTGAAGTATCGAGTTGCCAAATGCATGATTTTGATTGGTTGCAATTGGGATTTCACTTGGACCGAACTGGGCTAACAAGCTCTAATACACATCAATTCAATTTATGAAGATGAAAAAAAAGTGAAGTGAAGGAAAACGAGTTTGAGTGTTGATGATGGCGTTGTCGTGTCTCACGCTGAGTGTGAACCCTTCTTCCATTATCAAATGCAAGACGTCCATCAACACCCAATCCCACGCGCTAGACGCCGCTCACGTCCGACGCGCCGTCCTCCTGGCCGACAAATCCGCCGGTTTCACTTCCCCCCACCCTAACTTCGGCTGCGTCATCGTCACCCCCGGGGGTGACGTTGCCGGCGAAGGCTACCTCTACGCGCAAGGCACCACCCCCGCGGAAGTGCAGGCGGTGGAGGCCGCTGGCGAACGGTGCCGCGGCGCCACCGCATACCTGAACATGGAACCCGGAGACTGCCACGGCGACCACTCTGCTGTGTCTGCTCTGCTTCAGGTTCTTCACTTTTCTTCTGTTTGTTTGGTCTGTTACACTTTACAATGTTGTTGCTCACGAATACGATGTTGTAGTTTGTGTTTGTAGTTGATAAATGACGGTGTGTGTGAAACCAAACTAGGGAGGGATCAAAAGGGTTGTGATTGGAATGAGGCATCCGTTGCAGCATCTACGTGGCAATGCTGTGCGTGCTCTCAGAACCCAAGGATTGCATGTTGATCTTCTTGGAGAGGATCTCACTTGTAAACTCGTAGAGGTGTGTGCAATTTCAATGCTTATTGCATCTTGCTTTTTGCTTATTATTTCAATTGAAGGAAACAAAAACTTTACTATGTTTGTGCTTTTGTTGAGTTGGAAACTTGGTTTTTTTGGTTGTTTGTGTGCATGCATTTGCCAATTTTCCATATTCTTTGTTTTATTTGCAGGATGCCCAGAAAGCATGTCTTCTTGTCAATGCACCTTTGATTTGTAGAGCTGCTTCGCGAGTTCCCTTTTCTGTTCTCAAGTATGCTATGACCCTTGATGGTGAGAGTTCTATTCATTTCTTTTTCTATCTTTCTTATAAATCCTTGAAATTGCATTTGTTTGAATCTGTATATCATTTACCTTCCCTTTTGCTGCAACAGGAAAAATTGCGGCTAGCACTGGTCATGCATCATGGATAAGCAGCAAGCAATCTAGAAATCTGGTTTTTGAGCTACGAGGTAGAAGTGATGCTGTTATTGTGGGAGGAAATACAGTTCGGAGGGACAGTGAGTATCATCATTACTGTCTTCAAATTTCTCCGAATTTTAATTTTTATAGCTTTTCTCCTTTCGTATTTAATCAGATCCGAGACTGACAGCCAGACATGGAGGTGGGCATATGCCAATTCGCATTGTAATGACCCAGACTCTTAATCTTCCGGAGGAAGCAAACCTATGGGACATGTCTGAGGTTTCTACCATAGTTGTGACACAAAGGGGTGCAAGGAGGAGTTTTCAGAAGCTGCTTGCATCTAAAGGAGTTGAGGTTGTGGAGTTTGACATACTAAATCCCCGAGAAGTTATGGAGTACTTTCATGATCGTGGATATCTTTCTATTTTATGGGAATGTGGAGGAACATTGGCTGCATCTGCTATTTCATCTGGAGTAATTCACAAGGTATCGTTTATCCTTTCATTTTCTTTTTCCCTGGGAGAAATTCAATTGACGTTCCACTTGTTATTGGCATAGTTGGGATACTTTTCAATTGTTTTAGGCAGGGTTGTATACACACAAACTTTTGGGATAATCTAGATACATTGGCTGAACGCCTTTCTATGTTTTGATCATCCACTAAAATGATTAGTAATACCTTATGTTGCATGGATACGGGTAGGGTACGGTATCGGTACCGGGTACAGGATACGGCATTTTCTAAAAAAATAAGGTAATAATAAAAAATAATATATATATAGACACAAAATTGTACAAAATAAATATAAAAAAAATTGTATATAAAATAAAAGTACACAAATTTTAGCATATTTGTGACTTGCCATTGTCGAAAGAGATGGTCACCAAACTTGTTACCGTTGTCATTTGTTGTTGTTATTCGTTGTTTGTCGCTCACCAGTGAAAGCTGATGGTTGGGGTTTGAGATGAGAGAAGAAAAAAAACAGTATACAGTCTGTGGGTATGTGGAGGCCGGAGAAAGTACTGATATGTAGAAGTTGGAGAAAAGAAAGAGACAACTAAGCCATATTTTTTGAGAAAAAATACCTAAAAATCTAAAATTTTAATTAAAAAAATTTCATTTCTCGTATCCAAACTATATCAGTATACCCACTGCCCGTACTGAACTTTTTGTTTTTTTGCAAATTTTTTTGGGTACATATCCGGTATGTAACCACGACGTACCCGGTACCGGTACTTCATGGGAAGTGTCATATCCATGCTTGAGAGGTAATACCATATTCCTTGGCCTTTGGAAAGTGGTCGGTAGAAAACTAGTGAGCTAATGGAAGTTTGGTATAAGCTTGATAATAGTTACTTGTTTTTCTTGTAATTGCAAGAAAAGAATAAAATTCTATCAGAAGTTAAAGCATAGTCAGGAATGAAAACAATCCTTGATGTTGGATGATCCCTCTTCATTTCTGTCTTCTTGTTTTGTGTTCTACATAACTGCTGTTATTTTGTTTTAGGGAGGGGGTTTAGATGATGAAGAACTACCCTCACCAAATGCTCCATTTATTTGGATGGATGGTTATACTTGTCAATGATAAATTCCAATTAGAGTCAGCTTTGCTTAGTTGGCTTTATCTTGTTTTGATCTTCTTTTATAATATGTTGAGCTAATGGTAGTATTTATGACCTTCAGGTTTTTGCATTTGTTGCTCCAAAAATTATTGGCGGAAAGAATGCACCATCTCCAGTGGGTGATCTTGGGATGGTTGAGATGTCACAAGCTTTAAATCTAATTGATGTTTGCTACGAGCAGGTTAGTAGGAGTTCATTTGCTTTTCCCTTAGAAGTACTGAACTTTTAATTTCCCTTTCCAAAAACGTGCATCCAATCTATTTATATATTACTGAATCTATCACAGGCATCTATATATATAAGCAATGCATCTAGGATATTTTAATTGAATTAATTTCACAATCAGAGCTGCGTTGTTCTTGATATATAATGCCTTTGCTTTTCTTTGATGGGGTTGTGTTACTGGCAACTATAATGCAGGTTGGACCTGACATGCTTATTAGTGGATTTCTTCAGCCGTTACCAGATATAGTACCTGTAATCCCATCACTTGATGAAACTTTTGTTGTTGATCCTACCGTTTCACCATATGAATCAAGCATCATATTTTTCTATAAAACATGGGATCCTTATGGTGCCTTGTCAAATTTTTCTCCTCATCCCATTAAAATGCCTGATGAAAATAGTGAATATGTGACTTGGTCGAGTGTGGAGCATTACTATCAGGTACTTGTTTTTTTATTTGGCATAAATTCAATTTTCTCTTTGCAGTTTTGTTGCATTGCTTATAAATATAATTCAATGCATAGGCACACAAATTTATTGGGCTGGATAATCCTTCGGCAAAAGCTTGTGTTGAAAGAATTAAATCTGCAAAAAGTCCAGAAGAAGCTGCAAGAATAGGAAGGTCAATGCAAAGGAAGCATCCTGATCTGGTAGAATCCTCATTGGTTTTCATAGTTTTCTCAAACAATTAGCCTGATGTTTCTTGACCATCTAGCGCAGAGACTTGATGGGCAATAATTATTTCCCTTGTGGCTTTTGTCATGAACCATCTATCCCAAAACCAAAAGCTTCAGTTGTTGGGGAAGGCACAGAGATAGTCTTACAATTATCATGTACTATCATAGGAGTTCTTTGGGCTTGAAACATACTCAATTACCCATCATATTTCAATCCATGGTTTATCTTTTTCATTGAGTTGTTTGCTCTTTGGAGAGAGAAAAATAGAAAAAGATAGATTTCACAACTCTTTTTATTCATGTACGAGTTGCTGATGGTATTCATTTCTAAATCCATACTTAAAAATCGTTTTAGTTCTTGTTATTGCATAGGTTCCCTTTCCGTTTTGTTGTACAAGGACTGAAACTTTATATTTTATTTGGCACACAGATAAGGTCTGACTGGGACAACATAAAGATCGATGTCATGTACAGGGCACTGAAATGCAAGTTCTTGATGTACCCGCATTTAAATTCAATGCTGCTTTCTACTGCTGGTTCTGTTCTAGTTGAGGCTTCACCGCATGATCTCTTTTGGGGTGGAGGACGAGATGGAGAAGGCTTAAATTATCTTGGTCGACTGTTGATGAAGTTGAGATCAGAGTTTCTTGGGAAATCTTCATCATCAAGTGAGACCTCTAGTTTAACTGTATAGTATTTTCAAAGAGAGAACAGAACACTATTTTGTTGTAGAACTACAAAAACTGTTTCATATGCAACATGTGTCGCAGATAAAACCATATGTCACGATCTTTTGGTTTTCTGATCAAGCTTTTTTTATTTGCTTAAGGGACTTTCATTCAAGTATTCAACTATGTTCTAAGTTTCTTTTGGTGTTGTTTACCATTTTCATCTTTTTCTCTCTTTGGTTTGAAGATGTTGGCTAGGATGTAGGTGGGTTAGTTGGAATTATGGGCATTATGAAGAGGCCTTAAACAAAGATGGGTCAGACACAGTTAAACGAAACATATCTCATAATGTCAAAAGGGTTAGAACATGACCACCCAGTTTTTGAACCCTCTAAAACTCTCCATCTAGAAGTGAATTGATTGAGAAGCATATGACATGTAATATCTCGTTTCAGGGATAAAGAGACGGAGAGAGAGAGAATAACTAAAATTTTCCTAAAGGGTAAAAAGGTAGTGTTTGTCAAGTGCTTCTCAATGCTTGAAGTGGAAGCTCCGGCTCCCAGGGTCACGGAAAGTGTCTGTAATTGATGTGGACTTGTACTCAAATCACGGTTAGGGAGGATTTGTTTGCATTAAGTGACGGGCTTAAACAGCAACCACAACTTCAAGTCACTGATTCTCTGCAATCAATGAAACTTGAAGCAATTGCAATTCTTTAACTTAATGGATAAGTGCCTTCCATTACACTAGAATTATCTTAGGCTTTGTTTCTGAGTTGATTTTTGAAAAAGAAGGATAATATTTATTTTGATGGTAATTTTTGTTTGAAGGTTTTTAAATTTTAAATGAAAAGAATTTTTTTTATATATTTTCAAAAGCTCTTGTAAATTAATGTCTTTTAAGTTATTTCAAAATGGAAGAATTTTAATTAGTCTTTTTTATTTCACTCTTACTTTTTCTTTCCTTTTTTTTTTTTCCCTTAAACCTCTTTTTTCCTTTTTTTTAAAAAAACTTTAAAACAAAGCCTTTTTGGATTGCATTATGATAGATTACTTTTGGTTAAGTTTTTGGATTATCAAAATTATTTTTGTGAAAAATAAAAGATGTAATTTTTTGATTAACATAATTAATTGGGTGTGATCTTATAAAATTTTTAATATATATATATATATATATATATATATATATATGTTTACATTTTAAAATAATTTCACTTTACTGTCCAAGTAGATTGCTTTATTAAAATTCACTTAAGATTGTTATTACTTTTTAACATGAATAAATTTTACAATTAATTATACTAAAACTGAAACTAAGCAAATAAGATGTAATTAAGAAACATTTGAAAAGCGAAAAAGCATAAAAGCATAATAAGTTGTTGAAATAACAATTATAACAAATAATAAAACATTTGTGATAGTAACAGTAACAGTAGTAATGAAAATAGTAATTATCTATTAATGGTTGGTACATGATAATTAGATAATAGTTAATGATAGTAATAATATTAATTTTAACGACAATAATAAGGTTATAATATTTTTAATGACAATAACAGTAATAGTAATAATGAAAATAGTAATTATCCATTAATGGTTGGTGTGTGATAATTAGATAATATTCTTAATAACAACAATACTAACATAAAATAGCAATAATAAAAACAATTGTGACAACAATAGAAATAAAAATAAAGGATAAAAATAATTGTGAGGGTGAAAAAGAGAGAAAAAAAGAAACTAAAAAATCATTTTATTAACCCATCAAATGATAAATTAAGATAAAATAAAATAAAGTATTTTTTTTTTTCTATTCTAATTACTAAACAAATTCTTCCAAAATGAAGTTAGAAGTGTCTTGTTGAAATTTATGTGATTATCTTCTTTAGACCTATTTTTTTTTTATTTTAAGTGTGCACAATTGTCAACTATTATGCCTGCATCTATGCTGTGCAACACGTTGAAAGCAAATGCTCTACCTGCTCCTTTCTTTAACTTTTATATTCACAGAAATGAGGTCGAAAACAAAATAGCCTAAGGTTTCAAAGCTTTGCTATTTATGACTATCACATTAGCATAAATAGATCCTTTCCTTATATTCAACGTCAACTTTCAGCCCAAATAAAAAAAGGAAAAGGAAAACAAGTGAAGAAGGAGCAGTGCAATAATAGTTACCAGAATCATAATTTAAAACGTTTACAATTTACCCAAATAAAGTATGTTTGAGTAGCAACGTTTCAAATTATTTGTTTTACTTTTTTGAGTTATTGGTCATTTGAAATTTTGACTGAATCTTATAAAACTGATACTTTCCCTATCATTCACATAACATTATAAACTAAAATTTTACTTTCATTGGTCACGTTAATCATTTATATGGGAGAACTTAGTTTTGCACGACAAAACAATTATTTTAAAAAATTGCTTTTTTCCATTACCCTCTTCCTAAAGTGCAGAATGCAGGTGCTTATGGGTAGATAAAATTAATGATTTTTTTAAAGGTTTTATAATAAAAGTTTATTTAACTTTAAAGTTTTTTTTTATTCAAACACTTTTAAGAATAATTATTAAATTTACCTTTTATTTTAGTTTTTATTTTGAATATTTTATAAAAAAAATGGTGAAAATATGATTGTGTCATTTTCATCATGCTCAATAAACATTTGGCCTGGGATTGAATTTTAAAAAAAAAAATCGTATTTTTTGCCAAGAAAAGTGATTTGTGATAAAATGAATGGATTTCATGAATGATTATTTCCCTTGTGATGTGTCCATGCCTAACACTATTATGTGCTAACATGTCACTTTTCTTACCAAAAATATTAACCCCCCCGGCATGATTATTAATTTCAGCCCCACATAGTTGTTGAAAAACAAAAAATTTTCCTATATTTTCTTGAAAAATCTTCATCCATTATTTTCTAAAATGAATTTTAAAAACAATTATCACGGATAATTTTAACATTAAAATTAGTGATTCATTTAAAAAATACGTAAATATTTTTTAATATCTCAATATAATTTAGAAGATTATTAAATGGCTTTTAAATTTAAGAAGATATAGCAAGTAATAATATTTAAAATTTTAATTTTAATCTTAATTTGTAATATATGACATTTAAATATTTTAAAACTAATTCATTAAAAAGATGCTCCAACCTTTGTATAAAAATATCTAATCAAGATTTGTTTCTTTGTTATTGGGCCCATCTTTAGAAAATCTCCATTTTCGATATACTTTTAATTAAAAATGAAATATCCATCTTAAAGAATAGTGAAATTTAATTAATTTTCAGGTGATAGTACTTTTATTAAATTACATGAATTTATATAATTTTAATACATAGTAAGTTTTAAATTATTTTTTTCCACTTAAAGTCACTTTTAAGTTTAAATATTTTTGTATTTAGCATTTTAAAATTAAATTAATTTTATGCGTGGAAATGTATTTAAGGATACATATTCAGGTTTTTTTTTGTTTTTGCAATATATGATTTATTTGTTATGTATTTTATGTATATGTCTCCCGAATTATTATTTTTTTACCATATTTTGCATGTCTTAATTTTTTATAATTTTAATTCAATAAATATATGCTATATTTTATTATACATTTGGAATATCTATAAAATCTCAAATCAATTTTGTATGATTTTAAATTATTTTTTTATCAGTTAAAAAATCGGTCTAATTTTGAAAATATTATTTTAGAATTTAAAAAATAAGTTTATTGTGTTTCAGCTTTTTCGATCTGACATTTGATGAAAAAGAAAAAGAAAAAGATCAGTTAAAATGAGCCAAACCTGATGAATTGATTATTTAACTTTGTTTTTTTTAAGGATTATTTAGCTTTGCTAAAAAACATGGGAAGAAAAAAATAGTAATAACCTTAAGCAAAATTTGGGCGAATTCAAAACTTAACTGATGCAAAGTGGGTATTTTTAAAATGTTATTTAATTTTAACATAAACATACTTTGTTAAATTGGACTTTAGGTTTATAAAATAATAAAAAAAAGGGATTTGGATAAATTTGATCTCGAAATTAGGCAGTCCATTACCAATAAGTTTTTTTAGTCCTTAAAAATTTAAGATTAAAAATGTATTTTTTTTAAGTTGTTAGTTAACCTATAATTAAATTAACCTGATTTGATCTCAAAATCTCTTAATCTACAATGGATTGATTGAAATGGGTTATGTTGGCCTATTTTGACTCTTTATTAAAAGGATAATGGCAATTTTATAACACTCATTTTAGGGTTAATGATCAATTATTATATTAATTTATCAAATCTCTTAAATAAAAAATTTAATAAAAATTAAAATTCTAAACATTGAAAAATAATTTATTTAATTATTACCACAACTCAAAATTATATAAACAATGAAGATATAACTTTTTTTTTTCCATCCAATTTGATCCAAATTTGATTTGGGTGGTTTACTTGAATGTGATAGTAATAGATGTGTCTATTAGCAGAGATTTTTTTGCATACACAAAAATTTGAACCCAAAATTTTAGTTAAATGATATCAAGTCACTTGCTACTTGAATTAATTTTTTTATAATAAAAATATAACTTTATAAAAATGCTGATAAACAAATTTATTACATAATCTCTAGTATTAACAGAATTATTTATAAAGATTAGACCCCATTTCAATGATTTGATGCAATCTAACTCCACTTTTCTCAAAATAATGATGTGCCCAATTTCTCTTTACCATTAATCAATTTCATCGTTTGAATGTGCTTGATACTATTGTTTCTTCAGCTCTTCTTGAGCATTAACTAAGTTATTAATGGAAAATTTGCACCACACCTCTTTGCCATTCATGTCTTGCTTTTTAAGCCCACACAACTTGCACATATTTGAGCAATGGCCACCACCATTTTGTCAAAGACACATACACATACATATTATATATTATAGGAGACAAAAAAACAACATATATAACATAGCTTATCTTCTATTCACATGTTGATTGTTACATAAGCCTGTGTCAACGCAAGATTTAATGCATCGCGACAACGAAATCAGACTATCAAAGAATAATTGAATAACGTAGATTTCTATCACTTAGCCCAAAAGCAAAACAAGATCCACAAGCAAACCAAACAAACAAATTAATCACTTGTATTATAAACTAATGTTTAATTAATGTTGTCATTTGCATCTTCTGCAGATTCTAGTCCAACCCAATTGTATTAATTTCCAACGCACTTAAATCAGAATAGAAAATCACTTCTGAAACTAATATTCAAAATTGAAAATATCTTTAAGCATTATATGAAAAGAATTTTGTATGGCAGAAAGTTTAGTCTTTTATTTAATTTATATCTAATATGTTATAATTTATTATTTCATTAACCATTACATGTAAGTTAAATAAAAATCAAATTGATTGAAAAAATTTAAACTTACAATAAGAAAATACTAATATATATATGGAGAAGAATCTTCTTATACTAGTATAAGTCTAAAAACTTTTATATCTAATATGAGTTTTTTTATTTAACTTAAATCTAACGGTCAATGAAGTATTAAATTATAATCCGTTAGATTTAAGTTAAATGAAAGACTCAGATTGAGTGTAAGAGTTTTTAAACTTATATTGGTGTAAAAAAATCTTACCCCTCTCTCTCTATATAAAAGTTAGATCATTAATAATTTAAAGTATCAAAATATTTTAAAATAAATAAACAACTCAAACTAAAAGTTTACTTATTCATTTTATCACATAAAGCATATATTATAAAATGGAAATAAATATACATACTCATTGAAGTTTAATCCAATAAAATCAAGTTAAAAATATTTACTTATTTTAAAAAAATCAAATAAATAAAAACTATTGAATGTCTCTTAAAAAGTAAACATAAAAGTTGAATAAATCGATCTCTATTATATGATGGTGGCATGACATAAAGAGGGTAACAAGATAAAAACAGGAAGGGATGCATGCTTCACGTTTTAATGTAGACATAGCTGATAGAGATATTGGGTCCCTTCTGCATATCATTCAATAATCACAAATAGTAACGCTTTCCAGATAGCCATTTTAAGATTTTACTTTACCATTACGTTTTAGACTTTATTTCAAATATTTTTAAATTCAAGCATTTTCAATTATAACAATAACAATGTGCTTAATATATTTTTTAAATGTGCACTTGATGTTTTTAGAATTAGACCTTTATTAAATTAGTGAGATCATTGATTCACGGTTCATTTCATCAATTGTAATTGAATAAAAATCAGACTAATAATAATAATATATTTTTAATATTATATAACATATTGAGTAATAAATTAACATGAAATTATAAAAAATTAAGTTAATTAAATACATAATTTATAAGATGAAAAATTATAGTTCAATAATAACAAAGTTATATGCAAATATCATCTGAGTTTTTATTTATTTTAAAAATATTTTAGAATAAATAAATTTTTAAAATAAAAAAATATTAAATGTGATTTATAATTCTTAAAATTAAATTAATTGTTAATTTAACATTTTAAGAATTAATTTAATGTATTATTATATATTTTATTTAGAAAGTAGTTGAAGAAGGTGTGACATATGTGAACAATCCGTGCGATGTAGGCCACGAACATGATTGATAGGTGAAGCTCCACGTATTACAACTTTTTTTACGTTAAATATTTACTTATGATAAAGTTAATAACTATTCTTATTATTAATTTAAATTTATTAAAAATTATGTGAACTTTTTAATATTTAAAAAATTAAATTAATATTATGGTATCATTATTCCTTTTATTATTATTCTTTGTGTAATAATTACCTTGTTAGTAGCTAATTTAAAATAATAGATAGCGACTATCAATAGAATAGTTTCATATAAATAATAAAAATAATTTGTATGAAAAAAAAGATAATTAAAATGTCTTGTCAGTATTTTTTAAAATTTTTGCGGAGAGATGTAACCTAATCTATCCTAATTAAGTGTTTGTGCTTTTTTTAAAACAAAATAAAAATAAATATATTTTTAAATCAGTTATCCGATATTTTATTGCAAAAATACAACAAATTAAGATTTTTATTATTAAATCATCTTCACCCATTTTTGGTTCAGACAACCCATTTATTTAAAGCATTTATTTCTGAGTTTAGGTTTGTTCAGTTTTAGATAAGTTTTAAAACTGTGATTTAAACAAAACAAAGGTAATAATCTTGTAATGTTTATTTTTTTATTTTACAATTAAAATTTTAAAAGTTTATAAAAAAAGATGTAAATGGAAAAAGTAAGAAAAATTATTAAATAATCTAAAATTGCTATATATTTATAATTTCAACTATTAATACACAAAATTAAAATTCTCTCACATATAATAATAATTAACTAAAATTACAAACATTGAAACCACCCAATAATTGATCGAAAGTGAGGATCTTGGGGAACACAAATCTACTTCACCAACCTTCTTTGAATAATATAGATAGATGAATGAATATGCCTTTAATTAACTGAATAAGTTGTTAAAATAAATAATAAGTAAATACTTACAAAACGATAAATGCATTTATTTTTTCAGTAATATTTGAGTAAAATTATTATTTTTCTTATTCCTCATCTATTTTTCCCCTATGATTACCTTTTTAATTTTTAATTCAAATTATGCTAATTACTTGCATGAAAATATAATCCTTCCAAGAAATTTCACTCTTAAAATTTCTTATCGTTGTTCCAACATAAAAACTGAAATCTTTATCATTGTTTTTTTTAAGAATTTATGCAAATTGTTATCATGTCTCAAACTTTTTTGTTTTATTAATGATTGTTTTTAAACAATGTTGCAATATTTAAATGTTTTTTATTTGATTTTAAATTTATATGTATAGATATTAAACTCGTCATTTGTATTAATATTTTAAATTTAATGTCCACTTTTAACTTATCTATACTTTTATTAAAAAATGTTTATAACATGATTTTCTAACACAATTTAAACATTCTTTTAGTCAATATATACTAACTAAAACATTAAAATTTAATAGATTTCAAAATTTATCCAGCAAAATCTTAATCTCATTTTACTAAATCCTTCGATTATTATTAATTTTACATCTTAATCATTCAAACATCTATGTTTCTCAATTATATATTTAACTCTTAATTATTTAAATAAAAATTATTTAAGTTTAAATTTTATTATTATTTTAAATACAGAAACAACTTTAATTTAAAACATAATTAACCTTAATTCATTTTAATTAAGAAGTGATATTAATTTTATTATTTATAAATTTTATAATTAATAATTTCATAAATCAATTTTAAGATATTAATTGATAAATTCTCCTTAATTTAATTAGATTGAATAAATTTTTTTTAAGAGCTAAAATAGTAATCTGTCACAAGAAAAAAAATGAGTGTAACTACATTAATGAAAGAATTAATTACCTTACTTTAATAAAAATCGTAGCATCAACTTTTTAAGATTGAAAATAAGTAATAAAAAACGATAAAATTTACCAAAACAAATATTTATCATTTTAAGAATAAAAAAATCAACATTATATCAATAATAAAAATATTTTTAAATGCTTAAAATTAACTTAAAAAATTAACATTAATAAAAATATTATTTTAAAAATAATCCTAAAAAAATTGTTTGTTGAGACTAAATAAATTATTTGTTCTATTCAATATAAGAATTAAAAATATATAACTAATTTATCAGAACAAATTAAAAAATTTATATAATATAGATATATTTTATTTTAAAAATATGCACGATATTAAATAATTAAATTAATATTTAATACTTCAAATAATAAATATATTTACTTATATAAAACTTAAATAAGTATTTTATTCACACAAATATAACAATAAAATAAATTTATAATTTTTTAAATAATTAATACACTTAAAAATTATTTTTAAATTTATCTAAATATCTTACACAAAGTTACATGTTTTTAAAAGTCCAACTCCAAGGGAGGGCTTTGTCCAAAAATTGCTCTCTCTCTCTCTCTCTCTCTCTCTCTGTGTCTGATTTCTCTCTGAGCTTCCTTCTCTCTCCGTCCGAAAGTGACGTCCTCAATAGCGGGGTTTTCTACCTCTGCGTTCTTAGTGGTTCCTATTCTTTCTCTTCTTTCAACTTGTCCGTTTCTCCCTCTCTTCAAATCTCTCTCTCACATACATTCCTCCTTTTCAACCCATTTCCACTTTCAAACCCCATCACTCTTCTTCATCCAAAGCTCTAAACTTCCTCTCTGGGTACCTCAAATTTCAACGCTTTTCTTCATTTTCCAATACAAATTTTGATAAACAGAAAAGGGTTGTTGTGGACTTTGTGCTGTAATCTTTGTGGGGAACTGCAGTGGATTACGCAGATCTGCACTTTATGGCCATGTGTGAATTGTCTATTAGTATTTTACAATAACAAAAGCCGAAGTTAGAGAGAGAGAAAAAAAAAAAGCAGTTTTTTTGTTGTTGGGTTTTCCATTACCTAAAAAAAAACCTGTATCTTTCTTATCTTTTTTATCTTATTCTCACCTTAATTGATGATTGAAAGTGGTTCAGTACCATTCAGCAATCTCAATCTGAAAAGGGTGTTGAAGTTTTTGGTGGGGTGGTGAAAAGGTTGCAAAGGTAAGAGCCTTGTTGAGGCTGAAGGAGGAGTTGTTGTTGAGGGGATTGTGAAAGTTTTGATTTTGTTGGTTATTCGAAAAGTGGGTTGTGACGGATCCGTCAAGAGAAGAAACCGTGTGTTCAAGTGGTGTGGAGTGCATTCTGAGCATTCTTAGGGCCCTTAAGATGGGGTCCTGCTTCTCTTTGGAAAGCAGGAGCCCACACCCCACTTCACCCTCTTCATCTTTCAGAAAGAGTAAGAGTAACTCCAAGAAGAGGCTTGGATCAAGAGCCTCTTCCTTTGAGTATTGGAGGAATGAGCCACTCCACAGGATCCCTGGTAGGATCTTCCTCAATGGCTCCAGCCAAGTTGCCTCCTTGTTTACTCAACAAGGCAAGAAAGGTACCAACCAGGATGCAATGGTTGTTTGGGAGGTTAGATCACTCTCTCTCTCTCTCTCTCTCTCTCTTTTCATTTGTCGCTTCACATTTCTAAATTTGGTCATTATCCCTTTCGTGTCTTGTTTACAACATTTTATCTACTTTGTTCACAGTTTAGATCTTTTTTCTATCCGGATAAGGATATTAATGAGGTTGATTTGCCTCATCTGGGGTTTTCTACCTTGCCATATATGCACATGTGTTGTTTTTGTCTGTGACATCCACATGTGATTTTCTACCGTGCTTCATGATGATTTGATTGTTGACTTGTCTTGATCATCCTTTATGTTCCATGCTTTATTTGCAAAAGTATGGTTTTCTTTTCATGGTTGTGGTTTTCACTGATCCTTAATTCACTACTTTGGCTAAGTATGACTATTTCTGGTTTTGGTTGTGATATTGTGTTGTGCATTAAGGATCTAATATTTTATTCTGCTGGGATCACTAGATGAAAGGTGATGGATGATTTTCATGTTCTGAAAGATCTTGGTTGTGCTTTACCACAGCATGAATAGTGCGATCTTGAGCGTCAACTTATCTGAAAATTTGTAACTTGGCTTTTTATTCGTTGTCCTTTACTGCTCTTTTGATTATCTACCTTCGTATTTGGATGATTGCTGTTTATTTTTTTTTTTCTGTTGAGTGAAGTTTTCGTTGCTTCTGTTTATCATACGTTGCAGAACTTTTGTTCCAGACAAGATACAATTTTCTGTGGAGTTTTTGATGGCCACGGTCCATTTGGTCACATGGTTGCTAAAAGAGTGAGGGATTCTCTTCCTCTAAAACTGAATGCCAACTGGGAAGTTAATGTATCTGGTGAAGAAGTCCTCAAGGAGATTAGCATTAATACTGCAGGAGGCATGAATTCAGAAGAGGCTGCCTTTGCATCTGCCGATGAGGAATCCAGGGTATCGGTTGATGCTGAGGAAACTGAAAAACACCCTGAAATCTTTCTCACACTTAAAGAGACATTTTTGAAGGCATTTAAAGTTATGGATAGAGAATTGAAGACACACCAAAGTATTGATTGCTTCTGTAGTGGGACAACAGCTGTAACTCTGGTTAAGCAGGTGTTGGCTTGTAAACCTTGTGGATTAGCGATTCTCTTGTATATGATGTACTTTGTTAGAATTATCCACTATGGGATTATTATAAAAAAGGATTTTGCTTTCTTTATAGGGCCGTGATCTTATTATTGGAAATGTTGGTGACTCTAGAGCTGTGCTGGGTACAAGAGAGAAAGATAATAATCTTGTTGCTGTCCAGTTAACTGTGGATCTAAAACCCAATCTTCCAGGTATATCTCTCATTTGGGAAATTCTTGCCTACTTTGTTGTACAGTGGCATTAGGTTGTTGAGCATCTATTAAGTCAAGGAAACTAATAAAATTTCTTTGTTTTCTTATTTAAGTTCGAATACATGTGAAATACTTGGCATACATTGTATATAATCTATTAAATATATGTGACAAAACTAGAAAAAAGTTAAGATCAGTTCTAGAAGAATATAGTTTAGTGCAAACATGTTCCGTTAAGTTATTTCTATCGGGTTTGGACCTTAGGTTTTCCTAGAAATATCTATCTCACAGTCATGTCATGTACTGATGTACATGCATGCAGGCTATTATGCATTTTCCTGATGTCAATGAATAGTGTCTGCATATGTCTAGAAATTTCAGCTTGTGTGTCAAAGTAAGAGATATGGTGCTTTTGATCTTTTAGTTTTGAAACTATTTTATAACCCCTTAATTCTGCTTCCTGATTCACTTCTTGATTGGAAAATTTTCCTTCTAATTTCAGCCGAAGCAGAGAGAATTCACAAATGTAAAGGACGCGTTTTTGCTCTTCAGGATGAACCTGAAGTGGCTCGTGTCTGGTTGCCAAACAACGATTCCCCTGGCCTTGCCATGGCAAGGGCATTTGGAGATTTTTGTCTTAAAGATTTTGGTCTGATATCTGTTCCAGAGGTATCATACAGACGACTCACAGAGAAAGATGAATTTGTTGTCTTGGCAACAGATGGGGTAAGAAACTTTACTTACTGACTTGTATTGTTACTTCACTTTCCTACCAAGTTTTTTTACTTGTTCAGTTATCTTTTTTTTCCCACTTTCATCTCAAATTTGGTGATGTTTGTTCATGGCGCAGATTTGGGATGTGCTCTCAAACAAAGAAGTGGTGGACATTGTGGCGGCTGCCCCAAGGCGTGCCACAGCAGCTCGAGCACTGGTTGAGTCGGCGGTTCGAGCTTGGAGATTCAAGTATCCAACTTCCAAAGTAGATGACTGTGCTGTGGTTTGCCTCTTTCTTGACTCAGACTTACAAAATGTGTCTAGCGCTTCCCATGCCAACAAGTCCTCCATGGAGCAGGCTAGTTCAGCGATCCAAGTTCACAATGGCGATGGAGATGTTTCTGGACCTACTGTTCTAGAAAGGTCTGGAACATGCAGGGAAACCAATGATGCTTCCCATGAAGACAACAATGAGGAAGTGTCCAAGGAAGAGGAAATAGATGCTGAGTCAGAAACAGAATGGTCTGCACTTGAAGGTGTATCACGTGTGAACACTTTGTTAAATCTTCCAAGGTTTGTCCCTGACAAAGAAGACAAGGCTGCTGCAAACATGAGAAAACACAAGTGAAATGATTCAAGCAAGGAATCATGAGATAGTGAAAAAAATGGTCTTTCACTTTATTTTTGTTTTCTATCATTATTATATAGATACATGCATACCCTTTTGTCTTTTGTTCTTTTGCACAATTTTCTTTTGTGGTTTATATATTCATGTTCCAACCCATTGATGATTTTTGCTTTTCTTTTGGTCTTAAATTCGGACTTGAGAGGATGGCCGGGCTATTTTAGTGTGTCTGGAAATCTGTCCTTCCTCTCATGTGTGCTTGAAAATTTTGTAAAATCAAACTCTCTACTTTTTTCATACCTTAGTATTTTTTTTTTTACCTTTTCTGTTGGCAGTTTGTGGCGTGATTCGCGAGTGTGTGTGTTTATTAATAATGTATTATGCAAGTTGATGAATGAATGAGCAGGGAATTGTGATAAGGACGTGTAGAGTGGTTAGGTTCATAAATCAAATGAAGGGGTCTCTTTTTTTTTCAAGCCTTAATACCTTTTTCTAATGGAAATTAATGTGTGATGGTTGTGGGCTGGTGCCAGCGGTCCAGTGTGTGCATTATGTGGCCACTGACAGCGGTATTTCATGCACATATATATACATATAATTGCAATCAATGAAGTGGATACTGTAATTCATAAATTTTTAAGTTGATGTGACTATGAAGTGTCAATTTCTGTTCAAAAACAGTTCGTAGTTATATTTATGACGCCATAAATTCACAAGAAATTTAAACAAATTATTGAAAATATAGGTAAGTATGGTTGAGGAACAACGCAAGAAAGTGAAGATATTTTGCCAGAAAATATAATTAATGTACTTTTTCTCATGACTTTTAATGCATTTTGAATAATCTTTTAACTAATTACGCAAAGGGATTGGGAGACTATATATAATGAGAAAATGAGTGACCCCATCATTATATTTTCTTGTTTCTAAGGAGTGAGTGAAAATGAGAGTGGAAGAAGGCTTGATATGTCAGAAATATGACATTTAGGTTTCGTTTCAACGTAGAACTTTAGAATTTATAGAGAATATGAAATTAAAATAATTTAAGTGAGAATGAAATATAAGAGGAGTTATTAATGATGGCAAGAAATTAAATATAACAAATTCTTTAACTTTTTTAAAAATTGTCATTTAAAATTCTCTCAATTTGATATAAATTTTATCTAATTAAAAAAATATGAAGTATTCAAAAAACAATTTTTTTAACTATCCAAATATATATAATCTAGTAATTTAGAATTATTTTATCCAAATACAACATTAATAATTAATATAATTTAAGGGTATTAATTAACAACATAAAATATTCTTAACCAATTAACCTGATTTTTTTTAAAATTAATTGATTTTCTAATCATTTAATGTATTACTAAGGATATATAATAAAAAATTATATATAGTCGTTTTTTAAAAACTCTCATGATTCAATATATTAAAAATATATATATAATAATAATATTAAATGCTATAATTTTTAATAAAATTTTATTATTTATTAATTTCTTATTGTGTGTCTTTTAAATGTATGTTAGAAATGTTAACAAATTCAAAATAATATAAATTCATTATAATTTTATAATATTAAATCATTTTTTCCCTCTCATTTTTCTATCAATCCCAACAAGCAAACAAAATAATTTTTTTTTCTCATTTTCTCTTTTGTTTCCCTTTCAATTCACACAGCTAAAGAATTTACTTATTTTTTCTTATGTTATTTTCTTTGATCTCATTTTCATTTTGCATTCAACACAGTAGTACCAAACAAACCATATTTCCCATCACAATTATGGAAGTAAACTAGTTCATGGATGGTTGTGCTGCACTTAGAAAACAATTACAAGTTTGTTTGGGACATCCTCTCTTCGAAAGGATTGACCCATTGAGATATGAAGCCAATCACAGTTACTAAATGAACAATAATCACTTACATTTCCTTTAATCAATGTAAGGATAAATCACAAACTTAAAGAAATGTTAGGAAACACTAAAAGTTCAATGCAATGGTGTAGCCACTAATCATGTATGCTTATTGTAGCCTAATTCATTCATATCATTTGCATTTACTTATATTGCTTTCCCTTCCAACCAACGGCTGTAAAAATCCAATGCTTCTCGTGGCTTATATTCCGGCACAGTGTGCCCTGCACCCTGCATCATGTTTAAGTATATAACTCTGGAATTAAGGAAATAAATTATACACTTTCATTTGAGATAAAAAAAAATGGTGTCAAGTGACTAAATCATAATTTTCATGTGAAGAAATCAAACAAAATTAACTAACAAATTTATATAATTCATTGAATATTGTTGAAAAGACTAGCTAGAGCTGGAGAAATAGGCCAGTGTAACCAGGCCAGTTCAAATAATCCTGATAAAATATAAGACTTAAACTTTAAATTTTGAACTCAGATTAAATTTGGGTCATTTTAGTTAAGTCTATATACTTTACTCATTTTAGACACTATTTTTGTGAGGTCAAATTATATATGAACCTTTTTAACATGATTATGATATCAATTTAAAAGTTGACTTGATGTAATAAATAAGTTGACTCACCTTAACTGTGAGAAAAATGAGGTTTTTCTCGTATGCTTGCAAGTACCTGCAGCACATGATAGAATAACACCACTTCAATTGAACATAATTTATGTTAAGTTCATGAAGTATTGTTTTTAACATTTCAAAGGGAAGTAGAATTATATATATATATGTTAGGCATAGTAATAGTGAGAGTGAGAGAGAATTAAAGATTAATAATGCATATATACCCAGCAATTTGGTTATTAGAGTTCCATGGCCTCCATTCATCCACAATCTTATATCCCAAAGATAGGGTCCAAGCCTCACTTCCCGTAAATGGCACACACATATCATGGTCACCACTGCCATAAAAATAATGATTAAAGATGTTAATTTAAAATTATGACAAGGTTAATTAATATTATTAATTAATTAAATTCCAATTAATAATATTATTGAAATTCAATATAGCTACTTGTGGTTGACACCTGAAAATAAGTGCTCGATAGCCCAGCATGGTTAGGTTCTTATGGTATGGTATCATGCTTCCAGCATTGTGATCATACTCTATCCTATTGGTGCATAATTCCCACTGCCCCGCCACACTTTCCTGCGAATTTATAAAACTTAATCCTCATTTTAATTGTTAATATTGAATCATGCTAATTATATAGTGATTAGCTACCAGCTCAGCATGAATGGCTTTCCTCACTGCTTCGTTGTTTAACCATGAACTTGCTACTTCATCACTCTGTGCTTTGCCAAATCAAACATATTTATAGAATTAATTACATCACTTCATTTCAATCATAATCAATTAATTGCTATATATACTCATCATTTCATTGGCTAATCTTCACATTTAAATCAGCAAGTGATTAAACAAAATGTTATATTCTAAGATCAAGTCAAAACTCTAAAAGCATATATAGTACTAATTATGAAAACGTTTTTAAAAAGTTTATGAAAAACTTAAAGAAAAAGTTTCTGTCTCTTATAAATTATTTATTGCTTTCTGATAGTTTATCAATTTTTTTTTATTGGATTCCAATATGTTCTATGTTAACATTTATATATGTCGCATGACATGAATGTATTGAATAATCTTTTTGTTTTTATACCCTTATTTTTTTTAATCAAACCACCTTTTTGTCATCTTCAGAAAATATTTTTTTTTTAAATATTAATAATTTCTGAAGACTAAAATTTATAAGTCACTTTCAAAATTCAATTTTCAACAAAAGAATATAAACAAATTGTTAAATAAATACTTGATTAAATTGCTAACCAACCAAATACATTCTATGTATATATACATGAATCATATGATATATGCAATTAATTGGTAACTTACAACACAGGCAACATGCCTCGTTTGAGCCAATTGGGGCCATAATGTAACAAGGCCAGCTTTAACTGGTGCTCTAAAAGGCCATGCTCTACCAAACATTCTCTTCCTCACTGGGAAAGGCCTTTCTGTAACCCCTAATTGATGAAAACTTAGGGGTAAGCTTCCATTTCCTTTGGCTGTGGCAGCATCAGGGAAGTGGTAGCATGGCTCAAGTATATTGTACACGTTAAGCCCATCAATTGCCTGATATAACATAACAGTGATGATCGTGTGCCCAATAAAGAGACATTATTATTATTATTAATAAATGTTATCATTCACAATAATCATAAAAAGAAAAAGAAACCCATGCATGCTACCATCTTCTCTTTCTCTATTAATTATATGTCTCACCTTATCAACTTTTTCCAAGTTCTTATAACACATATCATTTTCGTCCAAAGAGTAGGAGTTGTAGTAGTTTCCTTTGCAAGAAGCTTGTACTTCCTGCAAATTATGATTGAATTGCATAATATTAATAGTAAGACAAAAAAATAATAATGTCAAGACATTCACACACACACACACACAAAAAAGATTTAGTGCAAAAGAAAATATAATTAAAAGTATTTAATAGAACATATTTGTTATGTGATCTTCAAATTTCAATATCAGAAATAAAATCACAAAAATGGATTACGTTGTACTTGACAAATTTAATATTTATTCAAAGCACCTCGTAGATACTGTCGGATATGAGGCCCATCCCGTGCACAAATGGGATAAGAGCATTGCCATCAATTATTTCGTCCGTGACACCATTTCCAACCATGTAACCCTACACAACAAAGAAAAAGTCAAAGGTAATTTAAGGTATTTGCCAACTTTCTACGTTATAAAGTGCAATGTAGCATCATTTATGAAATTTAATATCATTCCTTTCACATGACTCATAAAATTTACATCATATATAATAGAGCGTGTAAAAAAATAATTATATGTTACCAACTTTCACAATCATAATAATATAATTAAAAAAATATATATATACCTTAAACTTGATCACGGGCTTTATACCACTCCGGATTCCTGGCATGGTATACACAAACAATTTACTCTATGATCTAATCATAAACACTGTTCATATAAATACAAGAAGTTGGAATTAAAAACTTTGTATCACTGTAGTACCATACATACTTTATGAGTGTGTAACTTTTTTTTAAACCTTTTCACGGACTCACCGACAAGAGTTAGAAAATTAATATAAAAAGTTACAATACGAAAAAGAATTTACAAATTCACGAAGGGTGCATGGCATTGTTATAGACAAAATTGAACTTTAATATAATGATACCTTTAACAACTTCAAAAGCTAGAGTAGGCACATAAACTCCGGCATAGGACTCCCCAGCAATATAAAATGGATTAGCCAGAAATTCTGGAAATTGTTGAAACCACTGCCAAGAGAAAAAGAATCCAAAAGTAAAAATAAATAAATAAATAAATATATATATATATATATATATATATATATATCATTCATTTATTATTATTATTATTTGCACCATGCTTCCTCTCGTGCATGTATCATATTGTGACATGCAAAACTAATAATAAATATTGACGTATAAACATTTAAAATAGAAAGATACGTAATAAATATTAAACTAACAATATATATTCTTCCAATTCTTATGTTAATTCTATTTTAAATGATAATATATCCTCTTGGAAGTACCTCTAAGAGGAAAGCATGGGTATCAGACGCAGTTTGTAGGTCCCCAGTAGCATATTTGCTTGAGTTCTTGGAGTAAGAGAGGCCAACACCCGCGGGAGAATCCAAATATATGATGTTGGAAACCTGAAATTAATATTGATTAAGACAAATATATAAGGTACTATTAGAATGTGTTTTAAATACACTAATATTAAATGTAATTTGTTAGTGAAATATGTTTTTTAATGAGAATGAATGCAGACTAAAAAAGTAGTACATAACCTAACATTAATCAATTTAAGTATATATTTTTTTAAAATTTTAACTATTGGAACTAATTTTAATTTCTTCCATCGAGATGACAATATTCTAGTGTTTCAGATATAAATAGAATAATAAATATTTATTAAACAAATGGGCAAGGATAAAATATGTAGTTCAAGTCTTTTTCTATTTGCTTTTGGGGATTATACGTAAGTTGGCAATAGGTAAATTAAGAAAATTATTCCGTTCAAGTAAAACAAAGGGAATAACCTTGGAACAAAAAGAGGGAATAAAATAGAAAGACAATCCAATTTTGTCTTTGGTTGAGATTAATTTTAAATAAATAATCTTTTAAAGCTCTATCAAATATAAAAATTAGTTAAATTAACACGTAATTGATTAGTCTAAACACAGGATCTTGCTAATAAACATCAGGAGAATTATTATATCATGCATAAATTAATACTGAGAAAAGCTTATGTGATTGATCTATGAATCCAACAACTTAACAAATATATATTTTTAATATATAATAGATGCAAGTTATTATTATTATCTATGTGATGAGTAGAAATATATATCATTATTGAATTCCGGGAGTCACGATTCTTAACCTTGGACCAGCTGTAAGGATTGATGTGCAAAGTGGGTAGATTCCCTTTTGATTTTGCAGCCTCAAAGTTGAATGGTCCTGCATGCATTCACATTTCACAATCACATAATTAACACAAAAGTAATTATTATATCCATTCATGGTGAGGAAAGGACGTCCACGAGAACAATCTAACTCTTTCACTATATATGTCAACGGTTCACCATTTTCCCTTTATGTGTACGCATTAGACAAATTTATATGCGGCAAATTAACTAAAGCAACGTAATTTAAGATTGGTCCCCAATTTAATAAAGAGGGGCACCTTCTAACTAACTAAAAGTGACAAAAATGTTGCAAATTCAAATGTTGGCTAGTACCCTCGATCAAGCAAGCCCACACAAGAACAGTTGAAGATTAAATTCTATGAGAGTGACATGTATATATACATATATAGATTATAATAACAACATATAGATTATGTAGAGTACCATAGGCAGCATACCATGCTCATAAACGAAGCCATCGAAGCTGGAGCACCCAGGTCCACCGTTCAGCCATAGAACAACTGGGTCCTTCCCTGGACTTCTTTCTGAACTAACGAAGTAGTAGAACAGGTTCTTCCCACTCTCAGCATTTCCATCAATGCTTATATATCTGAATTCAATAGTTCATCCCAACAAAAAAGCTCTTTCAGTTTAACATGGTTTAGTTGATGAAAACTATCTATATAGAAGTGCTTGGGTTATAAAACTAAGCTCCAATAGGTTGGATTAGTTTCTAATGCACTATTATTAAGAGTTTTTGAGTTATGTTAATTTTACAAGTATTTTTTAAAAAGGTTAAAAAGAAAGCTTTTAAAAGACGTTGAACTATATAAATTACATATAATTAGTGCAAGGAATTTATTTGTTGAGAAATTTAACTAAAGTAACTTTATTAAGAAAGGTTTCTTGATCTTGATGATAGAAGAAAAATAATGCATTGCATACCCGGAGTAGTGCTTGGATGGAAAAGTGCCGCTAAAGCCAGGGAGTTGTGTGATGATAGAGCCTTGAGGGGCAGCTTCAACACAGATCCAATGACTCAAGAAAAGCATACAAAGTGACACAGCCCAATATTGTAGTAACTTGTGATTGCCCATGTCAATTAATTTTTTCAGCTAATTCTTCATCCAATGACCACTCCAAGATTGTGTTGGGAAGAAAACTGATGAAATGAAACAAGGGCAAGTCATAGCTATATATAATGAGGGGTGTGTGTGTGTAAGATACATAAAAAAAAAGTAGTGTTTTTTGAAGAAGTATAGAAGATGACTTTTAAGTATCTCTTTATTCTTTTTACTGTAACTTTAATCAGTATTTTTTTAAACAACCTATAAACTTGAGAGTGTATTGTATATTTTATCTAAACATGCAGTTTTTATTTTTTAATATCTTAGAGATTAAAAAATATTTACATATTTTTTACATAAATTGCCGACTAAGTATCTATTATATATTTAATAGGAGTAGAATTTTCTCACACTAGTATAAGTTTAAAAATTTTTACATTTAATTTAAGCTTTTAATTTAATTTACATCTAATGGTTAATGAAATAATAAATTATAACCTGTTAAATGTAAGTTAAATGAAAGATTTAGATCGAGTGTAAGAGTTTTTAGACTTATACTAGTATAAGAAGATCTTTTTTCTATTTAATATATTATTTTAAGTGTAAGAGAGCTTAAAATAATTTTTTTTATAAAGTATTATTTTAATATGTATATATATATATAATAAAATTAATTGTATATAATACTATATACTGTGCTAATTTTAAGCGATTGATTTAAGGATCTCTAAGTAAAAAAATTAAAGAATCATTAGTTAAGCTGTATTGCAATATCTAGGTCAAGCATTTGATTTAATAAAGTTGAGCTAGGAATATGGCATGGTATTGGAAGAAAATTCATGAGAAAATCCGCATGGGCTGCGTTTGTTAGGGAATCCACGTGTGTTTAACTTCAAAAAATATATCATGCCATATCAATAGTCTCTCTTTATATAGAGCTTCATCAATTTTTCAACATACTTTTAATTGTAGCACATGAAATTTCAACAAAACTAACTTAAGAATCCGAGAATTATAAGTAATTTGTACATGTATAAATCAATGTATGAGAATTATGTATTATTTCTAAGTATCAATATCACCAAAGAAATCACGGAGAGAAAAGCGGAGATTGAGAGAGAGACAGAGTGATACTATTGAAAGGTAGAAAGTATTTTTTATGTCTAAATATTTGCACAGTAAGTGGAAAAAACAAAGAAATTTATATCCTTTTGTGGTTAGAAATTAAGTGTCAATGAAGGAATAAAAAAATGGCGTCGATTCATAAGACTTAAACAGTAAAAGGATGAGATATTATTTGTGTGGGGACATCAAATATTTTGATTGTTTCATGCAATATTTGTTTAAAAGAAATTTTGGGAGCCTCTCAATTTAACGTGGCTTTGTCACTGTGCACCCAATAAAGAAAAAACAAAGAAAGCCAAGAAAAGGAGGCAAACCAAAACAAATTATTGGTCAAAAAGGAGAGGTCTTGCTTGGAAGATTAATTGCCAAGACTCACCCCAAACCAAACAAAGGCAAAGCATTTATTTGGGTGAGATTAATTAATAAGTGCTATATACTTTTCTTAAACAAAGTTTTAATTCCCATTTTTGTGCATGAAAAATTTTAAATATTTTTTATTAGAAATAATTAAAATAGTTTAGAGTAGAGGATACACGTTTAGACAAAAGGAAAAAATAAAGGGGTTTTGGGTGGGTATTGCTTTAATTAATCATATAATGGGCAATGGTATGTGATTGTACACTCAGCACAGTGGGATGGTGTCCATGAAGAGGGACCAGAAGACTATATATATTGTTTCCTTCATTGAATTATGAATGGATTTTCATCTGACATTGGCTCCTTATATCAATCAATTTTACTATTCTGCCAAATATGTTTGCATTTTTGTCTTCATTGTTCACCCCTTTTATCACCCTTCATTTAATATCTCATATAAGGGTTAATTTATTTTAGAGAAAAATTTACTTATTTAGTAATAATATTTATTTGAGATTTTCAAATAAGAATCAAATATTTTATAAATTCTTTAAAATTCTCTTAAGTCAATGTTTTTGATTCCTTATTTTGAGAATTTTTTTATTAACTATATTTTATCTTTGAAATTCGTTATTTTTAATTCTCAAACAAAGTTTAAGAAAAATATTGATAAAATTAGGTTAAAAAATTGCCCACATCCTTGCTGGTCTACTTAAGGTTTGCTGCCTAAGACTTGTGAGACCAAAAGGCAATTGTACTAGAAAATTTGATGCAAAATACATTTAGTGGGAAATTAATAATGCGTTGATTTCAATGAATTGTGCATTGGTGGCCCCTCTTTGGCCTCTACTTTTTTTTATATATATAATGTCACTGAAAAGAGACAAACGTAATTTTCATTTTCTCAATTAACTTTTTTTTAGATCTCTAGTGGATGATTCAGGAATGAAGACACAGACTAGGAAAGTGAAGTTCAGTTGGGGTGGTTGATATATAGTTAGTATGTAATTATGGTAGTGAATAATAGGAATATTAGTAATATACCCTTTAACATGATTTTTATTAACAATTAAAATTATAAAAAATTAAAAAAGTGTGAAAAAGAAATATTAATATAAAAGTGACAAAAAATAAGACTCGAGTAATTTTTATACATTTTAATAAATTTTAACTAATAATAAAAAATATACTAAAAAAATATTAAAAATTTGTTGCTAACATTTACTCATAAACTCGATCTAGTTGCTGGCTAACAAAACCTTATCCACAAATATATCCAAAGCTTCCCAACTCCATATCTATGTTATAGAGACGCTTTTCAGTATATATCTTCAATCCTTATATTAATGGATAAAAGAAAAGAAGAAATTTAGAGCACTATCATGAGTATATTTTATATTATTCTCTAATTAAAATTTGTTTCACTTTAACAATATTTATTGTTAACTTGGAGCTAGATTAGTCAACAAGAGACGCATAACAGTTAATTCCTGTGAAACCAAACGAAACTTATTGTAGTGTGCTGAAAAACTATATATATGTTTTTAAGAATCTTATATTCTCATGTTGTAGAAAGCATAATGGAACAAGTTCCATGCCTCCTTGGTGGCAAAACTTAAAAAGTTAAAGAAAAAGATAGGGAATCGATGAACTAACCTGTTTTTCCAGAAGGGTAGATAGGAAAAATAGAGAATGATGATTAACTTTGTTTCTTTGTGCAGCAGATTTATAGAGAGATTGGAGACTCCATTGTGTTGAAGTGCTAAGTTTCTAAGAACGAGAAATAATTGAATTTCAAGGGAATGAGATCGTATGACAATACGGGGACCAACCACATATTAGCTAGTGGCCATGACCATTTGCCAAGCCAGCAGGACATTAGATATTTGCTAAAATCCCATAGATATAAAATGTACTTAGACTTTGAGTCTTTGTTTTAATGCTCAAATAAAAGTTAAAAAAACTTTTGTTCAGTTAGATAAAATAAAGTCAACAAGTTTTATGAAGTGGTGATCCAATTTTATGATCATTAAATTGATATATCTGTTTGTATAGCCTATTTTGACACCTTTAATAATACTCATTTGAAGGTAAAGTGAAATATTTTTGAGGTGGGAAAGAAACCATGCAGTGTTATGAAAGCTGAAAGCAAGTAAATAACCAATGCTTGAAAATTTATATTCAGCATCTCCATATATAGAATGGAACTGAGAGTTTTGATAGCCAAATTCGGTTCATGCACAATTCCTACCTAACAATTCCATTTGAAGAAGTAGACCCAGCAAAAAAGAAAATCCATTATCTGAATCTGAATAAAGTTGAAAATTGTGTTTCTGCTTTTAGAATTTTTGTTTCCTCTTAACACTTTCTGCTTTTAGAATTTGGTGCCGGCTTAAGTAAAATAGTAGTATCTAACAAGGTCACGTGTGTAATTAAGTGAGCGTTTGATCCTCCTTTTCATTAGCTTTTGGTTTGATTTCAATCATCATATGTTGTTTTACTACTGCCCCTTGTTTAGAAAAGGTGTTTGTGATAGAAGCATGTTCTTTGATCTTCTGGCTTTACTATGTCATCAGCTATAAAATTTTGACTTTTTTTTTTCAGAATATGCACCATTACTTAATTTGGCCAATGTTAAAATGCGTTCTCTATTAATTTAGAATGGAATTACTTTAATGGGTGTCTTGAAAAAAATACTTATCAAATAAAAAATAAATAAACATATTTGATAAAAAATAACAATTAATATATTTAGAACTTAGAAGCTATTTTTCATGTAATTTTGGAAAAAGACTTAAAAGTTAAGCAGTAGTGTGAAGTGTGTAAAATTGAGCTCCAAATTAATTTTCAAGATTATATATATGTTAAGTATTTTCGTTTTTAAAAACAATCCTTTGATTATCAATCTTAATTATTTTAATCCTTAACATTATAAAATATTAATAAATTGGTAATATATCTTATCATAAGAATGTTATTCTTAATTAATAGGAGAGGGGTTATCTTCAATTTATTCTTCAAATACAACCCTGTGTCTTAATTTTCATTTCATTATCTTTCCTAAAAATCAAAAGTGGATCATTGTTGCACTAACAGAGGTCCATTTTAAAAGAAAATAAAGTAAGTTCAAGGAACAAGGACCGCTAATGCATGCCCTTTTAATATTTTTTTTTAATTTATACCTTTATTGTTAATTGACGAGCGTGTGAGAGAATCATAACTCTATTTTATTTTATTATATTATTGTATGTGTTAATTAGGTGACTGTGATTAAATTTGAATAAACTTTTGATAAATGTTTACAAGAAAAAGTTAAGGATAAAATTTTTTTTTTTACAAGTTCAAATTAACGTACACATACCTTAAATTCCTGGTCTATTTTTTAAAAAAATTAAGATGTGTAATTTGGTTTTATATTTTTAATTATAAAATAATAATAATTATTATTTTTTCTTACAAGTGCCGGTTGAAAATTTTATTCAATTAAATATTTAAATATAAATAGTTCTCATTTTCAATTAAATATATTTATATAAAATTTACTAATTGAAGTTAATTTAAGTGACAAATGACTTAATGTTATTTATATACATGAAAAAAAATTTAATAGGAGACTCATTAATCGTATCTAAGTGCGCGACTCAGATCAAATTCAGATTAAATTAAATAAAAATAAAAAAATATTTATATAAAATCTATATAAAGTTTTCACCGCAAGTAAGAAAATTTCTTGTTCCATTGACAATTTTTGCAATTTTTAACTAAGTAAAGTCGTTTTTTGTTCATCCTCTTATTTATTTTCTCCGTGGCACCATTTGCTGGCGGCTGACATCGCACCAAACCAAGTAGATTTTTCCTTTCAAGAATCAATTCTCCTTTCGTAAATAGGCCTTACCTTCCCCTTTGTAGTGGATCAAAGTATAAGTAGTGTATACAAATCATTGTTTTTATTATTTTGTAAACATTATTCTCTAAAACTAAGTTAAAATATAATATTTTTATAAAAAAATTATTATATAAAAAAAATAAAGAGTTAAAATATGCTAACGCTAAAGATCAAACTTAAACACTTATATTATTTAATTTTTTTTATAAAATGATAAATTAACTAATCTAATTGTTATATAAATGTTTTTATTAAATAAATTAATTTTATATAAAAATAAAATTAATAAATACTTCATCACATTATTTTATTTTAATATATAATATATTTTTAAAATATAAATAAATTTTAAATTTTAGATGACATATTTATAACTACTTAAATGATTTAAAATTTTATATACATTATTACATAAATAATATAAGATGATTCAATAATTAAATTAGACAATCTTTTATTATATAAAAATTATTGAATAATATAAAAGTCCAAATTTAACACTACAAATCAACAAATTTTATCTATATAATAAATACTTTTAAAAAAAAAAAATAATGACAAATATTTAAACTCAATTCTAAACAAAGAAATGATTCTTTAAAAAAGATTAAAAGAGATGCATTGCATGGCAATATTAGATAAGTTAAAGGCCCACCTTATCCAAAAGATGAGTATGAATGGGAAGAAAAATAAGAAAAAATGAAAAAGAAGAGGCTCATGTTCTCTCCATATCTGGTTTGTAATCCCAAACAACACACCTTTGGCCACGGAATGGGGAGACATGACTTTGACTGCTACTCTTTCTTCTTCTCTCGCCGCTCCTTCTCTTTCCTCCGCCGGTTTCCGCCACAACAAATGCATTCCCTCCAAAATTATGCATTCATGCATGCCCTTTTCCTTCCATCATCATCACCAATACCACCCTTTCTTATTGCAAGGTTTCACTTCTTAATTTCTTCTCTCTCACACACCACAATTCATCAACATGAACAAAACTAGTATGTCACATGCCATGCCATGTTTTCCTTCCTGTATATTTTGTTCTCTTATAGCCAAATGGATAAAGGTTACAACAATTACAAGTAAAAAGGTTTTATTTTCAACATATTATAAATATATTTTTAATGAATTTTAATATATTTTAACGTATTTTTTATTAAAAATATGATTATTTCTTTGGGAACCAGTTAACTAAACCCTTTCTTATTTACATACATATCTGTGTGTAGCTTGAGATGTTAAAGAAATTAAACTAAAGTTGACCATTCATGTAAAATTAAAGGGTTATGATGTTGGTAATACTTCAATCTTCTATAATTGATTAAGATTAGATTCTAATATATGACTTTGAAAACATAAAAAGATTATTAAAAAACATTATAAGAAAACTTTAAATTATTTATATACTAACTTAATATATTTTACATACATATATATTAGTACAATATCAAGTTATATAAAATAATTTTATTTCTTATATCATTTTTTTTATTAATTTTCTTATTTACTTTTATGTTTTAAAGATGTTGAATGCATTTCTTTTTCTATTTAATACGTTCTTTATAAAGCATTTATAGAGAATTGATAGGATGACCATATATCACTGCTCTTAGTATATAGTAAGCGCAATGCGTTGATACATATTATGTGATGATGTTTTGCAGTGGTGAATGATGCTGATAGGAGTGAAGTGTCTTCTGATACCACAACCAAGACATCATATTCAGAAGCTGACAAGATGGTTGATGGTATGGACTTTGGTGAACTCTGCAATGAGTTTGAGTGCATAAGCAGTCCCTTGGTAGAATCCACTGCAAGACAACTTGCAAGAGACATACTTGAGCTAAGGGAGGGAAATAGATCACTTGGGATATTTGCTGTTTCTGTCACATACAAGGTATCTACCTGAATTGGCCATAACATTTTTGTTCATCAAGAAAACTACATGATCCATTGTAATATTAATACATCAAATCAATTTGTTACATTATAGTCAAGGGCAGTCATGATTATCCCATAAGGTCCAAAAAATTTTGGGGTAGTTGGAATAAATGTATATAATTGACTACCTAAAAAATTTGACATTGTTATCGTGTCTTTAATCTTATAATTTGACTATCCTTGTAAATTTCTCTATCTTATAATTTAATCTTGTATTGTTATAAGTTGGTATTGTTTATGATACTGTTATTGTGATCAGGATCCTATCAGGAGTTTTACTGGTCGTGAGAAGTACAAAAGAGCACTATGGGCAACCAGTACACTAGACAACCCATCTGTGGTGAGTTTTATTTTTGGGGTCCTTCTCCTAGAGCACCAATTAATCCATGAAACAGGGATATTCTGTTGTTCCTTCTTAATTTTCATTGCATAGTGTCTATTATTTGGTCAATACTTTCTTTTTAAAACTAATTAACCAATATCCCTGAGACATTGATGAAGGAATCAATAAATTAAAAATCACATTGAGGTGCATTAAAATTTACAGTAAAAATGAACTAATAACAAGTCCTTTTTAGTTTGTTAGGCTGAAAATGCATAAGCTATATTGGAATGAGTTTTTTATTTTAGTATCCGATATGTTTTTATTGCTCTAACAATCTTTTCTTTCACTTGTAAATAATACTAAATGATAAAATTAGAAAAAAAAATGTTGTAACGATGTAATGAAACAAAATTACATTTTCTAACTTGAAATCTTTTGGCAGACTGTACAGGAAATGGTGATGCTATCAACAAGTGTTTTAAGTATAAAGTGGACAATGAGAGGGAAGCCAAAATCTTTAATTGGTGGGATAGGAGGAGATTTGATACTTAGAATTACTTCCAAGTTTACTCTTAACCAAATTAGTGGTCAAGTCATTCAGCATGAGGAATTCTGGGACTTATCAGCTTCATCTGCTGGTGCTCAGGCATTTTTCTGGGCTTCACGTGCCCTTTTTTCCACTGTTGAATCTGTGAAAGACTTGTCTGACAATGCAAAGAATTTAAGTAAATTTTCAACTAAAAAAGAGAATTTGGAGATTTATCCAGATCCTTCAGGTGATCCAACAAAGGTGAGTTCTATCCCTTTTCATTTTGGTGTGTTTTGCTTTATCTAGAGTGGGTTTGGATAAATAGTTTAGGCTCTATTTGTTTTTTGGTTGATTGCATGCTAACTATTGTTGAGAGTTTATAAAAAGGATTGACTCCAGTGGAAGATACCTGTGGTTTAGACAAAAAAAAAAAAAAAGCTTAGAAGAGTTTATAAAAAGGTCACACGTAATTACTTTCACAAGTTCAATAAGTTTCTTGAAAACTCTTCTAAATATCCCTCAGTCCATTGATCAAGCAAGGTGTTCAAATCTTTCACTAGAACAAGATGGTATAAATGCCTTGCAAGAAAAGTTGACATAAATGAAAATTGCTCTTGATTGTCTTATTAGAACATAGGTAATTTTGTTTCATGAGTTAATTGTTGGGTTTGTGCTTTTATTCAGTTCTTCCAAAGGGATGACAATTTTCAACAGGATGCATACCAGATTGCACTACTCATTGCAGTTCTTTATTTTGTGGTACAATTTCTTAGGACAACTTTGTAAAGCCAACATCTGAACTTGTATCCCTTTGTTCTCCAATATTTATCTCTATATATTGTGATTATCACCTTATAATCTTAATGTTATGCTCTCGCTGTAGAAGTGTGACTATAAACTCAGATGTTTCCTTAGGAGTTTTGGTCATTTGGAAGGCCAAAGCATTAGTTTTTTTGATACTACAATCACAAAGGATCATTTGATTACAGCTATAAAACAAACAATAGAGTTGGTGATCTTGATTCTTGAGGTAACAAACCTTGATCATCTGACACATTTCCTTCTTTCAGTTAATGCGAAGGTTTAACCATATGACTAATTTTTTAAATGAACCACAAATACTCTTGGATTTCATAGACCAGAATTATGAACCACAATCTTGATCCTTCATGATACAAATTAGATTTGTGACTATATCATTAGGCTATCTTTGAATTTGCATAACCCCATAATCAATTACCCATTTTGTTTCTCTTTTATAAAGATTTTGAGCGTTTGACAATAATGATAAACATCTTTTTTTTTTTATGAAAGGAAAGGGCTAAAGCCCAAAACAAGGAAAATAACTACATCCCCCTATAAAAAAGGGTTGCTGAAGAATCAGCTAACAAAGGAATATAAAAGAAATCTGGGACAACATAAAAAATCTTAGAATCAAAACTCGTTCTATGAAAATGTTTAGTTAAGGCATCTGTGACAAAGTTAGCTTCACGGTAGATATGAGTCCAAACACAGGTGATAGCATGTGTTTTTTTGTCTAATCCTTGTAACCATGGGTGCACATAGGTGACAAGGGCGACATCCTTTATCGAGGATCTTAACATAAGAAGGGAGTCAATTTAAATCACAATATGATTATAAGCCCGTCCTATGGCAATATCCAATCCATGTAGGATACTCCACAGTTCAGCATGAAGAATTGAGCAAAAATCCAGTTTAAAGGCATACGCGAAGCAAAAGACCCCCGATTGATCTCTAAGAACACCTCTACATGTGGCAAGATTTGTCTGAGGATAGAGAGACTCATCACAATTCAGCTTGACCCATTCCTCCAGTGGGCATTGCCATCTAATTCCATTGTGGCTACCATCTATAACTGTTGTCCTTGTCGAAGTTTTCATTGCACAGCAACTAGAAACGTCCTTAGCTTTATTCTTAATTAATTTTCTCTATAGAATGCTTCTTATCTTCAAAAACAAAAACATTTCTCCTTTGCTAAAGTTCATAAATAGTCATCCCAAAAACAATACTCCATTCCTCCAGTGCCAAGTTATCATAAAGCCAAGTATTCAAGTCACCTGCAAGAAAAAAAGATCTATTAGTAATTGGAATTAATCGAAGCCAAACCGGTTTTACCTCATCGCAATCTCGCAGGGCATGCAAGATTGATTCATCAATGTTAGAGCATAGCGAGCACAATCCTAAGGAGGCCATGTTCCTTTGGAAACGAGCTAAGTTAGTCAAAATAGCATTATGTGTGATCTTCCACAGGAGACAACGAATCTTTTGAGGCCCTTTCCAATCCCAAATGAAACAATTTATTTTGTCTTATGCTGGTATCAATCCCGGAAACAAACTCATAAGGACTCTTAATGGTAAACCAACCATCATTAGTATTCTTCCAAGCAATAGAATCGTCATCAATTCCATCAAAGGGTGGCATCATGGCAACTATTTTGTTGCACCACTCAGGGTTTATAACTTGCTTGAGAAGACCCATATTCCATTGCTCATTTCGGTCTATAAAGTCACTAACAATTTTCTCAAGATCACTACTAGTAGGCATATTAGTGGCAGTGGGTAGAAGAGGTCCAGCATGGGTCACCCAAGAGTTAGTCCAAAACTTGATTCTTCTCCCATTTCCTATCTTCCAAGTAATGTTACTTTAGAGATCATTCCAGTTAGCCTAAACGTCCTGCCAAAGATTTGAGTCTGCATTCCTTCGAGTCACGGTGGGTATATGATTTGAGCCACATTTGTACTTACTACGAAGGACCTTCACCCATAAATCTTCTGGATGATTGATCAAGCCCCAACCAATCTTCATCATAAAAGCAATGTTTAGAGGTCTAAATTGGTGCAATCCGAGGCCTCCTTGGAGTTTTGACTTACAAATAGTGGACTAATTCACCAGGTAAACTTTCCTCTTATTCGCCGAATCTCCTTAGAGAAAGGATCAATTAATTCTATCAAGATCATCACATACTTGTTTGGGAATCCAGCACGTTTGCATCGCATAGGCAGGGAGAGCTCCAAGCACAGATTTAGTAAGCGTCAACCTACTTGCAAAAGAGAGGGTTTTTACCTTCCAAGAATTCAACCTTTGGTTAGCTTTATCAATAATAAATTTAAAAGTATTCCTAGAAACTCTTTTATGAAATAAAGGAACACCTAGGTATTTACCCAAATCATCAGTTCTCTGGAAACCAAAAGAGGAACTAATTTCATTTCTAATATTATGATTTACATTCCTAAAGAAAAAAAATTCTAGTTTTATCTTTATTAATGCGTTGTCCTGAACTTTGACAAAAAATATCAAGACAGGAAGAAATAAAATGAACTTGATCAAGACTTACTTCAGCAAAGAGGACCAAGTCATCCGCAAAGGCAAGATGAGTAATTTTAGAACCACCTCTGGACAACTGTATAGGCTTCCACAATCCATTATCAACAGCCACATTAATAAGATGGGCAAGTCTCTCCAAGCAAAGGACAAAAATATAGGAGGAGATAGGATCACCTTGACGGATAACACGTTCAGGAATAAATTGATCCAACATCTCCCCATTCCAAAGCAAGTTCATAGAGGGAGAGCTAATGCAATGCATGATAACCTGACGCATTTTTTCGGGGATGCCAACATCAATCAAAGTATCTGTTATGAAACTCCATTTAAGCCTGTCATAAGCTTTCTCAAAATCAATTTTGATTGCCATGAACCCTTTCTTACCTTTCATCTTCCTCATAGAATGAATAGCTTCTTGAGTAATAACAATATTATCATTCTCATGCCTCCCTAGAATAAAGCTACATTGACTTGTCCCAACCACATGATTCATAATACTTCTCAACTGGCTAGCCAACAGCTTAGTGATAGCTTTATAAGACACATTACATAGACTAATAGGCTGAAACTGCTTAATAGAAGTCACTATATCTAGCTTAAGAATCATAATATCTCTAATACCACTAGGACTATAATAAAGACTTTAATAAAAGAGCATAGAGAATGACCCACAGTTTTCCAGTGACTCTGATAGAATATTGCTTGGAAATCATCCTTTCCAGGAGCTCTGAGACTCTCCATGAAAAATATACCTTTTTTAATCTCTTTAGCAGAAATATCAATATTCAAACTATCAAACTGATCAGCAAGCATACTTGGAAAGCATCCATAGAGGCAAAACTCAATTGCTAGATCTTCGTCCTTGTAAGTAGTTAAGGGCATGATGTTCCAACGCATAACCATCAATAATCAAGCTCCCATCATCAGCTTGCAAACTTTCAATTTTATTCTTTTTACGTCTCACTATAGTAGTCCCATGAAAATATTTACTATTCTTATCCCCAAACTGTAACCACTTACACCTAGACTTTTGGAACCAAAGAAGCTCCTCACGCAACAGGATTTTCTCATAGTCCTTCCAAAGCCTTTGTTGAAGGCCTTCCAAATATACATTAGGGCCATGTGAGAGACTCCTAGATATACCATCAAGCCACTTCATAATTTCCTTTTTTCGCTTGAAGATATTACCAAAGACATTTTGGTTCCAATCTCTTAATCCATCCTGCAGGGTAGTCAAATTAGTATTCCATGGAGATGCCTCATTCCATAAATTACGAACAACATTTGGGAGGTCCTTATGAGTTAGCCAAGCAGCCACAAAACGAAAGGGACGTCTACCTCTATTCGGACCATCAAATTTATGAAAATCCATAAGCAGCGGGTTATGATCAGATTTGAAGGGAGAAAGATGGCGGACAAACATTTGCTCAAATCTAAGTCTCCAATCCAAGTTAAGAATAATTCTATCAAGACGTTCATACAATGTACCACGTTTCCAGGTAAAAGGGAGCCAACAAAGCCAGCATCCACGAGGTTACAATCTCTCATAAAGGCTTGAAATAAAGGACAAACAAGATTCTGAGTATCCCTCGATCTACCTTTATGATCCCAACTATTCAAAGTAGCATTGAAGTCACCAACCAAGCACCAAGGTTGAGAAGACACTGATTGGGCAATGTTCTTTAAGTTATACCAAAGATCACGTCTTGATAAGGCTTGGGGGCTGCCATACACCGTAGTTAAGAACCAAAGATCATCATTATGTCATTGTACCTTCATGTGAATAAATTGGACACCAGAAATAATCACATCAACCTTCCAGCTATCAGTATCCCATAAACACCAAATACCCCCTGCATGACCAGACGCATCTACCACGAAAAACTCATTAAAACCTATCTTTTGAATAATTTTTTTTGCTCTGTCTCCACCTGTATGTTACTTTGTTATTAGCTATCAGTATCCCATAAACACCAAATATATGTAAAAGTTTGTTCACATATTGTTCTTACTTTGTTACTAGCTATTTATCATCATTATGGAGACTAATGATAAACAGCTAGTAACAAAGTAACATATGGACTTAAAGAAGGAACAATATGTGAACAAACTTTTATGTATATTTGTAACTTATAAAATTATTCTTTTTTATACAAACAAAGGCATTTATGGGAGGTTAGGGTTCCCACTTGTTCTCCTGTGAATCTGTCTCTGAATCTGTCCTTATACAAAAATATCTAATGGATTTAGGATTTTGGGTTACATAAAAGCTTCTCTCTTAAAAGTATATTTAGATAGGTTTAAAAAATCACTTTTATGATACATATTTTTTATTTTTTGAAATTTCTCTTTTAATTTTTAATAAAATTAGTAAACTTTTTTTAAGGATATTTTAATTAAGCATATTTTTATTTAAGAAATAATAAACAAACGGGACCTGATTAGATTCTATGTAAATTTTCTTTGTATATTGACGTAATTATTTTTAATTTTATTTTTATTTTGTAGGCTTTCTAATTTTATTTTTATTTTGTAGGCTTTCTTTCTATGTTCACATGGTAAGTTGTTGTAGGTCTACATGTAAACGAGCTTTTGTTTTTCATTTTTCTTTGGGTTAGGATCCAAAAAGATAAGTTCCATGCCCAAGACGATAAAATGTTGTGTTCTTCTTAAATCTCTTCCCTCATCATGACAAATCCTATGGAACTCACATTTTAGAGGGTAATAGTGATTTACTGAGCAAAAATTAGTGGAACTTGCATAATGGATATATGGGTGTATGTGTTTTTTTTTAAGATATATGTTAAGAAATAAAAAAATGGTAAGTTTTTATTAAAAGTTGTGAATTCAGTAATTGTTGGAAATGTAAAATTTAATTAGAGATAAGGAACATTAATTAAGAAATTAGTTGGCTATATAAGCCTTCTTACTCCTCTTGTAACTCATTTTTATTATTTTATTCAATACACTTTTACCTTTCACTTAACTTTATTTTATTTCTCTCTTCTTAACCATATTTCTTGACAGCAACATCATGTGATTTTCGGTAAAAATTTACTATATATAAAATGTATACATATATTTCAGAAAGTTTTTATTATATGTAGCAATATTCATCAGCATAGACCATGATATGATCCATTTGGGATATTTTACTTTCCTCACTTAAAAAATTGTTCGAAAAGGAGGTAATTGAAAAGAAAGTTAAAAACTCTCCCCTTTCTCACTTCTATTTATACGAGAAATGATTTATTTATTAGCATCAAGCTCGCCATCAAGAATTATGTTACAAATAAAAGAAGAAGAAAAAATGCCATCCCTCGTATGTTGTAGAACTAGGAACTTAAGTGCTTATTAGCAAGGCAATAGCCAACAAAAACAACGTCAATATTCTTCCAATTAACACTGTGGAAGCTGAAGAAAGATCATGTGCTCCCACTGTGTATACAGTTCCAGTACTGCTATCCTTCACTTTTATGCTGGAAGAGCCTAAAGAATCAAGAAAACAACTTTAACCTTAAAAGACAATATAAGTGTCATACCTTTCATAAGCTTTGTTTAAGTTTATTGCAATAAACTTCTTGATATAACTTATTAAAATCAGTTATTGTTAGCTTATTTTAATAAATTTCACGTTTAAATTTATGAAATAAGTCATCGGTTAAAAAAACTTATTGAATAAGAGCTCAATTAAACTGTATATCTAAACACACCTGAGTCATAAATCTCAAAAAACTTTCAGGAGACATGAAATATGATTTTATTAGTGTCTTACATGAATCAATCCTAGGTGATATGATTGGAACAATTTTTGTAAATTTATCATATAAATAAGAGGGTACTCACAATTGTAATCGCCCCATCCAATGACCATATTTTCAAGATCATACATAACTAATTTGTTTGACAGCACCAAATCTGCAATTGGAAATAATTCAAAGTTAATGAATGATAATCATCCAACATAAGTAGCACTAATTTCTAAAATAAATAGAAGTTTTAAACTACCATAAGCCAGGTCATATGGATATTTAATTCATCATATTTAGCATACAGAGCAGTAAAGGTACAAACATAACTATATCAAAGTTTTTAACTCAAATAAAAAGCTAATATATAACAGAAACAGACTCTACAGCTAACAGAAAATTCAAGTTCTTAAACTTTACATGTCAAAAACAGTTAAGGGAACTAAATAAAATGAACCTTTAATAAAATTATACCATGAAATGAGTCAATCGAGTAAATTATAAGTGAAGTTTAATTCTAAACTTTACCTCCAAGAAGAATTAAGTCCTTTCCATCCTTAGTTTCTGACATACTTTTTTGCCAGCCAATACATTGCATGTCATCCTGGAGGACAATGAAGACAATAATATCAAGAAATAGAACTATTGATTTCATATTAAAATAAACTTGTATATTTTTTTAATGTTTGAGCATCTAGCAGCCACAAAGCTTCTCAAATCAGTAGCAAGGTACATATACAATGAATAATCAAGTTTGCACTCACATCGAACTTGAACAGGTATTCGTGAGGATAAGCTTTTAGAGTAAGCCCCTCCTCAAAGAAAAACTTGACAACTGGAAATGCATCATCAACACTGCAAAATTAATGGTCAACTAGTTAAGAACTGCACATGCCAGACAATAAAAGTGAACTCACTGCCTTCTTTAACTGATGAAACTTATTTCAACAAAATAATGCATTTTATATATCCCAATATCATTTGAATCGTTTGTGCCCAATTACTATTTCTGTATTCATAGGACTATCTTATTTTGAACAAATAATGTCTTCTGATATAATGTTGTACATGTGGCAGGAAAAGTTTTTATATACTTCTAGTCAAGTTGAACAATCATTTTTGAGACTATTTGTTGATAACCATGCAACCCACTCAACAGCTACATTCCTAAACAAAGAAAAAGGACAAAGTAATAGAAAAACAAAAACCCAAACAAAAAATAAAAAAGGACCAAGAAAGGGCATCTCAAAGTATTATTTTAAGATAAAGGCCTGCAATGCTCCTTGTCTATTAAAATAATCCATATAATGCTACCAGATTCGTTTACTTCAACAAGGATCTAGTCAGTAATTTCAAAGTCAACATATTGTTTATGTCAAAGCTCTGTCACTGCTCAAGTTCAAATACAAAAACACATCTGCATTTTGTCACAATCATTTTACCGCTTGCATACTCCAGAATATTTTATTACTAATATTATCAAAGCAGTGCTAGATATTTTTTAATATAAATTTAAATAACAAATCGGCATTGCCATATCATATGGACTAAAAACCAAGAAAATAAACCATAGTATCTAACATAAATTTAGTAAAACAGTGTATATGTCCACTAAACAACAATGACAAATCAAATAGAAAGAGCATAACAACTTAATATTGGAAAATGATACTTATTTCAAAAGAGAAACACAAAATTTCCTCTTAATAAGAAGTAAAATGAAGTCACAGAGATAAGTATCGTACTTTTTGGAATAATGGAAACAAGTAAATTGATCCTCAATAAGATATAATTTCAGGTCAGACTGCTGAGCCAAAATCTATAAAAAAGAAAATCATGAGAATTCAAGTGGTAAAAATCGATTTACACAGCCATAAAAATACACTTACCTTCTCCACTAGCTGGTCATAAACCGAGGCTGGAAGATAAGCCAAGGTTGTACCACTATCTATTATTGTTCCCCTCCCACTTGAAGAATCAAATATATCTAACGGGAGCTGTATAGAGTCCCCACCAACCTCCATGTCCTTCAGAATCACATTGTAGTGTGCCCTAAAATTGTCAGTATACTACAGTTATGACATAATTCTATCGCAAAATCTAAACTTGATATAAAACACATTAGAAGAATCTGATAGATCATCTACAAGAGAATATGCCAGAGAGCTTACAATGAAAGTTTTTATTGCTTATATCAGAGATTGCAGAATGAATCTACCTTCATAGAAGATGAAGGCCTCAAGAAAAAAAGATGCAAAAGGAAACCTTTATTCAGTTGTCTATGGAATCCATTGGCCATTCAGGTGGACCACAGAAAACAAAAAGGACTCATCATGCATGCAATGTTAAATACTAGAGATAGAAAGAGAGCTGACATTACATATCTACACTTTCTTGCAGTAACCACAAAGAAATACAATAATCTTAAATAACTCCAACAAGACCTTAAACAGGAGAAAGAAAAATCAGAACCTGAAAAGGCAGATTGCTTGACACATCTACAATAATGTGATTGATGTGAAGCAACATATTGGGCGGCAAATGAAAATCCATTACAGATGATTTGTTTAAATGTTTAATTCCAACTATATATTTCACATTTACATTATTTTCATCATCTGATAAATTTTATACCATAATCATAAGGCCTTTGCTAAATTTGACTAAATAATAAAGAAGTCCTAAGTTAATACAAGTTTTCTGGAAAATTGCATTCAAGAAAACGTAATATATTTGCTTCTCCTGAAGTTAAATGGCAGTAGCATTATCATTAAATAGATACCACAGTGACATATCAAATTACTGTGATCAAACAACATAACAAATCAAATGCAGTTACAACAAATAATAAGGCCTGGGAACAAAAAGCTAAGATGATTATGCACATACATTCTTGGTACCAATGAAGTTGTATTAAGTTTTGGCTGCACCACTTCCCCTATGGCAAATATTCCTCCTCCTTTAATATTGTCAAGGCAGTGTGAAAATACTTTTTTCATCTTTTGAGTTGAAGCAAGCTGTGAAAGCACAGAAGAATGCGCTTGTCCAAAACCCATTATTCCATCAAGGGATTCATCAGAAGATGAACTCAAAGTCCCAGATTGTTTATTACCACACCTATCAACAAGTGAATAATCAGGAAGACATAAACTCCAAAAAAAAAATAATAATGACCATTTTCTTTATGGCTTTACCAACCTAGGAAGCTATATAGTTGCAAGCATAAACAAAAATGCACACTGAAACTCCCAACACCCCCCCCCCCCCAAAAAAAAAAAAAAAAGGGAAGCCCGGTGCTATAAACCACATGTTATGCACAGGATCCAGGGAAGGGTAACTGTGACCTTTGGGTCACGTGGCAACGACTCCCCAAGAAAAATCTAGTAGAAGCAGACAAATGATTATTACAGAAATTATCCACATAAACAAAGCAGTTAACTGTGGTTTACAAGAAGAATTCTCTCAGGACAAGCAAAAATAAGAACATATTAAATTCAGCAACATTGACAGAAGATCCTAATCCTATTGAGGCGTGCAATATTTGACTAAAATGCGCCAATGAGCTTGTAGCTCTATGGGCATTGACCCCAGTCTTTAAGGAATGCAATAAAATCAAAGGTTCAATCATTGGTCAAGTCATTCATCTACGTCCCCTGCTCAACTGTGTGCATTTGTGCCTGATGTGAAGTATTATAAATTACACTCACCCAAAAATCACACTACCATTGTCCGGTGTAGTCTGGAGATTACCATTGACTTTGTCAAATGTAATTAAATCCTTAACATAGGACCCAGTGGTCATACTTCCATCTCCATAAGTGATGCTGTAGGGGCAGGACATGTCTTGCTTGCAGCCAGAAACTGGACCATCATACATGGAAGTGCAAAATTCATCGTCACAAGGAACCACATTTGAAGTTTTGGATTGGCTTGGATCATAGAGGGTCAAGTCCATCTGCAACATAACAATAATATTACAAAACCTACATTGGTAAGTGGTGAAGCAATATAAATTTTAGTATATAAAGCATGCCTCAGATGTCATATACATAGGGACTATTCCAATACTCTTTTTTTCCCTAATTCATCATAGATTTATTGGTTGCAAGGTTATAATTTATGGACATCAAACATTAATTATGAAAATCAGCAAAAATCAATACTCATCAAGGTACCATAGCAACTCTCAATATACTTAAATGGCATGAATGTTGAAGCAGTAAATTAACTAGACACATACCCCAAGACCACTTTTCTTGGGACATGCAGTACAGCCAGCACAATTCACCCACAGAATGTCACTTCCTGTATCAACTTGCACATAGTAATCCTTTGGAGGAGAGCCAAGCCCAATTTTGGTATAGTACAGCCTGAATAAAGGAAACAAATAACACCAAACACCCACATGGAAAAAGTTGACTATTTTCTCTTCTTCAAACCATTCATGACAGAAAAAAAAATATGCAAACCATGGTAACACCTATTAATTATAACAACAATTCCATGCAATCAAAAACAAATAAAATGAGAAGAGAAGAACAAGAAGGAAGCAAACCCAGTTGAAGAAGCTAGGCCATTGCCACCAAGAGGGACATCAACAGCAGAGAGGAATCTACCATGGCGACGAGTATCATGAGCTTTGATTTCACGAAGGCTTTGATTGGGACCCTTGAATTTGCGCTCAACATGGAGGACCAAATTGGCATTGGCGAAGCAACAGAATTGCACAACAAACAACCCCACATGAAAAAGCACCAATCTTTCTCTGAGATCCATTAAGGGTAGCTAACTTCTAAGCAAAGCAACAATGAACAACAGAGAAACAAATCGAAAGAAGCGAATTAGCTTCGAACCATTGCCGACCCAAAGAGAAAAAAGGGTCGGTGAATGAATGAAAGAAGAGGGAGAGGGAAACAAAAAAACAAACAAGTGCTATAGAAATGGAAGCCACTTTGTTAAAAACAGACATATGAAAGAGAAAGAGAGAGAGAGAGAGAACTTCGCGGCTTCAACGGTAAACGACACGTCTAGTACAATGTATTTAGAAACATGAAAACTAAAAATCGCTTAACCGTAAACCACATTGTTGTTGTTGTCGTAGATTATCTAAAATGTCTCTCTCTCATTCTTTTATTTCAGTTTTTTGGTCCTTTGCTTGGTGGAGTTTGTTTGTTCCTTTCGTTTCAATGTTATGTCATATTTGCTTCTTAACTTTCCTTGTTTTCTGCTTTGGAATTGCGATGCGCATGGCATCATCTCGTTATCCAAATTTCCACTTTACTTACTTTTTCTTACAAATAGCCAGACACACGCCATTGCCTCCACTTAGCCACATATGCACCCCATTTTTGGCAACTAAGATATTCACTTACACGCACCTTTTTAGCTCACATTCCATTGCCACCCTATTCTTTTTTATACAAAAAGGCATATTTAATAAATTCAAAATTATAAAATTATAATAAATATTTATTTTTGATAATTTTTTATTATTACAATTCTTTAAATACATATTTCATGATTTTAATGTATAAATAATAAGTTTTTATTAAAAAAATTAAGATATTATAAGTTTAATGTATTAATGACATTAAATGTTATAATTTTTAATAAAAATAAATTATTAAAATGTTTAAGAGCACCGTTAAAAAAAATTTAAAAATTATTAAAATTTGTAACATTTAATGTTATTGATATATTAAATTTTGTAATATTATATTTTTTTAATATTAAAATATTATATAATATTTTTAGGACATATTAAAAAATATTAATAAAAAATATATTACATATTATTTTTAACATATATCTTTAATCATATGTTTAAATTAATTATTATTATTGTTATTATATCTGCATTATTTATTTTCCTATTATAATCAGATTTGGTCTCGTAGAAATTATTTATCTGATGAGTGGAAGGTACACAACTTTCATAAGTCAAAGTTTCAATTATAAGAAAAATCATAGTTGACTTTTTTTTAACACATAAAAAATTACTAACTTACCGATTTCGGACGAAATTTGGCTTATCTAATAGAAATGTGCACAACATATTTATAATTATTAATTAAATTTTATTAAAAATTATACAAATTTTATTTTTTTACTTTTTATTTAATTATATTTTTATAAATTTTAATTAATAACTACAAATATATTAAAAATGTGTTAAAAATATATTTTTAACACTCTTTAATAAAAATACTTCTTTTAAATTAATTTCTGTTTAAAATTTTACACTTTTAAATTAAATTAAAGTAATAATTACCTGTATTTTCTAATGTGTTTTAAATTTAAAAATATATTTTATACTCTTTGTTAATTGATAATTACAATTGTTCTAGTATCTTAAAAATTAAATAATATTTATATCTTTTTATGACTAATTATTAACTCTCACTATTTATTATACATATTTAATATAATATTAACATTAACAATGATAATTATTTTTTCTGTAAAATGACATAAAATGTATTTTTAATTTTTAAGATACTATAGAATTATCTTATTAAATTATATAATTTATAAATGAAACATAATTAAATACTTTTAAGTTAAATTAAAATATATTTTATAAAAGAATAGATAATAAAAAATCAATAAATTGTAATTTTTTACGTAAAATTATAATATTTAATAATATTAATGTATTGAATTATATAAAATTATATAAAGTTTAATAAAAATAACACTATATATGAACTTTTATTTATGTGTTATTTTGCATATAGTGAAAACATATTTAAGATTAAAAGTTTATAATTAAAAGTTTATATGAACTACTTATTATTTATAATTTCCAAAAAATTAAATTAAAAGTTTATAATTAAAACTTATTTTACTATTTTAAGAATAATTTTTTATATACTTTACTGATAAAATATTTACTTTAAATTTTTTAAAATAAAAAATTCCTTACTTACATTTAATAACCAGAATTATTTTATATAATCTAATGGTAAACATTTACTTCAATATTCTTTAAATTACATTCCTTTTCTTACTTCTAAGAATTTAAAGTAAATATTAAATTCACATAAAGAACTTCTTATTGATTATTATTTCTAAGAAATTAAATTATAATTTATCATTAAAACTTATTTAATTGTTTTAAGGATATTTTTTACATAATTTACAGATAAATTTTGAAAATAATAATTAATAAAAGATTATTTATGTACATTTTATAATCATTATTATTTTATATAATTTAATGATAAAAACTTACTTTAATATTCTTCCAGTACATTTTTTTTCTCAATTCTAAGAATTTAAAGCAAATATAATGTACATATAGAACTTCTTATCATTTAAAATTTCTAAGAAATTGAATTAAAATTTTATCATTAAATTACATAAAAATAATCTTAAGATGAAAGTTAAATTTATCATATAACTTTATTTAAACACTATTTCATGTTAAACATTTCTTATTTTAGCTGTTAAATTTATTCATTGTTAACACTTATAAATTTAATTAATATTTTCATTATTTATACTGAATGTTATTAATTATTTAATATTTTTTGCACAATACAATATTTTAAAATATTTTTAAAACGATAAGCTAAATTTTTTATACATTATTTATATTCAAACTCTGTAAAATAAAATTTTTTTGTCATTTAAAATAATAAAAAAACTAATGTGTGTCTAAAATACACAGTAAGAATTTTATATAATAAATTTTAATTTCTTTATCTTCAAATTTTTTAAAAGTTAATTTTAAACATTTAAAGATAATATTTTTTTTAAAAAATAACATTTATTATTATTTATATTTTTCATAAATTAAATGTATTATTCTCAATCCACAAGAATGAAGTTAATTTTTTTAAGAGTTTATTATTAAAATACATAAAATAATATAGAATTCAATGTATATTTTTTCTCTACGTTCTATCATCTCAGTTTAATTATACTTACTTTAATTTAATACAAAAAAGTTAATATAATTTATATTTTTTTTCTTTCTATATTATCATATCATAATATTTTTATATTAAAACTAAGATAATTATTTAATAATTAAAAAAATAGAAACAAGTAATTAATAATATATAAATCATCAATTTAGAGGTCGGAAGTGAATTCAAATATTAAGTGTTTGTTCTCGTTTTCCTTTTTTTCTCCCTCCTTTTCACTTCACTCAACTCTTCTCTCTTTCTCCTTTCCCATCTTTTTCTCTTTCATTTCCACCCAGCCTCCCTCCTTATTCAGTCCTCCTCCTCTCTCCTTCAACCTTACTCATCTCCCTCCTCTACTCTTCTCATCCAGCGCTTCTCCTCTCTTCTTCTTAGCCCCATCTCACTCTTCTTCATCCTTTTTCTCCTTTTTGCTCTTGCCCCTCATCGCTCTCTCATTCTCTTTTTCTCTCTTAGTTCTTTTTCTCTTGGTTTCTTTTGCCACTTTTTTTAGTTTAAACAAATTTTTTTTTTATTTAAACAAAAATTAACTTTTTGTATATTTCGCTTAAATAAATTTTAAATTAAAATTTATTTAAACAAAAATACATTATAGATTACAATTCCTGCCAAAATTACAGAAAATCTAGATTCTTGTAAGTGAGAGTACAAAAACTCTACTGTTCAAATCCAATTGAGTTTTTATAAAATTTTAAATTAAGATGAAATTAACAATGATAAAGATAGAATTAAATAATTATTTAAGAAGTTTTCTCTCATTTTTTATCTTTGTAAATATTATCATATATTGTAGTAAAATTAGTGAATCTCGTGTAACCTTTTAGTTATTGTTAAATTTTTTATGATGCTAGTTCTAACTTGTATAAATATTACAGTGTAATACATTTCAGGAATAGAATAAAAATACTATTCTTTTCATTTTGTTAAGATGGTACAAAGAACTATAAAATATAGCCATTCATTTATGCAAATTTAGTCTCAGTTCCACTTCTCTTGTAAACACTATTTCTCCTTCGGAACAAAGTATTCTAATAGAGAATGTTTCCATAACACATGCAATGCATCGTATTACTTTTTATCTCAAAAGTCTCAGTCAACTAAAAACAAATTCTTGTAATATTCGTTACTTTACCATATGGCTCTCAAATTTTTGCTACTATTTCAAGAATCATTTATTTGTCAAACTCCTTAATCCTATATGATGTTCTAAACTTTCATGTCAATTTGATCTTTGTTACAAAATTGCTCAATTCATTATAATGTCACTGGACTTTAAATGCTAAATCACGTGTCATTTTGCATAATTCTATCAAGATGATGATTAGTTCAACTAAATTGGTGAGTGGATTGTATATGATGGATCTTCCAAATACAAAGAATAATAATAATAATCTACCAATTTATGTTTGTCATACTACTTAGAGAGGTAATAATACTTGTTCCACTTGAAATTTTGGATTAGGACAAATATCAAAGTAAAAATTCTTTCTACATACACCATTTTCTTTCCTTTTTTAAAACTAACTCTCCATGTAATGTATGTCATATAGTAAGTAGAGAAAATTGTCACATTATAATAGTACTACACATTCAAATAAAATGTTTGACATGTTACATGTTGATATTTAAGGTCTTCATGCTACATTGTACTTATTTAGACATAAATATTTTCTTACTTTAGTCGATGACTTTACTCACTTTACTTAAGTTATTTTAATGAAAAACTAATATAATAACGCCTAAGAATAGTTTACAGCAACAAATATATTATAACAGGCTCACTAATTTTACTATTAATAAATACCAGCAAATAAAAATGCTTTTGCAAGAATAATAAAACTAATTTCTTATGAACGGTTTCTTTTTTTCAAAAAAATGATACATAAAAAAACTTATGTTAAAACTCTTCAATAAAATGGCATTGTTAAAAGAAAACATTAACATATATTTAATATTTATGTTAACATGTTAATTATGACTGTTGTTGTTAGTTGTTAACTTTTTCATGTTGTTAATTATAAGTTTTTGTATAAATACTGTAATGTAAATATTTTATTTTATTAAGAATAGACTTGATGAATGATATTTTGAAGTCTATAAGAAAATTATTCAATTAGTTACACAAATATTTTGAATATTAATAATTTTTAAACATAATTTATAATATTTACTAGGAGATTTAAAAATTTGAGCAACGTTCGTTAATAAATCTTAGTCGATGATAATAAACATGTTAAAACATGTGTTAATTATATTTTTAAATATAAAATCACAAAAAAATAAAGTTAGTTAAGATTTAAAATTAATATAACCAAATATGTTACATGTCTTATAAGATATAAATGTAAAAATCAACACCAAATATCACCCAATAAAGCAAAAATGGATAGCTATATTATGTTGTTTAGTGTATATATATAGTTAGTAAAACATTTAAAAACGAAACACACGAAAGTTAAGAGAAGGACAAGTCATTTATAATACCTTGTTCATTATGCCAGTCTCTGAGTCCTTATTTGGCGTACAAAATATTTTGGTCGAGTTAAAATTTTTTTAAAAATGGTATAAACAGCCAATAAACTCTTAATTTTACTTATTTTCAGATTTCATTGATTACTGGCTGCTTTAGTTTTACTGATTTAAAATTTAATTACTCCTCTATAATAAATTTATTTTACTAATATATGTTAGTTTCCTAAAATATGATTTATTTAGTAATTTTAAATTATACTCTTATAAATCTAAAAAATTTTATACTTAATTTTATAATTTATTATTTTAATAATTAATAGATATAAATTAAATAAAAGTTTTTAAACATAACTATTTAAGAAGATTGTTTTGTATATATGTACGAAATCGTGTATATTGGACAGTTCCACGAAGGGAACAAGAGAGATTAGATATTTTTCTTGGGGATCAAAGATCTTGTGAACATTTATGTGGAGAAGGAGAGGCTACAAACGCAAAGCACGAAGGTATTTTTGTTTTTCTTGACAACCAAAAATCAGAGAAGGACAGTTTGGTAATAACGCAACCCAAACTAAGCGATCTCATGAGTTCCAGCATCACTTTCACTCTCTTCAACGTGGCTACTTCATTGAATTTACCAAGTTCACCCTCATTTTGGGATAGCAACAATAGCATACACAAATCACAAGGGCAACCATGTCTTTTCACAATGCGCTTCCGCCTTCAACAACATCCACCACCATATCTAAGTTTAGTTCTAACCCTTTGGGCATTGGAGATTGGAATCCTCCTCGACAAGTATCAATGGCTCTAAATCTCTGTATCTCCCCTAAGTGTAAATGGGTTGGTTCACTTTCCATAGATAATACTTGTTCTTCAAGATTACAACTTGGTTCTTCTTTTGTTTCGGGTTCTAAGAATGGGAACATGAACATTCCTAGTATGAGTCTTAGTTTTAGTACTGCTAGAGCTTTGAGTTTGAGGAGGAGTGCAAGTGTTACTGTAAGATCCAGCTTGGACACAGCGGGGCCCACAGTAACCGTGGGACAGGTCACTGAGGTTAACAAAGACACCTTCTGGCCGATTGTTAAGGCTGCTGGAGATAAAACAGTTGTCCTTGATATGTACACTCAATGGTATGTATAATTAGATGATCTTATAATATATGATGTTATGTTGTTATAATTATGTGCTTTTTCTTTTTATAATAATGTTGTTGTATGATGGTTTAGAATGAGGAAAAAGAATCATGCTTTACTTTGTTTAGTACAGCTACCTATGTTGTACTGTTTCTTAGCTGTGAGATTCCTTTAGTGACTGTGTTAACTTTATGCTGATTTTGTCTAGATTCAAGACCAATATTGATTTTGATGATCAATTAATTGGGTCTTCTCCTGCTTTAGATGATAGAGAGGGAAAAAAAAAGAGAAATGAAAATCACTTGCTTAGTACAAAGGGCTAAATATGGAATGGCATTCACTTAGAGAGTCATCTGTAGCATGAAAGTGGGTTGAAATGGGTGAAAAATTTTGTTGTTTGATCCCACTCCGTTTTCATTCCTCTCCTGATTTCTTACTTTCCCATGTTCTGGTTAATGAAAGAAGCATAGCTTAGTTTCGCTGATAATCTTTTGATCTATACAACTTAGAATTGGTTACACAAACAGATATCACACACAAAAGTATATATAATTTATAGAATCTATATCGTTTTGCAGTTTCCACTAGTGTATTGTGACGTGATTATTTGTTTATATAATTTTTGTTGAAATTTTTTTTGGTTTATAAATCCTCTGTCTTGTCTGGTTTTAAATTCATTTCCTGCTTTCAGAAATATGTATAGGCAAGCAAATTTGACCAGCACCACAGATAATCAATTGTATTCCCTCAATATATCACTGATCAATATCACAGTGTAGTCTGTACCTAAGTGGGGAAGGTTCAAGGCGAATCACTTCAAAGGTTTAAACAATTTTGTAGCTTATTGTACATGTGTATCCATTTTATCACAATCTTAATAGTTGATTTTCCAATCAGTAATTATAGCTTCTCACTTTTACCAATAAGGTGACCTCTTATTTTACTTTGGACCGGCCAAATTTGGGTAAAAGATGAGGAATTTTGCTGGTTAACTATATTAGGCAAGGAACTTGATTAATGATAAAGTGGGAATAAAGTGCCGAGTGACAAAAGTACTTACATGATAGTGCTGAACATTTGTGTGTGGGTCAAATGTTAAAATGGATATTTATTGTTTGATGCTTTCCAGTTTGACTTTGGTGGAAAGCTTATAAGTTGGCCTTTGGCATACAATTAAGTGCCATAATTTGCCACAATTATGTGCTTAGCGAAGGCCAAGTCATTATGTACACTTGTGATGGAGTTGTATTATTGCTTGGTATGTGAAGCAAATTATTCCAAATCAGGTCAGTTGTATATATAGTTATTAACAACTAGCTTTACCTGTTTTAGCTTGCTTAAGAATACATTTTTGTTTTTGTTTTTTGGGCCATGTGTGCTAGAGTGGATTATACATAAAGTTTTATGGAGATGTCATGTGACCTAGATAATGATCAGCTGATCAATTCATTAGTTAATGAAAAGGAATCCAAGCAAGGTTCTTTAGTAATCATAAATTGTTTGTGTTTCAAACAAAACAGAGCTAGTACCAAAGGTTAATTGATTTTGGTCATTCTTTGGTATAGTTATTCTAGAATGTACGATTCATTATGACATTTTTATCCCTGATGCTTAATTCTATCTGAATATTTGGATAATCTGTGATATGAATTCATGAATTTTTGCAGGTGTGGTCCTTGCAAAGTAATGGCTCCAAAGTTTCAAGAATTATCTGAAAAGTATCTGGATGTTGTGTTTCTAAAGCTTGATTGCAACCAAGACAACAAGGTATGGATATTATGTGCTAGATAGTAGCTAGTCTATTTTATTTATTTATGAACATCTTTGATTAAGCCCGGTTATACTATACTTAGTTTGACATGGTATTGATTTGTATAATCAATTCATTTCTGACAGCCCTTGGCAAAAGAGCTGGGAATTAAAGTGGTTCCCACTTTTAAAATTCTGAAGGACAACAAGGTTGTAAAAGAAGTTACTGGTGCTAAATATGATGATTTGGTGGTTGCCATAGACACTGTTCGATCTAGCTAAAGAATATAACTGTTCTCTTTCTATGTAAAAATATTATGCTTGACACCCTTTGTAAGTATTTCATGCAATTGTAAGCTGATGATGTTTGGAAGATGAAGAAATGTCATCACGTGATTGTAGTAAACCGTAATTGACTTTTCCCTAAGCCAGGAAGAGTTTCTCAAAATTATTTTTGTTATCAAATTCATCATGCGGGATCTATTATGGCTGATTTTTTTAACAAGAAAATAAAATAAAATTGGATGAGATAAATGTGGATGTTAAATCAGTGATGCCAAGGCATATCTAATCCAGATTTGTTGTATTTTTCTAATATTGTTTTAAAATTTAACATTTTATGAAGTGATTATTAAATAAAATATATATAGGCAATTTTATTTTAAAAATCTAGAATAAATTTGATAGTTTCTTTATTTAACAAGTAGAATGATCTGTAAGCATCAAGTTAAGAATTATAATTATTCACGTCTAATCTATTGAGGAATCTCAACATGCTAATATAATTATCTAAACTTAATAATGCCAATCATATGAAAACCTAAGCAACACTGTCTGAATATAATATATAGTTTAGAAAAATGTTATTAACAGTCTTTGATATGGTTTTTACAATTGATTGACTTTTTAAAAAGTGATCAAAATTTAAAGTAAGTATTTTAAGTTTTATAATATAAAATAATCACAAAAAGTGTATTAAAAATATGTGATCAATATTTTTGTTATACTTTATGGTGGATAAGTCATAATTTCATTTTATTCCTTTAATCTTGTATTCTTATTCACACTCTTGAATTTATTATTAAAATTATGAATAGAATAATCTTAAATAACTTCGTATTTATTATATAATTTTTTAATTATAATTTATTGTTAAATAAATAAATTTTTATTCTTTAATAAAAATTATATGATTTTATATAAGAAATAAAAAAAAAATAGATTTCATAGTCTTTTTTGAACCTAGAGTGAGTTAGACTAAAGTTGATTTAATAATTAAAAAATTTAATCTTACTAGGTTTAATAAAGTTGATGTTGTTTTTTTTTTAAGATATTTGATGTATTTAGAATATTAAAAAGGTTAAGGTTGATATTTAGAAAAAAAAAATCAAGTTTGTCAGTCACCTTAACATTAACAATCAGGGGGATAAAGATTGAATTCTCTCTTCTATATATGTCAATCACCAAAAGAAATATAGATCTTAATGTTGGAATAAACTTATAGAGTTTAACTCTACCATTGATTCTCCTTGATGTTAAGTTGGGGACTTTAATTCTATTTTATATGATAAAGAGAAATTTGGGAACAGATAATTCAATTAGAAAATTTGCAGAATGCCTTGATAAATGTGGGCTTAGTGATATGGGTTTCAAAAAGGATCCCTTCACTTGACATAGAGGCCAATTAAAAGAAAGATTAGATAGGGTTGTGAATAATGATGATTGGTGTCTCTTATTCTACAACACTACTATTATTAATATTTATATCTTAAAATATGATCATGCTGGCCTTTGGTTAAAAATTAGAAGTGATAATAAAAATTCTAATAACCCTATGTCTTTTAAATTTATTGTCCCTTGGTTATCTCAGTGATTTTCCAAATTATGTTAGGAATTCTTAGATTAGCTCCCGTTCTTAGACTGAGAATGTGACTAGATTTAGATCTAATATTTCTTATTAGAATGAAAATGTGTTTGGTAATATTTTTAATAAGAAGAAACATATATTTGACATGATTGAGGGTATTACCATAAAGTTAGGAACAACCCTTATCTCTTTAATCTTAGGCTTTCTCTTTGGAAAGAATACCAATCAATATTTGATGCTGACTAGGAAGAGTGTCATTAGTATCATCAATATAAAGTTAATTGGATTAATCTTGAAAAAAAGAACACTAATTTCTTTCATAGAGTTGCTTTAAATCGTATACATAGAAACTTAATTGAAGATTTAAAAGATAATAATAATAAATGAGAATATGATCCCTTAATTCTAGAAAATATAGTTGTTCAATATTTTTAAGATTTTTATTATGATCCAAATTCTTCTAACTTTGCTCTTTATAACTTCTCTTCCTTTTTCTCACTTAGAGATATTGATAAGGAGAGAATTCATGTTGGTCTCACAATCAGTAAGGTTAATTTAGCCTTATTTAGTATAGAGAACTTTAAATCTTCTTACCTATATTTTCTCTGGGCCTAGGTTGAATTTTGGAGGATAGTTTAACCATTAAATTCTAGACTGATAAATGGATACTCCATTACCATTCTCTATTTAATTACTCTACTGTTCTTATTTCTGAATCTAATTTAGACACTTCTATGGCCCTTTTCTCTAATAAAGGGCCTGGCAGTGGAACAAGTTTAGTTCTTTACTACCTATTCAGCTATATAATTTAATTAGTAATATAATTATATATACCCTTCTTTGTAATGCCCCGAATTTTAGTAATATTGATTATTGTATATATATGTGTATATTTAAATATATGTTGTAGATGTATGTATGTGTGTGTATGCATAACTGGACTGGACTAAAAAGAATAGGCTAAGTATTTGGTGCAGAGAGTGGATTCTCACTGTAGCAAGAGGGCGCTGGGAGAAAAGGGCGAAATTGTCGCCTTCTCGCTGTAGTAAGAGATGTCTCGCTATAGCGAGAGAGCGATAGAGAAGACTGCATTTCTGAGTTCAATCTCACTGTAGCGAGATTCTGCAGAAATCAGGTGCAATTTCTTCTGAGATTTTCGCTGTGGCGACAGAGGGCGTCGCTGCAGCGAGAGTTATCGCTGTAGCGAGAGTGTCGCAATCAGAAGGGTTTTAAAAAGGGAGTTTAGGGATTTGAGATTCATTTCTCAAATTTTCTCTCAAATCTCTTCGATCCTCTCGACCCGAAGCCCTATTCCACCGATTAATTGCCTCCAAAGCCGTTCGAGAGCTTGATTGAAGGTTGAATCCATATGGGGAATGCTTGGAGGTGAGTTAATGGCTCAGAAACCAGAAAAGAGAAGTGACCAAGTAGTGTTTAGAACTCTTAAATAGGAAAAGAGAGCACTAGAGCTTGAAACTCTTAATAGAGGATGATAATTTGCTTATGCAACTTGATGCCAAAATGAGGAGTACAATGGGGTATTTATAGTATTACAAGGATACTTCTAGAACATAGATTATTTTATAATAGATATTAAATAGGATAGTTCTAGACTAGAGATGTTTCTAGAGAAAGGATAAATCTAGTGTAAAGATATTTCTAGACTATAGATATTTTTAGATATTTCTAGATAGTGTAATTATAGATTATCCTAAATATAGGTTGGACCAGTTTTAATTGTTAGGATTCCGTTTCTCATCCCCTTTTCTCTGTTTCTGGGTTTCCTTGGATTCTCATGGAGTCTTTCCATGTGTTTTAGGCTAAAAATCGTGTGAGAAGCACTTCCGAGGTTGAATCCAAGTGCGGGTCTTCAATCCAAGGTAAGGAGGAACTCTACTCTATCTCAAATGTATGTGATTGTTGTTTATCTGTGGAATATAGTGATGTGATTGAGTAATAGGGTAGGAAATTGTTGTGAAAAATGTAAGCCCGAGGGCCATGTAATATGAATGGATAATTGTAGGCTATGTGCCGTGATCTGTGAAATGAAATGTGGGTCTAGTGCTGTATATTATGAATGAAATGTGGGCTATGTGCCGTGTGAAACATGAATATTGCATGTGTGACTGGAGCGTATTAGCGTCGTTGTAATGTACTGTGAATGGTTCAGCAATACACTGGGGGTGTGGAAGATGAGGACGGTAGAAATACCTTGGGGAAGAAGGAGTGGTGGTGACACCGACTGCAGAACGAGTGCACCACGGGCCACACACTCTTTTCTTGACTAGACCTCTAACTACTATCTTTGTTGAGCGACTCGTGATTGCCCACGTGGTATCTATGAGGCGGGGATAATCAGCGACCATTCATGGTGTAAATATGTGATCACAGTGCTGGCGTGCGTATGCACGAGTTTATGAATTGTACTTATGGATGTGAAATGTTGCCGATGCCGTGAGTGCATCGGTGTTAAATTGACATAAGTTATGTGATAATGCTGTCTGTGATTGTATTTATTTAATGTATTAGAAATGTGCTGGAGGTGAGACTCTATGTTGACTGTGTGTTTTTGGGTAGTGTAGAGTACTTACCCTTACATTTATTTTTCAGGTAATCAAGATGATTAGCACCAAACTCAGTGAAGGGGTGGATGGAACTGTTATAGGACTTAAGATATTATTTCAAAAAACTGTTATATTTGAATAAGTCTTGTAGCAATTGTTTGATGTAATTTGTAATCTTCTTTTTTTATTTGAAATGATTGATGAAACTTGGATTGAAAATGAAAATTTTATTATTTCAAAAATTTACAAAATTTCCTATTTATTGAAACTAAATTTAAGATGTTACATTCTTCTAGTTCTAAGGTTATGATCTATTTTTCTAGAACATAGCTAATAATGGTAATTTTTCTCTCAAATCTACTTTTTTCTTGAAAGATATTAGAATTCTTTTGAAATAAATTAAAATTTTTAAAACTTAACTTTAATCATATTTGTGAAAAAATTAATCATTGTGTTGACTTGTTAAGTCCAGTGTTAATGATTATATTCTTTTGATTTGTTTTGATAATTTTCCTTCCTTTTAGTATTCCTTTTTCTGTTTAGATATCTGTACCATTTGGTCATTTAGATGTAAGTCTCAGTGCTTTATTGTTTTGTCTTTAGCCCCTCTTATTATATATATATCGGCATCGTGGCATCACCTAGATGGAATTCAAAACGTGGACTCTCAATCGGAATACAAGACTTATCTCCATTTACGAATACACGTCACGTTTATGCAAATTATCACAAGCATACACCATTCCTCATTCTATCATTCATACATAAAGCGTGTGATCGGTAAACTTTTTTATAAAAGTTGTGAGGTTCTAACTGTAAATGTAATTAAAATAATTTGTTAAGGTGTGTAATTAGTTAGTTTATATTAAATAATTTAAAAGAGTATATAATATTATATTAATGTAGTATTAAAATTAATTGTTATTTATTTTTTTATACAATTAATTAATTATATAAAAAATAAAATTTCTCTTTAAATTATGTATTTTTTAATATAAAATATATTTAGATAAGAAGGATAAGAAAATAGATAAAAAAAAATAAACACATAAGAATGTTATAAACATGAAGTAAATAAAAGATAATAAAGATATTGATAACTAAAGATTTATTAAGCATATTTAAAAGACCCACCTCTATCGTTAGCGAAACAGAACATAAAAAACGAAAAGGCTGACAGAATTACCTGTAAAATCGTGAGTAGGGGAGAGTTGGGAATCTGAATGCAGAATCGAATGAGGGAACGCCACGTCAAGAGGGCTGATGCAGCGAGAAATGACAGAATTACCCCGATTTGCAACTTGCACTTGATAATGACAAAACAGAGAATGGCAATGGTTTGAAAACTAGACCGTTCCTTGGTGGGAAGAGTGGAAGCAGAGGTGGAAGTTGCTGATTTGATGCACAGATCAAAAGGAGTCAAATATATTGGGCGAGATCCAATATTAATTTATAAATGGGAGGAAGGGTTGTGAGAATTTAAATAAGGAAGAAAAGAGCGAAAAAAAGAGAGAAGAGAAAATGTGTGGGATATTTGCGTATCTGAATTACAACGTGCAGAGAGAGAGAAGTTACATCTTGCAGGTGCTCTTCAATGGCCTCAGAAGATTGGAATATCGCGGTTACGATTCCGCCGGAGTCGCCATCGACGATTCTTCTTCTCACCAATGCTCTTCCAATTGCAATTCCACTCCATCTCCTCCTCTCGTTTTTCGCCGAGAGGGAAACATCGAATCTCTCGTCAAATCCGTTTATCAAGGTCCAATTCATTCCTCTTTTTCTTTTCCCTTTTTGAACGTCGCATCGGTTTCGTATTAGGATTTCACTATACATGCTAATTTCGATTTAACGCGTTGTTTAATTTTTGGTTTTCAATTAATAGAAGTTGGAGAAACAGAACTGAACTTGGAGGAATGCTTTTGCACGCACGCTGGAATTGCGCACACTCGTTGGGCGACTCATGGAGAACCTGCTCCGAGGAACAGCCATCCACAGACGTCTGGTCCAGGAAACGAGTTCTTGGTTGTTCACAATGGAGTTATCACTAATTATGAGGTAACACTGTAACGCTGTGTTGCTTCTGTGAAGTTTCCTTTCGTTTTTATTGTTGTTGCTGTTGTTGTTGTTGTTATTATGTTGTTTATTTATTTATTATTTTTTGTTTGTGTGTTTTCAGGTTTTGAAGGAGACGCTGGTACGACATGGCTTTACCTTTGAATCTGAAACTGACACTGAAGTCATTCCCAAGCTTGCGAAGTATGTTTACGACAAAGCGAATGAGGCAGATGGTAATTTTTGTTGCTGAATCTGCGAAGTCATTTTTTTGGTTTTAAATTATTACATTAGGTTTATGAGGTTAAGGTGTGGATGAATATTGTTGGTTACTGGTGGTTATTTTACATGGAGCAAAAATAGAGTATGATCATTTTGTTGATTTGCATTGTGAAATCTTGTATAATTGGGAAGAGGAAGGAAAGAGGGCGGAGAGGGACAGAGTTTCTACCATTTTAATGCTGCAGGATTTAAATTTTTATGGATAAAAAAAGAGGTACTCGCCCATTTGATGGGATCAATTACATGGATCACTTAATGTCATTCAATTCTATCGTGTATTAGGTGACACTAGGATCCATGATGTTGTTTGGTTCTGTATGTGATAAACCCGCATGCATTGGAGTGTAAATTGATCTGCATTAAATCTGTTGGTGATTCCTCAATATTTGTATTCACACTGAATACAATTGTTATCAGACGTTTATTGTATATGATCTGCCTTTTTTACTTCTCTTAGAGATGTGTGTGTGAATGCCATTATGGGTGATGTTAGCTTGAAGTACTTTTCCAATCATGTTGCAGGTGATCAGGCTGTTACCTTTAGTCAAGTTGTTCTGGAAGTTATGAGGCATCTTGAAGGAGCCTATGCTCTTATTTTCAAAAGTCCACATTATCCTAATGAGTTGATTGCTTGTAAGCGTGGCAGCCCACTGCTGTTAGGTGTTAAAGTAAGTTGAATGCAATTTAATGATTAAGTTTCTTAAGACAGTGATCTATACAGAAACTGATCAGTGAGGGTCTTTCCTGACAATGATTAATATACTTTTTTCTCTTGACTTCGTTAGTGATGCTTCTATTCAGAGAGCTTAAATATCTCTCGAGGAATATGAAAGTCACTTCTCTTGGCACTTGAAAATGGGACACAGCGTATACTGTCTTCTGACTATTAAAAAGCTAGCTATCTAACTAGTATATGCTGTCAAACTCTCGTCTTAAAATGCATAGATTAGGCCTAAGCTTCAGTTTATGCTGCTTAGCTGATGCAGCCATAACAACGATGTTTTAAGATAACTTTCATTTTTACATGGCACAAACATTAGGATGGTTTTGGGTGGTCTGCAAACCTCCAAAGCTCCAACAAACCATTTGCATTAATCCTATCTTGCACTACAGTCCAAAGGAAAGATTCACTCCTAGGACTTCTAAAGGGGGCTAGCAAAAGGCAAGTTTTCTGCATCTAGAAATTTAATAAGAAACTGGAAATAGTCACAGACATAGAGTATGAATGAAGACTGCAGGAGCCAGGAATAGGAAATAGAATAATATCATTTACTAAACCACAAATCCTCCTATTGAGTATTGAATCATCCTCTTTTCACTATGAATGGGCTTAGATTTCTATTGAGTATCTTATAATACTACTGTTTCTAGTTTAATTTATCCATGATTAATGGATATTTAGTGAAGGTGAAGATTTTCTGATTGACAATGATTGAAGTAATTACTGCTTTAATTTCAGGAATTGACAGAAAATAAGGACAATGGTTCAGCATTTGAGGATAGCAAATTCCTGTCAAAAGATGGACAGCCCAAAGAACTCTTTTTGTCCAGTGATGCCAATGCAGTGGTTGAGCACACAAAGAAAGTGCTGGTTATTGAGGATGGTGAAGTAGTTCATCTCAAGGTGCATACTGTACCTTCTCTTTTTAATGTAGCACTTGAAAGATTATGCCGTTTTTATGTCCATTACTGAAACAGTAATCCGACTATGGCAACAAATATTTCCGTTAGAATGCATTCCTTTTATGGATTGTTTTAATGATTTTTTAGCAGACCACTTCACCTATCCCTTGCACTGTTCCCTTTGTTGCAGAATGAGATCATTCATTGCTACTAAATGCTTTGCATATGGTGAATGAATTTGTGTGCCAGCTGTTTTATTGTTTATTAATCAGGTCAATTTGAAAAAAAAAAAAGTGTTTTTATATAGAAATGGTTTTGTCAGGATGGTGGGGTTTCTATTTTGAAGTTTGAGAATGACAAGGTAGAACGCAGTGCTTCTCTTTCCAGAACTTCTTCAGTGTGCCGTGCATTATCTGTTCTTGAGATGGAGGTTGAGCAAATCAATAAAGGTCATTATGAGCATTATATGCAGAAGGAAATTCATGAGCAACCAGAATCTCTAACAACCACAATGAGGGGGAGGCTTATACAACGAGGATCTAATAAATCCAAGTCTGTTCTATTGGGCGGACTGAAGGATCACCTTAAAACAATTAGGCGAAGTAGAAGGATAGTTTTCATTGGTTGTGGTACAAGTTATAATGCTGCTTTGGCAGCTAGGCCCATCTTGGAAGAACTTTCTGGTCAGCGCTGCATGACTAAAATTTTTTTTTGCAAGTTTTGCTGATTAAAATTGGTCCAATCCTTACAATGTTGTATTTTATACATTAAATTATAGGTATTCCTGTTACTATGGAAATTGCCAGTGATTTATTGGATCGGGAGGGACTAATATATCGAGAAGATACAGCTGTTTTTGTTAGTCAATCTGGTGAAACTGCAGATACTTTACTTGCACTGCAATATGCTTTAGACAATGGTGCATTATGTGTTGGAATAACAAACACTGTTGGTAGTGCAATAGCAAGGAATACACATTGTGGTGTTCATATAAATGCTGGTGCTGAGATTGGTGTGGCAAGTACCAAGGTAAATGTTGCACTTGAAGGATGTTTTCTTCATTTCATTTTATATTTTCTTATTATTGGTTTACCAATGGTTTACTTACACATCTATAACTATTATAGGCATACACCAGTCAAATAGTAGTGATGGTCATGTTAGCTCTTGCAATAGGTGGCGACACAATTTCCAATCAAGCCAGAAGAGAAGCTATTATAGATGGTCTTTTTGACCTGCCAAGTGAGTTTCTGTTGGCCAAGCATCTTACAGAAATTGGGCACATGTTGCAGTGTCTGGTTAATCCAACATGTCCTGTTAGAGTAAAATTTTCTGATGATTAGATCTTCATGCTAGGGTGAATATGATGGCTACTTGGTAGGTCAATAGGATTTAAATGAATGTTTCAAGATTAATCATTACTACTAATATATCAATGATGATAATGACAGTAAATAAGAGTAAAGACTAAATTTGGCACTAAAATACTGGGAAACACTAAAAAAATATGCACGAGAGATTTAAATTTGCACACTTTTAGTCTTAAAATATAATGCTGAACATATTAAAATTGTTGAGTTCATTACATCCAGAGACTCTAATTTATGAAAAACAAGACTGGTGGATTTTTTTAAAAATAAAATTAGAACTTGCACGCATCTAACATTGTGTGTTCCACACAGGTTTCACAAAATATTTTGATGAAATAATTGTGTAAAAAATAGTGATACTGTAAACATTTATATACGCTGACAATATATCAAATGTTAACTTGTAAACTAATATTCTACCATAAATTAATGGTGGAGATGATGACATTGGTCATAATAGTAGCACTAGAAGAACTAGTGATGGAAGATATGGTGAAAGTAGTGGCCATGATTGCAGAAACAGTGGTGTCAGTGGAGGCAGAAACTAATAGCCATATACCATACATGTTAAGAGAATATTGTGAGGTGGAAATCTAGAACACCAAGGGGTGCTTGGAATGGAGTGACTTTTCCTCTTCCTAAACTTTCTATTACCAAAAAAATTAAGAAATTAGAATCTTCAGGAATTCTAGACAACTTTCAATGAAGCTAAAATCTTCTTTTTTTTAAAGAGGAATTTTTCAAAATACTGTACCAAATGCTTCATTACTCAGGGCTGTTGTAGAAGTAATCTAATTAAAATGTTGGATTGCAGATAAAGTTAGAGAGGTGTTGAAGCTTGATCTGGAGATGAAGGATCTAGCAAAATTGTTGATTGCTGAGCAGTCTCTTCTTGTCTTTGGGAGAGGATACAACTATGCAACTGCTCTTGAGGGAGCTTTGAAAGTAAAGGAAGTGGCACTTATGCATAGTGAAGGGATACTTGCTGGTGAAATGAAGCATGGTCCTTTGGCATTAGTGGATGAAAATCTTCCGATTTTTGTTGTAGCTACACGTGATACTGGCTTCAGGTTGGTTGTGACTACTGAGTAGCTTTATTGGAATTTAGGAGTTTGATATTAACATCTTATATCTTTGACAGCAAACAACAGTCTGTTATTCAGCAACTTCATGCCCGCAAAGGTCGCTTGATAGTTATGTGTTCTAAAGGGGATGCTGCTTCTGTATGCCCCAATGAATATTGTAGGGTAATTGAAGTTCCACAGGTTGAAGACTGTCTTCAACCTGTGATTAATGTGGTTCCGTTACAGGTATATGCAAATTTTGCAGTTCTATTTCCTTGTCACCTAAAAATCTTAGTAGGCTTAGCTGCTTTTTACGTATTGCACCAATGAAGATTTGTATCTCTTATATATTTCAACAAATTATTTATTTCCCATGCAGTTATTGGCATATCATCTCACTGTACTCAGGGGATTTAATGTCGATCAGCCACGTAATCTTGCCAAGAGTGTCACCACGCAATAAAGAAGTTTGTTGACTTTTTACACCCCGCACCACGCAAGAAAAAGTTTGTTGACTGCCCTTTATTTCTTTGAATCTGACAAAAAATAATATCAAGGCCATCGAAAAGCTTCCCTTGCTCTGAGACATGACATGGCATATTACCGCAATGTAAATTAATAGGTGTAGGCTTACTGGTGGATCTACAACCCACCTTCTTACCAGTCAGAATAGACAACCATCATTTCCTGAGGTATTTTATGTATTTGTTTTTTATGATCATATGTTTTTTTTTGTTTTTTTTTGGGTTCAACTTATGTGTATTTTATTTGTAAAATCGCGTGTCTTGGTTGCTTTGAGCTCAGTAGCAATTCCGGAATCGCAAACTGATCGGGTATCGTAGTTCGATGAAATCATTTATAGCATAACATGGTCTTAAATTTAGTGGAATTAATAAAAGCACGGTGGCGAAACAGTACGAGTTTTACAAATATGCACCATGAAATAGTCATTGATTTTGGCCAACAAGATATTTAGCATTAGATGAGTTGAGGAACATAAAAAAAAAGCCTAAATTACATTTTTTTAATGTAGAAAATAAAACCTATATTAAATTTGGTTACAGTTGAAATATGTATGATAACACCACAATTTAAGGCCACGTAACTCATGCAGAACTTGGCACTTTTGATCACCTATAGTAATTTTTTACTAACTGAACACGTGTAAATCCATCGAAAAGGCATTGGTATGGAGGTTAATTCTTTTTCTGGGGGGTATATAGCAGATTGGTTAACATATTTGTGCATTAAAAGTATTTATTTTAGATATAGAAATCCGCATATATACATACATACACACACACATATATATGTGTGTGTGTGTGTGTGTGGTGAAATGGCTGTCAAAAAAAGATGAAGTTTAAATGTAATTTTTTAAAAAAGTATTAATGTTTATTAATCAAAATTTAAATTTTATTTCAATAATGTTATGATATTAAATACAAAAATGATTTATCTATCATATGCAAACTTACATAGATTCAGTCTCATTAATTATATAAATTTTTAATAAATTAAAAAAAGAGATTATTGAAAATGAAAATAATAAAGAAGAGAGAGAAAAGTATAGATAAATCAGATACAAAAATTCTATTAAATTCAAATTCAAATTTTGATTGGTAATCAATACCAACTACACTTTAAACAACATAATATAAGCTTTGTTAAGAAAAATCAATGTATACACTGTAGCCTACTAATGTATGTTCAGTTGAGGCAGCCCTGAACTTAGAAAGGTGCCAAATCATTGAAGTGACAAAATGAAGTTCACTTATAGTTTCGTCTTCGGCAGCAGTGTTTTAAATCTATACTTTCATTCATTGAAGCGTAAAGTATAAAAAATTCCATTTCGCTCTACACTAATGTATTGTTCTTTGTAGAACCATGCCAAAATGTAATTGGGAATTAGAATATCTCGCGGAATAACCATTGATTTTGATAGTTCGAAATCAGAAATAGTCGCTGAAAATACCAAAATTCCTGAAACATTGCCATAGAAACACAAACTAGTACTGACAATATAATTGTAGAAATAAGGAGTATTATTAGTTATAATAGAAGAACCACCTAATATAGTATGTTGGATTTCATCATAATAGTTGAGTCTAACATTACACAAGGCTGAAACACGTGTATGCAAAAACAGCAAGACCAAAATACAGATATCAAAACCTTGGTATATTAGCAAAACTAACCCAACCCGACAGCCCTGTGCCTCGCAGATTTTGCCAAAACCATTTTTGCCAAAACCGTAGACTTGCTGACCACCAAAATTGTCATTCTTTGTCTGAGAGTCGAGACAGGCGATTGATTCAATCCAAACAGAAAAGAAACGAGAAAGAACTGCACTGTACAGAAAAAATAGATATCCATAACAAGACCAACCAGTGTCACTGACTGATCTGAGCTAATATGTAATGCAGCAACGTTCCTCCCAGCTTCTCTACCAAGCAGCCCTCAGCACCCCATTCCCATCAGAACTAACCTGAATAAATAATCATAACTTTCATAAATACCCAAAAAATAAACAATCATAACTTTCATAAACTCAATATACCCAAATACAAAATCATATTTTTCAGATACCCAAAAAAACACAAATTCAGATACCCAAATAACAAAAGTCATAAATTTCAACCATCCCACAAGGAAACCTTATAAATTTCAGATACCCAAAAGAGAAAAAATCGAAAATTCGTTAGAAGGATGATAAACCTGGGGTTTGCAATCAGGGGGGTCTTCAAAGAGGGACAAAGAGAATTGCTTATCAGCAACACCAACATCAAAATGAATGAGACCAGAGCTAGGGAGATCAACACGAATTCCCTTTACGGGGAACCACAGGAAAAGCTCCTGAGCAGACACACCGGATAATTTCCCGATCCGACCATAACCGAGGGTACCCCTAATGTTGGAATCATAGTGCACCTCGTTCTCGAACTTGGCGTTGCAAGGTTGCTCCATCTTCACCTCGAATTCACCACTGCTACTGTTAATCGAATACTTCACAATTCCCTTTGGAAGAAGCCCTACGGGAAGCCCTTTCGCACGAAGCTCTTCGTATATCGTTGTTGAATTTGAACCACTCGCCACCACCCACAAACGCGACAAGGTTACAGCAACAATTAATGGCAAAATCGAACCCCCACCGGCTATACCCATCATCGATTTGGAATTTTCTTTTCTTCAAGAGAAGAATGAGCCGAAAGTTTCCAATTTGAAGAACCAGTCTTGGTGCTTTTCTTTTCCTTTATTTACCTGATTATGAATAAATTGCGTTTTTCAATTTGTTATTTTTCAATGTCCAATTATATACGGACTAGGGTTGTTTTTTTCGTTACGTTATCACGGGCCGTTTACAACTGAAAACAAACACAAAGCACCAGTCTATCAAAACAAAATTCAGTTAAGTTAACAAAGTTCTTAAATTAAAAATAACAAATACTAATGAAATAACAAAGTATCTTAATTTATTACTTTTGGTCTTCGAAAATATATTTTTTTTAGTTCGTGTAAAAATTTTATTAATTTTCAATTTCTATATTTAATTAAAATAATGTGATTTTAGACTTTGTCAAAGATTAAAAATATATAATTTTAGTAAATGAAAACTTATCTAATTCTAAACCAAATTTCATTTATCGTCTTAAATTTGTAAATATTCACCTTTACATATTAAATTTGAGTATCAATGTTTCTTATATTATCTTCTTTCTCGATATACTTAATCTCATAACTAATTAGTAAGAATGTTGTTTTAATTTTTCATTTTTTTAAATTAAAAATTCTCATAAAAAAAAAAACTACCAACTAGAAGATAAGATTGCCCATTCATTTGTAATCACGTTTAGAATGAACTTGTATTTGGTGATTGGTATACTTTAGTTAATTAGTTAATATTTAAATTGGCTTAATTTAGCTAAATTAAAAAGTTGTTGACTACATATAAAAAGAATCCAATAACAAATCAAAATTGGATTGAATTAAATTTATAATTAAATTAAATTGATGCAATTATGTGTTATTATTTTATGCTTTATGAATCATAAAATGTTTTAAACAGACAATTTACTTTTAAATAGTAAGCTTATTTTCTAACTAAATGCTACATTATTATATAGTTAATGATTTTGCACATATTACTTATTTAGCTAATTTATATAATTTCTATCACCTTTTTAATATTTGGTAATTGGGCAGGGAATAAAAAGCCTAAACAACGAGACAAAAACACAAGCTAATGTGGGGGGAGAAAAAAGAAAAGCAGGAACAGCATCCTTACATCGATCCCCAACTTGGTTGGATTTTAAAATATTTTAGTCTTGTCTTATTTTTTTAATATTCGTACTTTACTTTTATCATCTCATAGGTGAGTGACGCTAATGTTCCCAAGCATTATTCCAAAATTGAGATGAAGGTTAAGTTCAGTATTAATAGTACTTCACATTTCACCTAATTATGACCACTTCTTCCTTATTGAGAATAAGGAATCATTTTATCACCCGTATAATAAAAACTTGAAAGCAATGATATTCCCCACTAAAATCCTGAACAATAAGAAACCAAAAGAATAAGATAAAATTACTGAACATAATTTGGATTAAATGCTCCCCCACCCTTATAAAATAAAAAGAAAAAACAAAAGACTTAAAATGATTCAGTCACATTAACTTGTTTGAAAGTTGAAACAAAAAAAGTTCACTAGAACACAGTGCAATCATGTGAAAGTGAAAAAAAAATGAAAAAAAAATTAAAAATTAAAACCATTATAAACTAGTAATTCTTCTCAACTGTACCATCCCAATTCAGAACAAAATCTTCCTACACTTTCTCTACCTTGAGGGGGAGGGGTAGATGATGATGAGCCTCACACTTCAACTAACAAGCCTGCAGATTTTCATCCATCTATTTGAATACTCCAAGAGCTCTAAGGTTCAATCACAAATAGGGGCTGCAAAGAAACAAAATAAATCATACATATAACAATGAGCAAGTGAATTTTATTTGTGAATTATAAATTTGGAGGGCCTAGAATATACTTACAGTGTCAACGCTTACAGACTTCCCATCTTCTGCAAGGATTTCAACTATAGTTCCTGACTGATCAGCCTGTATAGTACACAAATTTATAGTTCAAGATAGTAGAGAAAATCCACAGGATTGTCAAGACAAAAAAACTAGTAAGAGTCATACATTTCTTATTTTTTATTTACATCTTATAGTTGCAAACTAAGTTACAACTCAAATTTGAGCTTATACATATTTTTTTTAATGAAAGGTTTATTGTATGGAAATGTCAACCGTAATGCATTCTTAAACAATTTAGTAAGTATAGGCACTTCACTGTTGGTTACATCTCCATAAAAAGATTGAAGTGTAGCTAGTTTGAACTAATATAATAAGAGTTGTGTCCAATTTATTTCACAAGCTATTTTCTCGTTTAGTATGAATTAAGGATACGCTACTAACAGGATTCTTTGCTTTTTATATTTTGAGTAAACATCATTACTATATGTGTGTGTGAAGAACCAGTATCTTCAGAAAAATTAAACACGTTAAAAAACTTGTGAAACTGCAAGCAAGAAGTTTATAAATACACTGAAAATCCTACAATGCTAACTAATACTGACAAAGTTATTCATGTATGAGATACCAAGACTACTGCAGGAGGGAACTATTAAAGAGAGGATGAGCGAAGATTACCAAAAAGGAGAACAAAAATAACAAAGATGCCACAAAGCAAAAGATCAACCTATGTACTCCCTCTTTCCTCTTTTGCATGTCTCATTCAACTTTTCCCATGATTTGAGGAATATTTTACTTTGACATTTTATCAGTAAATTTTACTTTCATTGAGAAAAGGTGCTACTTTCAAACAATTTCACTGTCATGAGAGGAATTGGGATAACGTAGTAAATTCAAAATCATAAATTTCAAATGGAAACAAACATATAATCCTAAAATATTAGCAAAACAAAGTGAATGATGTAACACAGATGGTGATAGTATCAGAAAGCAACTTTCAGCTTGCTTTTAAGGACACTTAGACTATGTTTGGTAAAGGTAGCTTGGAGCTTATTTAGGAGTCAACAGAAGTAAGGGACCACTGAATTGCACCAATAGTGGGAGACTAAGAGTAGAAGAAGCAATATAATAGTGTGCTGGAACAAAGGTAAGGAGACAGCACATCTGCTATCAGAGGAGGCAGAGAACAGAAAACAACATGGGGCTTCTTTTTCTCCAATATTATGTGCCTAGAGAGAATTGCACAATTCAGTCACAGAACTACAATTCACGGTGCGATTTGTACAATTCAGATGCGATACAGACCATTCATGTTGCAATTCAGGAACAAAAATGATATACTGCATGATCCATATCACTGCTGCTTTGTGTCGCAATACTGATAACACTGGTTTTCATGGCGTCATCCTAGTGCTCTTCAAAAGGTTTCTTTGAGATTTTTCCTTGTTAGACAAACAAAGGAGTTGGAAAGCACTTTTGTATAAGAAGAATGCTATTTTGATGCTTTACTTTCAAAATTTTTATTATTACTGAGTGATATTCTGTGTGGGCACCATTAAATAACTTAATCCATTTTCAATTTGTGGGACCAGCATGGGATTTCACCCAAAATAGTGTTAAAAAGTGTCAAAAGTGTGTGCCAGCATTTTTATTGTATTAAGGCTTTATTCTTCCCTTCTTTAGTTCCAGTTGTTGTTCTATCCAAGGAGGACACAATATCCTCCTTCGAACCTCCTCCTTCCTTCCTTCCAATGATATTCTTCTATCCAAACATCTTCCACTGGTTTGACTATCTCTAATTGCCCTTCCACATGTTCTATCCAGTTTCTAGAAGTCATTATACAGTTCATACTACATGTTCTATCCAGCAAACTAACAGAAAAAGACTTAAAAAATTTATTCTATGACAGGCTTGAAGAGGGAAATGGGAAAGGGAAATCTGCAATCAGGATCCAATCAACACTCTACTCTCCATTTGAGCATCCTTGCTTTTCAATTTCCATTGGCTCAATTTACTTAGTAAGATGGTCAAAATGCATTGCATATGTGCTAATAACCTTTATTTTTACTTTCCATTTTCACCCATTGCTAACCATTAATTGAGAATTAAAGGAAGACTTACTTGGCAGAAAAGAATCTCGTATATTTTGAGAATTGAGATTTATATTTTATACTAATAAATGCTTTATATCAAATAAATAAACGTTAAGTAATATAAAATGTTTTATACTAATTATGAGGATAGAGAAAAGGAAAATGCTACTACCTTTAGTAAAACTAACCTCGTTCCCTGGTGCTCTAGAGCACTATGATGCAAACAGAAATGATAAGAGGCAGTAAATACATGACAAATAAGTGCACCTTATAAAGGCATGACATACTAGAATTGAATCCACCATTATAACCAACAGTTACCAAATAAAAAATAAAAAGAATATAACACCTTTGAACTTACCTCTATTTCATTCATCAATTTCATTGCCTCAATGATGCATACAACTTGCCCTTTTTTTACTTTGTCTCCAGCCTAAAGAAAGAGTATGTTCACATAAGTGTGCAAAGAAGCATGATACAAAATTATAAAACTATATGAAAGATAAGAAGATCTACCTTCACAAATGGAGGTTCACCGGGAGCAGGACTTCGGTAGAATGTCCCTGCCATGGGGCTTTTAAGAGGTGCATGTGATGATTTAGCTGACTTGACAGCAGGGGGAGAGGTTGATGGAGTAGGTGCAGGACGGGCTGAAGTAGGTGTTGGCATAGATGCTGGTGCCACAGGCGGCATCGCTAGTGAAGGAGGTGAATACGCTGTCACAGGTTGAAGAGGAGATTGTAGTTGAGGCATAGCCTCCTTTTTCCTGATTGTTACTTCACAATCAAGCTGCTTCAGCTTCAACTCCACAATGTCTCTTGAATCAACAAGCCTGCAGGAGAAAGTTTGACAGAAAGGTTTCCAATAATGTTGTGAAAAGCTTATATATTGGTTACAGTTTTGTTAACCTCAACCTTCAACATTGAGTTTAAGTATTCAAAAATAGTAAATTTTTATTGAAAAAGAAAGTATAATAAATGTAATAAACACTTCATTTATCATAATTCTGAAGCATTTGCTTACTTGACAAGATTTGCAACTTGAGCAATAAACTGAGAGACTGATTCTTGAGTTGCCAAGACAGAAGAAGATGGTTCAGTTGAAGGTTTCGCAGGTGGTTCCTCATCTGATTTGGCTTTGATTGGAGGCGCAGCATTGGAGGAACCATCAAGGGCAACCTTCTTGAAGCCAAAAGATGAGACCAAATGGAGCATAAACACACAAAGGGAGTAAATTTTAACAACTTCATAGTTTGTAATACACGTGCAATTGTGCATGTATTATCACAAATTCACAATCCTTTTTGCTTCCATTGTGCACTCTCCATTCATTCTAGAGAAGTAAAATTAAAATTTGAAATAAAAAACATATATGCAGTGTGAAAAGGAAGAGCTTTTACCTCGTGTAATTGGGCCTTAACCCTTGTGCACAATACCAAATTACCAGGGGAGCATCCCTACACATATACACAGAAAGACAAATAAGTAATGTCACAACTCACAACTAAATGAACTAAAAAATTTTAAGTATTTCGGTCTGGGTTTTATAGCATGGGGTATATAATATATACCGATTTTTCTAACATAACAAATACATAGTAAAAAATTATAACATCTAATAACATACATTGAATTCAATAACTTTTAATATAAATTTATTATTCATAAATTTTCTTCAACGTGTTATAAAAAAATCAAATACAACAGAAGTTTGTAATTGGGGAGATTATTACATGGAAAATGGTAGGCAGAGAAAGGAGAAAAGTAATGAATTGAAACGAAGGAAGAGAAACCTTGGAATTGGTGAAAAAGCGGAGGGTGTTGGGTTTGGGAGAGTTTGAGGAATGAGAGAGGCGCAAATTAGTGGCAGCTTTGGTGACAGCAACAGTGGCAGGTGATGTCGAAGCCAACGAGGATGCCATGTCTGATTTCTCAAACTCGAAAACACTTCTCACTCAGGGTTCGGAGAGAGAAACGCAAAGGGTGTTCGATGAAACCAAGAGAGAGAAAGTGTGTGTGTGTGTGTGTGTGTGAAACTGAAACAGGAAGAAACACACGGCACATGGATAATCCAATGCTTCTACTTCTACAAACCTTTGCTTCTTTTACCTCTCACGTGCACATATCATTCGCTTTTTCTATTATTATTATTACTTATAGGGTCAATTATACACTATTCATTCCCTGTAGTTCACACTTCTATAAAGTATCAACTAATCCTTATATTTTAAAAAAAAGTACATTTTACTATCTATCCAAATATTTTGTTACGGTTAATTTCATTTAATTTATGTTTTAATCCTACTATAATAATAATATTCACGATAAAAAATACTAAATTATAACAAAATGTTTATAACTAAAATATTAATTATTTTAAATATAAAAAATAATTCATAAAATATATTGAATATATATTTTAACAAATTATAATTTTAAAGAGATTAAATAATCTAAATTTAAGTATCGTAATTAGATAATTATGCAATTTTTATATAGATCTAACGTTTAATTAAATTTATATTTTTTATATAATATATTAACTTATATAATAATTTTTTAAAAATATTTTTATATAAAATAAAACATTTATTATATTTAAAATGTGAAATTTACATTATTACTTAAAATTTTAAAAGATTAATTTTATTATATGAATAAATTTATAAATTTTTATCATAATATAAATAAACAATTTTTATATATTAACTCAAAATCTAATTAGTTAGTTACTTTCTTTATCAAATACATAAAAGAATATATATATATATATATATATATATATATATATATAAACATATTTAATATTTTTTTATCATATTATATCAACTTAAAAAAATTAATATATTTAAATATTTTTTTAACTATAATAAAGAGTCTTTATTTTATATAAATCGTTCTTAATAATTTTTATTGATTTATAAATTTATCAAATCAATAAATTTTATTAACAAGTATATATAATCTTAAATCATAAATAATATTTAACTTAAATATATAAATTTTTAATATTTTTAAAATTTATAATTTTTTTATTCGATGATAATTTTTATTTTATTTTAGATAAATTTACTATTTTTTTAATTAAAATATATTTTAAATTTTTATACTTAATATTTATATATAAATTAATTCTTGTACTTTAAAAAAATTTATATTTTAATCTATGCATAAGTATTTTATTACATGTTAATCTATTGTAATATAATATTGTTGACTCTATTAACAACATAGATGATATTATAAATAATAGAAATCAAAATTTAACAAAACACATGAACTAAAACTTAATTTTTGTAAATATAAAAATTATTTTATAGAAAAGTTATTACGATAAAGATTAAATATATAATTTAACTTTACTTTTATTTCTTTCATTTTAAATTTATTGTTACTTATGATTTTTTAGAAAAATAAATAAAAGTAAAAATAGAATAATTTTACTATATTATCTTTATATTATTATTATTATTATTATTATGTATTTATTTACTAAAAAATTAACTCGCACAAATGCAGAGGTACGAATTAAAAGAATGCACAATTCATTATATGAGTAACAGGAAAAAAAAATCATTAATTTTTTTCTACTTCTTTATAATAAGTTATGTATTTGATTATAACTTATTATAAATGATTATATGAACATTTGATTTGGTTTAAGTTATCCGAATTATGAACATTCCTTTATTAGCTTTATTTTTTAATAATCTTTACAAAAATAGCATTGTATCGTTGCAGAGAAAGGTGATTGCAATTGTAGTGTGGCATAAAGCCATCCAAATCCAAGTTCTAGAGAAAGGAGTATCGTGCCAGATTATGGGTCGGTGCAAAACACAGAGGACAAAAGACACGGTTGAGTTTAATTGAATTGAGTTGAGTAGTGAGAAAAATCAATTAGCTGTTATGGCTATGAAGGCCACGCCAATCACTGGTTTAGGCTTCGTTTCAACAAGACCTTCCTCACGTCCACCCCTCAAATCATTATTTCTCAGTTATGGTGGTATGTCCCTTTACCTTTGTTCTATATATATATATATATGATCATTTGTTATTCATTATTATTTTTCCTTTCTTTTTTTGGGGTGACACATTTTTATGATCATTTGATACACGCGATTGTAAAAGCTGAAAAAAAAAAGTTGGCACGTTTTAGAACACTTCGATGGTAGAAATTTCATTTCACCTAGTCAAGAAAAAAGGGTGGTCACTGAATTTATAAAAGCATAATTTTTATGGTTATGTTAGCATGAAAGAAATGTTCTTGCAGCAGGAGCATTGGAAGTTCCTTGTATAAGGGTATCCTACTCAGATAGATTAAAATGTAATAGTCAAGGTGGCGGTGCCCTTGGTGCTCAGATGAATGTTTTTAGTAGGTTTGCTAGAGTTATCAAGGTAATATCAGGATATACGTGTACAAATTTTATTTATATTTTTGGTTAATTGGTGGAATTGATTTTTTCCATCCCCCACTCTCACTACAATGTTTATTGTATATTATTGATAACATTGAATTAGTGCAGTCATATGCTAATGCCATTATAAGCGTCTTTGAAGATCCTGAGAAGATATTAGAACAAGCTGTGATAGACATGAGTAATGATTTGATAAAGGTTCGCCAAGCTACGGCACAAGTATGTAATGAGTTTCACACCTAATATTTCTCTGTTGTTCCCTATTATTATAGGTCAAGTTTTGTATTCCAGCCTGGTTTTTACTTTGTTATTCAGTTTGTAAAGTGTAGTTCTAAATAATGCATAAAGCATATGGTGAGGACACAGAGCTGGATGGAACATTTCGATAAAGTTTTGTGTTATTTCAGGTTTTGGCATCTCAAAAGCAGTTAGAAAGCAAGTACAAAGCCGTACAAAAAGCTTCTGATGATTGGTATTCTTTTAAGTTTCAGAAACTTCTATTTTGTTTACATTTATCATTCACTGTCTGGTAGTTATTTTCCTTCCCTTATCTTGATAATAGGTATCAAAGGGCACAGCTGGCTCTTCAGAAGAGGGATGAGGATCTTGCCCGTGAAGCTCTTAAGCGAAGAAAGTCTTATGCTGTATGCCACTTGCCTATCTTTTTAGCTTTGCAGGGGACTTTGCGTTTAATGTATCGTAAATGTTACATATAGATCTTGATATGAGATAAACCATTTTATCAGTACATAGTACACACATTCTTTATTATCAGTGATCAAAGGGAAAGGACTTTTGTTTTGAAAGTGTAAGCTTAATTTTTATACTTGAGTTGGTTGTAATTGGTTTCTTTGCTGGTTAAACTCAGTCACTGTTGGTTCCTTCAACTTTTCTTTTTCTTTCTTTCCCCAATGATTCTAATATTACCTTTCTTCCTTATTTTTTTTAGTCATTGCACCAACCCAGTATAACAGTTCTAACTGTTAATTTATGGTTTTGAAATAAAATATACCAGTATGGAAATGCATACAGGAAAAGAGGTACTACAATGTTTTATTGTATTTTTTCAAGGAATCTCTAAAGCAGTAGTGGTTAGTATCATTGAATTGGCAAAGATCTTACTGGACTGTGCAGTAGTCCATGATGTAGTAGAAACACTATTCCGATGCAGCTTTGATGCATATGATTCTTCTAGCATTGAAATGTAGGGTGTCTGTTGATTCATCAGTTATGCCTTTGCTTGGCTATAATGTTTTTGTGAATTCAAGATTATTTTGTTTAGTATGATGATTGTTAGTTGACAAAGATGGCTTGGAATAAATGACAATTGGTTATGGTTGTTCATTAAAATTCAAAATACCCAATACCAATTCTAACATACCTTCTCTACTTATATACTGGAAAGCCTGAAAGAGCTATTAGTGTCATTTCTCATAATCGTCCTTTTGCTTAATTTTACAACTTCACTCTTTTAAAACAGCTCTTATCTAATGAGAACATCCATGCATTGTTATACATAGACACAGAAACCAGTAGCAAAGGAATTGCATAATCCCTTATTACAACTGCAGATATGCAGACTCATTTATTTTATGTGTGTGTGTGTTGTTTAGTTCTTTTAAGTCATTGTGAATTGAAAACAAGTAGTCTGGGTATATTGATGTTTGATTTCTGCCTTCTGCATTGGTGTGTGCAGACTCATTTATTTTGTGTGTGTGGTTTGGTTATTGTAAGCTGTTATGCATTCAAAACAAACTGTTTGGTTATATTGAAGCTTGATTTCTGCCTGTTGCATCATATGTGATATGTACAGGATAATGCAACTGCTTTGAAGATACAGCTTGAACAGCAAAAGAATGTTGCTGATAGTCTTGTGTCCAAAACACAGGTTAGTTGTCATCTTTTATCATAAGTTTTCCATTAGTGGCCATTCCATAACTTTCCATAGACATAATTTGTTTGACTTGAATGAAAAGGAGAAGAAAGTAGAGATCTGAGGTAGTTACAGAGTTTGTGTGTGAGAGAATAAGAAAATCTGAGTAAAATATGGGGAAGGGGAATGAGTTAAGAGAAAGAAGGAATTGAAATAAGTGGTAGTGAGAAAGTGTTGTCATTTGATGAACTTCGTTCAATTTACAATTATATTATTTACATGTTAAATTAAATTCCATTTTTTTAACAGTGGAAGATATGTGGTTCCTACAGTAGTAGACTTGATTTTTTGTCTTGGTTCATTAAAATTTCTCGGTGGCAGTTTAAGCTACTAGTACTATTAATGTTACTGTTATGTGCTGTTTTGTGTGAATTGAGCAATGTGCAGACTCTTTCTGTAGAGGAAATAGAAGGATTGACCTTGAGAAAAAGAGATAATCATAGCATTTTTTGCGTGAAAACATTGAGTATACTCTATTTACTTATATTGGAAGATGCTTCTCTCTCTTAAAATGTGAGCCTGAATTCACTTTTGCATGTTTGAAAACTAAGGCATTCATCCTGAGTTATCCTGAACATTGTTATGAAATTTTTAAACAATACAACATGAAATGGTTGTACTACCTTTTTCCAGTGTTTCTTTCTTTTTAATTCCATTAGCTTCTCTTTCAAGACTAAAAGGCTTTACTTTCCTTAGTCCTTTATTTAGCATTGTTTTTTGCTCTGATGGACTTTTCAGAGCCAACTTTGTTCTATCCTTCTGATATCATAAAAGTTATTATAGGAACAGAGCCGAGGATTATAGAGTACTTGTACAAGTATATGACAGAGATATGCTGATGATAACTTCTGAAAATTAAATTAATAAGGTGACTGTACATAATGTCAAATAACTATATAATACAATTACCAAAAAACAAAACTACTACAATATCTTTTTTTATTATTATTTTGAAGGGAAGTTTCATATTTTAGACAAGCTGGGGTGAAATTTCATAGCAATATTAACAGAAAAAATATGTCATATTGGGTAACAACTAGAAACTAAACCTATTTATTCTTCAAAGTACTAGGACATTTTAAGCAACAATTGTTAACCTTGAATTGACCAGTATGTAGTATCTTAAAATCTTTTTTCATCCTTTTCTTTTGTGTGGAGTGAGACAGCAGCAAAAGTAATGAGATTTGTATAAGGCTTCCTGGTAAACACCCCCCCCCCTCTCTATCCTAAACCTATAGGGAATAAAGCAAAGCAAATAAGCGGATATTTGTCAGGCTATCATTGAACCATGTTGCTAATGCTGGATTCTCTTGCCACCAGTTATTTATTAGCACTGTTTGGCAATCCTGTTGGAGGAGTAATGCTTGTAACTTCTTTTATGTTTTTTTTTTTTTTTTTATCATCAGCTTTTGGAGAGCAAGATACAGGAGGCAAAGTCAAAGAAAGATACCCTTAAAGCAAGAGCTCAGTCTGCAAAGTTTGTCTTTAGCTCCATCGTTCTTTCTAAAAAGTCATGGATGTGTCTCTCACCTATGTTCTTCTAAATAGTCAATTATTTTTCTCCTCGTCAGGACTTCAACCATAGTTAGTGAGATGGTGAACAATATCAACACAAGCAGTGCCCTTGCAGCTTTTGATAAGATGGAGGAAAAGGGTTAGTTTTTTTTTTTTTAACTCTATTTACACCTTTTTTAGTGCTTCATATGGACGAAATGGCTTCCAACTTCCATCCATATATCAATAGTTGTCAGTACATATATAGTTCATATACAATTTAATTTAAGTAGGCCTTGGAAATTTATTTGAATTTATTTTCACAGTACTAACCATGGGGGGTCAGGCGGATGCATTGAATCAGTTGACTACTGACAATCTTGAGGGAAAGGTAGTGTAACTTATAAGTTTCAAGTTTCATTTCCCTGATTGAAAAGTTTCCTTGTTTTTTTTTTTCTTTGTAATACAGCACTTATATTCAAATAGATCTTTGTGTGTGCTAGAAGTGGATCTCATGAAACTCTTTCAAGTTTATTTTGTGTACACTTTACGGTTTGTTACTGGAAAAGATACTCATGAATTAAACAAGCATTGACATAATAATAATTGCAGTAATTTTCACTTTGCTATAGCAGTTGTCTTTCACTGTTTTGTGCCACATCTCCTAAGGAAAAATATTTGTGTGGTTGAATTATTTTCGTACCCCCACAAAACAAAAGCCATTTCTTACTCTGTCATTGACAGTTTGCACTGCTAGAGAACTCTTCTGTCGATGATGATCTTGCAGAGTTAAAGAAAGAATTATCTGGAAGCTCCAAGGTATTCCTCTATCTAGGACCTTAATTTTCTCTATGTATTAGTCATCAAAACAAACTTGTTAATGGTAGGGACTTAATTTTGGAATGATGTGAAATTTCATGGATATGATTTATGTCATAAGAAATTTTAATCCAGTGGTAAAGTTTGTGAGAAAGACATGCAATACTGTCATAAGGACTTAACTAGGTAAAATTGATTTAACTTTGAACTGGTGTCATTTATCCTAAGTATTTATTGCAAGAGTGAGAATGCTTCATGTGATAGATCTGTAACTATTCACAGATAGTTAATAGGTTTAAATGACTAGAGTAAACAGTTCAGGGGCATTGTTGTCTGATTAGTGAGTACAATGAATATACTTTGGGAACTAAATATAGTAATTTTTCTTTCAATTTTCTATTGGCAGAGGGGAGAACTTCCACCTGGAAGAAGTGTTCCCACCAACAAAGAATTTCCCTTCTTAATGAACTCCGAAGAAAAGCAAAGTGGTTCTAGCGTCTAGGTTGTGTGATTGGTTTAACTTACTTTTTAAAAATAAGTATTTTATTTCATAAGTTTACTTAGAATTTTAAAAATAAAAGGACTATTTCTCTAATATTGCCATGCTAAACATGGGCTTAGTCTCTATTGATCATTCATTTAATCAGATCACCCACCGTAGGGATTAAGTTTTTCTTTGGCCTAACTATTTAGATCTTCTGGTCTCCTTTTTTAAGTTATTTAATTTGAAATTGGAAAGCTTTTTAAATAATCTTTTGGTATACCAATCATATACATGATTTACTTTGGTTAATGAACAATAATTTATTGCGAAAATATTTGGCACGATTTTGTGATGAAATATTGTGTGTCAACGGATATATCATATAGCTGTAATTTATAGTTAGACATCGCTGATGTTTTGGGTTTGTGGGTGGATTATTTAGAGTAAGTTGTAATGGGCTTAAAAGTGTTCCACAGTTTCTAAAGAATGTTAACAAGAAAATTTTAGGTGTCCATTAACGCTTTTTTTCTAATTTCACCCAAAAAAAATGCATTAGGTTTAAATATATTTTTGCTTCATACATTTTTGTAAAAAAAAAAAAAATTTAGATCTTTTAATTTTTTTTATCTCAATATTTGTACAAGTTCTTGGTTTTGATTCCTTTCACTTACGTGACTAAGTAATATGTTGTCGCATGTTAATTTTTTTGTGGAGCCATGTGAATCTGAGGGACCAAAATTTGTTTGGGTTTAGAGTTTATTCATATCCTAATTCTATCTAGCTTAGATTTGAGTATAGAAGTCTATTGATGTATTTAAGATGAATAACTTTAAGCAGTAATTTAATAGAAAAATATTATATATTCTTTTTTTAATAAAACTCATAATAAACTTTAAACCAACTACTTTATGTCTAGAAGTGAAATTTAACTTCTGTAAAATAAAGAATTGCATGAAGTACGAAAGTAAACATTTATTCACCTTTAATTTGAAATTAAGTATTTATTACATTTATCTTGTAACTCTAAGGATTGGTATTATTATTGTTATTATTATAGATGTAGAGTACAAAATAGAGAAAGTGATAGTTTTTGGTCAATTTATTGTAGTAATGAGTAAATATATTTGGGGTTTGGAAGAGTACCCAGCCCAGCCCAATTGAGAAAGGAGAGGGAAGGGCCGAAGCGAAGCCCTAAAAAACAAAATAGCAGAAGCATTGGAAGTGGGAATAGCAGTGGTAAGAGTTGTTACCTCTCTCATCAAACTCTTCATCGGAATAACGACTCCATGGCGACAGTTCATCTCCTTCGACCATGCTTCCTTCCCTCAATCAAACTCAAACCCTCCACCTTAACACTCCCCAGACCCACAACCTACTCACCCCTCAAACCCAAGCCAAAAAACGCCGTCGTATCGGCACGCATGTCCAACAACAGTACCTCTACCCCAGCCACGGAGCGTTTAATCTCAATCGCAGCCTACACACTCCCATTCTTCAACTCACTCCAATACGGTCGCTTCCTTCTCTCCCAATACCCAAAACTAGCACTTCTCTTCGACCCTATCATTCCCTTCCTCGCATTCTACAGGTCTATCCCTTACTCCTCCTTCGTTGCATTCTTCGCCCTCTACTTGGGAATCGTCAGAAACCCTAATTTCCCCCAATACGTGAGGTTCAACGCTATGCAAGCCGTTACACTCGACGTTCTCCTCGTCGTTCCGCTCCTCCTCCAGCGGATCTTCTCTCCGGGTCGGGCCGGCATGGGCTTTCGGATAATGCTTTGGTCTCACAATGCTCTCTTCGTCTTCAGCATTATCTGCTTCCTCTACGCCCTTTCTTCTTGCGTCTTGGGTCGCACCCCTTACTTGCCCTTTGTTGCCGACGCTGCTTCTAGGCAAATCTGATTTACAAAGCCTACTGCAATTCAATTTTTCTTGTAGCTTTCGCTTCAACTTTTGGTGTATTGGCGTGGTTGTATCATATTTTTGCGATTATAATCCTAATGGCAAATATTATCCCCTTTTTTTTCGTTAAGACAAATCATTTCTTTTATCATAGTTGGTTATCCAATCTTATTTTTTAAAATTAAGAGAACTCCTCTCCTTATAACACCTTTAATTCTTTTGGAAGAATATTTTTCATAAATATTAAAAGTATTATTTTTAAAGCATACATCTACTTTTTACATTATATTTATTTGAAAATTAGTCCATATTAATCCTGATGTTTCACTCTTTTTTTATATATTAAACGGGAACATTTTGACCCAGCAAACAGCTCAAAGAACAAGTCTAAGATCCCAATGTAATATCATCAAATAGAATATAAATGTACAGCCATTTATATTAACGAATAACTCATAAATTAAAATTTAATGAATAAATATTACTGTACAAACCAAATATATATTTTAACCTTCAATAAACAAACACGTTAATCTAATACCTTAAACGTTTCTTCAAAGACAATTAACTACATTCTATGATAGTTTTTCTTTAGTTAATTTCCCTGACAATTCCAGAGAGAAAAGGATTAAAAAAATCATTACCCCGAACAGATCAATTTAAATTCCCCGTGAATTCCAACCCTCGGGTTAAATATAACAATTCCAAACAGATATATCCAATTTTATTTCTTTATAACATGTCCAATTTGATCATAACTGCCTATCCCAGCAGTTCTATGCAATACTAGAGTAACCTATTCCAACATCCCGTCCATATACGTCTCATTCGTAAAGTGAGATTCATAAGGCTCCCGAAAAGCATATAGTTTATTTACCACACTACACCCAACCCCAATTGATTATCAGTTAAATACATTTAATAAAAGAACAACTTACATTATCACGTCACAGGTTAAATCAATTCCATAGTTACTTAAAACACGCATGTGACAGTAGTGTGAACAATTTTTAATGCACAAGAGGACTAAATGGTAATCCAAATGAAACTAATTTTAAGCACAATTGCAGGAACCGCTCCAAAGTAAGCAGATTACAAATTGCATATAATATCTGCAAAGCAACATCAAACCATAATACTACACCTAAGCTCAAGTTACAGCCATCGTTGGAGAAACAGCTCAACACAGATGAAATTGCAAAATTATTTGTCCAACACGAGGTTCAACACCCACCTAGACTAGGCATTTTTTAATCCACAAGACTCATGGCAATTGCTAGTACCGATCATGACGCCTGGCAAAAAAGTACAGCGCACATTAGGCAACAGGAACCAGTAAATTAAAAATTTAACTTTATTTTAGAAGAAAAAAAAGGAAGGCGCCTTCAACTATAGATGAGAAATTGAACAGTTAATATTGTATGCGCACACAAAACGTCATGAATGTGTTAGAACCCCACTTTCAAGTTTTTCTGATAGTTGAAACCCCCCACTTCCCTCACAAAGTCAACCCAGGAACCAAGTTCATAAAATAATGTAAGAATGAAAATGAATCAGAGGAAGATAGACCAAGACGTTCTTTCAAGACAAAGCAATTATACATGTTAAGATTAAGAGTGACAATCTAAGTAAGCCCTACTTGACTCTTAGATCATGGACCCACTCGGTGAGTTGTGACACTCAGTTGGATTCCCTGCGCTTGTTTTCCATCGTCAACTACACCAAGTAGTGGAAAACAGCTGCCAAAAAAAGGAGGTAATCAAGGATAGGAAACTTGTACCTATGTCGATCATAATCTCTTGAACGTTCACGAGATCGTGAGCGCGACCTCCGACGACTTCTTGACTCATATGACCGGGAGCGGTCTGTGTCTCTATCACGGTCTAGATCATATCTGCGATCTCTATCATGGTATCTATCACGATCTCTACTCCTACGATCATAGTCTCGCCCTCGTTCACGGCTATCACCACGTTCCCGGTCCCTACTTGATTCCCTGTCTCGATCCTTGCTCCGTTCTTTTGATCTATTCAAAAGATTGCACACAATATTTAACTAAATAGGAAATCTTATTTCCCTGCCCATCAAAATGTCTTAAATAAGTAGTGAAATTTACCTCCTGTCATCATGTCGATCAGTCTTTCGGCTCTTGTTCCTTTCTTCCTGCACCAGGAAATAACATAGTCTGAGATCCTCTCTCCCCCGAATTTAACTAAAAGTTTGCACATTGTTGGATATACAAATTCCACAAATACACTATAGACATTCCCAAAAACCCCGACCAAATAAAGTGATTCTTCCTTTGCCTAGGAATGATCTAACACTTGAAAGTTAACAATAGTGGAAAAAGGAACTTGGTATTGAACAACAAACAAAATATTGATAAGGGATACCCAAACAATCACTTGATTGGAACCCAGAGTCGTCAATCTGACAAATTCTTTTTTTCTTTACAATATAATAACTAGATTAGCACCAAAAAAAATGCATCAAAATAAAATGTGAATATCCCACATTTTTGTAATAGGAAGACTCTAAGCATGATACTAGGCAATCGGCATCAGTAGCAAAAGAAAAAGGTTAAATGGTATTTGTTAGAAGTTCAGCGACAGATGGTGAACTGTGGTTTCATCAATCCTGCTATGACACCACAATATCAGATATTCAATAACACAGCATGGACTTGAATGCATTTAGCATAGTATTCATTTTTCCTTTTTTATACAATTCCAGAAAGAGATGAAATTACTAAATATTTAAATAATTCAATGAAGCAATAGCCTTAAAGCTGACCAGTCTAGGACTCATGTTGCAAGCCAACAACTAGCATTATTCTTTCTGAATCTAAAAAACATTACCTATTAAGCAACCAACTTTAGAATAGAATAAAGTCACAAGAACAGAAATGCAAAAACATGTCTTACTTGAAGTTCTGCCAACTTCTCGCGAATCTGCATATACCCTAAATGAAGTTTCCCTCCAAAATGATCAGCTAAACGGCGATCACTGTAAATAATAATACAAACCAAAATTTTAAAGCAAAATATACAAAAGCTTCAAGACAATATACTGATGTATGACATGATTTCCCCAAAAATTTCTAGCCAAGAATATCATGATCTACAAGCAAAAAAACAGAAAAGACGCACATTCTTTAGCTGCAAAAGTTATCCTCGTAAAACTGGCACAAGAGCCTGCTGGTGACAAGGAGGTATTACTAACGGGTCAAAAGCTGAAGCACTTGAAACCCCAAATTCTAACTCCATAAATCCCTAGTAAAACTTAAAGAAAAAGGGGAAAATATAAGGGGGGATAAAATTAGTTATTACCTGTCATAAACACTCAAAAATGCTCCACAAATGTCGCACACACGTAGCTTTTGATCAGTCTGAATTGTTGTTATATATGGAATAAAACAGGTGTAAGAATCATTGCAGATATAATATTATAACTATATGAGCCCAAATTCAGGCAAAATATGAAAAAACCTAGATATGACAGAATTGCAGATACATAGCAATGATATGGGAAAATATTTTCATATTTCCTTTTCTGCAAGGTTGGAAAAAGAGATAAGTGTGTATATTTGTCTCTCACAGGTATCAACTTAGAATGATTGGTTTGGGACAAGACATATCATGGTATACCTCTCAAGCTGAATACATCAGAGAAATAGCTAATATAAAATTATTGGACATGGTCAAGAATCATCATACTTAAGGTTAAGGGGACTTGGGAGCTTGTTTCCTACACCAAGTTTTTTTCTAATCTCTCATTTCCATTTTAAGTGGAATTATAAATGCAATTATTTTAATCATATATAAAGAGCTACAGATCAAGGAAAATGTACTCACAATCCGCACATCTGCAGCCGTATACTTTGAAGAATCCAACACTGGCTCCTGCCTTGCAGGAAGCTGATATAGAAGAATTGAATCATTAGATCCATTACATAAGTAAAAGCTAAATATCAACAAGGATAAAACACGGAACAGTTAAAAAAGGATTCCACAATTTGAAATATGTAAACAATACAATAAAAATGTTTCAACAACTATAGAGAAATACATAATAAAACAAAACATAGGAAGGACCTTCTTAAGTGCTTCAGCCTCTTCCAACGCTTTTTGAGCTTCATCAACCATTCCTTGCTCACCTGTTCATTAAAAAAAACACATCATTAAATAAAAACTAAACTCATTTTTCTCAAAGAAGGCATTTGTTCACATTTTGGCGTTGCTAAACAAAAGGGAAAGGATAAATTTTCGGTTGAAATTTGTTTTTTTTAAATCTCAACATCCACAAAACCAAGATCTGACAAAGCGACAATGGTATTATGAGTTATGGCTACCAAACGGCAGTCAATTATATTGATATTAAAACACAAGCATGCCAAGTCTTACCAGATGCTGAAGACACAATATATTAGTTTGGCAATATAGAAAAGATCAAATCATATGAACAGTAAAATTTTTCTGAAACAATCAATTTTCCTCCTCAAATTCTTTCAGAGCTACTTAAAACACCAAAAGGTTTCAAAGACCATTTGAACAGTGTATTTGGATTGATTATTTTGTGTTCAACTGTTCATAAAAGCTTATAATCAAAATTGTGTTGACGGTATCTTAGACAAGAAGCCACTTGTGTAAAATTTAAGCAAAAACAAACATGAGCAAAGGTATATCACTGACTTACCAAGATCCTCGGCCTTCTTCAGCTTTTCATTTATCATCTCCTGTGTTCGAGGATCTGGAGCAACTACAGGAATGGGAGCCAAAGGCGGCGGATTTGGTAGAGGTTGAGGTAATGATGCCCTATCTTTGTTAAAAGCATCTAAAAGAAGCATAGACTGTTTGGAAATTGACAGAAAACCACAAGAGTTAATACTTGTTAGTGCCTCTCAAAAATAGTAATCAAACAATAATCTTGATGGTCTAACAATATGAGTTGCAAAAAGAAAAAGAAAATCACAACAGTGAAAATTCCAAACACATCTTCATGTTTATGGAAGATCACTGACCTGCTTGTCTGCCCTTTTAGTCCTAAGTTCCTCTACAACCTCTAAAGCTCGAATCTTCAGATCTGTCTTGCCTTCGAGATCTGCATATCCAAAATTATTTTATAGTCACAAACAACAACCAAGCCTTTTCCCACTTCATAGGGTCAGCTACATGGATCAAACAACACTATAATGTTCTATTTTATACAAGTGAATTAAAAAAATTAAACAAAAACCAGGTTTTCAACATTAAGACATGCATCAAACTTAAAAATATAATGTCACCTTCACTTTGTTAACATCAGAGGAACATTTTGAACCACTAGTAAATAAGCAAATTCCAATACTTCAATAACTTGACTTCCTTTCACTTGATTTACTAAACCTATTGTTAAATGGCATATCAGATAAATGTTGGAAAGACAAAAGATAATGAAACCTTACCTGTGATATTTTAAAACAAGCCATATAGTTAAGGATAAAACTTAAAAGCATTAAATAAAAAATGTCAATCAGTTTCAAATTTAATCGAGTTGAAACTTGATATACACTTTTCATGCTACAAGATTTAGCTATTAAATAATTTGTATTGAAAATTGTTGTTGTCAAGGGATGTAACTACTTAGTGGCTGTTTGTATACTTAACACAATTCTGATTTGCTGGAAGTGAAAATTTTTGCTTTAAAAAAATTTTCTATTATGCATTGTGAAGCATGTAAGCTCTGTTAGGTGAGTAATACAAACAGAGCTATATTCTACACTCCTTCATTTCTATAACTGATCACACCTATCAAACAAATGCAGAATATCGCATGTGAAGCACACACGTGCAATGGCAAAAATGGCCATTAATGTGACATGCACATGTCGTACGCATTCAACCTAAAGCCAGAAACTACAACTCACGACAAGAATAAATATGGCTTTATGACCATAACTCTTCCAATTTATGTACTATCCCCAGTAGTATTCTGTTCTTCTCTACAATTAAAGCCACAGAAAGCATTCTATTCTTCTCTACAAGTAAAGCCACAGAAACACAAGATCACATGTACATTCAACCTAGCGCGCATATGTGAGATGCAAAAATGGCCATTAGTGTGACATGCACATTCAACCTAAAGCCAGAAGCTACAAGTCAAGACAGGAAAAAATATGAGTTTATAACGGTAACCATTCCAATTTATGTACTACTGCCAGTAGTATTCTATTCTTCTCTGCAATTAAAGCCACAGAAACGCAACATCATTTAAAATCAAAGAAGTTTACACAGTAATAACAATACCATATTGATCAGCTTCTTTCAACTTCTCTTTGATTTCTTTAGACAACTCAAGCACCTCAGGTGTCTGCACATCAAACAAAAATAATCATTAAAACTAGCAGAATCATCATTCATCGCCACAGATAAACCAAGCCGAAACTCAAGTCACCTGAGTAACTTCAGAGACAGAAATCGCAATTGCAGCTTTGGCATCCTCATCCTCAAGGCGCTTGAGCGCTCTACCAATTTTCCTATCACACTCGCCAATAAGCTTATCTATAACATCCTCTAACTCCCTGTCATAATTATCCATCCCTTTCGCTTTCGCTTCCTCATATCTAAAAACAGTTAAGTAACATTCCAAAAATGCAATAAACGTACCACAACACAACAACTCCGCAGAATCCAATGGCATGACCTAAACAACTCTGTTGTTCTATCTAATAGCTTGATTTGAAAATCAACACAATGAAAGTGCTTTGAACAATTTTCAATCTCAACAGAGAAAAGAGGAAAACCATAGAGATCGTGAAGGATACTCTTTCCTGAGCTGCAAGGAGTGAACCTTAGGGCAAGGTCCCATATCCATTTTCTGAAACGAATGCAGTGAGAAACAGAATCAAAACGAAGCCCTAAAAGACTAAGAAAACGACGGGGGAAAGAGAATGAGGAAGGAGTAAGGTACCGTTAACTGAAAGAGTTCGTGAGGGCAAAGACCAACGAGGTAGAGGCGACACACATCGCGATCGTAATACTTGCGATTAACTTCACGGACATCACCGTTACGGTTTGCTCCCATCAACACATCGAGTTGCTTGCGTATCGCATCCATGCTTGGCACTGTGAGAAACCCTCTCTCACCACACCACTTGGCTGTTAGTATTAGCCCTCTTCTTCTGTAACGGAGACCCACTCTTATGTTTTTTATTTTGGGTTTCTCTTCTCGATCTGCAAATATTAACACAATGTATTTCTCAACGGGTTTTAGGGTTAAGAGGTCCCGGTCCAACCCTCTCCTTCGCACCGCTTGCCTCTTTCTTGCATTTTATTGAAAAACAAAATAGCTTTTTTAAAATATATATTTACATATAATAAAAATATCAATTATTATTATTATTATTTACAGCTTCAAAAATATTTAAAATATTTATTTTAAATAATTTAATTTTTTTAATAAATAATATTTATGTATGTTTAGATATTTAATTTAATTAAGTATGCACAATTTAAATAAATATTTTTTAATAATTTTAAATTATACATATATTAAACTGCCTTCTTCTTTATTTTAAAATTATGTAATTTATTTTCTAAAATTTAAATACATAAAATATTTTATTATTTAAATTTTTAAGTATTATTCAGACATGCTCTAGCTTTAAATTTATTTTTATTTATAGTTTAATAATTATTTTTATATTAAAAATGTTTTCAGTCTGTTTTTTTCTTGTAAAAATTAAAAGTCAATTTCGTGCATTTTCATTAAAAGTAATATTTTATTATTTATATTTTTATTACAAAATATTACAAACAATTTCATTTAAGAGATAAAAGACTTTTATTATTTAATAATAAGATAATTTTTTAAAATTTTATAACAATAACAAGTATTTATTATTTATTAAACGCACGTTGATTTTTTAAAAATAGCATTATATTGATGAAAAAGCTTAAATTAAATTGTGATGTATTTTAATATTTAAAAAATATATAATTTTAAAATATAAAAATTATATATATATATATATATATAATTTACTCTAAACATAAGCATAAAAAACTAAAATATATAGAAAATCTTTGTAAAAGATAAAAATTAATATAAAAAATAATAAAATTTGTTTTTATAAATTAGAAACAACTTATAGTTAATTCTTTTTTAAGTTTTGATAAATTACTTTATTAAATTTTTTTAAATCAAAATATAAATTATTTTTTATTTATAAAAAAGTTATATTATTTTTATTTTATTTAGAAGTTAACTTAAACTCATGTTATATTATAAATTTATAGTTCTTGAAAGTTAAACATGACAAAAGTTATTTGGAACAACTTAAAAGTTAATTGATTTATAACTTTAAAGGTCTTTTTACAAAAACAATAAATATAAGAAAGAAAGTAAAAATTTTTGAACATTCAATATCATCTTGCACAAAATTTATCAGTTTTCACCACTTAAATTATATTAAATGATTGATTTATCATACTAAAATTTTAAATTTGATCATATTGCACAAAATTTATTTGCTTTCACACTTAAATTATATTAAAAGATTAATTTATCTTAAGTACAGTTGTATATAAATTTAAAAAGTTTATCTACATAAGGTTAGACCCACTCCTGTCACAATAAAAAAGAGATATAGTCTTTCTCAAATAAAAAAAATGAAGTATTCATTTAAGTTAGATATATAATAACAAATGACTTTATAAGTATTTAAAGCACATTAAAAAATAATAATAATCTAAAATAACTTTTTAATCTATAAAGTAGAATGCATGTTATATACTTTCAACAAAAATAATAATAATTATTATTATTATTATATCGTTAATTTTTTTTGTTAAGTATTAGGCAAACAAACTGAAAGTCAATTCAGTATTGTCACATGTTATGTTATGTTATTTATTTTATAATATTTTATTATTTAAAATAAATATTTACAAAAAAGTTTTTAAATAATTTTACATATTTGCAAACAAAATTTTCTTCCTCCCCAAATCTCTTCCCACCCTCGACTCCTCCCAAGCAATTCCACACCTAACCTCCACCATCACCCTTACCCCACTCACTCTCCGTCTCCAACCCCTAACATCTACTCTCACTCCCTTTCCCTTTTCTCGCTTCTACCCTAACTCTCACTCGACCCCCAACCTCTACTTCCCTTCCTTCACTTCCACCCTCTTCTTTCAACTCCACCTTTTTCTCACACCTCCTTTCGGCAACCCCTCCTCTTAATCGTGAGCATTGAGCCTTCTTGTTTAAAACACGAAGATATCATGCAAAAAGAATAAGAAGATTATAAATTTTATTTATTAAATGTATATTATCAATAAATAAGTCATGACTTATAGACCACACACCAAGAATTAGGATCCACCAAAATTATAGGTCAAGACATAAAAGTTTTGACTTTCTTTCAATTGATGTAATTGGGTGTTGGGTGGGAATGGGGTTGGGAGAGGGAATAGAGAACAGGGTGGAAGAAAGTGTGGGATTAGGTACAGAGTGAAAAAAAAGTGTAAGATTAAATATGAAATATTATAAAATAAATAACATGACATGATACGTAATAATACTGAACTAACTTTTTGTTTGTCAGGATTTAATATTAAAAAGTTAATGATAAAGATTAAATTTTAATTTTTTAACTTGTCAAGGATTAAATTCTAACAAAAAAATTATAAAATTTATTGTAAAATACCTAATATTTATAAAGATAAAAAATATAATTAAGTTTTTTTTTTTACTTCAAATTGATTCATATTACTTTTTGTTTTTTATTTTTTTATAAATTTATTGATATTTGAGATTTGATTAGGTTAAATAAAATTATTTTTTATGCAAAGATGAGTGAGGTTATTATTGTTATTTGTTCAAATAGTAGAATATTTGAAAAAATTAAAGATATTATGCTTAGAGCTAAATTAAATAATAAGAAACCAAATTAAATTAATCATAATATTTGATTAAATGAACTTAAATAAAAATTTCAAAAAAAATTAAAATGAAGTAATTTATTTACCGATTAGCTAATATTTTTTTATCTAAATATGAAAGAAAATATAATAGTTTTTAAATATACAATGATTTTTTATTAATAATTATCAATTTAAACGTCACGTTGACATCAACTTGTGAGTAGTTCAATAAATGATAAATATAAAACTCACTGCAAATGTTAAATAATAATACAACTATCACACTTTTCACTACTAATAATAATAACATAAAATCTTCAGAAAAAAAAAAAATAATAAAACAAGATATAACAAGGAATCACTTATTTTATAACTGGTGGTGGGATTGTGCTGTGTTTAATGGAACTCTTTAGGGACTAACTTATTGAGTTTTGAAAACAATTTTCAAACATTTATTTTAAAATTTAAAATGAATTAAACTTAGTCAAGTGCTATCCCATGCTTACTACACTTTCCACAACAAGTTTAACATACAATTTTTTGTTATGCATAATTTTTTGTGTGTGACATTTTTTTGAAAGAGATACACACAATAAATTACACCACATGTTATGTTGACATTTGCATAATACACTGTTATTATGGTAAAAAATCCAAACTTCTTCTATTTCATTGTGTGTTTTGGATGGGATTATTTTTATTGATTAAGACAAATTTCTGAATAAAACATTGTCCATGTTTGTTTAAATTATATTAAAAATTAGCTCATAATTTTAATTAATCCTTATTAATTACTTTCAAATTTAAAATGCATAATTACTTATATATACTTTTATAATTATAACTTAAAAGATAAATATTTCGTTCTATCTAAATATCAATAAGTTATTTTAAAATTAATTTCCATCTAATCTATTAAAATATAAAATTTATTTTATATAATCAATCATTATAAAAAATATTTATAATGACTCTTTACTAAAAAAAAAATTATAAATATTGAAGAAAATCTAACTCTAACCCACACTACAGAGCCTTAAAAAAAAAAAAAGAAGAAATTGTTGACGCTGGTAACTATAACAAAAACATTTAACAGGGGCTCTGAGAAAGCAGACTCAGAATTTGCTCGCCGAGAGAATGGGAGAATCACTACTCCAATTGGTTTTCGCCGTCGCTCTCACTCTGTTCCTCACTTCCTCGTTAGCTTTCCAATCAGACGAGCTTCTCCTCGACGACGAAGAGTTTGGCCTCGAAGGTGCTCGCTCATCCTTCGATTCCGATTCTCATTCACCTTCTTCTACCACTCGCAAGAGGTTTTCTGACTCTGCCTCCGATTCCAAGATCCAGTTCCCTCTCCAACACGCTTTTGGAGATTCCGATTTCTCCGACGCCGGTAACTTCTCCGCTCGCCTCAAGACTTGGAGCCACGGCGGCCAGGTTCCTTCCTTCTCCTCTCTCTCTCTCTCCCTCCGTGTTTATATTCAAGATGTTTCGATTTGAATCTACTTCTATTCAATAGCAAGAATATTTTGTCACGTTTGTTCACTCTTATTCCGATGAGTGTTGTAGTGGATAAAATATGTACGAGATAAGTACTGTTGCGCTGAAAAGTAATTTTGATCTTGTGATAGACATTGACGAAGTTGCGGTTTAAGCGGGATCCTTTCACTGACACTGAGCAGAAGAGATTTCAAGTAATTTTTTTGTTTTCCATTGAGTTATGATGTGTGTGTGTGTGTTTGTATTGTGGTGTATTAGCATTAGATAAAGATATGGCACTGTTCTCTTATTACAGGAGCTGTTGAAAGGAGATGATTTCTATAAGATTAGATTGCCATCCAATGTTTTGAGTCCTCCTGGCAGGGAATATATTATTTCTTCTGTGAAAGCTGTAAGTATGAATGTGAATCAAGTTATTGTTGTTGCCCATTGGATAGTGTGGATTGAAAATCAAGGTCCCTTTGTCACTCATACTATGGTTTAGTGATAGGATTTGCGCTTGGGAAGTCTGACTTTTTTAGTTCCTTGGTTTATTTGTTCCTTTGTCTAGCATTGTACTTCTATTTGGTGCTGTACTTAACGGTGATTCTGTGGAATGATAGTTAGCATCATTGTGGCTCTTTTATTTGGTGGTGTTTTGATGACTTTTTGAACTATTGACTCCAACCAGAACTAACAGTCTGCCTTTCTGAATCCAGCGATGTCTTCCAGGGGATGGATTGGAGGAGCATTTTGTAATACATATGGTAATCTGTCTTATATAATAAAATATGCTGTTTATGCTGCATTAAGTCTCTTGTATTTGTGAGGATAACTTCTCCACTTAGTTCAAATTTTGATACATCATTAGTAGATGGAATATATTGAACAGGATTAAAATGTAAGTTGTTGACCAGACTTTCCAACCATTCAATTGTGGTTTTTTAAGTGAGACAGTTGATCTTGAAAACTTAAGAAAAAGTGGATTTTGAGAATTCAATGAATTTTTCATTTGGGTCATGCTAAGTAGTGCCATAAAGGTTCTTGATAAGTAAATTAACAAATAAAAAGTATAACATTGAGTTGACTGGGACTTCAAAACTTTACTTTTCATTTGTTACTTTACTTTTTTGAATCCTCAACAAGTACCTTAAGGGCATGCATTTGCATATGCCTTTTCATATTTTATTTAAATGGAAGCTTGAGAGAGCATGGGCAGTGTTCCCTATGCAATAGTGTATAATACTTCATCCTGGAAACCAAACTAAACTTTGGTTGTATTTTCCTTACAGATCTACCTTTACATTTGTTTCTTTTTAACTTCATTGAGTGTCACTCTATTTTTCTGTTTCAGGAAGGTGTTAACATCTTGGCTGTCAATTATGGTGCTCCTGGGGCCTGCCCTTATCCCCGACAACTGAAGCTTGTATGACACATACATTTTACAACTGCACTTATTTTTTGTTTAATTGAGCTTAGCTCAACTATTAAAAATTTTCAACACTTTTTGTTGTCATCTATATTTCTCCTCCTCTTGCTTCTGTTATTTTGTACACGGCTGACTTCTGTAAATGGTAGGGATGCCATATTTTATTCTAGTTCATGTTTTACCTGGAGTCAATAATACTATCTCTTTCCTTAACATACACACAATGATATAAATAAGAAATTAATAATGCTTTTATTTGTTTCTACCACATATAGTTACTTGTTTAAGCATCCAGAATGGTTGTTGTTGGTGCCATAAACAGTATTTATGATATGGAATTTCAAGATAAAAAGTGTGATTAGAATCATTAGATCCAAAACTTGCTGGTGGCAGTAGCCAGTTTACCTTGTTAATGCATTATGGTCCTGATCCCTGCTTGTTTGAAAGAGTAAAATTATCATATATGATGCCTTTAGAAATTTAGTCTACCTGAATAATCCACAATCAATATTCATGTTCTGGTTGATTTTGTAACCTGTTTTACTACAACTTGTCTTTGTTCTTAAGAGATACCAGGTGTGCCTGATTTATATTCATAAACTTGCACAAACTTAAAAGTTGTGTTGAATGCCTGATTTATATTGCAAAAGCTAATCTTATTCTTTCTTTTTTTTTGGGGGGGGCTTTAGCCTGCAAAGTGGTCTTTCAAGTCTCACACAGTTCTGAAGAACAGTGAACAAGCACCAAGGTATTTGTTCTATGTTTGACGATCTTCTTGATTGTTTTTTTTTTTTTTGTACTTAATATACAGATAGTAACAGAATCAGCATAGTGTTCCTAGCATGGTTGCTAAGGGAGCATTGAGTTATTGAAAACTTTCTATTTTTATTTTTATTATTTTTTTTGGGGGGGGAGGGTTGGGGTTGAATTTAGCCAACTTGGATGGATAGAGAGGGGATAAGCATGGTTCCAGCCCCCCCCCCCCCCCCCCCCCAACAAAAAAAAATTTCCTTGAAAAATTATGCATATGGATTTTATTTTTAATTTATACATAAAAATATTTTTTTTATAATTTGTTAATTTAATTATAATTTCATATATTTTAAGTTAAAGTCCATACTTTTGAGCGTAAAGACTTCTTTCTCCATGTGACGCATGACTTCCTTTGTATCTAGCATCTCACATTTTTTTTTCAAATATTATCAATTAAATTTATTTAATTTCAATTTACCCAATTGTTAACCAAAATTTTTTTATATCTCCAAATGTGCAGATAGCTTTGACACATCATATCATTTGAATAGTTGTTTCACGCACTTTATTTCCATAATTTGCTTCTTTATTTCAAAAGTTTCTTTTTGTTATTTTTATAAAATTAAATAATTTTTTCATCCTTGACAATGAAGGCATCCCGTATTATACTTTGTTCTTTGTAAGTTGCTTGACAATGCTATATGTTCTTTTTTTAAAATTTTTTTCCAAATGTAAACTTGTATTTAAAATTTATTTAACTTTTGGCCCTTCAATTATTTGTTTTCTTAATCTGTCCCTGAGCCAACTGTCAAATTTTTCTATAAAACAATTTTAATAAAGCGAAGAACAGCATGGAAACAATATAGATTAAAAAATGTGAGTTAGCTTTGTGTCAGACATTATTAAACTCTCTTGAATTATCTTCAGTTCATGCAATAAGATTGTAGTTTATGCACTTCTTTAAGTAAAGTATGTAGAGAGTAGGGTGAGAATAGCTTACAAAGTGATTTTTATATTGATTTGATCTCCATTGTGGAGTCTATATTCAATCCCTAGCAATGGTGAAATATTTACTAGCAAATGAGTGTCTTCTAAGCCACTCTTGCCTCTCCAAGTTCAGGGAGTTCACCCAATCCTACAAATTCTTATGGCAGTCTTATAAGGCTAATCAACAGAAGTTACGGATTGAATTCAGCTGAAGGTTCATGTTCTCCTACATAATCATGGTTTTTTTAGTTATTTAAAGGCAAGGTAGAAGAGAAGAGAGACTTTGGACCAAATGACCAATACCAGATTGATAGTGGAGCTTTCCTCTTCAAAATTATCATCTTGTGCTCTTTTTTCTCCATGATTCTACCATTTAGGTGCCCTTCTTTCTTTGTACTCATTGGGTCCTCTGGTCCTTTGAGTTCTGTCTCCTTTGCTGACTGGATATGATAAGATCTTTTAGTACAGTCTGGATTATTCCTCGATTGTTTCTGCTCAACAATTATTCCGATCCTCCAATTTTCATGTCTTTTTACTGAGTGCACTCTACCATGGTTGTCTCTTTTTATCAAAATATTTTTCCTTGGGTTTCACGCACCATTTAGTCACTGGTTTTTGGATAAGAATCAATTTGATATAACAGAAGAAATAAGTACAACGAATGCAGTGTACTGAAATATGTAGTATTGCACGGAAATAAAGATGAATCAGTATGATTCACCGCAAATACAACAGAAAAGAAGAATGCACAATAACTATCTTGAGCTATTCGAGGTGCTCAGGGCCTCCCAAATGGAATTACTTCCCACAGTACTCTCTGTCCTCTCACTCTCGTTACCCCACCGGATTTATTTTCTCTCTCCTGACAGTTAGCGCACATACACATAAATTCACTGCATAACAAGGGAGTGATTCCCTGGTCCCACCCTATTTCTCTTTCTCGCATATACCCTTCCAAACCTTTTATTATTACTATCATTTTTCTGCACAGCACTTGGCAAGGGTAAAGTAGTAGTATACAATATTTAAGTTAATAGCCTTGGGTCAACACTTAGGATGTCTTGGTTTAAAGCTTTAATTGTTGAAGATCATGTGTATCATGATTGATGTCTATGTCTCTATGATGACATGGAAGATTAATAGCAGTATGCAGATGGTGATCGATATGAAGTTTACAATTAATACATATAAGAGCTTTGAAGTTATTCCCTCTTTCAAATAATTATAACAATATTGAATAAGAAATTTATGTACTATTATATAAAAGTATAATGAGATAAAAAAATAGTAATTGAATGTGCCTTCTTGGCTCTGAACTGTTTACTGAATTCCGGGTCCAGATTTTTATTTTAGAAAAAAATTGTTTTCAAATGGAAACATGCTTTCCTAAAATATGTCAATTGAAAAAAACAAAACAAAATTAATGATAAAAAATTGAAAATCAGAAGGGGGCATAGCTTTCCCAACTGAATGTTTCCATGATGTTGTCTGGACTCTGTCGATTAAGATTAACATTGTCTTTATCTTATAAGCTAGTGCTAGTGAGCAAGGAGGGGTAAACCTTTTGCAGTTTGTCCTATTAACACTAAACATGATGTAGCTGTTGCCCCGTCATCTCTGTGACACGTTTACTAGTGTGACCTCTTTTTTTATTCAACAACTAACTTTTTGCTTCCGCAGAGCTCCGATATTTGCTGAAGATGTGCTTGGTGGAGAGGAGGGAGATGGTGAGGCTGTAAAGCCAGTAGAAAAGTCCTTTTGGGCTAAATACGTGAGTATACAACATACATACTGGCTTGATCTTCAGGCCATACCATATCTATCTTTTCGAAACTATAATTGTATGTATTTCTGAATTAAAATTTTCACCTGGAATCTTTCTCAATATCAGTGGATGTACCTGATCCCTCTTGGACTCATAGTGATGAATGCTGTCACTCAAGCTATGAATATGCCTGAGGAACAAGCTGGTGGTCAGGCACAGCAGCAGCCAGGATCTGCAGTACAGCGTGGAACAAGTTCCGGCGTGCGTAGAAGATGATAAGTTGGCTTCCTCCACTCGGAACACATTATTTGAGGACACTGTTAATGAATGAAATCTTAGGTTGACCTTTTATGTAACATTTTTAAATAATTTTAAATGCTTATAATTAGCTTTGTCAGACCCATACGAAAAAAAAAATTGATTTGCTTGTAAACTTTGAAACAGCGGTGCCTTTTAAGTTTCCTGTTAGATTGACTAGTTATTGTTATATATTGAAATTTTGACAAGAATATCCGTTTGGGTTATCTGATTTTGTATGATGTTTCTGGGACAATTCTTCGTTTATTCGTAACTAGTCTTTTCGTTCATTCTGCTCGTGTAATTTTCTTCAATATGTTCACGACCCGTCTTTACAATAAGAAGCTCGTTGAATTCACTAAAACACAGATAACCACTTGGACCCTGTAGGTATAGAAACTTGTTGACCCACAAATAAGAAAGATATTGCTGCCTTTTATTCTTTGCTCCCCATACTTATTATCCTTGGAAAGTTAGTAATAATTACTTAAACAACGGAGAGAATCTGGCCTTGCACTTTGGAAGGTGGAATGCAAGATGATAACCGTTCGTTAAAGCAGTAAATTTTTATCGATTTCATTAGCATCATCTTTTAGAATTGATTTTATGTATCTTAAATTTTATAAAAGTTTTTTTATATTCTTGATGTAATAAATGCTAAAAAGTTATATTAACATTTTTCATCATTCATAGCAAAGCTAAAAGGAAAATAAACAGGCAAGGTTCCTCTTTTATATATATCATCAATAGACATCAATTTAAGAATAGAAGACTTTTATTTTTATTTTTTGTAAGAAATGCAAAATAAAAAGAAGGGTGAACTATTTTTTGAAAAAACAAATAAGTTTGTTACATACATTAGAGTTTTTTCTCGTCTCTTTCGAAAAGTCCCTCCTAAATAACCTTTAGAGTTGTTTAAAAGATGTTCTTGAAGATGGACAAAAGGCTAATTGATGGGCATGCTAGAACAAATATTGGACATCGTCCCGACCCACATGATATCCAAAAGTTGGAGATTCAATGAAAAACCAATAATGAAACCTAAATTAGAAAGGAGCTTCAGCAAATATAATGATTGTAAATTGGGAACGAAAAAAGCTCCGGCAAAACAACATGGAATTAGAGGGAAATCTAGAGTCTTAATTGCTTTAATGAGTGCATCCCATGGGGAAGAAAAGAGACTCACGTATAAATAATACATCCGATCCCTTTTATAAGAATCTTTTAATTTAAACAAATTGTCATTCTCTTGAGAAAGCATGATTACTACTTGGAAGTTCTGATTCTCTTGAGTGCTGAATAAATAATGTTATGTATAGTCTGATAAATCTTTTTGGTTTATCCGTTAATTCCTGTTTGTAGGTTAGTTGGATTGGATATCAGGACTCCCAACTTTGGGATCATTCTTCCCATTGTGTCTGATTGAGTCGAGCGATATATACAATTCACCTTCAAATGTTGTGAATGTTTAATAACATGAGCAATTAAAAAATACATTTCAATATACAACTTACTTTTAAAAAAATTATATAATTATTTACACTATAATTTTAACGATGAAATTTATTAAAATAAATTAAAAATAATTTATTTCAATAAAGTATACCAAAAATCTTATTAAAACAAATTAAAATAACTCATCAAAATCATAAGTTATTTTTTTCATAATCTATTCATAAACTCTTACAAACAGACTCTTTAATCTTTTGAAGTTACTTAATAAAACACAAGGATTATGTCTAATTTTTATAGCTCCCTCATCAAACCAAAGCAATAGCTAGACCCTTTTTTTTCTTTTTTTATCTTGGCTAAAGGATTTTGCAGTCGTGTTTATTAATTTTTAATTATACAAGGAGTACAGAGTTTATACTCTATATTTCTTATTTTTGCGTCAATTAATCATAATATCCATAAATAAATTTTAGGGTGTCATACTCTTGCAGCTAGCTTCATATCAATGGTAAATTGGCTTTAGGATTTCCAATTCCATAAAAAATGCTTGGCAACTGAAAGGAAGCAAGAGTAAAATAAAACATAAACATGCGACAAAGATACTATTTATTATTATAAAGTTTCCCTTGAAATTAACATGAGATGCAACATAGCACCAATATTTAACGCAATTATAATTATAATTCATAACAATCTAGAAATTCTTGTTAACCAGATAAGAAAGAAGACGCCTTATCCCATCAGAGCTCGTCCTGCACCGATCAAAGAAAGTCATTTTTTGAGTACAACAACAAAAAGATGTCAAATATTGCATATCAATCACACTTATTTCCAACCATAAAGACAGCTTTTATAATTTCTTAATTTTTTTAAAATTAATGTTATGACATGTAAAGCTATGTTTTAAAAAAAGTGAACAAATTTGGATATTGATCATCAAATTCCGCCTCTATTTCTATTAATCTAATTAGCATTAGCGAGAAAACCATAAGAAGAAAAAGGGGCGTACATGATAATCCATATAATCATGGCGATGCTGCAAATAGGAAAACAATTCAGTGTAAGAAAAGTTTGATCATTGTTTTACAATATCAAAATCCATAACATAGATAACCAACCATAATGATAATTAGCAGAACTTTTGGTTTAAGGAAAACATCATGTAGAATATAACTTAGCATTCCATCATAATTACTTAAACATTTTTTTTATTTAATTTTTTTATGAGAAACATATAAGGCAACTCAATCTATTTCTTTTCTCTGTCAAATACATTTATTGCGTCTAACTGAAGTACTGTAGCTAATGATCCAAAACAAAGTTCATTATCCACTTTGTCATTCTCTATCAAAGATTCTGGCTAAAAATTTTAGTTTCATGGGCATCACATAGTATTCAGCTCTAAAAATGCTCAGGCACAAGTATATATAGTTATCAAGAGATTTTCATGACAAATTGTTAGGCAAATTGGTTTACTTCCACTCACCACAGACATTTTATCAGAGAGGATTGGTCAAAGCAATATTAAAATACTGCTTTAGAACTGGAGTTCTATTCCAATCTAGTATCTATGCTATTTGTTTAATCCTCAAAAGGGAGTGAAGATTCATTAAAAAGGAAAATAATAAATAATGAACGTATTCATGTATGATACATACCCTTCTGTATCTGTCTCTATATCTGTCCCGGTGTCGTCGGTCATGACCTCTCTCACGTCTACGCCGTTCACCTTCTTCTCTTGCTCTTTGAGCCTCCTGCACAAGTAAGAGTTTAGATCCTGGAAAATAAACCAGGGTGATTCAAGACAGATGATTGACTCAAAACTGTATATCCATGTACCTCCTCCTCTTTGGCTTTTCTCACTTTCTCTGCTTCTTCAAAACCTTCCTTTTCAATCTGAATGCCAAAAAATAAGAGTCATCTTAACATGTATCCTAAGAGAAGGCTCATATTGAATACACTTGTTCTTTTTATAAATGCACATTTTTCAAGTTCAAAAAGGCATAATTAAGTTTCTATACCATACATTTTTAAGTTGTGTTCATATTAGTCCATGCTGTTTTAATTTTTCAATTTAGTCCCTTAATTTTCCAACTGTGTTCAAGGTCTCCCCTATTGTCGATTGCCATCCAAATAAGGCTGATAGGTGCTCGTTTGGTTATTGTCTACTTTTTACATGACACAACTTACACATTTTCACCTCAATCATCTGCCAATGACTATATTATCAACCCAATTTGGATGACAGTTGAATATCTGACTACATTGAGCACATATTGTTCATTACAGACTTCAATAGAAAATTTTCATGTAGACTAAAATGAAAGCAGCTTAAAAGTATTGACACTACTTCACCAAGAAATGTAGAGACTAAGATAACATATATAATATCTGTATTATCAAATACTTATAACTTTAAATAAAACTAATTAAAAAGTCAGTACATACATAAAAAATGTTAGTTGTTGTTCAATAATATCTAATAACACAAATGAGCGAAGTGACCCCTACTAGTCGGATGTTGAGTTATATCAAATGCAAGAGAAAAACTCACCTCCCTGTTGGCAAAAACTTCCTCTACAACATGTTTTGCATAATCAGGATCATCACAAATTAAAACGTTGTCAAAAACTGAACCACCTTTAACCTGAAATACAATATTTGGCTTAATATTAACTGCATCAACCCATTTTAGCCTAATAGCTTTTCACTTCAAAGAGGGGAGGAGAGAGAGGTCCACAGCATAACATAGCAAACCAATGCCAAATTTCGAAATTTATATTCATCATACCTGCCAAACTTCGATGCCCACATACTTGATAGGCTTAAGCACATAAAGATCAGGATCATCTTCAAATTCTGAGAAGGGAAAGATAAAAATCGAGGATTCCTTAGTATGCAGGAAAACCTGATATAGTGATATATATTAAATTATCACAAAGAACCTATACATTTAAACATACCTGGATTATCTATCCACGGAGTTTTCCATTTCCCTTGGTAGTTGGGGTTCTTGATTTTCTGTCAAACATAGAGTTTGCAAGTAAGAGAGAATGAGTACTGAAAGAATACTGAAAAAGAATAAAGCAAAATGAATGCTAGTCGCTGTATTGTTAGCTTCCCAAACTTGATCAACAAACCTTTCGTTTCCATGGCCCTTTGTATGCTGGATTTGGTATCTTTGGTGGTTTCCATTTCCCATCTTCCTCTTCATCCCAGTTATCAGGCTAATTTAAATGAAAAAAATGCATAAAAAATCATTTATTTCCTTATTTAGAAGTCATCACATCAGAAAACCAAAATGATGCATCAAATTCAAACCAGAAAAGCAAGGAACTAAGAGAAAATGGTTGCAAAATGATAACAAAGTAGCGTATTGAGGATGAAACCAGAATCTCAATAGAGATCCCTCTGAATTTGAAAATTGAAGAAATCTGAAGAGGGCATTTTTAGATATGTTTTTCCATGCAACTAACCTCTTTAGCATTTGGGTCAGGAATTTCTCTTGGGATTGAATCATATCCCTGAAATAGCAATAAACAAATAAATGAGCTAGCCATCTCATGGACTAAAATCACCATCCCCTTGCTCCATTATCATTAGGGAAAAATTAGAAGTTGTGGATACCTCAGGTTTGACATCATTAGGGTCTTCAATATATTCTCTATCATCCCAGTCAGCAGGCTGCAATTTGGAAAATGTTTTAATTTCAAAATACAAATTATTGCTAGAAAGAAATAAAAAGATATATCACCACTAGGATCTGATTGGGATAAGGCAAGTCTTTTTATGATAAAACAGGAAGTCTAAACTCAGTTATAATATTGTTATAAGATACTTAAAAAACCAAAAGCTTCACAACATGCTATAGGACAATGTCAAAAGTAGACTACTGAGTAAAACAGCTCAAAATGAAACCTTTTTTGCCTTGACATCTTTTATTTTTCGGGGAGGAAGAATATCCCAATCTGTATACATGCTTCCTGAATCTCTCTCTCTATTATCAACCAGGACACTGTACGAGGCATCTGGCCTAAGAATGAATGTGTAGAAATGAGTTAACTTTTCAGTTTCACATTGCAGGTCCTTCTTTAAGGGGTAATTTTGACCATGGTAGGAGAGTATGACATGGAGCTTCTTTGTATCTGTGCCACATAAATCTGGTCCAAACATTAAACTATAGAGAATATGTCAGTGGGACATTTTTAATGTAAAAATAGAAAACATGAACAAAGGAAAAAAAAAAAAAAAGACAACAGTGGTAGTACAGAATGTTTAATAAAAATGCTGCAAGGTGAAGCAAAATACCATGCTATGATCAGGGTCAAGCAAGCTAATACAAAGAGAAAAATAACACGTATATGGCTTGGAAATTTGAAGGTCAACAAACATAAACTTTCTCTTGTTACTCCGAACAGAATTTTCTATAATATAATGAAATATCTATGTTTCACCCCTTAAATGATAGTTTCTACTCCTAGTAAGAAGACAAATACCTTTTTGTACAGAAAACCTTACAACATGTATTATCTCATAAAACAAGTAATATTCAGTATGAATTTACAAGTCAGTGTGCCTCAATGTCCTATTATCTAGTCTAGCAAATTAGATCCTGTATCAACATTATAATCAGAGAACATTATTTCACAAATTTTGTAAAGAAACAAAGTTCTGTTTACTTGTCATATCTTGAAGTGAAAGAACTAAGCTTGAAGGTTTAAATTTTTAATATTTTAGAGAACAAGTATAGAAAAGAGATGGTGACCCATTCATGTAATAAGGTTCATTAGGAGACAAGTTTTATATTAACAGTTTAGTAGACTGTATACGGAGCTAGGAACCATTTTTATCTAAAATCCAGCTCAAGGTGGAGTATTAAGGAAGTTACAAGTGTTAGGATCATTATCTATATTTAAAAAAAAAATTAAAAGCATATTACAAAGAGAGCAACAAATATTATCATATTTCCGACCACCTTTTTTTTTTCTATTTTGTTTCTCTTTATATCATCTGTTTGTCTTGCAAGAATCACAACTTCAGCATTGATATATTATTTTCCATTCATATTGTAATGTTAATTCTCATTATTTACTTAAGCTTCTATACTTCATTAATGCAAAAGAGGAAATAATGAAAACTGATTAATATTTTTAAAAAAAATAAGTTTATTTAGGATGCCGATTTACTATTTGTTCACTTGATATAAATCAAGAAGGAAAAACAAATTGAAGAACATGGAATAAGCAACACACCTATAAGGTGTATCCCCACCAAACTTCTTTTGATTAACAAATCCAGAGAGTAGCTTTATGTAACCTCCACCACACTCAATTTCTTGCTCAAATTTTACAGAATACTGGAGGACCAATGTTCTGTTCTTGTTGCTGAATTCTGGTATCTTTGCAGAGATGGCAAAGTGTTTGGCATCGCTAGATGTTTGAATACCTACAAGATCCCACAAAATGGCTTAATGTTACAACAGCAACCAAATTCCTGTTACTACCATTTTGTACATATTAAGAAAAGGAGACCATCATAAGTCCTTCTAACTAGAAAATGTATTCACTAATTGAGACTTTGCTGGACTAAATTACTCTCACCTGATCTATATTCTGCATTTCCAACACAAACCTCACTTCTATTTACGAAAATTACACAAAAGTTCCTTACAATTATATTTAAAAAGACATACAAACTTAACTCCAAAATATTGTCATGCCTAACAGATTTGCTAACAGAATCATTAGCTCATGGATATTCTGAAGCCACATATCTTTCCAACTCCAGTTCAGCTGAACTTGTTGAGAAAGAAATAATACATTCATGATTCATTTAAACATTGACATCATTAACATGAATGCAAATGTGCATCCTCAACTTTGAATTGCTTAAAATATACATTTCTTGTCTATCAAGAACATTTTTAAGTTAAATGGATGGCACCATACAAGAGACAATAAAGGCATACAAAATCATCAAGTACCTTTATCATCTGGATCACCAGCCCACTTTCCAGCCGTGTGCTTGAATGAACCTGCTTTCCCTTCACTGCTTTTCCAATCTGACTTTACCCAGCGACTTCGCCATCCATCTTTACAAAAACCAACGCATTACAGACCACATCATATAATCAGAGAAAAACCAAAAAGACTTGCAAACTATGAGTTAAAAGACAAAACTTAGGTTCAGTTCCTTAAGTGCTTTTAGTATTGTTTACCAATCAAAATTAGAGTTTTATTTGGATAATTTACTATAACATTAAATATAATTGTTTTACTAAAATAAAACTCTAATTTTAACTAATGAATACTACTAACAGGACCTGAAGAACAACACTTATTTATGTTTTGTCTTAAGTTAAATTCCTTTGATATGTTAGGAACTGGTTTTGTTTTTCTCAATTAATATTTTCACTGACGATGACATGAACTTCTTTTGTTTTGTGAATAAAATAGTGAAAACAGTTAAATTTTGTTCACAGTATTTCCTCCCCAGAATCGCAAAAAAAAAGAAAGAAAAAAAGACGAAAATAAAGTGTCATTCTTATAATTACTGTACTTACTAGTAAAAAGTATGAGCTGAAAAGGGAAACATGAAACAAATCAAACACCATTTTTTCTTGTGATTCCTTCATCCACATATGGAAGTTAGTGTTGGAAAACATTGTAAGAGAAAAGTGATGGAAGAAACTGAAATTTACTAAATAAGAAAACTTGATTACACGCTAGCCATACATACGTGGCTTATATACTATATATAAACTGATGACAATAGTAAACATTATTTATATAATAAATCATATAAGTCATCATCTATGTATTTAATTACCAATTAAACTAACTAATTCACATGTGGTAACTAACATACAATTGAATAAAGAGCAGAGAAGAAAATTGAAATACCATCAAAGCGCTCTTCAAAAATGATTTCAGAAACGGAAATTTGTATAATCAACAAACAAAAAAACACAAACTTGTTCAACTCAGTTAAAGCATTTTCCGCCATTTGAGGAATAAAATGAATATTTGCTGTCACTGCCAATTACCAATTGTAGAGTTGAGCTTACTTATAGAGAACCTCCCTTCTTCTTTGCCCCTTCTTCCCACCTTAATTACTTATATGCCACCCACTATTAGATTCTCAATGTTTACCTTCAATAAAGCCTGATCACGGAGTTGGATTCTTTTCCAATTTACTTAAATGTAAATTTTTTTTAATGTTATAAATTATATTTTTTTACTTAAAATGTAATTTAATATGATTTTATCATATTTTAATTTCAAACATGTTAAAAAACATAAAAATTATAATTAATAACATTAAAATTTATATAAAATTTACGTTTAATTACCATAATTAATACTCATAGAAGATTTAATTTTACACTGAAAAAATATAATTTATATTTTATGTGAATATATTTTTTTGTTTTGACATTAAAAAAAGTGTGATTTTGTTACCAAGATATAATTTTTAATGTATAAATTAATTTATAAATAAAGACTAACTATACAAATTAAATAAATTTATTAACCCAAATTAAACTAAATTTGATTGTGGATTTTTTTATGGCGTGTTATATACTTGGAAAAGAAAATGATGATGGTGGAGTCTTGAAAACATGGTAATTACTAATTAGTGTTGCAATTGTCCAATGGAAAGCTAACTTTGACGTAGCAATAGCCAATGGTAGTATTTTTATTTTTATTTTTATTTGCATTTCTGTGTCATATTTATTTATTTATTTTTAATTGAAAGAAAAAAAAAAGTCAAAGTCTACGACACTATAAAAGTTGTGAAACCAAACGATAAGGAAATAGAGAAAGACAATTTACGATGAATTGAATCTCTTTCCTCACTCTTTCGGAAACGACTCAGAACGCGTTTCAAAGGTCAACGACGACCCACAGTCAACGTAGCCCTCACTTTTCCACTTATCTTAACTCACCATTAATCATTACCATAACTTCATTATTGATTCTCATTAGTGTGCATCTAATGGCCAATACATTTGATTTACGAACCTATTTGATTCTAACCTTACTTAAACATTAGTTCTTTATTAAAAAAAAATTACACAATTTAAAATTAGTTTTTATATTGAATTTTTTTATTAAAATATAGTTATATTTTTTCACAAATTATTATTTTTAGTTTCATAGTTCATTGAATTACGGTTAAGTATTAGTTCTTAGTGAATTAGGTTAATTAAAAAGACTAAAATAAATATTTTATATAAAATAATAAGAACTATATCCTAAATTTTGTTTATAGAGATTAAATTTAAATTTTGTAATTATTACAAGAAGTATACATTTAATTAAACCTTTACTTTATTAAGTTTTTTTTCTAAGGTTAAGTTTTTTTAATCACATAAAATTATTCTTACAAACTGATATTAATAATTTGATTTTATCTTCGAGAAATTTTTTCTTTAAAGGACGAAGAGAGCTTTTTTAGAAGTGAATTTGAACCAATACCAAAAGTATGTAATGTAACTGTTAAAACTTAAAAAATGTTTAAATGATTGGTTAATGATAAAAATAAAGTTTTTAATTAAAATTTAATAATATATTTTAATGTGAAATTCAATTAACAAAATTAATTGTATTTTAAAGAAAAATGCCAACCTTAATTTTTAGTATTGATTTGAAACAGCTAAAAGTAAAAAAATTATTACAAAAAATGTTTATTGATTTTTCTAACATATGTTTAAAGACACACAAAATAATTAATAAACGATAAAAATTTATTAAAAATTATAATAATTAATATTATTAATGTATTATTATATAATTTAAAGTTTTTAATAAAAGCTATATGTATATATATGTGTATATATACATATACATATATATATATATATATATTATGTCATAGGATACATATTAAAAAACAAATAAAATTATTACATAAAACATATAAAGATGTGAAAAAATGTTATACCATGTGATAATTTTTAAAAGACACTTTTTAAATTAATTCAGTGATTATTTTTATAAGACATTTTATAATTTTTATTTATCTTTAATAAATGAAATTAATGAAAACTTAAATTAAAATAATAAAGATAATTGTTGACAATGGATGAGGTTCAGTAAAATTGCCATATTATAATTTAAATAAAATTAGTTACTTTTATTAGTTTGTGTAGTTTAATTAAAAATAAATAATAAAAAATGATAAGAAGGAGTATTTTTTAATAAAAAAAATATTATTTTATATGCTTGAAATTAACTTTGAAAACTAAAATTGACAAAAAAAAAGAAGGTAATATTTAAAGTAGTGTTCCAAGAATACTTGCTAGCAAAACTTTACATTTTTTATTGTATTTTGTATTTGTGTTATAAACTTTGTTCATTTATGTGTTGAAAAGCGATATGCCAATTTTTAGCCATGATAAGCTATTTTAAGATTTTTTGAATATTTGTTGAGTATATTCTTAAAGTCGATTAAATTTTGTAATATTTTTAATTAGGTTGTCCTATAGTCTGTTACATAAATTATAATAGATAAAATTGTGTTTTATAGCATAAATAATTAGCATGATTATCTCGTTAAAGACATAACGTGATACACATTTTAGGGTAAAAAAATAAATTTTTAAATGCATTACACAAAAAAGGATATTTCTTATTGACTTAAATTATAGTTTTGTATTTGTATAATAAGTGAATGTCAATTTATTTTGTTTGAAAACAATTTAAGAAAATAGTTCAAAATTGGTTAAAATCAAGCATGCCTTTAGATATAAGTAATCACATACACTGTCTTGATAGATTAGTTTCACTGTTTGCTTATCCAGTTTTTTTAATGGAAAACAATAAAAAAATAGAAGGAATTGAAGAGATTGATTTCAAAATTTCAATTTCACTTCGTTTATTTAAGTTGAGATATAAATTACTAATTAAGATAAAAAATATATATATACATTTTATAGATGAACGTTCATTTGAAAATTATGTTTCAGAATTTATACATTAATCTTTTTTGAGTATTACATAAAATAGTTAAATGGGCTAGTCACTTTGAGCTCGAACTAAGTTTTTGAGTCTTTTTAACGTTCTTCATTGTTAAATAAAAGCAAATACTAACTACTGTTCTTTAAGACCTTAGTTAGCAAAACTTTTAAGTAAACTATAAAAATATCACATTGATAGAATGAGCGTCAAGTTATTTAACTAAACTAGCATAAGAGTGCACTCAATGTTAAATAAAAAGTATATTATTAATACTAGAGCTAATTCTTAAGATCAACTTGGAGCTTATTTACTAAAAAAAAAATTAAATTAAAAACTATTCACTAAAATAATAATTTAAAAAAAATTATTTCCTTATCTAAAGTTTTTTATGTAAGTCATTTAAGTTTTACATAATGTTAAGGCGAAATTTATCACTATTTTGACATGCCACTAAATTTGTTTACTTAACTAATTTCACTCATTCAAACATGTGAGATTAGTTATTACCTTTTATAAAAGGTTTTGGTACTTACAAGTTACAAACTAATTTCACCCATTCAACATGTAAAATTAGTTATTGTTTTTTATAGTTTTGATACTTATAGTAAATTTAAAAAAATATTGTATATTATTTTTAAATCAATAGTTATATGCTCCAATATCTTAAAAGTTAAAAGACATATATTTTTCTTATGATTAATCACTAATCCCTATTATATATTAGACATATTTAATATAATATTGATGATGATGATTATTCTACGTGTCAAAGAATATAAAATATCTTTTTAATCTTTAAAATACTATAAAAATTACCAATATTTTTTATTGAATATAAAGTTTCTAAATTTAAATTTAACTGCCACAATTTCAAAGTTAAAAACTTTGTGCTCATTTTTTAGAAAAAATGTAACAAAATTAAGTATAGAGACAAGTTTAGTAGTGACTTGAAATTGTCATAATGTCAAATTGAAAAATTTTGTACCCAATTTAAAAAAAGACAACAGAACAACTTATAAGACAAATTTAGTGACAATTTAAAGCATTACAAATTTAAAAACTCTTTAAAAACGATATTCGTATCAGGCACGATTTTAAAAAGCCCAAAAATGATTTTTTTAAAAAAATATATATTTTGGTAAATATTTTTAATTAATATTATTCTGATTAATATGCCCAAAAATTGTGCATGAAGAACATTTTCAAGGATTATTTGATAAGTTTAAGATTTTATTTTAAGAACTAAATTAAGTCCAATGAAAATTTTCAGGCACCATTTTAAGTGTTCACTAAAATAAACTAAAAATCAAAAGTATGTAAAAAAGTGGAGTACTTCCGTTCGTCGCTGAATAATATGTATGAACACTTTGCAAACAATTGTAACAGGCCATCGTGGATAAGTTGTGAACAATTGGTAACCAAAATCCACCAATACAGGTCTAAGTCTCCCTTACCAACCAAAATCCCCCGAGAGGGAGCTCCAGCTAATGCTTGCATGCCACATTTCCATGTATATTCATTAAGATTAAGACCGTCAAACTAGAGTCTATCTAAATTAATGTACAAAAACCAACCTATAAACTCAAGAGTTTACATTGTAAAAATATAATATTTTTAAAAAATGTACCATAGATCATAGTATTTTAATAAATAATGATAATCTCTCAAAAAAGTATTCTATGATCTCTCGTAGATAAAATAATTATTGTTGTTAATTTTATATTAATAAATACTGAAATTAATAATTTATTTAAAAAAACATAATATCCTTTAATTTTTAAAATATTAGAAGAATCACAATTATTAATCTAGAAGGTAGGCGATGTCCTCTGAGTTTACGGTGGCAAGCACCATTAATAATTCCATATGAATCATAAAAATCGACATTCTAACATTATTATGAAGCAAACCATCATAACAAAGTATGACAGATTATAGTTCATGTTAAGATCATTATAAAACAAGAACTAACAATTTACAAATCGCAATGGAGTGAACATAACAGATCACAACCAGTTTATAAGAGCCCAGAAATTGGAACATAGACAGAATGCTACCTCAACAAGACCTGGAGTTTGCAGTGGTTGATAACAGGAAAGTTCATGACACATTGACAGAGTTGGTGACAAATTGGTAGAAGATAATGCAGGGATAGTGACGGTTGACACTCAGTTGATACTAGGCTCACAATAGGATGATGTCTTTTGTTCGAATTGCAGAAAACAGATGCTGGGTTTGCGACAGGCTCGTTTGTCACAAGTCCTAAAGAAAAACTTCATGCTGCGATCGTTTTAAGTTTCATAGCAACATAGTGGTTTTGGCAACTGGGCACTCAGGCACTCCTGAACTCAACTTCTCTTAGACTCAATTTTGGTTAAAGATTGAAAATTCTACCCGAGTTTGAAGAAATAAATTTCCAGATATTTAACTTGGATTGCTCTGCCTTGAACTGTAAACTCGTACTAATCTACAAGTTAACTCACAGGCTTGACAACCATGATTGAAACCCTTGGTGTTTCATTCATTCCCCAAACTTCAAGTTCTTATAACAAATTCATGTAGTATGCCATGACACATCATCACTAGGAGGTTGGGATTCTAAAGAACAGACCCACCTTAAAACAGAAACAACTCACTGCCTTTGACTTAATAAGAATCATCAAACAAAATATAACACCAATTATCATACATGGACACTAAACAAAAGCGGAAATACAACAAACGAAGCAATATCCTTTGCATAACATAAAACAGCAAAATAGAATACCAAAATGCATTGGATGCTCAGGACGATTCAGACCTCATGTAATTAGAAATTTAACACACATTTTTTATTGACATGAATACCGGAGGAACATGAAATGCAAAGCTTTTCAATGCCAATACTACTAAAAGTGAAGTAGCATTCATGCTGGCACAACCCCAACTAACACTCTTCCGGGGTTTCAAGGGATGAGAAAATTAAGTTCCACTTTCGTAGCCAAAAAGGAGGTAAAAGATGTCTGCAACCTTGATGGATCTAAACTAATTGAAAAGAAACAAAAGAAAAATTATACACGGGGTCCAATGGATTCTGCTACTTTGCCTGGGGATGAGATGCAATGAAGTCGACTGCGAGTTTAATGGAGTTGATTTTGTCGGCTTCATTATCAGGAATCTCAAACCCAAACTCCTCCTCAAGAGCCATCACAATCTCTACCGCATCTAAACTATCCAATCCAAGATCATTCTGGAAATGAGCATTTGGGGTAACCTGACAAATGCAAAGAAGTACATTGCTTGCATTCAAAAACCGTGTACAGCGAAGATAAAAAAAGAACCTCACCAGTAAACAATAGAAATAGAAAACTTTAAAACCAGCAACAACAACAACAACATCAAACAAGCTTTATCTCACTAAATGAGGTTGGCTATACAGATCACCCGGCCTCATTGAGCTCAATCAAAACCAAATCTTCTAAGATATTATTTACTCATTTTAATAATTGGCTCCAGTGTTATTCAAGATCTCCCTCTATCCTTTTTTAGCAGATTGTTAGAAAAAAACAAAATCAAGAAATTTCCAGGATTGTTTGGTTTCAGAACACGTATTTGTTTATGTTTTTTTTTTTTTTTTTAACTTACAATTGCAAAATTGCTACCTTACTTTTATTCCATTTCCTATTATAAAAAATTGTGCAAGAAACATTAAAAATAGAAAAGAAAATTAATATTTTTTACAAATCATTAAAAAATAAAATAAAAACAGCAGGACATTTTTAAAAACAATAAACAAATACAGAAGCCATGAAACTTGGCCTCATTGAAAAAACACACTGATTGATTGCATTGCTCACAAATTGAACAATGAAAACCTGAAGCTAACACACAATAGACACATTTTAGCTTTCAATGAAACCCTAATGAAGGCACAGCGAGAAAAACAATGATCTAAAACAATTTTCGGTAGTTCGAGTGATGAGACAAATTTGAAAAAGAGAAATGGAAATGAAGTAATACCTTGGAAGGGTCAACTTTCTGGAAGTTTTTGACGCACGAGATGACGCGATCTGTGACCTCGGCCTTGTCGAGAAAGCAACCCCTAACCTCTTCGCAGAAACGGCGAACCAACAGGTTCGGAGCGAATCGAAACGAAGTTTGGTAGTTACGAGGAAGAGCATCGACCTGCACTCTCAAGTATTTCATCAAAGGCAAACCACTCCTCCTCGCCGCCATTGTAACCAAACCTCACTCCAACGATTTCTCAGTCTCAACCGAACTTTGATGATAATAATATGCCCCCAAAACAAACCCTCTTCTTCTTCACTGGGCTTCACACATTAGGCCCAATGTTTCTCTTTTTGGATAGCCCAATCAATGTGTCATTTGAACCTCTCTTTTATTTATACTATTATTTCCAATGAAATTTAAAATATTCTAACAAAAATGAAATTAAAATGTTTCATTATAGATATTTTAATCTTTAAAATTTTTATTTTTTATTTTATAATTTATTTTTAAAAAATATTCTTATTTTTTTAGTCTCTTGATTATTAATACGTTGAAAATTAATTTTAATATATTATCATAGTAAATATTTTTACATTGTAAAGTTTTATAATACATTGAATATATATTTTTCATATTAATTATTATAAAATTTAAAAAATATTAATAATATAAAAATTTATGCTATTAATATATTTAAATTAAATTTATACTTTAATTTGTTTAATTATTTATTCACATTATAATTAAATTAATTTTTATAATTAGGACATAATATGTATCATGATATGCTATTAAAAGCTCCTTTTTTTCATATTTTCAATGAAATTCTAAACTTTACGGCTAAAATTTCTAAAATGAAATAAATAAAAATATAAATATTATATCATTGCGACAATCATTTAATATCATGTTATATAAATGCTGCGTAAGTAATAAATGAAAAACGGAATTTTGGAGGATGAAAACTACTTTTCGCCTATTTTTTTAAATTGAATAATTTGCCGTGAAATAATCGCCTTTGTACTTGGGAGGCTACATGAAAACGACGTTGAATCGTGGTATCCATAGCCGTTTCATTTCGAATATAGAGCATTTCGTAGCCAGCAATCAAACTAAGATTATTGAATCGTAACGACGAGCCCCATGTTGGTGCTGTTCATTTGCTTCTTCCTTTTGTTCCTATTTTTGTACAAATTCGCCACCGCTTATGGTAGTTTTAGTGATCCATTAGTTTCTCTCTTTATTTTTTTTTAAAAATTCTGGATTTTAATTGTCGTTTTGATTTATTAGGCGATTTCACTTTGATGTCTAAGAAGAAACCTAAACGCCAAGAAATTGAAGATAAGGTTTTTGGTTTAACACACACTGCGATGAGTGTTTCATTTCTAATGACTTAAATAAATGACTTTGCTTTTTCATGTTTCATTTCCTCCCAGGTTGTTTGGATTACTGGTGCTAGCCGTGGAATTGGTATAACAATAACTTACCCTTCTATTTTTATTTTTTTAATGTCACTTTTCTGTTTCTATTGGATTGATTCAATCTCGAATTTTAGTTCACCCAGAAATCACTTTTATAAGTGAATGAATGAAAGCAATTAACTTCTGATTAATTTAATTAAGGACAGTTAATGGAATCAATTCTTTATTGAACAGGTGTTTTTATGGAATTAATCTTCAATGAATGACATACAATACCAGTTTTGAGTATTTTATTATTTCACGGTTCTTTCGTACAGCCAGAATCTTTTCCATATTTGTAACTATTTTGCTTTTATAACTGATTATGAAGGTGAGGTTCTGGCTAAACAGTTTGCAAGTTTAGGGGCCAAGCTTATAATCTCTGCTAGGAGTGAACCTGAGCTTAACCGAGTAAGGGCACAGCTGAAAGGTATGATCTGTTACTTATAGGTTATAGCTGCTGTAAGGTCTAAATTATTTTTTTTTTTGTCTATGTACAAATGATGATATAGAATGTGCTGTGCTCCATTAATGTGATTTGCATAAATCAGGTAAGCATGCACCTGATGGAGTAAAGATCTTACCATTGGATTTAACATCTGGAGAGGATTCTCTTAGGAAGGCTGTTGAGAAGGCTGAATCCTTTTTTCCAGATTCTGGTGTTGATTATATGATCCACAATGCAGCTTTTGAGCGTCCTGTGAGTGACTGATTGCCTTATCTATCTAATGGTCCAGTTTTCATAAATCTGAAATTGTACGAGAAACAAAGCCTTGTATGCTTCTTTTTTAGATGGTTCACCTATAAATTTAAAACAAGAGAGAGAAAAATTTAACTTCTTTCTTTTTAGATAGGAAATGCAAATTATAGACAACATTAATTTATTCATTATACAGGGCATATATGTCTCTCTGTGTGTATATGTGTTGATTGCGATTCCAGGATTGTAGAATGACTTCAGAATTTAGAAATATTTCATCAGCAGGAATTCCTACGTCCAATGTGATCATTTTTAGAGTTATCCATGCATGTTAGCATAATTGCAGTTGAAGCAACTATCAACCAAACACCAGCTTTGAGAAAATACCATTAGATGCTTGCATATCATTTCATGCCCGTGTGATATATAGTGATGATGCTTGGTGAAAGCTGTTGAAACTTCTCTTCCCCTATCTGTTTTAATGATTACTTATTTATTATATACTTATTCAATTAAAGGTATTATGAATTGGTGAATTTGTTTTGCAGAAAACATCAATTTTAGATGTAACTGAAGAAGGTCTTAAGGTATCTCATAAAGGAGACTCTTACTCCTGCCATTTATATACCAAAACTTCAATTTAAAAATTGTTTCTCTTTTCCTTTTTAGTCTTCTTTTGAAACATAGTAGTAGTCATTTTATCTAAAGCTTTTACTCTTTTTTCCCCTGATTAGGCAACATTTGATGTCAATGTTTTTGGGACAATAGCTCTCACAAGGCTCTTGACACCTTTCATGTTGAAGAGGGGGCATGGTCATTTTGTGGTGGTATGCAGGAATTCTTTGATAATATCTTAGTGTGGTTATGGAATATGGATGGCAGTAGTATATTAAGTGATTAGAACCACATCAAGTGAAGTTGACTGGAAGATTTCTGTGACGGTATTGATTTATTAACTGAGACAAGTGCAACAAAAAAGAAGAGAGTAGTCACTAGTCATCTTTTCAATTACAATTATCCTAGAATCAACAATCATAAGTTTAACTGTTCGGTAAAAGTATATTGGCATATGTTTTATGTTTTTGCATTAATTTCTGGCTGTGCTGCTGATAACTAGCATACATAATTTTGGAGAACTGATTTGATAGTGCTTTTAACCCCATTTTCCATATATAAACTGATAATCTCTATACTTTTATTTACTGTCAGATGAGTAGTGCAGCAGGAAAGACACCTGCCCCTGGTCAGGCTGTGTACTCTGCCTCTAAATATGCACTAAATGGGTACTTCCATACCTTGCGTTCGGAGGTAAGTAGATTGTGTATGTTATCTTTCGAAGAAGGGACCAAATTACTGTGCTAAACCATATTATAGTACACAACTGGAAGAACAAATACAATGCAATAGTTTTCCTCCAAAGAGCAGGAGAAAATGGATACAGTAATTCTGTTTTATTCTACTTATCATTCAGTACATAATCATGCAGTACTAATCATTTAATGGTGGCAGCTCTGTCAGAAAGGAATCCGAGTAACTGTTGTCTGTCCTGGTCCAATAGAAACATCGAATAACTCTGCAGCGAAGGCTTCATCTGAGGTATTTGTATTTACTAATATATCATCCATTACTATTTTCCTAGTTTATAGATACATGCTTCTCTAGAATGAAGAAAATTGTTTTCATTGTACTTGTTTAGTCAAAGTTGATGTATATAATTTTTCCTTTTGATATTGTTTGCACATATTCTATTGTTATTTTAAACTATGAATATGGCTTGCTTATCTCATGTTTGCTAAATGAAAACAGAACTAACAATATGTAAAATACTTAATATTAATTTGAAAAGAAAAGTGAAATATAGATTGCAGACAAGCAGCATAGAGGAAGATTTTGGAGTATGCAGTAAATCTTCCCTTTTTGTTTTGATTTGCTTTTTACTATTGTCCGCTGGAACTCATGTCATGTGCTGTTGCACTGGATACATCATTTGAATAATTGAAAGATTGTTTTTTTCCATGTGAAATTCTGTCTCCGCAGAAGCGTGTGTCATCTGAAAGGTGTGCAGAGCTGACTATTATTGCTGCAACCCATGGCTTAAAGGAGGCTTGGATATCATATCAGGTAAAAAGCATGAGTATTAGCAATTAACTTCTGTTTGAATCCAGCTCCACTTTTCGATGTTTGTGCCTCCATGGATTCTCTTTCTTTAGTTGAAGTACAATTACAATCGATGTGATAGATGCTGGAAGGAGAGTCGAGGAGGGTGGGGGTTGACAAAAATGTTTTTATTCCGTACTGTGAATCTGCTTAATACTTGCTTGTGGTTGCCTTTTAGGTCTGTCTGCTTCCTTTTTTATGTTACCTGCTCATTCGCATTACTTTCTTTTTTTCTTGGACTAGTGGATGCTCAAACTTCATTTAGATAAAACATTATCATTATTCTTTAAAATGCATCATCAAATGTGTTACTTTGATAGTATGTTACTTTGTTCATACAATCCTCTGTATAACTTAGTGATTGACCTGAAGATAATGGTTCTTTGTTTTGTAACATTATTAATTCAAGTATGACATTGGGAATATCAGTTCCTGCTTTGTCTTGTGGAATCAATATTCTTTTTTTCACTCAACCCCGAAGAAAGAACGTTTTCATCAATTTGAAATTCTGTTGCATCCAAGCATTTGGCTTCTTATGATAGATAGGCTAATTGGCTTGCATATGTGTATTGTGCACTTTTAATGGTGAGCATACTTTCGTTGATTCTTTCATTTAGCGTGTACTGTAAATTCCAGCTTGCTACATTAGTCCTTAACACTCAAAGTCATAACTGAAATCCTTTGCTTGCAGCCTGTGCTTGCCGTCATGTATCTCGTTCAGTACATGCCAACTATTGGTTACTGGCTCATGGACAAGGTATTACTCTCACTATGATATTTTTGGTTTATTATGTACTACTAGACATCGATCAAATCACCTGTTTGTTACATATTGTTAGCTTTTTTTGGTCTGAATATTGATAGCTTATTTAAATGACTGGTGTAGGTTGGCAAAAACCGAGTAGAAGCTGCTAAACAGAAGGGAAACACATATTCTGTGGGCTTACTGCTTGGAAAAAATAAGGGCGCTTGAGGCCGTCTGTGCATGTCTTTCAAAGCTTTGTATTTTATATGTAATCTATTTCAAGGTTCTCAGTCATACTAAAATAACACCCTTTGCTACATCAAACTAAAATAGTACAGTATATGGGTTTCCTAAATGAACAATGTACGCAAAGAAACTTTCAATGGCCACCTAAACTTGCACAAACAGAACTCCACTCCACATCATAACTAAAATACAGAACTACTCTGTATATAAACGAGTGATTCGTAAAGTAAGGAAACCTACTTATATTTCAGAGATTGAAAATAAGCTGGAGAAAATTGGGATAATCAAATTTTCTATATGTCGCAGGCAAAAGCTATTGATAAGTGCATCAAACTTGATATTTCCAGTGCCTAAGCCGCATAATCTTTCTATTATATACAATACCCAGTTAAGATGACATCAATAATTTATGCAGTAAAAGGAAACAATTAAAATTATCAACGGAAAAGACTTGCAAAGCAACAGATTGTTTATTCAATTACAATGGCCTACAAATACAACAACCAAACTAGAACTCCTTGTGCAGGACAACGATCCGTGACTACAACAGAAGATATAATTAGTGAATCCCACTTGTAGACAGTGTCATACTGTATTTGTGTCTGAGGTAAGATTTGATGAAAGGGTCCAATTCGCCATCCATTACAGAGGTGATATCTGTCGTTTCATAAGCTGTTCTTACATCTTTTACTAGTTTGTACGGATGGAATACATAGTTCCGTATTTGTTGCCCCCATTCAGCCTTGACTGCGTCCCCCCGAATCTGCTTAATTTCTGATGCCCGTTGCTCTTCAGCTATAACCAACAACTTGGCTTTCAAACGGCTCAAAGCTTTGATCTTATTTGCCAGTTGGGATCTCTCCTCTGCACAATGGTCGTTTAAAGTGAAAAGTTGCAATTAAAAACAGATAATTGAATTTAACCCAGACCAGAAATAACACGAGAAATGGCTCTAGAAAATGTTGACAAAAGAAAAATCAAAATTAAGCAGTGCTGGATCCATATATTAATTACCTAAAGATAAACAGTCCAGGCCAAATATGAACCTAAAATTCATCTTTACCAAAAATGCAAGTCACACTACCATTCACAGAGAACGTCTTAATCAGCTAGATCTGTGCAATGCACAAAATAAATGCTGTTGATAAAATATTTTATTGCACAGACCAAGTAAATCACAAAAACTTAGCTGAAAATTCAGAAAGTCACCTCAAACAGTTTCAAATTCAATTTTGCAGAGAATAGCTTACCGGACATTGTTGAAACCAATCTCTGCTCATAAATTCTAAATAAGTACTTCTAACCACACTGCAGGGCTAGAGTGGGGATAAGAATTCCAAAATGAGAAAGTGAGAAACACTTAGTGGCACAAGTTTGAACCTTCTGATTTATTGAACTTGACAAGAGACTAAATTATGTTTCAAATATAAACTATCTCCAAATATATTTATCATTATTTTAGAATTTAGGCTATATTAAAAAAACTATGAGCACCAACCTGCATTATGCCCTGTGCAACAATGCACAACAGGCAATAAAGAAATGCAGCCAATGCTCGTAAACCCCCTCTTCTCTCTCTCTCTCTCTCTCTCTCTCTCTCTCTCTATTTCTAAGAGACTGTTCCAAAGAAGCAGCAGCAACATGGAAGAGGACTTCATAAAGGTATGTGACAAATTAATTCATGATACAGTGAGATAAATTTACATTTTTGGGATTGAATCAGTGCAAAAGGAGGAAAAAGAACCTGTGCAGCGAACAGTGACACCAGTTGGGATGTGTGTAATCCGAACTGCAGTTTCTACCTTGTTCACATTCTGACCTCCTTTTCCACCTGCTCTTGAAAAACTAATTTCTAGGTCCTCCTCAGGAATTTCAACATCCATAGATTCCTCTGGAAGAAGAGGCATGACCTCAACACCAGAAAAGCTTGTCTGTTTAAACATTAAAACCTTGGAGTTTACAACAAAAATTGATGTGTTTGATAAATAAAGGGAGAGGAAGAATATTAACAATGGGCGGTTGTTACACTCTAAAAAACATTTCGGTTTAGATTTTTGGGGCCCAATCTTGCAATCTGAGGCATTCAGCCAATAAAAATAGTTGGTTATTACCTGACGAAGACCTTTTGCATTAAACGGGGATTGCCTAACAATGCGATGTGTTCCTTTCTCCCCAGACAAATACCCATATGCATAACGACCTTCAACTTCAATGGTGGCGGATTTAATTCCAGCTTCTTCCCCAGGGGATTTCTCAACTACTCTGGTCTTGTATCTCTGTTTCTCACCCCATCTCGTGTACATTCTGAGAAGCATGTCTGCCCAATCCTGCACTGGAAATTATAATTTTCGTACAGAAGTTGAAGCTGAATACTCGAATAACCATTAAGTGCTCAAATTTTAAATAAAATACAAGCAGAAAAAGGAACTTTTGAGATGAATATGTTGCATCTTCTACACTAGACAGGGAACTTACGCTGTACTATGGTATGGGAAATAAAAATCAGCAAAACAAAGCCCACATGACTACTTTTCTAAATAGAAGAATCTTAAATGCTAATTAAATCCACACCCCCAATGCTTGTCCAGAGTTGATTGTAAATGACTGTTATTTGTAAATATTTGGTAGAGAAGACCAAATATTCCTGAAAGCCTGGAAAGGTCAACAATATTGAAACATAGAGATTGTATTTTCAAGTCACAACTCACAACTGTAGTGAATAATTACTTGAGACAAGGATAAAGACAAATTTTAGTATTACTGGCATTCAAGATCTGGCCTTCTATCAGTACAATACATCAGACTATAAAGTTTTCGCCTAGGACTAGGAATGACAGAAACAACTTCATTACTATAGCATCTGTACAGAGGGTCGGTCATACATAGCTATTTACCTGGGCATCAGTACCTCCAGCACCGGCTGTAATAAAGATAACAGCACCTTCTTTATCGTAAGGACCAGAAAGAAGTTGAGTCAGCTCAAATCGATCTATCGATTTATTTAGTTCTTTGATAAGACTAGCAGCCTCCTCAAAAAGCCCTCTATCAATAGATTCCATTTCCTCAGTCAACTTGACTATTGTTTCTGCATCCTCAACCTACGTTCATTGAGATGAAGATCCATATAGCTTACTTTACATAAGAGAAGAAGTGAAGACACTTGACTCAACAAGTGATCAACCAGTCTACCAGAAAAGAAAAGGAATAATTTTTTATACCAGAAAGGAAAAGGAATAATTATTTCTCTTATGTTTTATTTGAGATACAGCTCAATGATTTATAAGCAGAATCGGTTCCTAAAAAAGGAAATTGATATGCTATAAATCAGGTAAGAAATAAATACAAATATAATAACTCCTACTAAACAAAATCAGACTTTATAATAATCTGATTTTCGTTACAGAATTATCACAAAAATAAATCAACCCAAATCCTAGGAATAATTCGTGACAGAGTCCTTAAAAGAGAAAAAGAATATATTGTGTACACCATGAACATATCATAGATGGAGTCAGCCATGTATACAAAATCAAGTCTGCAGATGGGATGATTTCCTTTTCACCAGTCTACTGCTGGGTCAGTTCGTTTTGGTATTTTTCTTTACTATTTTGTTTTCCTTTATATTAATTATAATCACAACTAGGATAATCAATTAGATTTAGATCAATATATCAGTTATATAGAATTTCCATATCACAAACTCAACCTTAAAATCAGGCTAATGGTTAAAGATCAATATAGCTAGGTGGGCTATCACAAGCCTAAAAGCTAGCTATTTTTGGCATACTTTAGCTAGCCTATTTAGCAAATAAGTCAGGCTTGGGCTTTTACAAATAACTACTCATAAAAGTCTATTTGACCTACTAAGCTGACCTATTATTTATTTGTTGATTATACGTGTTACATATTTTATTGATTATAGATTAATACAACATAATAATTATATACAATATATAACAATTGTGTTCATGGTTATACCAATTTGAAAACAAAATGTTTATAAGTTTCTTGTCCTAATTGAATGTCTTGATGTTGTAGGCCTCTAAATAAACATTCAGGCCAAGCCAAACTTTTATGATTATACAAAAAAATTCTATGGTAGGTAACAATCCAAGCTTAATTCAATGTTTTGAAGAAGACAGGCCAGCCTATCCCTATTTAGGCAAAGCATAGTCTAGTCAAGCCTTAGTAGCCTACTTCCATTCTTATTATTGTAAATATAATAAAAATACTTTATACATATGCCTAATATACAATGCAATAAATCTAATATTTTTATTATAAACTAAACATTGCTGCCATCAAATCAGTAATTGAAAACAGAAAATTTCTTGTATATATATATGAGAAGATCTTACCCCACATATATATATATATACACACATATATATTAAGCTCAATAACACAAAATATTTTTGTACATATAAAAATGCACTTTTGACAGTTGAAACAGCCCTGTGTTATGAGTTTCAATTTTACAAAATTACTTTTCATTATTTATTGTTAGTACATCTAGACCAATAGTCTTTCAGGCAGACATTTAAAAGTGGACACTGAAACTTGGAACCCCCTTTTTTATAAGCTATATATTACAACATGTATTGGTGTTTAATGTGATTTTCCCTAAAATAACAGTAGAAATTGATATAACTAAATCTAACCTGGGTTTTGAACTCATTGAGTAATTTTATCTTGTCTTTGACATCGGCCAAGGTCGAAAGAGTCTGTTGAGCTTTGGCTCGATTGTCCCAAAAGGAGTTATCAGCTGCTTGCTCCTCCAAATTGGCAAGTTCTTGCTCCAACAGCTGTAGACCAGAAGATTCTCTAATCTCGTCAACACGCTGTGACATAATTTCAACATCCCTCCTCAGTGAATAAAAATCTGCAAAACAACACCAAGTTATGTACTCCTTTCCAACAATTAATCCAGAATTGATTCAGCAACTTTCCTCTAATTAAATCCATCAACGCATTATATGACACAATAAATGAATACGATCATGGAACAGCGAGAGAAACTCTGAAACTGTCCCGTGACTTAAATCTAAAGAAGTCCAGAAGATAACATACACATCTACTTATTCAATTACAAAAAATGTAAAGACTACTAACATAATCAGATCACCTCCTATGATTGACGTATGAATCAAAATGTCGCTTAAAATATAGAGTTTAATTTTGATGCACTGCCATTATAAAAATTTTACATAATCAACCAATTAGAATACAGGATAGATATGACTTTTAAATAATTATTAAAAAAACAATCAATAATCAAAACACGGCACATTTCAATTTTCCAATTAAATTATAATATATACATTAAAACCTCTATTGTTGAACTAAAGTCATCAAGTACCTTGAAGTGCGAAATCCCCTGTGTCAGTGTCCTCCTTTTCCTCAACGCTCAATTGGTTCTCCGGCGTCGCAGACAAAACTACTGCAAAATCCAGAAACACGAAAATATAAATAAAGAATAGAAAACAAAAAATGAAGAAAACGAAATGAAATAGTGAATTTACCAGTTGATGGAGAAAAACGCGAGAGAGTGGTGGTGCGGAAAGATAAGAAGGGGAAGTGTGTTGAAGAAGGTTTCCGGTTGACGAATTGCGAAATGAGAAGTGGTCGTTCACGCGTGAAGGTTTTGGCGGTTAGAATGGTGCACAGAGGCTGCGAAACAACCTCCATGGCTTCTAGTTTGGATTTTATCTCTGTGCTGCACTTCAAGAATGGTGAAGAGACAAGATAAGAACTCTACTCACCAGAGGCTAGGGGTATTTCTAGAATTTTCTCAGTGATTGTACAATTTATATAAATAATTTTTATAATAATTAATGATAATAAATTATAACAAAACGGGGTTTAACTACCATTGCATCGTATTATATGAACGAATAAAGCAAACTTGTCTTAAATTTGAATTACATGGAAATTAAAATTTTACATGAATGTGTATATTATATGGAAAAACAAAATATTATTTAAATTACATAGATAAATATTGATTGTTACGGAGTGATCATTAACGTTAGTGTAAAACCTACATACCATTCAATATTTTTTATAAGAAAATATTTTATATTAATTAAATTTTAGAGCTAGAACTATAGTTATGTATTTATTTAACACGGTTATATATTTTTTCATTTTACATCTTTTGTCAACAAAAAAGGGAAAATTTTGTTATTTATTTGTCCTTTCTTGTCTGAAAAATAAACAAAATTTTTCGAAATTTTGTTGTTTCCTTTAATTCAAATGAAGGGACATGGGAAAATAATTTTAAAAAGGAACAATAAAAAAATAACTAAAAACGCACTTTTTATATTAATTATGATTTATTATGACTCGTGAGATTACATTCGTTGTGTTTTTTCAGAAATATTTTTTATTATTGAGAAAAAGATTCTCAAATATGATATTCTTGAAAATCTACCATGCTTGTGTTTGGTATTTTTACATGGTTTAAAATTTTATTCTAAAAATATTTGGTTCCAAGCATCTAGAGATAGGCCTTCAAAGCCCAAAAAGCAAGTAAAGAGAAGAACAACATTGGGCTCATGACAAAATCCAAAGCAAATAGAACCAATATTGGTATTAGACCCAACGTGTATAACAAAAGATATGCAGAAGAGTTTGAACCAATATTGGTATTTTGTTTTATATTCATGAACTCATGTATAAAACTGTTCCCTTCAATAAAATACCCTTCATTTTCAAAACATCATTCCATTAGCTACTCCTCTTACTCGTATTTATATTCACTGGCTATGAATTGAAACAAGGCAAGAACATTGCTAAAGTTTAAGATAAAAAATTAGATTCCCTTCTACTGCCCACAATTTATTTTGTAAATCATCGTTAATGCTAATGCGAATGGATTTTAACATGGATAGTGCTAAATATTATGATTGTTAATCGTTTTTATTTTTCTTTTTTAAACTATTGAAATAAGGTCCCTAGTCAATGAGATTCACATATAATTTTATTAGTTATAATAATTTTTTAAAAATTAGTGCATGAACAGTATGTATTAATAGCCATCATTCTTCAAAACAATGATTGCAACATACATAGATTGAAAAAGATTATCTCAAACTATACTTTATGTTTAAAAGAGTTTTACTTTATTTTAAAATTTAAAAGTATAATATTGACATGTTTATCTAACATTAGCTTGACTTACAAATTAATTTAAAAGCCAACTTTATGATAAAACCTCTTAAATAAATCAATAAATTTACCTCTTAGTAGACTAGCAAACCGATATTTTTATGTAGATTAATAGACTTAGTATTTAAATGAACTAACTAGTATACAATCTTAAAATATCATAACAAAATTTGTCATAATATATAATTTTTTAATTTATATATATAAATAAAGAACAAAAAAATTTATATAATATTTTTTTAAAATAATACAAAAATCATAAAGTTTATTAAATTAATATTATTAAATATTCTAATATTTTAATAAATTTTGTATTTCTTATTATACGATATTTACACATAAAAACAAATCATACAATATACTCCACTCACTTTTCCAATCTAAATACATACCACATTTTTTTATTTATGATTTTTTTACTTTTTAAAAATAATAATAATTTTATAATTTTAAGACATAGTTGTTTCTAATTTCATGCTTAAGATAGTTATTATTTCAAATTTAATTTCTATCTTCTTTCAATTTATTTATTACATAAATAATTTTAAATTTTTTTACTATAGAATTATATAAAAGTATAATAAGAAGTTTTATAATACATTTTAGAAACTAAACTAATTAATACGTTCTTAAATTCTTATACCAAAACTTTAAATGATTATTTAAAAAAAAAATAGTAACCGCACTTACAAAATAATATTTAAATTTTCTCCTTCCTGTAATATATACTAGAATTGTCTGTATATAATTTAAAAACATCGTAACAAAATTTTACATAATGTATGATTTTTTAATGTATATCTATTAAAATACAAAATAAATTATAGTAATAATTTTTTACAAAATAATACGAATATCATAAAATATAATAAATTAATAATAGTAAACAATATAATATTTTAATAAAAAAATCCACCCAAATAAATATTGTTTCCACTTACTTTTTCCAATCTAAATACTCAACACATTTTAGTTTATTGGTTTGGTGATGCTTAGTGTGATCTTTCTTTTTTTTCTATTCTCAAATGAACTCACTTGTTAAACTTTTTAAATTATTTTTGAATAAAATAAAATATTGTAAATGTTATTTTCTTATTTAAAATATTATGAATCAAATTATAGAATTCCAATGAGTCATGTGACGTATTCCGAAATCATCTATTTATAGAGGGTATGAAAGGACGAAGTTGTTGACTCACTATTGGGACTAAGAAAATACTATTTTTGAGGGTCAATACTCAAGAGGAAGGGTAGGTGAGAATGGGGTAGGATATTTATATGCTTCATAAATGGTGTCATGTTCTAGTGCATTCATTTTTGGCAGAAAACTATTCAGACATAGTTATTGTTTAAATAAGATTGATGTTTATTTCTCAAAATTAGTTTTATTTTAATATTTTACGATAATATTAAATATAAATGTATTGCTATTACTCTATATATTAGAATTGTCAGTTTCTTTCTATTAACGGATAATGCAAATCTACGTAATAATATAAAAACCAAAAAGGAGTGATTTGTCACTTATTGAAAAGCATTGAAATAACATAATTTATTTACGTGTTAATTTAATAAAAAGAATTCCAAAAATACACGATTTTGATTAAAAAATTAAGAACTTGGCAATTACGCAAAGACAAGTTAAGTCACTTTCCTAAGCTACCGAATTTTCAACTATCAGCACATGATAAGTATATAGTCATAAGTGGATATATTTAACTTATAAAATAATATAAAGATTTTAATAATTTTATTTAATATTCCTGAAATTCTGCTGATGTGTCCCCAATGCCATTGATAGCTAAGGAAAGGATATACCGTTTAGATGCTTTGCGAATTTAGGTAACGTACAATAATTTTCTATTAGAGCTTGCGAAACACGTGGATGGATTTGCTTTCTAGAATAAGGAAAGTGGATGATGGATCCAAGCAATATAATATCCAATCACTTAATTTTTTTATATTTTATTAATTTTTATTTTAATTCTTTTAAATCATTTTTTAAATTTTATTTTTAATTTTTTATTTAACGTGACTCAACTTAAAAACTAACATTTATTAACATGAATCAAATTATTAATAGGATTAAAAGCAAAAAATTGTAAAAAAAGTATAAATTAAAATAAAAAAATTTCTTTGAGTTAATAAAATAAAAACTTCATTAAAATGTGAAAATAAAAAAATGTATGTTTAAGTTATATATATTTTTTCTAAATTTTTTAATTTTAATTTTTATTAATAATAATAATAATATATGTCAATTTTTTAATTGATCACAACGTTATTACATAAAACTAACATTATTTTAAAAAATAAAGATTAAACTATTACACCACTAAAAATATATTTAAATTCATATAATTTTGTCTTTCTTCTTATATCTTTATTCACTTTCGCCTAATTTATTTATTTTTAACGTTCTTTTTCTTCAACTTTGCCCATTTACGTGGGACGTACACTATAAAAAAATCTCATTTATTAACGTAAAGAAAAAAATTTATCAAATTGTATGGTAGCATTTATTATAATCTCTACCTAACAAAAAATAAATTATTTGCGAAGGCATTAAAGGTGTATTTCTTTCAATTTTTATAAAAACTGAAGCATCGAAGTCAACTATACTAAAAATCTTAAAAAATATATTAAATATATATTATATGAGCAATTAATAAAATAATTTAATTAATTACTCGTCATTTATCTTAATATTTACACTTTTGTAATTATAAAAAAATTATTTTATAAAATTCATAAAATTTAAAAATATCTAATTTATTATAAGAAAAAATCAAATACAAAACATAGGACATAAAATTATAGAAAATAAATGGTAAAATTTTTATACTAAACAAAAATTTCATAAAAATATATACAAAAACATTTTAAAAATTTAAAATTGGGTTAAATTAATATTTTTTAAACTCTTACTTGTTTAATTCTATAATTATGTCCCATGTAAACTAGAAAAATAAAGTTAATTATTTACTGTAAAATAATATAATTATAAATTAAAATAAAAATTAATGTTTGAAAATAGAAGGTATAACAATATTTCCTTATTAATAATATATATTTGGTAAAAAAAAAAATTTACGATACGTGTTAGTATTATATTTTAAAATTAAAATTTAGTATTTATTTATTAATTTTTTTAATATTTACATAAATAAAGCATGTTATTAAAAAATTATGCTAAACATATATTAAAAAAATTACAACATTATTATAGTATTTTAACGGTTAGTATAAATAAAATATAGTTTACATTATAAACATACATATGGCAAAAAAAAACATGATGAAAAGAAGAATAAAAGTGAAACAAAAATTAAATTTTTTAAATATTACTTGATTATTATCATTTGTTATTGTCAAACAATAAAAAAATTATAATAAATACATATAAATAATAAAAAATTAATGAATCATAAATATTTTATACATCATATAAAAATAAGTTAATGACATATACAATTGAATAATGATAAAGGAAAAACAAAGCGGAACAGAGTATAAAATTGCAATTATATTTTATTGAAATTAAACAAAAACTAGAATTGCAAAAAGTATGGGAAAGAAAAAGAGGTAAATTTTCTCAATGAAAGATGAATTTGTTAAAGAACAATGAGATTGAGAAGTTTGGTATTGTGTTGCTCCAAGTTTTGCATAAGATTTTTGTTTTGAGAATAATGAAGTGAATGAGATTTTTTTTCACTCTTGATAATAAATAATAATATAAGAATGCAAATCAATTTAAATATATAATTTAAATTTATTAATATTAAAAAGTTAAAAATTTTAATTGATTGCACTGGAATTAATTTCAATATAATATACTTGTATAGGAAATACAAAATAATAAATGACCTAATAATAATTATTTTTATTTTAAATTTAAAAATTTGAATAAAATAAAGTTTCTAAAAATAAAAAAACAAAGAAGTAAGAGAAACTTTTCGTAAGAGACTGACCACTTTATCAAAATTTGTATAAAATGTATTAATAAATATATTTATTAAAGATATGGTGAAGATGAAAAGAGAGTTCTATATTTTATCATAAATTACATCATTAATGCAATAATAAATATTATTTTATAAGACTCTTTCAATAGAAATTAGTATCTTTCATTTTAGTTTATTTTTTGTTTAAAAAATTCTATTAATACAGAATTCTCAACAAAAACATTTTCAACCATAAATTTAATTGTCTTGCTAAAACAACACATTTTACTCTTATTTTTATTTCTATTTATTTGATTGCAAAATATTAAAATAATTTTAGCATTTAACTTATACATACTTTTACATGAATAAATTTAATTTTAAACTTAACTTGATATAAAGAGCAATAGAAGAATATTTTTTAATACACTCTTAATTTATATTAAAATTTTAAAAAATTATAAGATTACAATCTAGAATTTTTTAAAATTTTAATTAATAATTAAAATATATCGGCAGCGTCTCTTATTTTATTCATATATCCAACTTTTTTAGGTATATTGTTGGTAACGTTCCCATTTATTATTGCTGAGAGTAGGGTAAAGCAAATAAAGGAGGAAAGGGCAGAGATGCAAAATGGGTCGCGGGATTCACGTACAGAGGTTGGGCAGTGACAGATGAAAAATGGTAAAGTGGATGAAAACATGGAGAATGGATTCAGAGATCGAAGCAAAGTCATTCGTCTCGTTTGAGACACGAAAGGAAAATCATTTTTATTTATTACTCTAAGAACCAATAACGGTAACAAAAATAGTATTTATTATTATTATTATTATTGCAATAAATATAATATAAATACATGGAGTGCTGAAGACTCAAGTAGAGAAGTGGCGAGTGGTTCATAGTTGGTCGTTGGAAGTGCTAAGCATTTTCACAGCACAGTCTGAGTTTGTGGGAAGAGAGGAAGTGAAGCCATGCGTTTTTGTCCGTGTTTTGATTCCGACGTCGCCTTTGCGGATCGCGACCCGGTTCTACTGGTTTCGGGTATGGGTGGCTCCGTTGTCAATTCAAAGCCAAAGAAATTCGGGTTCACCACTCGGGTTTGGGTCAGGCTCTTCCTCGCTGACTTGGAGTTCCGCAAGAAGATTTTGTCCGTTTACAATCCCAAAACAGGTACTTACTGCTTCTACTTACTACTCTCTGCATTTCTATTTTAATTTTAATTTCTCAAGTTGAAATGAAATTGACATTAACTTGCAGGTTACACCGAAACGTTAGACAAGAATTCTGAAATTGTGGTTCCTGAAGACGATCACGGTCTCTATGCAATTGATATTTTAGATCCATCGTGGGTGAGTTACTGATATGCACGGTTGTATTTTTGAACCTCTATCTCTTTATGAATTTGATGTTTTTGTAACTAATTGTTTCTGTTATGTTATGTGGCAGTTTATCAAATGTGTGCATTTGTCAGAGGTGTATCATTTTCATGATATGATTGAAATGCTTGTTGATTGTGGTTATAAGAAAGGAACCACGCTGTTTGGATATGGATATGATTTCAGGCAAAGCAATAGGTAATAATGCCAACTGATGGTGTAATATTAAGTTTAAAGTGCATTCAGTAGGTGTTAACTGAGTAAATCCATACTACGTGATTATTATTATTATTTTGTTGATGGTAGGATTGGCAAGTTAATGGAAGGTCTTAAACACAAGTTGGAAACTGCTTACAAAGCCTCAGGGGGAAGAAAAGTCAATTTAATTTCGCATTCCATGGGAGGAATTATGATCTTGTGTTTCATGTCACTACACAGAGATGTGCGCATAGTTTTTCTCGATGATAATTTATAACTCTTGGTCGTTATTTCTATGATATATAGAAAAGGAAGTCATAGTGTAACCAATGGTTGTTTACGCTGTTCCTTGGCAGGTCTTTACTAAATATGTGAATAAATGGATTTGCATGGCTTGCCCTTTCCAAGGTGATTCTTTTGTATCTGTGCGCTTTCCTTTTGTTCTATGATTGGAAGTTTACAAATATTAGGTTTGCCGAATATAAACTTGTCCTTCATGATAGCCATGTGATACAGTGAATTTGAAACGCATGAAAATAAATTGAAACAAATTCTTAATGGTACATAATTTATGGACAACTGTTCTATTCTACAAATTTGTGATGTGAAGTGAAACTAATTATCTACTCTTCTTTTTCAAATGAAAGTTTTCATCTCATTAATTAGATCAGCGTGGACCCCTCTCATATCCATAATTTTATCTGTAGTTCATTCAATTCTTTAGGGCTGTGGATGGATTAGTTTAGCATAAAGCCAAACAACATCCATTTAGAAACCTATTATATGGATTAGGTTTCAGATCCAATCCACTTCTTTTTCATAAAATTGGTTTGGCTTTAGTAATTCTGGTTCTAAATCAGATTTAAAACTGGATTTATTTTAAATTCAATTTTTTAGCCAAAACCGGTTTTAAATCCTGTTTTTTATGCCAAAACCGGTTTTGGATGTTTAAAGAATTAAAAGTCACAAATCCTTACTTAGAAAACCAATTTTATGCTAGATCCTAGTATCAATCTGATGACAATAACTCTTTTTACAACAATATTCCTAAAGTATGCTCAAAGGCCTCGAACTTATCCATCCCTCTATTAAATCCTTACTTAAAAACAAGGATATCATAATCAAAGAATGAAAATCAAAATCTAACAGGGAATAAAATCAATAGATCCCTCTCCCTCAAAACTGAAATTCCAAAATGATTTAAAAATATTCTTCTACCTATGGTGGACACAATTTTTTTCTACTTATTCCTGTTGCTCCTTTCTTCTTCCCTAAATAGAAAGTAGATCTAAAAATAAAAATAGAGATACAATAGCATGAACCTCTTCTCCAAGTAAGTAAACCAAAGCCACAGTATTGCTGTATCAACCAGCATGCGATCAATTCTGTGCCATTATTATAATTATGGCTTACAATTTTAACGACCAGAATCCAAGTAGTAAATAAAAGTGTGATTAACCAATTTGGTTTCATTAAAAAACATCAGTATCGGATTATGTGGCTTGTGATGGAGTTGGAGCTATTGAATCTCTTAGGGATATGCATGAGTAAATTGCAAAGAGAACAGTGGACGAAGGCTGTTGCAACTGTGGCACCTGACGGTTTTTAATCCAATTAGCATTCAAAATTTGGATTAGATTCCTTTGGGTCAAACAAAGTCATAAAGAGATGGTCAAGAGTAAAGAAAGAGGATGACAATGGAGAAACACAATAAGGTTTTGGATGATAAGAAGAGCAATCCGGTTGTAGAAAATGGTTGCAAAATAAATCAGGTAAAAAAATTACAGTGGGCCAGACAACCAGTTAATAATCTGGTTTTATAAAATAGTCTGGCTTTGGTTATGGATTAGACCTATGAAACCAACTTTTTTTTACCAGCCTTACTGTTCTTTACTAGGGGCTTGATTTGTTTCCGACATTTTCCCACAGACTGGATGGAAATTAATACCAAGCCATAACAATCTTCTGATGTTTTGTTATGAAGTCTATTTTCTTGTATAATTTTTTAACTATGGACCCTACAAATAGATTGATGTGAAGAATGTGAAAGTAAAATGTTCAACTATAAATATATTGAAAAAATTCTTGCCAATCTGCATCACAAATGTAAAGGGCTTGGTTATACTCTTCTTTTTCCATTATTTTCAGATGTCTTAACCATCCATTCTTAAATATGAATTCCACATGAACAGGAGCCCCAGGGTGCATCAATGATTGTTTATTAACTGGATTGGAGTTTGTCGATGGCTTTCAAGCTTATTTTTTTGTAAAAAGGTGGACTATGCATCAATTGGTAAATTCTTTTTCTCAATTAACTATTTCAGTATTGGCCATTGGGATTATATCTTTCCTTGGAAAAATTTCCTTTACACTTTCAAAAGTTTTAATCATGGCATTGTTGCGAAGGAAGCAGCCAAGGTCCAGTTCAAATGAACTGGCTCTTAAAAGGAATGAATTGGATGGTGACCGAGCTTTGAATCCTTTGGAACTAAAGGATATGAGCTGCATACAGGAGAGAATGGCTGTGAGGGGTTCTGGAGTTGTTTTTTGCTATGGTGCCTCCATTGGAGAAAATCATTACCCATATGTTTCACACTTTCTCTGAGAGCTTTTCTCTACAACTACCCATTCTAACTTAGCAATTGAAGGCTCCACACTGTTGAACCTATCTTGCCCCATCACAGTGATTCACTGATGTCTGCAGCTCATGTCCACTAGTTCTTGAGATACAAAGCTTTGCCATAACCCAACTCATTACTTTGAGAATAGTCACATTTTTCATACCCTTTTTGTAACATGTTGTAAAGCCACTAAGTTTATTTGAATAATATTTTTTTACCACATCAGCTAGTCGAGTGTCCATCAATCTATGAGATGTTGCCAAATCCGCATTATGAATGGAAAAGACAACCAGAAATCCTAGTTTGGCGAAAGCATGCCAAGGATGAAAATGATGATATCAAACTAGAATCTTATGGACCAATCCAGAGTATCTCTTTATTTGAAGAAGCACTGAGGCATAATGAGGTAATTTGTTTCGTTTGGTTGATGGATGTAAGATGTGTGGGCATATATGCTTTAAAATGTCAAGGATTCATGTGATGAAGCTTTGGTTTTGCTTGTATGATTGCAAAGTAACTTCTTGACATATTTAGAAGCATACTTGAACTTTTAGTTCAGTAAATATATAATCAATAATTAAAATGTGATGTTATTAAAGTAGACAAGTAAATTATGAGATATAATAAAAATATTGAATTCAAATATAATATATATTATATATATATGTGTATGTGTGTGTGTGTGGGTGTGTGTATTCTAAAAATTGTTATTGTTAAACAATTTTATGAATAATAACATTCTCAAAAATTTAATACACATGCACAGTCATATGTTAATTCTATTATTTATGTTAAATTTTACAAAATATTTGTTTTTATCATTTTTAGTCATAAGAATTTCAAAACTTTCTTCTCAATGCCTAAACAAAGAAATGCATTGTCTAAATTTAACTCCTTTGACCTCATTATCTATAACTCCTAATTCTTTTGGGTATAAGATTTGTTTGTATCCTTCTTTTAAATACTCTGTTTGTGGTTACATACTTGTCTTATTCTTGAGTTTTTTTTTTTTTTACCCAGTGTTCCTTCTCATATCCTTTTTACTGGTTTGGAAGTTAACTTATCCTGCTGTAGTTTTATTTTCTTCCCCTCGCAACATAAAAAAATATATTTTTCTGTAAGGAAAAGATCCACTTTTAAAAGTTTACCATCTATGACTACAGCTGACTTTTTTTTAAATGGAAAAGAAATACTAAGGGAGGATTAACTATAACTAAAACTGAACAAAAAATATATTACTATTTGATCCATTAAGCATTTTGGCCTAATGACTTATCTCTTCTTGGCGTTGGTTGTCAAGTTCTTGGGGTTAGTTTCCTTACTATTTTTTGACATGGCACTTTATGAGCTGTGTGACGTAAACTGTTTGAACCACCTAAGCTCTGCAGTTGGTTTGACTGGTTCTCACCAAATCAGCTGACTTGCATAATCTTTGACCAGTTATATCCAATTAATTTATGGTTATTAGATAAGAACTGAACAGAGGTTCGATCACTTCCAGGTTCAATCAGTCAAACTGGCTAGTTTGGTCTGGTCCTGTTCTTAGAACACTAGTAGTAGCTCAAGAGACTGCACTGTTTATTAAAGGCAGATTTGAATTCAGCATAATGTCTTTTGCTTTATAAGCTAAGCAAATTTTATCTTTAAAACCTAGAAAAGGATTTATGTTTGTCATGAAAACCATACAACACAGTGTTATCTCTCTTTTTCTAATCAAAACAAAAATGATTTCTGTTGCAATTGTCCCATTTACTTATACCAAGGACTTATGGGTGTTACTTTTTGCAGATTAATTATAACGGGAAAATGGTATCACTGCCCTTTAACTTGGCTATCCTAGATTGGGCTGTTGAAACTCGTCAACTTATATCCAATGCCAAACTGCCAGATGGAGTGTGCTTCTATAACATTTATGGGACATCATTTGACACCCCTTTTGATGTTTGGTATGTGAGTAAATTGATTTTATGAAAAATCAAGTATATCTATGTACTACTTATAATCCAGAAGTATTAACATGAGTTGAGAGCGGGGAAAGTTTGGTTGAAACTGATCCACCTTAAAAAATTGATATTGGGGTGTTTACCTCCTTACAACTTTGATCTGAATTTACAATGCCCCTTAGTCAGTTTTTCATACCCTAAACTTTTCATATTATCTGAGCTTGCTTGTTTCTTTATTAAATTTTAGAACCCATTTCCATAATTTTGGTCTATGTAAGAAGGATAATCTTATCCTCAAGAAATAATGCTAATTTTTTCATTGGGATTTGGGCATGATACATTGGGTCCATTTTCATGAGAGTTTAGATACAATATCACTTCTTGATATTAAAAAATTTCTATACTATTTTTACTTCTGACATGTCCTGATGTCCATGCCTAATGCAGCTATGGTTCGGAGCAATCTCCAATAGTGGACTTACCTGAAATATGCCACACATCGGTGAGTCACTTCAATCTCTTATACTATGTCAAAGATGAAGGCTACAAATGAGCTTCTGCCATCTTCATTCTTTAAAATTAGTTCATTGATTACATTAGGCTTTCACATCCATCATTAGCTATTGACAAATTTAGCTCTTTGACTTGAAATGGTTGAACTCAAACTGCAAATATATAGACCATTTCCTTTCAAAATTTTTGGGATATTCTTGAGGAAGTCCTCCTAAAGGAGTTTTCTGAATTTCATTCTAATGACAAAATTGTTGTATACAATGGCAAGGTGCAATCACACCAATACTATTATTGTATTGAATCTCTTCAAAATTTCATAGGTAAGTGTGCCTGAGCAGAAGTAGTATTAAGATGGGTGGCTTTTTATATCTATGGAGAGATTTGCTAAGCCAAGGATTATGTCTGATTTGATAAACAATGTATGTTCTTTACCTTGGAGCAGTTTTTTTTTTTTTTTAATATTATTATTGGTTTTAAAGTTTTGACAAAAATAAGGAGCTATGTTTCAGGGAAGAGGGCTGCTTTTGCAGTTCCTTCCATCTATCTAGTTAGAGAGAAATGGGCATATTTTGAGAAGAGTGTATCTTTTACCGTGCATTGTTTTTGTGCTCATTTTGTTTCTCAGGAACGTTTGTTACTGATATGAAAGAGATTGAAAAATTTTACTGTTTTTTTTTTTCTTGTCATTTTGACTTTTTTCTTTTCGTTTTTGTTTCTAGGATATAATTCTCTCATTTCTTGCCAATAGTAAGTTGCTCTGTGTGTGTGCGTGTATACAATGCATGCATTAACAAGTTTTCTCCTCTATGTTTTCAGCCACAATATTCGTATGTCGATGGAGATGGAACAGTTCCTACTGAATCTGCCAAGGTACTTTTTTGTTCTGTATTCTGTATAAACTTAGCTTTAGCCATGTTGAAATTTTCATAAATTGCTTTGGGCAGAGCTGTAATGCCTTCAAAGTAATTATTTATTGGCTTTTGAAGATAAATGTAAGTGGAAATAGTCCAAATAGAAGGCCTTGTTCGAACTGTGATGCTTCCTTAATATAGTAGTTCTAATTTGCCTTCCGATAGAAATTCCCTATTCTATAAATGTTTCATGAAATCAAAATGAGTAATGGTAGTTTTTTTTATTAATTTTTTGAGTTATCTTGTCTTTTTATATTTACAGGCTGATGGACTTAAAGCCACTGAAAGGGTGGGAATTGCTGCTACCCACCGTGAAATATTAAAAGATGAAAAAGTATTTCAACATATTAAAAAATGGTTGGGTGTTGAGCCAGTGACTAGCAAGCAATCTAAGACATCAAAAGTGGCAGATGCTGATCCAATCAAGCCAATGGTTCTATGAACTTGTTACTTGCGTTCCACCTACTCCAAAAAAAAAAAAAAAAACTGGCATTCAATGTTATTCTTTTTTTTCAAACAAAAAAAGGATGAAGCTTAGAAAGATTCAAAAGGTACCATTGTTTGTGCAATAAACAATTTGGTGGTATGCTCAGGTAATCTAAAATTACCCGGGTGTAGTGTAATATTATTATGCAGCATGTATTGTAGACTTTATTATTGGGGGATGTACTATATTTGGTGGTTAGAAAGCAAACTGCGTCTTTCGCTTACATTTCCAGGGCGTTTGGCCGTTGGTGACCTTTCCTTCACAAGTACACTTTTTTATTAGTAGTTTTGAATTGTAAAAGCACTCTTGTTAGATTGGTTTGTGTGAACATGTTAAAATGTTTCTTTCCAAAAAAGAAAGTTGTTAAAATGTTAATTCTACTTTTTTTAAAAACAAAAACTCAAGCACTGAAATATAGTATAACCTACTTTTTAGTTCTATTTTAGACAAAAGGTTGTGTTGATATAATACATTCACGTTGTTTTATGTTGTCAAGAAAAGGATTTGGATAGAGTTAGCTTTAGTTTGAGGTTGGCTCGGCAAGAGCATGTTTTGTTCGATTCATTAACAGTTTTTATTTTTCTCTCGTATTTCAAACTTGCAGTTTGCTTCAGTTTGAAAAACTAAAATCTTTTATTTAATAAATTTTCTTATATAGTCTTATTTAAGATTATTTAATAATGTGTGTAAACATTTCTCTGTATGGCCTTTTGTGGTTAGTAAATTAATGGCGAGTGGCAACCTCACCCAGGATTAGTTTCACAATAATTCAAATCAACCAAATGCTTAACATGAAAGCAGTGGTAGTAGTATAACTTTACATATATCTATTCAAAATTCTCGTTATCAACTTAACAAGAATTTAACTTTTCTTAAGAAGACATAAAATATAAAATTTAACGCTATAATCATTGATTAAAAAAATTGATAAAACATTTTTTAATAACATATATAAACACATTTTATTATAATTTCAAATGTTCAATCAATTGTTATAATTCTGTATTTTACCATCTAAAGTAAAAATTTTATTATAAATGAGTAAAATCATGATTAATAAACATATAGTATTTTAAAATATAAATTACTTGCATTTTCAAGATTCATAATTAGTTAAATAATTCCTTCCACCAACTTCCATATCTTCTTCTATCTATCATTTCCTCTCACTTAAATATTTCTTCTTTTGTTATTCTACATCTCATTTTTCTTAAATGCGCATTATCGCTCTTAATCTTATAGTGTATATAAGCTTATACAAATACAATATTCAACTTAAAAGCGGCGAGTAGCGACTCTCCTCAAATTTGCAATGATATTCTCGATCAATGAAGAACCAACTTTGTCCCCTTAATGAGCTGAACAAAGCCAAGCCAAAATGATTCTTGTGATTTCTACTATCTTTCCATGTTTTTTCACTGATTCTGAATTCAACGCTTTTTGCATGTTATCTTTGCTGGCGATTTTTTGTTTCTTTTATGGGTCAATGATAATATTCTTTCATTGTTTTTATTTTTGGGTTAAATATATTCTTTCACTTGAATTTCAGCCTTTTCACAGACCCACCATTACAGGTGGGCCCCAAGGGTGTTCGTGGGCCCATAAGGAGGGAGAAAAGACATTGGCAATAAGAAGGGCTACATAGGAACATTAATTACTGGATCGAACCCTAGTGTTCAAGAGGTTCGAATTTCATCTTTAATTTTAAGATTTTTAACTTCAGTATTTAGAGTTAGTTTTAATAAATAAAGTACATTATATTATATTAAAGTTATAAAAGCATGATAAATATTTTTTAATAAAATTTCATTATCATCAATTACTTATCCGTAATCTTAAGGCTGAAGTTAACATTTTTTCTTAATTTTATTAATATGGGGTGTGATAAATCACCTTCTATTCTATTTATTCTCAAAATTTTGAGCTCTTCAATGTTAATGTTATGAATGTCTAACGCAAAGCCAATATCTATTCACCCTAATTAATTCCTTCTTTCAGATGCTAGTGATTTTTGTTAATCAGCTAAACTCGAATTCGAACTTATGTGTAAGACTATACAATTTTAAACTTATATTCTATCTGCAAATAGAATCAATAATTAAATACAAAAGCACAAGACAAAAACATATGTAAGACAATCACATAAATATGTGAATTAAACTCAGTTTCAAATTAAAGTTATATTCACGTTCATTCATGAACCTCTGCCCGCACTTTAATTGCTGGTGTGAAATATTTATAATGCTTAACATGAGAAATGTTAGAAACATATATTTTAATAGTTGTTAGTTAAAAGTATTAAAAAGATACAAAGTCTAAGTAAATATCGAGTTATTTTAATACTTTTATAAATTTTAATAAATTTTAATAAAAGTAGGTTAAAAAACTATGTTAAATAGAGTTTTCCTAACACTCTGGGTGTACCATTATAATAGATCTGATCGAAGTGAAATATCGGTCAATAGCTTCATTTAAAACATGAATATATGTAAGCATTTTAGAAGACAGAGCGAAACAACTCTTAATTCATTGTTTTGCCAAGTATTAATTGTATATATGGATGCTTGAAGTGGAGTAAAAAGGGCAGTGTTGGTGTTGGTCAATGTGTCTTGATGGATCTTGTGCTTAAGTTCATCTTATTTGGTGCTTAAGGCAGAAATAAATATTCAATGCATGCATTACTTGAGTACAAAAAAAGTGAAATAAAATTGCTCAACCTATTTATTTAGCTGAATTACTAATCTCAATTAAACTTTTTGGGAACTGCTACAATTTTTTTCAGCGAGGTTGATTGTGGTATTCTTTAGTGGACAAGGAATAGCAGCATGGATCTTAATTAGCGGTTGGGATACTATTGGAAGTGGGAATAGGAAATTGATCAAGCTCAGCAAACTATGCATTAATTTAAGCATTTGGCTCATGTGAGGCACACCCTTCCCTGCACCCATTAACAAGTTTTAGGGTCTAACTTTTTTTTCCTTGTCTTATTGGGTCATCACACAAACTTCTTAATATTGGCTTCTTGTTGGATGGATGAAGTAAAAGATAGGTATTAATTTGTTGAAGTGGGCGATTATCAAATAATAAATAAATAAATACATATTTTCTTTTAAATAAAAGTTGTACTTGCATCTAGGTAGAATCCTTAATATATTTTAATAGCATTGAAACAATTGTTAGCTAGTTTAATGATACACACACGTAATACCACCCATTTGAAATGCAAGAGATTTACGGTTTTTAATTAAATTATATTTGTTTAATAAAGTACAATTATATTTAATTAAATTATTATTTTTCACTCTATCAATAGCACTTCTCATTTTACTTAATGAGGATATCAAAATAAGGATATATAAATAACAGTTAATATTTTATCAGCTTCTAAAGTGATAAAATAAGCTAAAATTAATAACTTTCCAGCACCTCTGATAGTTTAAAATGAAGAGAATACCCTTAAGATGTTGTTTGATTATTACAGTTAAGAGTTAATCTCATAATTTTAATCATCAACAATGACTAATTAACTAATAGATAAATTTGAATCTAGCTCGTGATAGAAGTTTTTTTTTTTTTTTTTTTTGTACATTCGTAACATTAGGATTTGATTAAAAAATGCTTCTTAAGGCACATCTCTAAATAATTTATATTATAAAGAATGTTAACAGTACATGGAAGCCTAGCTAGTCAAAGTCAATAAAGTTTAAATCCCAAACAGAGTTTCCACAACCACAAAGCTAGGGCATTGGATTTGATAAATTAATATAAGCCCCAAGAAAAAGACATGAATGAGCATTCCTAGAGCTTGTTAGCTTATGATAGGATTCTATTTGAGAAAACAAGGGTTAGACACACAGACGCACATGCATGAAGCATGCAATTTTATAATGTTGCACCATTCAAACCCAAATCCCCTCTCTTTTTACTCACTTCATCCAACGTAAAAAATAAAATAAAATAAAATCACAAAAATAAACAAATCAAGTATTTATATTTTTTAAAATAAAAAAATGATATATTAATATAAATTTAACAAATTAATTATATATTTATCATCATAAATAAATAATTTTTTAATTAAAAAATAAAAACTACGTCATTCTCTTTCTTATCTTTTTCATTCTCCTTTAAAAATTTATTCTCAAACTATCCCTGAGCACATCTCATTTACTATTGAGTAAAATCATGTATTTAATAATAAATAATATATTAAAAAAGTATCTTAAATAATACATTTACACGTTTCTCAATTGCATTACATTTTAAAAGATATTAGAAGTACACATTTTCTAATTTACTCTTCAAAACGGTGCCATTAAACAAAATTTACTCAAATCTCATTAAATAACCAAAATATGTACTTTATTTAACGAGACTTATTAAATAACAAAAAGAATATATGTAACAGTATTTAAAGAAATGGCTTACTAACATTTTTCACTTACTTTTTATAAAAAAGACAAAAGTTCAAGCTAAAGATGTCACTAAAACAAAGTTCTAACTCTATTATTTCAACTCTTAACAAATTATTCCATACCCAAAAAGTACGAAATAAAAAAGCAGCTTTCGCGTCATCCAGAGGTTATTTGGGGACCCCGGGGCCCGTAATTTCGTGGTTCCATTATTCTCACACACTATGCCAGTGGGGTCAAAACTTGAGGATTGAATCAGCAGCAAATATATCTTTATAGGGTACTTAGCTATTAAACATTGGTGATGCATATACAAAAAATTGGTTATAATAATAAATAAATAATTTTTACATCAACACAATGTATGCAACTATAATTAATCATAATTTTAAAATGTATATATTAAACAACAATAAAAATAATAAAAGAATTTTGTTAACTTTGATTCTTAGAGTTTAAAATTAAATTTTTTTATAAAAAAATACATAATTATTATATTAAAATTATAAAAGTATCATAAATTTTTTTTTTATTAGCTGCTTATGTTTAATTCTAACAAAAACTTATAATAAAATTCGTATTAAATTACTTAAACAAAGCTTTTAATTAATTATATATATGTTGATAGATATTAGATACTATAGTCTAATAAATGGAGAGACAGAGCATGGGAACAAAAAGTAAGGGAAAGGATTGCGACCCACTACATGCTACTACGCTTTAACAAAGTTCACTTTTCTTGGAAATATCTTTGATGAAGGGCAGTGTTTGTGCATGGATAAGGGTGAAAACAATTCTGCAACCAAGCAGATGCACAGAGAGATGATAAAATAATAGGTATTCTTTCCGAGGAGGCACGGGTACTCCGCTGATTTCTCCGATGAATATCGGTTCCCACTAGAGTTTACCCTCTCTTACTTGAATAATCAATATATATTATCTTAACCTTCATTGGTTTTCATGCCATTTGGAACTATTTGTTTACCTTTATTAATTATTCTTGTATTCATAATTAGCATGAGTATGCGAATGACAAAAGACCAAAAGAGTATAAAGGGAGAAGCTATATATATATATATATATATATATAAAGAAAGATTCACTTTGTTGTTTTCTCATTGAATGGATCAGTCGACAAAATACATTGACGACCAGCAAGAGTCCTAGCTAGCTAAACGTGGAATAAATTATGACTATAAAACGTTGTTTTTGAAGCATTGCATTTCTTTCTATGATTTGAATGAGACGTGCCAATATGGCATCCATTTTTCTTCCTAAGTCATTTTTTAACTATTTAATTATTGCCATTGCTAACTGCTAATTATGAATAATTAGATCAACTAATTTTTGTTAAAATTATTCTGCGTTATAGTTTGATCTTTGGCCTTACACTGAACTTGTTTACGAACTTCCGCATATGGTTTGTGTAAGAATTTTACGCTACGAATCATCACGAATTGTTAAATCATAATTATTTTAAAAGTTAAACATTCAACGTTATTTTCACTACATTCTCGTTGCATTATTTCGACGTTACTCTTTTTTTTAATAATAAACACAAAATACATCTCAACACGCATTATCCATAAGTAAAAAATTTAGCATACATATGAAATATTAAGTGTAGATTATCGCACACAAAAGAAATTAAGGTAACTTTAGAAACCTCACCGCTTATATACAATACATAAATGGTAAATATGCAGACTATTTCTTACTGCTAAATATTTATTTCGTTCCCTTTAAAAATTTATTGCATGGCATCATTTCAAGCATATTATCCAATCATATGAATGCGGATGCTGTAGACTTAAATATATAAAACTATGCGATTGCAGATCAAGCACAAAATAACTAATAATTAAGAACCTTTTACCATGCATGGAAAGAAAGAATTTGGTTAAAGAAAAATAAATTAGTGCCAAGCATATACATTGAGGAAAAAAACTCCATCCTTTGTATGATCCTTGTTATTCCAAAAATTACAAAAGCCTGGTGATAAAAGAAAAACTTCCCAATGATATGTCCACATATTCTCCAAGTTAATTACCAAAATTCACAGCAAGTTGTTCTGCCATGACTAAACTTGAGGCTAGATTAATTAGACCCTCGTTAAATATATGGATCCTTCAAGTTAGAGATGGTGAAAGAAAACCTATATATCTTCCTTCTTCAAAAGTGCACACTATTAAATTAGTAACTTCATAAGAGGAAGGAATCTACCAATATATTAATCACCTTGGTGACTCTTCCTTCTGCCTAATTCCACCTATTCATGCAATAACGTGAATGGTGGAGCACCGTGACAAAGTGCCATATTGGTAGACCTTGGTGCAAGTGTTGGAATCGCTGTTGGAACCCAAGTACTATTGCATGTGGATCCTTGATCATATGCACTGGTCTTAACTGCATCTACAGAAGATGATTGGTGTTGAGAAAGATAGTACATGTTCCTTGCATGTGCATGATAAGGATCAGTAGAGCCATAAACACCTTCATAACCAAGCACCTTTATCTCATTATCACCAAAACCATTATTGCTTCTTTCATTTTGGTTACCATCACTTGCAGCTACAGTAGTAGTTCCCATAGGAATCACGTAGCCCCCACTACCTCCATAACCATCATAAACAACCGAGTTAGATCCAGAGCTATTGTCCATGGAAGAAGAATCAATGTTCATGATAGTGTGCAACCCAGAATTTGTATTAAAGAAATTATGTGTGCCATTATTCCCTAACTGTAGTTGATGAATATCTGGATAAGACAAAGTGTGAGAGGAATCAGAATTATCTTGTTGTTCTTGCTTGCACCAAAGCCTTTGTCCATAAGGGTAGTGTATGGTGGTACAAGGTTGATGTTGGTGGAATGCAAGAGCATTATGCCAGTTATGATGGGTTGATCCTCCTCCAAAGTTGTTGATTCCCTCAGTTAGGTGCGAGTTCATGATCATATGATCTTCTTGATCTGTTCTATGGCCATCCACATTTAGTTCAACTTGCTCCATATCCTTCAAACGCTTGGCAGCACCACCAATTGGCAATGTGGTGCTCTCAAGTATGCTCTTAACATCGTATCTGCTCATGTCAAAGTTTGTAACAGCACTCAATCCTCGGAATTTGATGGCTGCTACATCATATGCTTCTGCTGCCTCTTCTTGGGTGCCTGCAAAAATTTATTATTATAGTAAAATCAAGGTTTTCATATTGCATTTTCTGACTTACATCATTAGTTAAACTTAAAATAATAAAGGAAACAAATTGAACTTGTGAAGCCACTAAACAAGAGTGATCTATTTAACTTCATGTTTGCAATAAAGAAGTATATAATTCACGTGCATACGGATTAAGTAGAACTATATATGGTATTTGCTGTTACAAATATATATATATATATATATATACACACACATATAACCCATACAGAGTTGAATACACTCATGTTTTGAGTATTGTTAAGTAGATTTAAAATGTGAAGTAAGGTTATTTGTTTAATGATTTTCAGTGCATATAAGATTAAAAACCTAAAGTTTGATTAGCTTACTGAAAGTTCCCAAATAAAGATCTTTGTTGCCTGCAACTCTTCCGATCCTCGCTTGCCATCTACCATGTTGATGGTGTCTGTAACCATATAATTAAAATAACAAAAAACTCCTCAAGGATTATATAAAACAATACTTCAGGGTAAATATGAGTACATTTTATTTGTATATATATTCCTTAATGTTTTTGTGCTTTTTAAAGTTTTATCTACTCAAACAAACGCAATTCAAATGATGTAATTAGCTACCGAATGACTAATTTCTCTAATTGAAAAAAATTAATGTCAAATTGTTTTTGGAATTAATTCATCTAAAAATGAGCTCTTAATTAAGTGCACATTCATGAATCATTAATTTTATGTCTAACATGGTATTTACATAAACGAGAGACTTTAATTTGTATAAACATATTTCTCTCTAGTCAACTGTACCTCGTAACTCCTCGATAAATGGATGCACCGCGCGAAAAGCCACTACTCTTCCTGTGGCAACGCAATTTTATATTATCGATAATTTAAATCACCTTTTAAAAAATTAATAAAAACAAACCAATTACGATCAGATTAGTAGTGTAATTAGCAAATACCTTCTCAATGACGCAACGTACTCTTGCCTGGTCATGTGCTTCATTTCTTCCAATTCTTTCTCATAGTGGCTAATCTAATATTCATTGATTGTTGACGAAGACATAAAGTATCCAATGTCAAAAGACCAAATCAAGCAATCACGTATATATACATAGTTTGCATTATAATAAAAATATCAGTTTCTTCCATGAACAGACACATCCCATCAAATGAGGAAACTTTTTCGATGGACAGGGACACCACTATACGATGTGCCCTCTAGTAGTAGATTGCCATATGTTCAATCTCACCTATATATTCACCGTTGTTGTTTGTTAATGTCAATGCCAACTTTGTTTAGAAATTTAAGTGCAACACGACCCTTAATTTATATTGAGGATAAGCATGTAGAAAAAACGTATGAAGTTAGAAAAAAACAAATAAACAAGAAGTGATGACTATTACCGGAAAATTTGTTGTTGTAGTTGTTCCCCAGTATTTTAGTGCTGCCAAATCGTAGGCTCTAGCTGCCTTTTCTTCTTTGTCATAACCTCCTGCGATTAGACAACAATTGATATTTGATAATCAACGTTAATTAAGGTTTTCGTTTTATTTTTGGCAAAAAAAGAGAACACAACATATTTAAATATACTTACCCAAGTAAACTGCAAGGCCATGTATGTTGAAGAAGGCCATAACCCCCATAATGAATGTGGATTTGAAAAATCAAAAGTTAATATCAAACTCAGCAGTAGATTTTTGTTATAAAAACACGAACATACACAAAGGGGACAAGGGTAGAAAAACACATTGCTAAAATAAGCATAAAATTAGAGGGACATAACATGGTAGGTCATACCTTGTCTTCCTTTGCGAGTTTGTCCCTCTCTTCTACAACTATTATCCCACAAGTGAGCTTCATACCTCCCAGTCCACCTATGCCTTCAATTAAGACAAAACCCTAATTTCATCATCATCTCAAAAACAATTTTAAAAAATTGCAATAAAAAAAATAAAAACAAGATATTGAAACTGACTAAAGCAACTACTTTACTGATAAATACTGAAGTGATGAAAGATTTGTGACTGCTCATATATATTTATACATATAATAAACATTCATGTAGATGTATGCTTAGGTGTATAAAATAGAAAACCTTGTTACACCACGGTAGATTGAAGTTCTCTGTCCAAACGTGTCAATGGACTTTCTGGGTGCAGTGTCAATAGGTCCAGTTTGGGTGGTATCAAGTGCAACGGTGGTGAGTGGTTGCTTGTTATTTGAAGAACTCTCTCCATCCACACTAGCCGTGAGAAGGGGCAATGATGAGCTTGATTGTGAACCAGTACTCATGGAAAGTGATAGTGTTTGCACACTAGTTCTACTAGTAATTCCACCACTTTCATTGTTGTTGTTATTGTTGCTTTCTGAGTGTGGTGGCTGGTTCCTCAGCCATGTTTTTATCATGGACAACCCTATGGAGTTACCATTGCTTGCACTACCACCACCGCCACCAGCCACTACAGACTGAGATGGAAGCTGTAATGAACAGTTTGGAAACATGTAATCTGTTGAGGCTGAGTTACCACCGTATGCTTGGTGTTCATGATTATCACCAAAAGAGTGTCCACCCAGGAAGTTTTCAAGCTTTGGCTGTTGTTGTTGATGTTGATGTTGATTCTGGTTCATATTTTGGTTACTGCATGAAGTTCCCAAAAGCAAGTTTTGACTGTTGTAGTTCTCCTTCCAATCTGAAAAAAACGGATTAAAAGGAAAAAAAAGAAAGTCTCTTTAATTTGGACCTTATCAAAATATTCTCCCAATAGTGTAAACCAAAATAAATCCTTAGTAAATTCAAGGGAAACTAGAAGTTAAGAAGAAGGTTGAACATCTTGTAGTATAATTTTTTTATCTTTTCTTACTTTTAAATAGTGATGGGGGTGCACTTGATGAAATTCCAAGAAAAAAAAATATTAGTTAACCATATGCTATAAACTTGTCGAGGAAGAAGTGAAACCTTGAGTGGTGTGAATATTATTGTTCCTGTGAAATGCTTCGTATATGCCAAAAGGAGGAAGGTTGAGTGAATGAGTAGTTGAGTCAGAAGTGAGATCAAAGCATTCTCCAGCTACATCAGTGCTTGAGATTCCGTCAGGGTTGAAGCCAAAACGAGAAGGTGCCGTTTGAGAATGGTCTTGATTAGGAGGGTGTTCTTGAGGAGAGAGAGAGAAACCCAACAAATTCATAGACCCCATATGTGATATTGATGAATGATCACAAAGAGATCACAAAGCTCTTAAGGTAATCTGTGGAAAATAGTAGATAATGGGTGAAAATAGGAGTTTATGCATGAAGTAGAGGCAGCATATAGCTTATATGGGTAGGCAAGAAAGAAGAAGAAGGAGAAGGAGAAGAAGGGTCAAATTCTTGAAGAGCTCAAAATATGAAAAAACATTTATAGTATACAGATGAGAGAGAACATTTATAGTATAGGTAACTTAAATTCAGATGTTTCTCTTTCATCTGGCTGATATGTAAGTACACACGCGCACACAATATAAAGGGGACGCATCTTATTCTAGGGCACTTGGGATCTTTGAATCATAAAATTGCTTCAAGGTTAATGAAAAGATCCATATATGGGGACCATTTCTTAATTAACGTTGTAGTCTAAAGACACTAGCTGCTCAAGACATAAAAAAATAAAAAAGAAATTTTAGTGTAATATTATAGATTTTTTTGTGTTATTTTTTAATTAAAATTAAATTTTTATTTTAATAATTTGTATCAAAAGAAATCACTATTAAAAGTTTATCTTTAAAAAAAAAAAAAACATGTTCCTGTGGTATGGTGTTTTAATTCATTGTAGTGTATTCTGAGCTGTGGCTTAAAGTAGCTACACAATATCACTAAGGTATTTCTATTTGTGTCTTAAAGTTTCATGTATGAAATTTCTGATGTGATACCTTACTTTTCTCATAAAGTGCAAGTTCCATATTATTATTATTATTTTCCCATATGAAGATGCAAGTTTTTGCGTCTCTATTGCAAAATAAATTTACTAATTAAGTCAACTGACATTTTCAGAGTATGTACACTATTTTTATGATTAGATTTTGCAGTATTGGAATTTTGTTTTCAAAGATTAAGCTACTAATACCGAGTCTTGTGAATAATTTAATATGCACTTTAAAAATGTATTTTTGTACGGATACTGATCATTATAGTATGCATGAAATCTATCGTATGATTGAGTTATATGCAGAGTAGATCTAATCCCTACTAAAAATAAAATAATTTAACGACAAATATTGTTTCAGGTAAAATTTTAGATTTAAGTTTTTATATATAAAAAAAATTAATAATAAACTTATCCATCACATCTAAATATATAATCTGAATTAAATGTAAATTAAATTAAATAAATAATAATAATAACAAAATAATTTATGACAATATTTTTTATAAGAAAAAAAAAATGAAAGTTGTACAAGATATTTTTTTCCTCAATAGTCACATGAAATTGAGAAGCAATAAAATAAGTACCAAACTAGCAATACTTTCTCGAGGGCTTTTTACATACATATTTTAATACATGTTTTAAAATATATTAAAAATACACGTATAGAATCTATAAACTTAAAAAACGTGTTATAAAACTTATTAATTACGTTTGAAATGTTACTTTATGAGAGATTAGAATAAGATTAGTCAATATATGAGATGCATATTTTATTTTTGGTTAATTTAAAAAAAATGTCATTGTATTATTTAAATATAAAATAAAGTTATTCAAAATGTTCGTCAGGCACGTGAAACCATATACCAAATCTTGAAACATCCTTATAGTTTGCAATATTTGTGTTGTGTTAGTGTTAACTTTGGACTTGAAATTAAGGATCTTGGATTATACATAGTACTTTACTCTCGTTAATTACTACACTGATGACAATGACTAACAAATGTAGAATATTTGGATTTATCTGTTTCTTGGCTGTAAACACCTGTAAGGGGTTGAAATAATAATTTCTGACAAATTAGCGTGACAAAAAACCACACGCAGCCCCTCGCCACACCCATTTATTCAAGCCCACTTGGACATTAGTCACCTCATGTCAGACCTATTATCAGCCTCAGAAGTCAGAACCCTTAACTTGCTTTTCAATTTTCTTAATATAAAATTACCATTATACACTTTAATTATCTATATTTAATGTGAAATAAAAAAGTATGATAAATAGCGTGTCATAAATTCTTTTATTTTTTTTATTCTTATTAAGAGAATAAGCAGAATGACATAACAAAATTTTAGAATGTGTTCATCACTATTATTTTTAGACTTTTTAACTTAAAGAACCCTAGTAAATATAATTTTTTTTTATAATTCTATGAATAGTATTATTGATTCTTAATGTCCTCTATGTGTATATATGCGACGAAGAAACACCCATCCCATAACTTTCTCACATTCGGTCCATCCCATATGACACATTATTTAAGTATTATCTCTTCCTCCTAATCATCAATCTGCTCCCCCGCTACAAACGGGACTCTCTCTCTCTTTTCTTACTTTTTTTTTTCTCAGTCACTGCTACTAATACTCATATTCACTCTCTCTTCTCTGCACAATAATTCATGCATCACTGACACTTATTAAAAAAGATTTATATTATTATGATCATGTATTCAAGAGGGAGCTACAGCCTACAAGTAGTAAGATACAATAAACACTGGCAATTTTAATTTTTTTAATGTAACATAGACTGAAAGAAAATACCTAGCAAAATTATTGTAATATGCTATAAATTAGAGATGCCCGGGGTTTGCACCTTGTGCCCCTATACGAGGACAACAACCCTTGTCTTGCGGGTTATACTATTTCATTCTCAAAAGTTTGTGAAGAGACAAATTGGAGGAAAATCTAACTCCCAAGCTTCCAATGAGGAATTTCACAGATACAGTACATGTATATAAATATATAATAATTATTCACACACGGTGCATTGATGTTCAATTAAAAAATCACACACACAAGTATATAATAGTACTAGTAGTAGTATTCTTGAATATACATAAGTCATAATTACCAGCTGCAGAATTAGCAAACTAAAGTCAATAGTATACATTTTGTTGGGTTTGAAGTTGAAATAATAATTTGGGTCATACCTAATGGGCGCGTTACATGGTGAAGATGAAATATGAAATGGAGAAAAAAGAGTGCATAGAAGGGGACACACGTACGAAGAGAGTGATAACAAAAGAATAGTTTAGTATAGAGTTGGAGATGATGACAGATAAAGATTGATCTCGAAGGGTGCAATTCCATACTGTAAGTTTGACCGTCAAGAAAGGAATCAAAGACGGTAAAACACATGGCCTTAACTACTTTTTCTTAAATATTTCAAAAATTAAAGTGACGATTGTTATTATAATTATTAAATTAAAACCTTTTGCCGGTGCCATCCCCTATTGCACCGTAAAAACATGGTTAATAAATGACCTTGGTATTGTAAACTCCATTGACATGCGCCGGACCTCTTCACCCAATCCAAATACTCATTTAACAGTAATGTGTTTAAGAGTATTTGAAAAAGAAATAGTACTATTTTTAGTTTTTTTTTCTCTTTTAAAAATTACTTATATAATTATATACTACCTTCTTATACACATTTGATGTTTACTATTATTAGACCGAAAGCATAAGCGCTAACATTGTCAATTCATAACCTTTGAATGATACAAATTTGAAAGTTAGAAACTCAAGCTACTGTATAGCATGTTCAAAATGTTGTAATTAAATGTTTATAATGTTGTTAAGAAAAACATTTATGATGGTGTTTCACAGGGATGAAAACTATTACCTACTCGACAAGAAGCCCTCGTAATTTGACAGAGAAAAGCTACTTTTGACCTACTGCTTGTAGTGTCAAGACCTACATATACACGAATCATGGGCCGAAAAATAAACTTGATAAGATGATCTTCCTGTACTTCATTTTATAATGAGTGTTTGTAGTCTTGGAAAGGAAAAAAAAATTATATCTGTAATAAAAAATATTATATTAGATATTCAAAATCAACTCTAAAGAGAAATTTTTAAAAAGTTTTAAGAGTATAAAAATATCAATATATTTTGAAATATTAAGATATATATTTTTTATTAAATGTTGAATATTTGTAATTGATGTTCTAAAAATACTTTCATATATATAACTCTTTTGCATGACATGCTAAAAGTGTTAAGCTTTGAAATGAGTTGCAATTCAAGGACCAACCTAATTCAGATATTAAAATGATTAATAGGGTTAAAAGAATGTTTCAAAAGTTAGCTAACGCAACCTTACTGATTATTTTTCCCTTGAACGTGCATGGGTTGATATGAATGAATTGGTGGGGTTGGGGTGGCTTACTTTGATAAATATTACTTTTAATACAACAGTTATATATAAATAATTCAAAAATGTTATTTGATTTTCTTCAGAGAGAGAGAGTTGGAACTCAAATCAGCTCAAAAGCCTATTAGTGTAAGTCTGAGCTTCATTATTATTGTTATTATTTTGGTTAAGAACTTCATAGTTTTAATTTTTTAAGACTATAGAGGATGACGGAAGGTCAAGACTCAATCTGGCCCAGACAAAATCAATTGAAATGGGTTGGACCCAATTTTATGACTGACCGTAGTTTATTGGGCCTTTTTAAAGTTGAACCAAACTTGGATTACAGTGCGACTACCCAACCCAACTAGTATATTTGACCAAAAATATATTCCAACTAGTATATAAATGCTACTTGCAAATATTTTTTTATTATGTTTTCTAAATTATTTTGCTTATCTCATTTTTGTTGGACAACATTTTATTATTCTAGGAAAATATCCCTTTGGATATAGAAATTGAGCACTTTGTACAATGTTGAATTAGGATTTTCTGTATTAAAACTTCAGTTTATAGTTTAAATTTACTTAAATAAATTTTGTTTAGTTGAAGTCTATTTAATAAGTTATTTTTATTTAAATACAAAATTATTTTAATAAATTTAATAAAAAATTATTTAAATAAATTTAATAAAAATATAATTTTAATTTAAACTAAAATTACAAAAAAATTTAAAACTTCATCTTTTTATTCTCTAAACTACGAAATATCTTAAAAAATTTTATTTTTTATAAGTATAATATTTCACATATATCATCTTACTAAATATTCATAATATATTATTTAATGTACTACTTTTGCTAAGCACTAGTGAAATAAATCATTTAAAATTTAGTTAAATTATTAAGAATGATAATTTTGATAAATTGGTTAAAAAATAGTTATAATATTACATGATCTTAAACTCTTATTTTTTGTAATATGATCATAAAGTGTGACTATATAATTTTGTATAAAGGTTTAATTTTTTGGTAGTTTAGTGAAAAAAAAAGATAAAGTTTTAATTTTTTTTTTTTATAATTTTAACTTAAACAAATTCTTTTTAGCTTAAATAAAAACAAATTTTGTTATCAAATTCGGTTAAACAAGAAAATCTGCAAGTTACAATATTTATTTAAACAGATAAATAAATAATTATAGTTTGAATTAATATATAAAAAATGATAACTCTAAGTTTTAAGATAAAGTTTAAATAATTAGTAATAACAACATTTTATTGATAAATAAATATCTATTTATTATAATTTTAATAGAATAAATATATTTTTAATTAAAATATTGATTTTAAATATTTAAAGTTAGTTCTAAGAACAAAAGTCTAACAAAATTATGAATTTTTATATTTTATAATTTTTTTTTTGTAAGAGTTTTTTTATTTGTTGCATTATTTTTACAATTTCACTTAATCTAGTCTATATGAATCTTATATTAGATTGATCCTTAATTTAAAATCCAACACATTGTGCATTGAATAAGATATTCTACTCGGTCACTACGACAAAAGAAAGAATCTGAATATTCCTTCGGCCTAGGAAAATGAACGCCTATCCAATCAAGATTAAGATAACTTAGAAATGATTAAACATTTAATAGTATATAATCATTAATTATCTATTTAATTAAAAGGCTAAAGTCAAGACTGAATCACGAAACTCATTAGTTCAATAAATTGTCTATAAAAAAAAGTAAGAGATATAAGTAAAAGAGTTATCTTTGAATCGTAAACAACATTTATTCCCTAAATCGATAGTTGACTTTATCATTGAAGTAACTTTTGCAGGTATCCTCTATAAAGAATAATTTGAAAGTATTTGCAAGGACATCACATAGGAAGACAGAAAGAAGGACCACTGAAAATGACTGTATCCTCAATAGGAGCACATTAAAATTCATTGACAAATACAAAGACTATTTTAAGAGTTTATTAAATTGAGCCATATTATTCATTTGTAAGTAATATAAATTATTATAGTTTACTTATTTTTAACTCCACTACCTACTATAACATTATATTGCTTGCCATTACGATAAAAGAAAATATAATTCTTATTTACTTTAATTATTTATCTAAATTTACCTTAAATATTGCATTTGATATTATTTTTTTTTTGTAAACATTTAAAATATATTAATTTATAATTATTCATTGTGGGTTTAAGATTTCTTGAATGTTAGATAAAAAAAGTGATATTTTAGTCAATTATGATTATTTGTTTTTATTTTTATTTTATTTTTTATCTGATTTAATCTGACTTAGGTCGCACAAAAATTTAAATCCAAAATTTTAATCTGCTTACCACTTAAACCATCATCTGATAGTATTTGTTTTTATATTAATACTTTAGATATTTAAAAATGATATTCAATTTTGATTAAATTAACGTCATTTTCTGAATCTTATACGAAATATTAACGCATGGAATGCGTTAACACAAATATTTATTTTACTTTTTAAAAATCAAATCCAAAAGTTAAAATTAAATAATTAAAAGTGACAAATTTATTAAAAAATACTAAAAAACATTTTTATGTACTTAAAATTTTAATACCAAAATTTAATAAAAAGTGCTTTTTCCCTATACCGCTGTAGGTGAGCAAGAAGTAAGAACTTTCACTAAACTCCATAAAAAATTTCATGTCACCAACTACAATCCCGTTTGGTGAATTTCACCAATTCAAAATGAAACTGCGAACCCAAAACCAAAACGCGATTCTACCCCGCCGTGGAAGTTACACTAACCTTCTTCTCGTTATTGCCATTGCGTTTCTGTGTGGCGTTTCCGTAGTTGCAACCAATGAAAGAGTTACACACATCAAAGGAGACCCCAATTCCGTGGTTTGGGTTGTTCAGCTTTCCGATCTTCATTTCAGCGTTCACCATCCAAACAGAGCCCTTGATTTCACCGATCACGTGGGTCCCACACTTTCCATCATCAACCCCTCCCTCGTTCTCATCACCGGCGATCTTACAGGTTGGTACTTTCTTTAATCCCATCACTATCCATTTTTCAAGTTTCAAATTTTAAGGTAAAGGCGTTTCTGGGGTGACGAATGATAAGACTTTAATGTTGTGGGTTGTTGTGTTAATGTTACCGTTTACTAGATGGTAAGAGCAAGGACTTACTTACAATGAAGCAGCATGAGGATGAATGGGTGGAGTACAGGGATGTGATGGATGCTGTTATTGAGAGAAGTGGAGTTCACAAGAGCTTGTTCTTTGACCTAAGAGGCAACCATGATAGTTTTGGTGTTCCTGTTATTGGTGGTGCCTTTGATTTCTTTTCGAAGTACAGTATTAATGGACAGTTAGGAAGAAATGGGAGTGTCAATAGTGTCACCCTTGAGGTAAGTGTCTCCCATTCATTTACTCTAACTTAAGTATATCATTATGTGAAATTGAAATGTACCTGATTCCCTGCCTTGAGAATAAATTTTAAAAGGGTTGTTAGTCTTCACTTTAAGAAAAAAAGGTTTTATTAACCACTAAGAGTTGAGTTTAAATATTCAAAAGTAGTAAATTTTATTGAGAAAGAAGACATTAGACTTGTTTGAAAAATGTGCATTTATTTGTTGGACTGGACTAACGAATTGAGAGCTCTCAAACTGTAGGCTTAATATTTTTCATATTACTATGTTGTTTGATGCAATGATGCCATTCCTTTCTTATTTGCACGTACTTGCATTCTCTCACAGACTCGGGAGCGGAAACATCTCTTTGTTGGGTTTGATAGCACAATGTCAATTGGCTTAAGAGGTCCAACTAATCTTTTTGGGCATCCCACAGATCAATTACTAAATGATCTAGACTTGGAACTCTCACAGTGGGATTCTCAGTCAGAAAAGCCAGTTACCAAAATATCCTTTGGGCATTTTCCACTCTCATTTTCTGCACCCTCTAGTTCTGGAAGGACCCTGGAAGATGTTTTTCTAAAGCATTCCATTTCAGCTTACCTGTGTGGGCATCTTCATACCAAATTTGGTATGAACTTAAAGCGGCACCATCAATTGAGTCATCGCTCTTTATCCTTGCAGAAATTTGTTCAGTTTAATATGCACCACAGTTCATTTGAAAGTACTGTAAATTGTTCATTGGGTGTGCCAACAATTCAAGAGTTTTGGGAGTGGGAGATGGGTGATTGGAGAAAGAGTAGAGCCCTTCGAATTTTAGCCATTGATCAAGGCCATGTTTCTTATGTTGATGTTGATTTCAAATCAGGGACCAAACATGCAATTATATTGCCCACTTTTCCTTTGGACTCACGCGACATGCTGACATCTTCATGCCATCACGACTATGAATGTCAATCTGTGGCCCCTTCTTCTTATGAGACAATTCGAGCTCTGGTATTTTCTGTTTCTCCAGTTGTATCAGTTGTAGCTAGGGTCTATGATTCTCGATCTGGAAGCCTTGATTTAGTTGTAGAAACACATATGATCAAGCATGCTGATGAGAACTCAAGGGAGAACTTCTATGTTGCCCAATGGAATTACAAAGCATATGAGGATCCTTCTCCCGATAGATATTGGCTTCAAATTGAAGCAAATGACATCACAGGCAGATCAACTTTGACTGAATTGAGGCCATTTTCTATCAACGGTCATAATCTCAAGCTTTCTTGGAGCTGGAAGGAGTTTTTGGTCATGGGTTGTCAATGGGCTGTCCTTTATTACCCACTATTCTGGTCTGCTCTGTGCTTTATGTTCATCTTCCTTCTTCTTCCAAAAGTTCTCCTTGTTTTTACAAAGAAGATATACAATTACAAGAACTTTATCGCCAATAAAGGCTTAGTAAATGGTGTTTTATGGGTTCTCCAGGAGCTATGTAGGGTTCACACATTATGGTTTGGTTGGATAGGATACCTATTTTATCTTGTATTGTTCCCCTGGTTTATTGGGCAAGTATTTAGCGAAGGGGAAAACAAAGTATACATGACTTATATGGGTTGGGCTGTAGCTTCTTCTAATGGAAATGGGAAGCATGAGTATGTTGGATCTCCAGATATTATGGTGGTGGTTCTTCCCCATCTAATATTTGTAGTTTTGCCTGCACTTTTGGTCTCTAGTGCTCTGATGGCTGAAAGAGCAATTTACCGGGAACACATGTTAGCATTTTTGGTGAAGAAAAAGGATGATCTTGATATGGACTACAGAAAATCTGTATTAAATGGCAACCAAAGCAGCATAGTATCTAATATTCACTTTGGCAAACGATGGATCCGGAAGCTTCTCTGTGTGGTGTGCTTGGCAATATGTTGGAAGCATTTTATGGTAAGGCTTAAACTAATACTTTGCGGTGTTGTCCATGCAAAAGTGTAGACAAATAGTATATATTCATTATAAATTTATGATAGAGGAGCCTTAAGGATAGTTAGTAAAGAAGGTAGTGCATTAACCAAAACCAAAACAAGTTGGTTTAACATGGATTACAATTATCAGTTTCCTCTTCTTTTTCGTTTTTTTTTTATTAGGGAGGGGGTATGAAAAATAGATATATGCTTGGATTGCTAGTAGAATTTTACCAAGTGCAAGATTTAGGTATTTTTGGAATGTTCTTGCAGAAAAAAAAATAGTTTCACCTCAGTAACACAGAATAAATGTCAGCGTTAATGGTCTGTACTCGATCTCAAGGTAAAATTTTAATTTTAATTGGAGAAGACCAAAGGCCCTTAAGGTCAAGCCCTATGTTTCATCTTTTTACTAATTCTAAACAGTTTTTTGGTTGTCTTTGCCTTTTCCTTTCTTTTTCCTTCTTGTTTTGTTCATTTTTTCATTTACTTTACTATTCGATTGCAGAATTGCAGAACTCTTATGAAAGCTTATGAGATGAACCCAGCGCTCCATTTCTTTGGCTATGGTCTTTCAATTCCCTTCTTGTTGGTGCATGCTATCTGCGAAACAAGAACTGTTGAATGAAACTTGTTCGAAGGGTTCACATATACTTGACCAAGTCTACATGTTTAGAATGGAACCAGAGGATACAATTGTGGTTCTGTGGTCGGTGTTAAAATTGGTTGAAGCTAGCCGGGTTCAACAAATATATAGACCCATCAAGAGGCAACAGTAGTGCTGGTTTTTTGGCATAATATGCACATAGTATGCCTCTTTTTTTCTCTGCCCACCCAATTATCTCATTCTTCCCCTCCTTCCCGATTATGTTACTGTTGCTGTATTCTTAAGTGTTGCCCTTGGTAATTTAAACTTGTAGCTGTTAGAAGCACCCAAAAAAAGACCCATGCAGTAGTTTAGTGGTTTTGCATGGTTAAAGAAGTGTGCAAACAAGTTATAGCGATGGCCGAGTCATTTTGTAAGACTTGGAGGCTTGCGATATTGAACAAGCTTTTGTAGAATGTAAGTTTTCTAATTAACTCTTGTATTATGAACTATTATTGTAATCTCTTACACACCAAATTAAAAATAATTCGTAAATATTGAACATATTGAGTGATATTTATTTATATCGAAATTTTATTGGCTTTATTAATTTTATGAAAAAATCTGATAGAAAATACTGAGGCTTTTACTCAAAAAACCTTAGATCCTTTGATATGTTTGCCTTTCGGATCCCCAATATCAATAATAAATAATAAATCATCAACTAAAATAAATATGCGATGTGTTACTTTCAATTAGGGAGTGAATTAGACATAATTGGCAGTTTAACTAGATTTTTTTTGTGCTGATCAAGACTCAATTTCTAATTATTTATGAAAAAACACTTAATAAGAAAACAAGTCACTTTAATAATATGAGGACTCTTACATGGTCTCATCACAACTGCAAGACTTCCTAAAAGTTATTAAGAGAAATTAAATGTGTTTACGAGTTTCTAACAATTACAATAAATCAAATATAATAAAAGAATTTTTAAATTTTTTATCTGCTATTATATCCAAATTATTTAATTAAAATTCTAAAATACCCTAAAAATAATGTTTTCTTACTATTTAAATACATATAATTTAATAATTTAGAACTACTTCCAAAAAATACACGACAGACCAATTGAGTTTGAAAAGGACAAATTAAATTGATAAAATGGGCTGCAAAAAGCAATCCTCTTGTTACAATATAGTTAAACATAAAATTTTATCAAGTCTTGCAAAAAAGTAGTGTTCAGACATATCTTAATCAGAAACTAGCCTACAGAGGTCAACAAGCATCAAGTGCAACCTACTATCTCCAATTTCTACAAAGTCTACAGTAAGTAATCGGGAAGTAACCAAAATGCCACTGTGCAACAAAATATCCCGCATTAAATATTATACGAACTTTGCTGTCGTTCATCAATGGCAGAATGTGATTTCAGGAATGGCAGCGGTGAAGTTTCACCAGTTTTCACACTTTCACCAGTCGGTGGCAAGCACCTTTTTGAAAAAAATGCAGCAATACTTCTTGGTTCCCCGCTGCTTTTTTCTTTCAGTTCAACCAGACATTTAGTTTAGAATGGAAACAACATCAAAACTTCGAGTGAAGAGATTGGGACAGTCAAGATAGCATACCAGGTTTAACTGCCAAGCCAAGCTTAACTAAAACTTCTTTCTTCACCTGAAAAAACGAGATAAAATAATTCAGCACAATAGATACAGGCTTAGCCTCAAAATCATGAAGCAGTATAAATAATCCTCAGACTCGGTAAAAAAAGCATAGATTTTTGGTACATGATGCATAAATTCAACATTTACAGGCTAGCAACTCAATGGCCAAGAAAATTTCATAAGAAATGTGACTGGTTTGATATATGCATCCAAACAGACATCAGCACTAGAAGGCACATTGGTAGAAGGAAAATTAGTTAGTTCATGAAAAAGCATAGGTTCTTGGTTTCTAGTATAAAAATAAGGGTGAATAATATTGACATCCTGCCTGCTTGATGAATGAATGGATACACTTTGTTTTGCAGAGACCCATTTGAATTGAAAGTTACAGCAGGCTTTTTTCATCTCATTCCCTTCTGAATTCAATTCAATGTAAAACCAATTGGTAAGTTAAAACATGATGTCCACTCCACATGTATTATTTCCCAGAGACACAATTGCATTGCAAAGTAAAACAGGTTTTGATTCATCTCCATCCCATCTGAATTCAATTCAATGCCAAACCAACATTTAATTGAAACAGAGCATGTCCGCACCATATTTAACCCAACAAGTTTATTGTGGGTCAAATGTATGTCGGTCATTACTTGTGACAATGAACTGAGGGAGCCATCCAGGTTAAGTTCATGGAAACTTCTAACAGCGTCAAGGGTCTTCGGGGGAAGCAATGCTACTTACACAACACCTAGGATCACAACTAACCACAACTGTAAAAGGTTTAACAGAGATCAGTTGTATTTGATTCGTTCACCTATACAGTTATGAGCCTTTTAATATTTATGCACTTGCCAATTATACTTGGTCTGCTAATTTTCAAATGGTTTTCATTATAAAAATTAGCAATAATGCTAGATTGTGGTATTTCAACCATACAAACCTGCAAACGGTTATCAACATAGTCTGACACTTCACGCACTTTATTCTTCAGTAAGGACTTTGATACAGATGGGAATATCTGTTGCAAAGACCCTAACACTTTATTCATCCCTTGAGAACAATTTTGAATAGTAGTCACCTGAAAAAATTAATAATAAAAAAAACTTGTAAGGTTACTAATTTCCATGTCATGAATTAGCTGCAAATTAAAAATAGCAAGAGAAAATAGAAGGGCATATTTCCCAAATCAGCCTGCCCAAGGCAGGCCAGTGTCAGCTCAATCGACATTTTGACTATCCCTCAGCCAACTGGACTTTAACTTGTGACTAACAAATTATACACATCCTGATAGATACTTGATATTAATGCTACTCAAATGCATATCTTACAATTATGGGTAGATCTGAGTCTGGTATGATAGCCACATCAGATACTGGACAAGTACCACCTTTACCAGAAGAGAGGCAGGCTTCCTGGTCCTTATCTTGCATTTGATCCATAGATATTTCTATATCTGAGCAGCCAGGAATTATGTACATACTCAAAGCTTGCAAGCACATCTGCTCCAGCTTAGGAGCACCACTAATATGGTGATCCAATAACAAAATCTCCTTGTCATGAATCAAATTTGATATAATCAAGGGTTGATTTTTTCGAAGAGCATGCTCAGTCAAATTGTTTAAATATTTCTGTAGTCGAAGTAAAGCACAAAACTCCTCGCTCTCGGCATCATCCTTACAGCTTGGTGAGCTATCAGCCCCCTCAATGTCATTATCTATTTCCATTCTGTCTACTTGTGCACCCTACATATAAATGAAAGAAATGTTGTTAATAAGCTGTTATGGATTTCAATTTCACAAACAGATGGCAGTTACAGGTACAGCTGTTCAAGGTGATGCAGCTGAGAACATTTGATCCTGCACACACCCCAGCTCTTACCATGGACTGATACATAATAAATAATATGCACAGATAGAAACATCAAAAGGTACAAAATATTGCTCATCTACTTTAGAATCATTGAAATGCAAAACATTGTAATAACTAATAACAAACTCATTCCTTTCAGTAAAACACCAAGCCTCTACCTCATCTTCAGAGAGATATCCATCAGGTACAAAAAACCCATCTTCACTTTCTCCATCAGACTTTGAGCCTTCCTCTTGACATTCCTCTTCATCTTTATCACAATCAGAAAGACTTTCACCAGGGTCCTCCTGAAAAAGACAGAATGTTGTTAGCAGATGCATGGCATGCATTGTATATTAATTCAATTAAATACAAAAATTCAATGCACCTCTTCCCATTCCTCATCGCTGCTGACATCATAATCCAGACTTGGATCTTTCCTTAAAGGATGGCGTGGTCCAACAATGTGACTAGAAACATATTTTTTTTATGCACATAATCAATCTCAACTAAAAATACTGAAATACATGTAACATACAAAATCAAAATTACTATTTATTTTAGACATAGTGCAATTATAGGCATTTAATTTGACCAACCGATAAGCCTCTAATAGTAGTGACACAATATCTCTGCATAATTAGAAGAGACCCAAAAGTAAAACAGTTGAAATTTTTGAGTTTCTCACTTTTAAGTATAGGCATAGCATAGTTTATTAAAATCCAAAAAAGAATCAACTCACAAAGCATAATCTAACCTTTTTGTGGGCCAAACACCATAAAAGGCAGGTCTATGAGCATTATCAAACTGCAACAATTGTCTCCCTCGACTATACTTCTTGGCATCAAGAGGAGAAACCTCTGCATTCATTGGGCAGGAACTAATATCAGAACTAAATTCTCCCAATCTGTCTACATGTTTCTCCATATCTAACTCATCATCATGAACTGCAGTTTTAGTAGCAGTCAGCTTAAGTTCCTTAAATACTTCAGTCCTTGGTTTATGACGTAAGCCCCATCTCTGTCTTCTGTTTGAGCGAATGGATTGTCCTAAACAGCGCCATGAAGAAAAATGCAACCTGACAAGTGAGTGTGAGACACTTTCAGTAGGATCAGAAAACAGAATGGTAAAGGTTAATACAGTAAAAGAAACTTACTTGCGAATATCCTCAAGTGTAACAGCACTACTTGATGCAAGAGTACAATCCATTGAAATAGTAGCTGACTCAGACACACTCTCACTCTTGCTGCTTGATGTATCAGATGCCATTGATTTATTTGGAACTTTGTCACTCTGAGATGAGGGATCAATTTTACTTCTTTTCAGAAAGCGTTCCATAATTGAGGCTTGCTTTTGTAAACATCGCTTCTTTTTTAATTCAGCTTCTTCTTTCTCTCGACGCCGTTGATCCTTTTCTGCACCCTCTACCTGCTTCTTTTGCTGTTTCCTCTTTTCAAAAAATTTCTCACCATTTCTTGCCTCATCTTGTGACAATTTTAAATCTGATTCCTAAAGGAACCAAGCAGTTGGAAAAAGTAAGTTTTTAATAGTCAAAATATAAAAAGATAAATCTATTTTCAATAGTTCAATTGATGAGTGAATCGGTCAGAAAATTAAGAATGAATATATTAACCACTTTGGGTTATAACAAATATTTACTAATGTGACAATCAATGCTGTCGGCAAGTTTAGTGCCCATCCTATTTAAACCTCCAGCAAATACTTATTGCTTTTTCTTATTTTATATTTATTATCTTCAACGTCTTGATAAAAATATTGAACTTGAACGCATAAAACATTATTGCACTGTCAATGACAGCAATGTCAATGAGCATGCAACTTAAGCAATAAGGAACACATATCACGATCAAAATTGCACTTACACTAAGCAGTGTTTCGCTTTGCAGTTCACTGTGTGCACTTTCTTTCTCTTTATCAGCTTCTTTTCTATTTCTCTCCAACTGTTTAACTAGCAATTTATTTTCTTGGTTTGCTTTTTTCTTGGCCCTACAATTAAAATTTAAAATATCAAGCATCATGCAAATTTATATATTTGAAAAAAAATCAAACATTTCAGGAATAGTGTGCTTATGTACATGTCTTCACTGTTTTTCTGCATCAAGGCATCCACTAACAGGCGAATATCTGCCTCATTGAAAGCTTTATTGAGCTTTTTTGATGCCTTCATTAAGCCATGATTGTAATCTGGTTCACTCTCTAGCTTTTTCAGTGATGCTATCATTTCTGAAAAGTAACCCAAGTTCAGTAAAAAATACTCATTAAATGAGCAAGCTAACCCATTTCCTAAACATAATCAAAATGATATTTCTAAAAGCAGTCCAAATATAATGAAACACTGCAATAAATGTCAAATGTCACAATTTTTGGTATAATTATCACCATATAGTCCATATTACTTATGAATTGAACGTCGTATTAAAAGTACATAAAGATATAATTCTAACATCTATTTGGTTTCCAAGCAAATAACAGTACTTAATCCTTGCAAATTATAACAATGAGTGCAAGCCATACCAGGCACTTACAATTACATTTCAACCAGGCTTCATATAAGCAATAACTTTTTCTCTTCAGTTGAAAAAATGAATAATATGCTAAGTTACTAACTAACTCAGAGATCCAGGAAGGCAATGTGTGGGTAAGCAAAAACAAATCAACATTTACTATAATGACACAAATTAGACATACACATAGATATATATTATCAATTGAGATGAAAAAGGCCACACTACCAACAGAAAGAGTCAAGAACATGCATTCTTCTTCCAAGAGAAAATAATTTAATCAATCACAATAACAATCCAAGTGAGCATGGATGCAGTACCAGAGACAGCCATGATCCTCTCATGTATCCTTCTTCGGCAAGTACGTCTAACACCAAGTTGTCCTCGAACATATCTTGGCATCAATTTCACATCCCTCGTCTGCATCACCGATATAACAAGTCAATCAACAATAAACAACTAACGCCAATCTAGATTCGATTTAAAACCCTAATTATGCATGACATAGAATTAAGAGATTAATATATTAACAAAAATTAACACAATTCAAAATAAACAAAAACAATCACCTCCCAACACCAGAGACATGAATCGGCATGGTCCTCCAATATATCAGCATCAGCATTAGGCACGCCATATACCATTCTCTGCCCCACAAACAACACACTACTCTTCACCGACGCGTACGTCACAGGCTCCGCCAGCACGATTGCGCCGTTTCCTACTTCACTGTTCAACTTGTCATGAATCGCTTCCACGAGTCTCGTCAACGGAAGGTCACTTTCCTCCATCAGCGCCGCAACAACAGCGTTTCGCGAACCACCACAGTGGCTCAGCTCGACGCACACTTTCTGAGCCATAACTTCTTTGTAATACTTGAACAATCCATCGAGCTCCTTCATGAGGGTTTGGATGAGCGCGTATTTCTCTTCCGCGCTCTTTATGTTTTGCAGCGGCATGCTATCCTTCTTTCGCTTCCGAATGTTGCTCTTGGCACGATTTAATTTCGGATCTTGAGGAGGAAGAGGAAGAGGAGCAGGAGTTGGACTTGGAGGAGTGTTTTTAACGTCGAGGTCGATTATCACCGTTGCCGCCATTTTCAGCTCTCTGGCGTTTCTTGGAACCTATGCGCGTTTCCAACCAGAGATTTTGAAGCTTGATTGTGAGATCTGTAATGAGAAAAAAGGAATTTAAGAACCCTAATTGGTGTGGTGTGTGGAAGATGAAAATGGAGATGTTTGGGAATATAAACAAAAACAATAGGAAAGTGAAATTTAGAGTTTCGCGCCAAGCGTTCTTGTTTTTGGCTCCACTTCAAAATGTTAAACTACTTACCTTCCCTACCGAAACCCTTGGCCGAGCATCATGTTATGTAGTTTTCGGACAAAACCACAAAATCCTGATATATTTAGGTAGCAATATTTTTATCAAATTTTTAAATCAATTTTTGTGATTATTTTTAAAAAATTAATTTAATTATATTATAAATAAGTTTCTCTTAAAATAAATACTAAGATATTTCAAAAGTAAATTAGCTAAAAATATATTATTATAATATTATATATAATTTTCTAACTCGTGCAACATAATACAAAATAAAGTTATATACAGTGAATTTTTATTATAAATTATAATATTTAATAGTCTTAGTACATTGAATTACATTAATGATATAATTTTTAATAAAAATTTATTATATATAATTTTTTATTGTGTACAAATTTGTACAAATAAAAAAAATTATATTGTATGTAAATAATAAATGATACACAATTTAACCAAATATCATAAATAATGAATTATAATTTACATGTTAAGTTTCTCTATACTAATTATACATTTTTTTAAGTTATCAATACAATCAATTAGTTTATTAAATAATTTAAATTTCACAAGTTTATATAATTATAAGTTAAAAATTTAAAGTTACAAACTTTTAACTTCTTTGTGTGAGAATCTACGAGGTCATACAAAATCATGCAAAAGTTTTCTCAAACCAAATAAAAATTGGCCTTCGAATGTAAAGGCATAAAGGATTTTAATTGCAAGACTTGTTGAGTTGAGATGAAAGTTGTCCTTAGTGATCTGACATTATCGAATAAAAAAGCTGTCATTCAACAGATAAAAGTTATTTTAAAGATAATAAGCTGATTTTACCTAACAAAATTGTTATCTTCCAATGTTTAATATATATTATTTTACATTGAAATGATAAATCATTTACTAGTATTATTTGAAATTTGTAGAGTTAAACATACAAAAATTATAAAAAACATTTTCATCTTTACTTAAACAACTCCATCTACAAAAATTATGTGAAATAGTAGTATACTTTATTTTGTAACCATGATCAATTAATACGATTGTGTTTTTGAATGTATTGTTTCACTTAAAATTTTGCCATAATCTTCATGTATACTTATGTTCCTTAAATATATTATAAAAGATCGGCACAATTTATAATAAGTAAATGACACTCATAAAACAGACAAAGGTTAAAAAGATGATAGAATGTATAATCTAATTCAATACATAATTTAAACTAATGGATTAATATAGACAAACACTTATTGAATATAAATAAACAATCTCACTACATAAACATGTAAAAACATGCTTAATATGTATGACCATAGTTTAGCAAATAATAAGGACAGCCAATTGTATGAGATGTAATACAATATGATTTAGGCTAGAAGATTAAAAGAACTTTGTAAAAAATGAAAAATGTGTAACTTAAGTTCTCATGAATGACAATGTTTTCATTCAATCATTCTATTTGTTGGATTCAAATTTTTTTATTATTGTGGCATAAATTGAACATCTAGATTTATTTTTATGAAATTTTTGTTTCGCAAAAATTATACTTGTTTAAACAAAAATACAAATAAATTATACAAAATTTTAAAAGAACAAAGTGAGTGTGAAAGGATAAAGGTGGGTGAGAGAATTAGGTATAAAGTGAGTAAAAGAGAAAGGAGATTGGAGAGGAGAATTTATGTACAGAAAAAAGGAAAAAAAGATGAGGGAAGAAAAGGGGAGAGAAATGAGAGAGAGCAGAAAGCTTAAAGTCAAGGAAGTAAAAACATAATTTATTTAAATATTTTTATTGAAATAAAAATTGAATTGCACATTCAATTCATATAAAAAAATATTTGAATATTTATTTAATAATAGATAATTAAAAATATATATGACTCTGTCCTTTTTAATATAAATATACAAGTTTAAATTGTAATATATATATATATATATATATATATATATATATAGATATATTTTGTATAACCACTAAATGGATTTAACAAATGACATTTATAGATAGATGGCCAAGATGAGAATGCCAAGTAGTGGCATCACCAATGTTGAAATAATTGGCAACAGTGGTTGGAATCAAATGCACATTCCCATTTTCCATCCACATTTTCTCAATCATAATATTATTTACATTTTTCCTGCTTCAAAATAATTTAAAAAAAATACTTTTAAATTTATTAAATACTGATTTTTTTTTTCTATCTGCAAGTGAATTCCTCAACAAGTTCAATAATGCATATGTGTTCAGATTTTACAATGGCAAAATGCTATCCATACAAAAATCAGATTATAATCCAAAAAAGCACGTACCTTGTCCACGCAAAAACCTATGGCTCATGCTCAAGCTTTAAACCACTTTTCTTCACCTTCCCAGTAGTTGGTGCACCACAAAAATAACAGGCCCAAAAATAATAAACAAAAACATAAAAACTTTGGAATTTCAATTACAACGGAAATGCTTAGGAGCAGCACCATAGCTTTAGCACAGAGTGTAACAGTCACTGGTGTCCGTCACAGTCATAAACTATGGTTCCAATCATTTCCCATAAATTGTAGACTCTCTTTTGCTGCACGAAATAACCGATTGTTATTCAAAGGTAAAAGAAAGACGAGTTATAACTGTGACCATTCTGGAATGGGAACCTTCACCACGCGCGCTTTGGCGCAACCGCTCCAGAATGCCGACGAACTCATTGACTCCGTCGAGACGTTTATCTTCGACTGTGACGGTACGTTAGTGCTTTTTCTACGAATTTCCGAAATGTAAAATTTCATTTCATTCTATGAAATAAATGTTTATTAAGTTATGCTAATTTATAACTGTTCGTAATATTTGTATACGAAAGTGATGGGAACAGCAATTGATGGAGTAAAAAATGGTGATAAATTGTTTTGTTGGATCTATCAGAGAAATGTCTTGGTGATATTATTAGGTGACACGTGTACCCTGTTAATTTTGCAAGGGTTTACAAGCGTTTTCATGAGTTTTTATTTTTATTTTTTATTTTTTTGAATTCAGGGTCTTTTCAAGGTTAGTGATGTCTCACAGATAACCATCTGTTTGCTTTGCAGTGCTATGTGAAAGCAAAACTAGATTAGGTCACATCTGATAGAAATCACTTGCATATTATCTTGCTTTAATTAAACAGGCTTAGTGCTGGCTTGGTTTAGAATTTGGTAGAATTAATTTTGATAAAATGAAATTTGAACTGTTGAATGTAATTAAGGTATCCAACTAAATTAATCTCAACCATAACATTTACATTGGAATATCTGTCATGATAGGAGAAGTTGATCTACTGATTTACCAATCAATCACCTATAACGTCTTTGGATTTACATTTAAAGTTATATCGATCTATATTTACTTCAATGCTATTAGTTATAGTTTCTCTGTTGGATTCACATTTATAGGTTTTTCAACGTGTTCCCAAACATACACATCCCTCATGTAGTTTGGATCCTCTCAGATGTTATACTCTTGGGTTCTTATTGTGTATTTCCTTTTCCTTTAAAACTTAATTTGCAGGAGTTATATGGAAAGGTGACAGCTTAATAGAAGGAGTGCCTGAAACGCTTGACATGCTTCGGTCAAAGGTTTGTGTTCTAATGTAGGCACTGGGCCTTTACTTGCAAGTATCAATATAAACTATTATTCAATCCATTCTTGTTGTTTTTAAGCAAAAAGTCTCAGATTACGGTCTCTTTGATAAACTTCTTCAGGGCAAACGATTAGTTTTTGTCACCAATAACTCAACAAAGTCTAGGAAGCAGTATGGAAAGAAGTTTGAAACACTTGGCCTCGATGTCAGCGAAGTTAGTCCACATTTGTTGTTCTTCACTTCATCTGTTTGCACTGAATTTGTTCAGTGAACAGTGATAAACTAGCGATCTTTGACAACCGAGTTATATTTCAGGAGGAGATTTTTGCATCATCTTTTGCAGCTGCTGCATATTTGAAGTCCATTGATTTCCCAAAAGATAAAAAGGTAACATATATCATCTTTTGCTTTGCAATGTGACCAAAACTAATATCAAATATAATCACTTAAGGTAGGAGCTTCTCTAACGGATAGATGGAGCACTAGTTAAAATTTAGGAGTAAGTTATTAGGACCTCCCTTGAAGTTAGTGCCTATTATACTAACATACTTTTTTATTTGGGAGGTTACATTTACCTCCCTCCCTTTGTTATTTTCAAGGGACTTTGTGTAGGTTCCATCTATAAAGCAGGGCACACCTGGGTGTATGAGCAATCCTTAAAGTAAAGGATACTAGTGTAATTCCCCTAAAATTGAAGTCCACAAATTTTACATTTAAATTTTGTTTTGTCTAATACTTGCTACCTTAATTTATCTAGTCTAACAATGATATCAATTACAATATATGTTTATATAAAGATTATTTACAAATTAGTTTCTATTGATGTAGTTGATTACCTCAGTTGATAGAATCAAAATACATGAAATCACTTACTTCCGGAAATGCAAAGCATGCCCTTTACCCTCTTGCCTTTTGTAAAGCTTCACCATTAAGCAGCAACTACATTTTTTTTGTTTGGGTTAGATGTTACAGACTAACAGTGGGGAAATGAATGGAGGTGTAAAAAATGATTTTTATTTAAAAGGGGTGAAGGAAAACTTACGAAAACCATAGAAGAAACCATTAAAAAAGCCTGCCTCAATCAAAATGGATGTATTACAAATTTGATTTTTGATAGAACCTAGTGACATTGGCTTTGATTGATCCAAGAGTCGGACGAGGCTTGGTTTTTATTGTAGTAATGGGGAGCAGTGTTTAAAGTTGAAAGTACAGGACTGATAGATGAGCATGATTTAGGTTTATGTCATTGGAGAAGATGGCATCTTGAAGGAGCTCGAGCTTGCTGGATATCAGTACCTTGGTGGGCCGGTATGTATTGAGTTCCAATATGCAAAATGTTTACTGCCTGCTCTTTTATATAATTTTAAATCTGATCACTTGGCACTGTGTAATATCATTTGATTCTTTTTCTTTTTAAAATTCTTTTGCTAATAATGCTTATGCATCATATTTGAACAATACTACATGGATAATAGTGCCACCATCCAATGCATAAGAGAATGAGTTTTGGAGTAAGAGAACCAGAAGCAGGGTATGTAAAGTCTAACAAAACTAGTGTACAATACGATGATGTATGCTACACTTGTATGTGTATCCAAGGGAAAAGCAGAAGCTGATAAGAAATGTCTATAATAATCAATCATAGAGAAAGTTTATCCAGGCAGATTTGCTTTATTTTCTCATCATAATATGCAACAATGGCATTGTTAGATATAAAATCATTTGTGAGCTCTCATCAAACAGCATAAGCTCTTGGGAGAGTTGGTCATTGATAAGGATTAAAGTAGTCAAAGGACACTTACCATGATGCATGCCAGAGAGGACTTCCCAAGAATAAGAGGCAGTTCTTTATTAAAGTCAAATTAGTACAGGTTGCTTGTATTATGGATTAGCTAAAAGATTCTTGCAGCTCAAAAATTTCTTATTCTAATGAACAGGGGTGACCTAATTCCACTTAATTTTGACTTGATGCTTCTATTTCTCATTTGAACATTTTCCATATCTAATATATTCAGTGTTCTATGTTAGTATGGGGTTATTCTTGTGTATGATTCTCTGTTCCTCTTCTATATACGTGTTGTTCCTTTAGGAAGATGGTGGGAAAAAGATAGAACTGAAGCCAGGGTTTTTTATGGAGCATGATGAAGATGTATGTACTTCAGACCTTTCTTGATAATTGCAATTTTTTATTTAATTTTATTCCTAGTCCCTATGAAAAAAAAAAGCATGTTTTATTAGGTTGGAGCAGTTGTTGTTGGGTTTGATCGCTACTTCAACTACTACAAAATCCAGTAAGACTTCTAACTCTGATGCTAAAACATGATGCAGACATGTTTATGCCCTCAAGTTAGAGACACAGCTAGCTTGGGATTGAAAAATTAAGAAGTCTTGTTTTGCATTTTTTTAAACAATACAGAGTGTTGCTACAATTCAGATTCCATGCAAAAGACCTTCTTTTCCCCAAATTCATACTTGTACATGCAGAAGACTTTTTTTTTTCTGGTCTGGCAAAATCTGGGTTTTATGAGCATGGAATGTTTTACTAAACTACATAATGTAATATATATATATATGCACATATGACAAGTTTGGCTATTCTATTTCAATGTTCTACTGAGGTGGATCGAAATTTTGTATGGAGCATTAAATATAATTTTTTCCTTTGTGATGAAAGGTATGGAACACTCTGCATACGTGAAAACCCTGGATGTCTTTTCATTGCTACAAATCGAGATGCTGTTACTCATCTCACAGATGCTCAAGAATGGGCAGGTGTGTCTTGTCCTTCATCCCTCTCTTACTATTGTTTTTATTTACCACTTTGTATGTAATAATATAGTGAGTTCTTCAAATTGTCTTTATCATGATATAATTAGAGTATATGAGAAAATATCAAAACAAGTGGTTCCAAGCCTGTTCATAAACTAGAAAATAGTCGCCACAATCTATTGGGGGATATGATAATGCAGTTACTTGTTATTATCCCAGTACTTAATCATTCTAAAATTGTATTCAAATTGTCAAAGCCGCTAATTTGTGCTTGAATTTCAGGTGGGGGCTCTATGGTTGGCGCTATCAGTGGATCTACGCAACGTGAGCCACTAGTTGTTGGAAAACCCTCAACTTTTATGATGGACTACTTAGCAAACAAGTAAAGCTTTCTATTGGCTTATTTCTTATTCTTAACGCACGATAGGTAAATTATCTATAGCATGAGTGAATGCATTGTGTTGCATAATTATATAAACGGTCTTCCTATGATGATAAAACATGTTAAGTCTAGACCAGGCTAAGGGTCAAATATCGTCCAACTCTTGATCTGTTTGCACATTTTACTTTATATTCAATTGTTTCTCCTCCAATTATCCATTTTTCTATCCAATTCATCTTTTTCGCTGTAATGGAACATTTTTGCCCCTAATATTTTTGCTCAAGAAATTGACTGTTGTAATTTCATTATTGGACAACAGATTTGGCATTTCGAAGTCGCAGATATGCATGGTTGGGGACAGATTAGATACTGATATCTTGTTTGGACAAAACGGTGGTTGCAAAACTCTTCTGGTCCTCTCAGGGGTCACCACATTGGCAATGCTTCAGAGTCCTAACAACTCCATTCAACCAGATTTCTATACCAACAAAATTTCAGATTTTCTTTCCCTGAAAGCTGCAGCTGTATGACTACACACTGTAATTGTCCCCAAATGGAGGACAGGAGGAGGGAAAAAAAAGTCGTGTATTCAAAGTAAATTGAAAATATATCATATGCAGATCTTTTCCAAAGAAAGAGAAAATATTATTTTTATGTAACAAGATTTTATGATTTTATTTTAGTTATGCAAGAAGCTATTTCTTATTTAAAATTAACCAATCAGAAAATTAAAAGATCCTTTAGAGGATGGTTGATCAAAGAGAGAGCAGAGCCGATACAAGTCCATGCATGCTCAACCGATGTTGATTAAATTAAGTTCAAACGGATATAAATAACTAGTTTTTATAGAAAAGTATAACAAATATTTCTCTTTTTAATAAAATTTTAATATTATTATTTGCTTATTCTTTTAGTCAAGAGAGACGAGTGAGGCTGAGTGAGGTTAACAAAGACTCTTGTATTAAACAAATATCAGATTGTCATCTAAATGGAGCACAAAAGGAGAGAAAGTATGTGTTTTAGTGAAATCGGGTTATATGATGAAATAAAGTCTTCATACTCAAAACAGATCTACATCCACAACGGGGCAAAAATGGCAATTTCCTAACTGAACTGCCTGTTGACAAGAAAGAGATGGAAAGAAAAATAACCCACGCAATTAATTACATTATAGGAAAACACACATACATCAATTAGGAGAAAAACCATCCAATTCTCCAACGAATGAACGAATATTATGAGCAAAAGAAAGGAAGCTAAAACTTAAAGGGTGGCATGACATTATTATAACAGCACAAGAGTGATGTTCTTGTCAACAAAACGAGACTCTAAACTTGGAAAGGCCATGGCCAATCTTTCAAATCCTCATCTTGCTGCACCTTGGCGCTTCTCATGGCAACGACAGCCCCATTATTTCCACCTTCAACATAAGCATAATACTTCAAGAAAAAGGCAAGTGTCAAAACCACCCACTCCAAGCAAAAGATCAAAATGGTGAGTCCACCAGCCAACTTGAGAATCACAGAACCATCCTCTTCTCTCACATAGGACTTCAGCTGATCAAGAAAATCCCCAGTTCTTGTGAAAACAAGCACAGAAACTGAACCCTGAAATATGGCTGTTAGCACAGTGGCTACCATGTGAGCTGAATACCAGCGGTTAGTTCCCACTGCAGCACAGCCGGAGATTGCACCAGCAATGGTGAAGACATGGAGGAGGATCAAGAAGAAGCCACAGAGAGAGGGAATGAGGCGCAGTGAAAGGGTGAGGAAGATGCAACTGGAGGCTGCACCCAATAGAATGTAGTTGCAGAAAAGGAAAACCTTGTGAATGTGGTAGTGTCGTGGAGTGACTGAACCAGCGTTCATGTTCATATCGGAGATACCCATGTGAGTCTTCAATGAAAAGAATGCTACTTTGAACAAAAGGAGTGAAGAAAGAAGTGAAGTTGGGGGTTTTGTGTAGTGTTGTTGTTTTGGGTTTGCGTAGGTTGTTGATGTTGGTGCTTGCTAATATAGATGTTTTGGGGTTCCTAGGCCAAACAAACGGTCATATTTGGGTATTCATTTGTGTCGGTGGAATATGACCGTTGGGGAAAAGTGGACTAAGTTATCTGTGCTGTAACGGATAGTTTCCAACACCCCTTTGCTCTTTCATTTCTTTTGTCTTTTGTGAAGCTTTTGGGTTGGCATTTCCGTTTCTTTAAATTTTTTTGGTCAAATTTTCTTTCTTTTCAACGAAGTCCACAATATTTATTGTTGATAGCTTACTTAGCTTCCGCATTCATTTTCGTAATGATAAGGGCGTCAGCTTTCTTAAACAGAATTTACATTTTTAATAAAATTCAGTATGTAGGAATTAGTCTACATACTGAATATTTAAATGAAAATATTGTGCAAATTATAACACTTACTTTTTAAAATTTATGCTTTCTATGCAATAACAAAATAATATATAAAATATTTAAATAAAAAAATTATAAAAAAATTATTATAATTATAAATTACTACGATAAAAAAATTAATTATCATAATAATTATAAATATATTATAGAATTTTATTTATATTCTTCAATATAATAATTATATTTATAACAAACAACTATAATTAATTTATAACATAATATTAACATTTATACATTTTTCTAAATATATAATTACAAAATTAATAATATACTAAATTACATACAAAAATAACTAATTATAAATCAACTAAATATATTTAAAAATTAATTTACCTGTATTGACAACTTACTAGTAATATGATTAATAAAATTAAGTCAATATAAATCATTATCCATTTTTCGTCATTTTTGCTGTTTTTTAATCCTTCTCTCTGGCCTACTTTCTTTCTCTAGTCCCGGTTCTCTCTTTACTCTTCTTTCTGGTCTCGCCTTTCTCATGGATACACCTTATATAGTAGTCGATTATAATTGTCTCTAAATATCAATAGAAGTCGATTTTAATCGTCTTAAGTGTATTATGAAAATCAATTATAATTGACTTCTTTGTATTCTCATATTAGCAACCTAAATTGACTATAATCAATTTCAATGAAGAATGAAAGTCAATTAAAGTCAACTTCTGTACAAGTTTAAAATCGTTTAAAGTCAACTTTAATTGGAGGCAACAGTAGATTTTTTTTTAAAGATACATGCGTAATTTAATTCCAAAAAGGCTACATTTCTAAAAAAAAGCCTAAAAATATTAATATACTTTTATTATAATTTTTAAAATACTCTCAATGTAATTTTAAATAAAATATTTTATTTATTATTGCGTGTATATGCAAATTCTCCTTAAAACATTCGTCTTTTTAAATTATCAATTGGTAATATGAAATAAAATTATTAATTAACCAAAGAATATATACCGCATCTTATTATGATTCTCTAGTAATTACTTAATTCATCTCCTTAGTTTATTTTTCCTATCATATTAAAATGAGTTAAAATAACAAATTTTCAAAGTTATCAAAATAATAAACATGAAGATGTATTAAATGAGAAGACCCATTTTGTGTGAAGTGAGAGAATAAATATTAATCATTAGATTTTATTATGAATGGTTAAAATTAAATCAAACAAACCAAGCTTTTAAAAAGTCCGTGAACAAATCTTTCATGTCCCACTAGTTGAGCAAACAATGTCCCCAAAAACAAATCTTATCGGGCATGAAGCCCTTGTACTGAATTATTTTCATCATTTTTTCTGCATACCGAAATTTCCAACTGAAAGAAAATGGCACCAAAGCACCTTGACCATTAATGGGCAACACACGACTAGACCTTAAAAGTGGACTAGGCACAGAGCTACAGACTCTTAAAAAGGATAAATAAATACAGTTAGATACTATACAAACAGAAGTACAGAATTGATGATCCTTGTTCACCGACAATTAAGTTACAAGGCGCTTTCTGATGCCTAGAGAAAGTAAAATATCATTCTGGCTTGGAGAGATGCGTTTAAACAACATACAAATTAGCGCCTGTAAGTTACAAATAGTGATATATTACAAAAATATATACATTAAGACCCCAGAATAATCAATAGGATGATACACGTGCCACTACAACCCCCCAGCCCTTGAAGAACTAAAACTAAACAGCTAAATCCTATCTCCAAAAAATTATAAATGAAAACCCTTAGCTAAAATCGGGGAGAAATGTTGAGAAGATTATCCCAACCCTGCAGATTCCAGCCAAACTATCAGCGGATGGATCTTTACAACTATATCTGCCACTCCTACATGAGGTTTCAGAAATCTGACTTCATAAGCTTCATTCGAGGTTTTATGTTAATATTGGCAAAGGGTTTTGTCTGTTCTACATGGATATAATCCCTTGTCTTGAGAACCTGCCATCACGGTTGAATTAAATGTAAACCAAGGCAGAAGAAGTTGATTAAGCACGCCAGAAAACTGATACTTTGAAGAACTCAAACAAAGCATATGAGTAAAACATTCTAGAAAAATCCCCCTCATAAAAATGAGCTGTGACCTTCCAAAGAAAATTTTCAACTAAGAACCACAATTAAAGCTAAATCAATAAAGCATGTTCGGTACCAAGACAGTGTTCTCTTCTCAGCCCCTTTGGTGTCCAGTTCAGTTATTTTAAGGGTATTTTTCTCTCAGATTTGCAAAGACATCGGGTAAACTGCTGCATTATTAGTTTTTCTCTTCCATTCACTTTCAACACCTTCTGTTTTGGATGCTTTTAAAGGATACCTTAACCTCAGCCCATTGTTATTCCTTTCTTTCTCTTTTCTCTAATTTCTTATTAAGAAAACGAGTGGAAATTGGAAAATAATTCAATTATTATAATCCCAAACGTGAAGATGTTGAATTAATGCCACAAGATAGTTAGATATAGATATTATACATGTTTGTAAAATATTTCTCAAGAGCATACCAGTGTTTCAAAAAACATCCGTGATGCTTCCTTCCGTGTTTTACCAGCTAATATATTGTCAAGATGCAGGTTCTGCTTTCCACGTAGATCTTCCTTATCAAACATAGTCTGCAGATACTTGGCCACAGCCCTGTGGATAAATGCAGTAGTTAGCTATCATAATATAATGCGTGGAACTAGGAATCACTGTGCATAATACCAAAAAAGAATTCACACAAAAATTATTTACAAGATCCTAAACAATCCAGCTAAAATATATTTGAGTTTAGATTGTTTGTCAATAGGAGTTAAACTGAACCATCTGCATTCAACGTCTATTTCTGGTTTCTTTGAAGTTTGAAGTGGAAAAGGCTCCTTTTAATTACAGATGAAGTGATTTGAACCATCCTACTATACTAGACAGCATTCAAGACCCCACTCCTCCTCTGTCCATATCTTCCAGGGAAGCAATACATCTAAGGCAATGGCTGGGGGGAAATTCAAAAGAATGAAACTCTTTGAACTGGCAATGAGTGTAAGAGAGAACTCAAGATATAGCAATAGGTATATCATGGGTATGACAAAATGTAAAATTTTAGGTCCAAGTTTCACACACACACTCACACATATATATATAATGAACAGCAACCCAACCATGACAAAAAATAAGTGCAATTAGTTTCTATGTATTATGTGGAGAAAGTAAAGTTTTGCACAAACAAACCTGGTCCGGGAAGACCATCCGCTATTTTCAAGTTGACTTCCTTCAGCACATGGTACAAAATCATCATCATCATCAATTATCTCATCATCACCAAAATTCAAAAACTCTGGGAGGAGACAAAGAGAGGACAAGTCAATACAGAATTAGAAAAAAAAAATTAGCAGTAATAAAAGATTCACTTCACCAACTATTGCTTATATTTGTAACACATTAATAATTTATTTGCATTTTACCAACTAAAAAATGGTGGAACCAAACCAGTAATAATAAGCTGCACAAAGTAACTTCTATAAAGAATATAGGAAAGTCATGAAGTGTTGAGGAAAGAAAGTTGACACCTAATATCAAGAGTGATTGATTCCAGTTAATTAATTGGATGATTGACTAGTGAATAATATGAACTAATTAGATGGCAGAAGGCTAATTGATAGACACCTATACAATTGCAGACTCTCCAAGTAAAAATACAGCTTTTTTTACAACTCCAAGAGAAGGAAATGAAAGGCCTCCTAATTTTGATAGTGCTCATGTGGTTAGTCTCTGATAGATACCGATATATTTACCAGAGTCTTTGAGAGAATAAACAAAGGGATAGGAAATGGGTTAACAACCCACATGAGTAAGAAAGATGAGGGAGAAGGAATAAGCATTGGTGATAAATGTGTCAGTGGCATTCTGATATAGAAAAATGGATAAATGTGAATAGTATTCTAATATGTGCCAAATATGCTAACAAACATAGGCTAGTATTCCAGTACAGTTTATCAAACCATAAAACTATCTATAGATCAATTTCATAAATTTGTTGACACATTCAGCATTTTCATAAAATGAACAATGAAAAGAATTTAGAAGCAAACCTGTGTCATTAGCAATTGTGTCATTTTCCTGCACCATGTAGCCATAAGACTTAATTAGGCATAAATAAAGTAGTAAAGAAACATCACTTAAACAGAGCATCCTAAAACCATAATGCCGCCAGGAATCTTGAAATATTACTGCCAAATAAATTTCAGATCACATAGTACAATGTTATCAAACAACTTTTTGTCAGGAATATCAGATACGCTAAATGAGTCTCAGAAGAATAGGAGACAGTCAACAAATAAAATATATCATGAGACATCAACTTTTTAAGGCAAATTGGAGAACTTACATCATTCTGATCTACCAAAGGACTCATAGTAGCTGACATTTCAGGGCATATTGTACTTTGCATTCCAGCTTCCTGACTGACTGGATTTTCTTCATTATTCAAAGAATTCTCTTTTTCATCCAAATCAAGTGCTTCGGACTGTAAACAATCTACTTTAGTATTTTCGTCAAACATGCAGCCAGACCCTGCTATGTCCTTATCATCACACTCCATGCCAGAACCAACCATTTGTTTCTCACTTAAGCCCCCTAGCATGCTGTTTCCATTTTCATCCATAGGTAGCTCACCATTAAAGGAAGCCTGAATATCAGTAAATTCATCAGTTTCTTTAGAGCCAGTAGCCAAGGATGCATATAATTCATTGGCTTCCAAAACCTCTGTCTGAACTTGTGTTCTTGTTTCCATGCTGTGCTCATTGGCACCTACTCCATTTCTATCTCTTTGATCCTCCACAGACTCATCCTCTTGAATAGGGAATGTATTCAAATTTTGAGCATTTGGAATGGTCAATATATCTGTATGGACAGAACCATCAAGATCACTGGTTTTAGCCATGAGAGGCAGTGAAGCAGCAAAATCATTTGGCATACAAAGGTCATTTTCAAAGACTTCAGTTAAGGATGAAGATTCAAGGCCAGGGACAACAGAGCAATTCTCTGCTTCAGAAACCTCAATGTTTGCGCCAGCATTATTCATTTCAACATTTTGAGAACTGTCAAGCTCCTTCATATGAGAAATATCATTTGTATGTCCAATACCATCAATATCATGAGATCCCAAGTTAACCTCAGACTGATGACCCTCAGATAGAACAGGTATCTCAGTAGTAGCTTGTGCTTCTGCATCTTCTTGGTGTTGGACTGCCATAGGTTCATTATTCCCTTCTACTCCATGAATTTCAGTATTTGTTCTAGAATAGGACTCTTGATCATTTGCTTTTTCTATAAAAGAACTATCTAAACCATACTCAGAAACCTTGATTCCAGTCAAATCAAATGTCTCATTTCGCAGAATAGTCAAGTTAATAGACAAATCTGGAAGATATGAGATAATAGATTTAGATAATATTAGAAGGAAATTTCATAAATGAATATGAATAGGCTCTAAGTAAAATTAGTACATGAAAATGGTTTAATGAGAATAACTAAGGTCACAAGCCCTCATAAAAATAAGTTTTGGAAAAGCAATTAGCACCAATTCAAAAGGAACTGATGACCATTGCATTGAAAATATTATGGATGAACTTTCCAAATATCATCAATATTTATTTTTTAATTAATAACCAACACAACAAAAAATGTCAGAAGAAACAAAACATATTAGAAGCCTCACCAAAGGAGGAAAAATATTGTCATTAGAGGAATAGTTGATGACTTGATATAATGCATGATCATACAAGTATTACTTTTCCTCATTTCAAAATTAATATTCCACCAAACTATGTTGCCTTGCAAAACAATAAGTGTATTTGGTTTACTTAGATTGTGTATGGTTTGTTTTCTGTTATCATTTTCAGTTGATATGTTTCACTAGAAGTTACAAAAATGTCCCCTTGTTTTCATTTTTTCCCTTTCTTGGGATTTCATGAAGAAAATAGTAAAAACATACCAAATGAAAATATTAGTGATGAGCACAACAGTTTTTCCTGTTTTCATGTATGAGGCTAAACACCTTATATCAGGTAATCCATAAACTTTAACTTGTTTAAGGGAGTGGGAGAGGTTTGAGCAAATGTTCCAAATAATCAACAGCACGACATAAACATGGCCAAAGGCAGAACTCACCTGTAAATATTGGTTCATGGAAAATTTCACTCTCCAAAAATTGTCTTTGAATCATTAAAATCTCATGGTGAGTGCAAGGAGCTTTTTTTCGTATGCGACGTATGTCTTCAGTATTTGTCAACTGTTGGCGTATTGTACTTCAGAAGAAAGATGAAATAACCATTAGTACTTTGATTGACATAAAAGGAGAGCAGTATGCTATATAAGGCAAAAAAAGTGTGGCATGATAAACTAGATAATAGCCCACAGTACAAGCTGGGTGTAATTAATCTGAGACCCTGACAAAGGGTAAGCATGTAGAGCATAAAATGTAAAAATTAGACCCCTAAATAATTGTGTCTTGTAACTTGCAGGGTAAATGGGTAAACATCCAACATTGCTCAGTGATTTTTCAACTTATACATAGTAGATTTAAGATACAAGAAACTTCAGCAGATCTAAAAATTTCTCTCTTTTTCCAATTGTGCTGAGATGTTTTAGCTGTTAATCACTAACTCAGCCAGGCTTTCCTTGGCAATTTAGAGAGAAAAAAAAATGAAAATACAAAGATCAATTATTAGAAATCGTAAAAAAAAGGGAGAAGGATAGATCTCTCATCTCTGAAAGATTAGAACTCAGTAAACACGTTTTTCACTATTCTAAACGATATAAAATAAAGTGAATTAATGAGTACAAATGAATGGACGGAAAATTTACAAAAACATACTCGCCATGCAAGACCATCATATCATCCATAAGCACCTTCCTCTTTAAGGCACTAGTGCGCATTGAAGAACGAGAGCGCTTCATTGATGCTATTTCAGGGGCCGCTGGACTTGGTTTCATTTTCAAAACTGAAGATCTTCTACCAACTGGAGCAACAACAAATTCCATCCAGTAACAACCTTGTTCCGAAGGAAATACATACTGTAATTAAATATATGCAAAAGCATTAAAAGTCCACTATTATACCTAATATTGAAGACAAAAGATCATCATCATCAGGAACAGACTCAGCAGTTCTCTTGGATTGAGCTCCCCCATATGATTCAACCAAATCCATACTCTGCACTGTAAGAGTACTTTCTGTGAAGCTACGTTTTTTACCAGAGATGTATTTTGCTCCTGCTGCACCTGTATGGCCTTCAGATGCACCCTGGTTGTCAGGAGTAGATTCCAGCAGCAAATCATTTGCTTCACCATCATGCTGATAAGCTAAGGAGAGTAACTTTTCAGGCTCTGGCATGTCAGAAACAGAAGATTTGTTTATACTTCCTACTTTGTCACTAAATATTTGACTCTCATGTTGTATATCTGATTTCCCCAAATCTGGGTTTCCTTTACATACAGATGGCTCTGTAGTCTCTAGATAACTTGTAGCAGGATCTGCAACATCATTTCCGTGGACTTTTTCACCTAAAAAAAATAAAAGAGAAAAATAAATAATTGCATTATTATGAAATCACGTGAAATGAATTGTTATATTAATACCTTCAATAGATGACAGAGAAGGTTGGCTCAGATGGGATGAGCATGGCTGGAGGATTGACTGAGTGGGCTGCACAGCTTCATGGGATACATGGGTTAAAGCCTCTGTTTCCTTTGGTTCTTGAGAGGCCTGAGCTTCCATATCAACAGCTTCAGTTCTACCAGGTGATCCTACTACTAGAGGACTAATAACATTGGATACTTGGGCTTCATCAAATGGATAAGATTGCCCCTCATTCTTAGAAATTTCGATGTCATTCAGAACTTCATGCTTTGAAGATGTGTTATCATCCTCCAAATGACCATCCAATCCTGGCCCCTGAGGTCCATCCATGTTAGACAACAGTTTACAAGAGAGGTCCTCTTGATCAGATGTAAAATTTTCATTTACACCAACACCTCCAGAAACAACACACTTTGTAATAGTTTGGTCCAAAGGAGCAGAAACTGGTTCATTGTTCATCAAGACTCCGTCATGTAAGTCTTCCTCCTTCTCAGGTATATCAGAAGCATTGATCACCCCACCTTCACGTTCTGGTAACAGTGTGGTTAGGTGCTCATTATTGGATGAGTGCAAGGGAAATGATGTTAAGCAATGCTCATTAGGAGTCAAATTTTCTTGATCCTTCATCACAACCTTACATGCTAAATGTTCCTGGTCCTCTTTTTTGCTATCCATTTCAACTGGATTGCAGTCATTATCCTCATGATGAAAATCTAAAGAAACATGATTCCCATTATTTTGCAAGGAGCAATCAATTACATCATTCTCCGTTTGGTGACCATAGGATTCTTTTTGTGTGGCCTTCATCGATATTAAAGCTGATGATTTATGATGGCCAACTTCACTATTGACCTGATCCATCTGAGCTCCATACAAGTTTGGCTCTTCTAGTCCAGGAGTAGATGGACCATGAGCATATTCACCAACTTCAGCATCAGCTGGTAAACCATCAATCTGTTAAAAAAGGATCAGTTCATTGATTAAAACCATAGTCAATGGAACTGCTTCATTTCATCCACTTTCCAACAATGAATAAACCCAAAGATTGATAGCCATGCAAATATTTTAAAATACCAAGTCAATCTTGCTTCCACTGTCTTTCATCTTAAGTTTCACTTACCTCTTTCTTTTCATTTTGTTGATGAGACACTAGAGGGTAAGCACTGAAGTCATCATGCTCCGAAGTAGCAACTTTGTTATTTAACAAAACCTGATTTCACCAAATCAAGTTAAAAATGTCCAGAAGTAAAATGAAAATGTATCTACAAATCTACATACTCAATTCAAAGTCAATTACTCTCAACAATACAAATCAAGATATTTTGTTTACAGTGCTCCAATAGCAACCAAAGGTTCCAATCTATACTCATTAAAAATGTGGTAGATGACAGCAAAACATTCCATTTGTGACAAAGACAGTGTACAGCACAGATCTTCAAATGTAATGATGCAAATGAAAATCATCAGATTTATATCAGGCACACCAAAGGCTTGTACGTGTCAGATGCATATAAATCATCAAATTTATCATCAGATTTCTAGTTGTAACCCGAGAACAAAACCATGATATCCAAATTAGTATGTTAGGGTCTTAAAACCATGTAGATCACATTTCAGCAATCAGCTCCAAGCATAAGATGCTGAGGAAAACTAAAAACAAAAAGGCAAATTACCTCATCAAGGTCTAAACCAATTTGAGAAGCATCACCATCACCAAAGCGCTCTACAAGAAGTGTTTGCCATTAAAAATTACTTAGCACAAATGTCCCCATTGCATTTTCAAAATTCACTATCAAGAAATCAGTACAAAGAGAAATAGAAAGAGACAAAAGTGAATACAAACCATCCAATCCGAACTGTGAAGTAGTGTAAACCACCCCCTCCATAGTATCTTGCAGTGTAATCTGCTCCCTAGTACTGACATGGTGATCAACATAGTTACTGCAATTTCACAACATATATACTCTTCCGTTAATAAACCAACAAATATTCCACATGAACCATCTTACATAAAATCATTATTTAGATCTTGTATCATACATCTGAAAATACCAAGGAAAAAGCTGATAGATAAGATCAGATAAAATCACTTATAGATACTTTCAAATGAAAGAAATAAAATAAATTAGACAAAGACAAATTTAAATGAATATATTGCTGCCGTAAGCAACAACTAAAGCTACAATTGATCATATATAATCAAGTATTAGGGAACTTACCCCTGAAAAATGTCATTATCTGGCAGTTCAAAATCATCAAGATCAAAAGTCTCAGGTAATGTGATGGAATGGTAAGGTGCAGTAGATTCTTCAGGTGGCAAATCAACTGCAGTGGAGCGAAAAGCTTGCTTTATCTTAAGCAAGGCTTCACTACAGTCATCAAAAAGGTAATTCACCTTTCTAGAATATATCCTCACCACACCAAGCAGAAGATGGCTGGATAAACGGAGTGCAATTGGCACTTCAGGAAAAAGTATGGAATCTGCTCATTCATAAAATTGACTAAATAAATAATTGAGACAATAAAATATGATCAAAATTAGACAATGCCAAATGCAGCATATGCATGTATAATGTACTGAGAAGTATTCATTTCCCTCATCATGGATCATAAGAAATTTTATGTGATCACAATAATTTCATGTCAGCATAGGATAGTCCTCACTCCTCAGTTCTTACCTACATATAGCTATATAACTAATCCTTCATTCATATTTCACAAATCAGACAACAAATATTAAAAAAAATGCAAGAAATATATCTACTGAGAAACAATTATCCCAACCAAGGTTAAGTCTTTCATTTAGACAAGAAGCTCTTAACATGATCAATAACTTTTCTTCATTTTTAGTATTATTTTGGCTAAAAGAATATTTTTATTAAGATGATGAACAGAAGAAAAGTATAACAGACATAGAAGATCCACAAATTAAGAAAATGCCAAAAAATTTGGGGACAACAGAAGGCTCTGTCCCCTGCCATGTGTGTCATGTGAGGCTCTAATTCAGAACAGTTCCCCACATTTGTTTGACACTGCCCTTCATATAGATCCATCTAGAATAGACTATTTAAAGTGTTTACTGATGTTAGAGGATAGGCTCCGTTAATAATCACTATTCTTCTGTAGTAAATAATCACTCCGTTAATTAGCCTTACAGCTGTTGTAACTAATTGTTAACTATCTCAGTTGTATTTGTGGGCTGTGATCTCTATAAATAGAGAGCAACCATGCAATTCATCCTTGTAATTCATTTTTCAATTCAACGAACATATCAAATTAGATTTTTCTCTCTTTCCATTTCCTGGTTATCAAACTCTATTAACTGGCAGCTGGGTGCCCTTTTAATCTAGATCAATTTCTTACAATCAACTTCAGGGGTTTCTTTTGGACTGAGGGAAAGATACTCCAGCAATGAGCAATCTATGCTGTACTTTGGAGTATTTTCTTTGCAAGAAATGCTTGCAAATAAGAATTCTTTTTGGCCAACAAATCTGTTGCGGCACAAAATGTGGTCCTTTCTGGCTCTCTTTTGAGTGTAGCTCCTGGTCACTTTCAGGCAGTGTCCATAGCAGGTATGCACATGGATCGAAAAGGTCTATTGTTGTACCATTTTGTCCATCTATTCTTTGTTGCTCTTCCAAGCCCTCACTCAGCAAGGCTTTTCAATATCCCTGTTAATTTGTATCATTTTCTTCTTTTACATATTGATGTGTGTGTGTGTGTGTAGAATATATGAAATAATGAAAATATATTGGAATAAAATATATTTGATTATCCTCTAGGTTTAGTTTCATTATTTCCTCACTATCTCTTAGGGCTATCTTACCATATTTTTCCCTTAATTCATTTGGATTGTGATTAGCTTAAATAAGGATTACTGCTCTACGTTTTATGGATATATCTCACCTAATATCATTCAATATTTCATTTTCTTTTGTTTTTTTCTCCCTCTCTCTATGCTTGCATAATTTTGGAGAATATATATATATATATAAAAGGAAGATCATTATCATCCCAAGTGCACAGTATCCATGATTTTAGGTGAAACACATGAGAGTGCTTTAGCTAGGTCTTCTTCCAAAACTTTTGTTTTCCTAGTTCCATAAAAAAAATTATATATCAGAGTATTCATAGCATGGAAATAAGAATTTACAAGAGAAACATGCTGTAAGAATCCTATATTTCAATTCCAAAGCTTCAAGCAATAACTAAAATCAACTGCAGACAGCTATATCATGGTCACTAAATGATTAGCAATGGTAAACAGTCCTCAGTGCAGTCCCACAAGAATTCTTCTACATTATTTATGCTCCTTTGTCAATTTGACAAGTCTCCCTCTTCTAAGTGTGTTTGTACTTGCCAATCACCTTGTATTGTGTCTTTTGTAGTTTGTAGTGTCTTTTAGTTTCTAGTGCATATAGTCCCTGAGACATAATCTATACAAGGTTTCTATTTCTAACCCATCCTTATCTTTGTTGTTCTACATTCCACCATTCCATTCATCAACCTAATTTTGTCACAGAACTAAAGTTGCTGCAGACTATGAAATACATGCTCAATGTATCATTAAGAATTGTTCCTCTAGGTAGAATATAAGGCATCAATTAAGCTTCAACAAACTCAATAGAGAAAAAATACATCAAACAAAGAACATTCCAGTTTTCTGAAAATAAACAGAGATGCCCCCACAAAATCAGTTAAGTGCCATAACGAAGGCAAGCAAAAAAAAAAAAAAAAAACACTTGCAACAAGTGTCCTAAGAAAAAGCTTGACAAGAACTCTCTGGAAAATACTTCAACCACTTAGACCAATAAGTACACAGAATCACAACTTTAAGCAATAACTCTTGTTTTCTGGGTGAGGATAGTGGTCTAGTTAGCCTGCTGGTACACCCCAACAAAATTCAAAGCTAGTCAACCCAAGTCAATTTTCACAAATAAAGGAGACAAGACTTGAAATTCCGGAATGCTCAAAGCCGTATAATTTCCTTTGGTTAATTAGTAACTAACTATTAACTATACTAAAATCACACAAATTTAAATTCAACTACAAAGTAAGCAGATCAGGAAACAAATCATTACGTCATCATAGAAACTAAGGTTTTGAATACAATAATAGCTACCAAAAATTACCCGGCTAACTAACAGTGAACACTCTTTGCACACTAAAAAAATTAAACACCAAAGCCTGAGACAAAATCACTTACCTACGGAGACGCCAATGTCGGTATCCGCCACCTGATTCTTTCGGAGCTTCCTCTCCAAATGCGCAGCTATCCATATAGTCCCAAGAGGCCCTTTCTTGGCCAAAATAAACTGAGAGTAAAACATACCTCTTCACCTCACAAATTTCCCAGTGAAAACCAACACCAATCCTTCCCTAAACCTAAATCCCCATACCCAACCCAAACAAAACCAAATCCAGAAGCCCGTTTCGTGAATTCCCCTCTAGAAACCCTAATTACACCCTCTCGAACGACAAAAACACGACAATTGCAGCAAGGAGCTAAAGACGAGTGAGAAAAGCAATCCTCGTGGAAAAGTTTACCAAAACGACGTCGTTGGCGAGCAGAGAACGCAGGGATCGAAGAGGAGAGCGTGGAGAAGCATAGCTTCGAAACACAAAATGAAGAAACCCTAAGTGGGCGGTTGAAACAGCGTGTGGAATTGTCGTGAGAAGAAAGAAACGTGGAATTGAAAGAGAATCGATGAGGCTAAGGCTACTCTTAGTTCTAACAAGTAATGAAGTTTTGAATAATGAATTTTGAAACAGAGAAAGAGAACGATTCTGTGCAACGCAAAGTAGATTTGGATTTAATTTTGGAAATTATGGGGCAAGTAAATAATATATATATACTATTCAGCTGAAATGAAACTAACACAAGATATGTTGCACTGTCAGCATGTGATTGGCCAGACGCCAAAACAGACAAACCTGCACTTGTTGTGTGTTTACTAATCTTCCTACTAACACTTTCTATTTTACTGCTTCTCTTTTATTATTATTTTTTTATGCTTTTTTTAGCAATACATTTAGAGAGGATAATTGATAAAGGCTCTCATTTGATAACTTGTATAATAGAGTTTTGACAAAATTAAAAAAAAAATTACTCTCTCACAGTCTCTTCAAGTTATAAAAAAATTATGAGTTATAAATATTTTTAAGTAGATGTTATATTACACGTTTTTTAAAATTTAAGGAACAAATTGTATATGTACACATAGATAATTTTGTGCATGTTAATTTTTTTTATGTCAAAATACATTTTTTTAGAGTTGAAGAATGAGTCGTACGTTTTTCAATGGTCCAATATGCAAAGAATAAATTTTGTGTAATATATTTTTATTAAATTTTTTGATATTTAATAGCATAATATAATATATAAAATATATATATATATATATATATATATATAAAAGTTTTTATTAGGTGCAACGTTGCACAAACTAAAAGACCTCTTCTATATCATATAAAAGTTATATTTACACTTATTCAATTATTGTGAATTAATCTCTTGAAAAGGTTATCATAAATTAATTATATACAAAATATTTTATGTAATGTATGAGTAAAATTACTGCTACATAGAAAAATAAAAGATGAAAAAAATTAATTTGAAGCCTATTCCTTTACTTGTAGTATGAAACTGTGGCAATGTTGATCAGGGAATAATATATTGATTTAGGGTTTATTTATTTTTAAATTTAATGTAGTTAACTCTAAATCGTTGTCCTAAATTTAACTTTGGTCATAAAAAGTTGAGAAATGTATGTTTGTTGAATCATTCATGTAGAGTTGAGAAATATGGAGGTATTTTTGCAAAATTAATACAAAATATAGCTCAGCTTAATGTATTTTTTTTCCTCTAACAAAAATAAAATGTAATTTTTGAGTATGTTAGTAAAATAAAAAGATAAAATCTAGTTACTACACTTTATATGTTTTTAGAGTTACTTTCTAATTAAAATTACTATATTAAAAATCAATATAAATATTTAATATTAGCTTTTATTATCTTAGTTAATATAATAAATTTTAATGTAATTTTAAAAACAGCATCAAAATACTAAAAATTAAACTTAAGTTTCATAAGTAAAAAAGTGCATATTTACGGTGTTAAAGTTATAAAATTATAATAAATATTTTTTAATTTTAATATTTTTTACTATTATTAGTTATTTATTTTCAATTTTAGGAGTTGAAGTTAACGTTTTTCTTAAAAAAATAATAAATTGAGAATTTGAAGTGGAATAAAATTAATGAAGAAACTAATTTTACACAAATAAACTTTATTAAATAGATTAAAAATACAATTAAACTTTCAAATAACTTATTCTAAATAATTAATTAATCCACAAATAAATGATTCCACATCATGAACGTGATAAAAAAAAAGAAGATCCCGCCAAATCTTAAGGCGTAGAGGCATTAAACAGGGTATTGAGTTAGTTCTCTACCCACAATATGAAATCTTAACATCACAATCTTAAAACTATAAATGGGGAAGTGGATGCTCTCAATCTTAAAACTTGAAAATTCCTCAATCACATGCTCAAAGCTTTTTCACAGCGATAGACAAGGAACATCTGAGAAAAACCACGAAGTCCCTAAAAAATGTTCTTCTTTATATTTCTTTTTATATAATAAAGCAATAATTTTAATCATTTCGTGGAGCATGAATATGATATGTATCTAAATTAATTTTACTCCAAAGCGTGTTTGATTTTTCATTGAAATAAAGCCTAATAAACATTTGGCTTAACATTAAAATAAATTATTTTCATGATTTTCTCGTCAGAGTATGTAATGTATTTAAAATGAGTAATTAAACATGTCCATAAATTTTATATTAAAACAGTGTTATGATATATGAAATTAAGTTTAGATATAAACTCAATTGACATTTAATTTCAACCATGTTAAAAATATGTTAAATTTGTACTAAAAGAAGCAAATGTACTTTTTATGTTTCTTTTTACACGACAGTAATTTTATTCGTTGTATATTGCCTTGTATTTTGTTAAAAAAAAACACGTAATTCATCCCAATCACCTGTTAACATAACATTATAAGCAAGGCAGAGTGAATAATCAACGTTATGAAAGCATGGTGAATTTGCAAAAGATTTAAGAGAAAATGTGAGAAAAATGTAAAAACTTAAAATCCAATGGACAGATATAGTTTTCTACTAAAGTTAGGTTTTGTTAATTAGAGTGTATCAATAATATTTTTAAATAAAACTTTTTACAACAATAATTTTATCTCCTGTGATGTGTTTTTATAAGACTTGAACTTCTTACCTTCAAAGAATTGTTGGACAAAGACAAATGTTCAACTTATTGGTGGCAAATATTTTGGGGGGGGGGAGGGATTGTTGAAAGGTTTCAAAGATTTAATAATTTCTTAACAAATAAAGTTGTGAGATCAACTCTTTGAAATGTATGAACTCTTTATATTTTGTTTAACAGCTTCATTAGCTTGTCGACAAAAAAAAAAAATACTTTATGTTGCTAATCAGATAAGAAAGTCCCTTTCTTGTTTTACTTTTTGGTTGGCATGGGATTCTTTAAATACACTTTTCAGTATACAAACAAATTGTTCATTACGGTTACATTTCAAAGATAACGTGGGAAGATCATAATTAACAAATAAAAGTAGGTCCAACTCGACTGGAACCTTGAAGTTAATATCAACATTAACACTAGGATCTTCCTACTTCATTTGTATCAGCATCTTCGTTATGGGCGCCCAATTTGACAATGTCTTCCACCAATATTTTCCCATCTGTTTAAAACAATAACCAAGGCAAAATGTTCAATCTTGTAGTTGCACTAATTTTCATATTAAGATGTTGGATCATCTATACTATTTTAAAGCTTTCAGTTACATACAGCCCTATTGGTAGAATCGTAAAAAAGTAATTAAGAAAATATTGATTTTTTTCAATAAAATTCTGAAGAATTTCGAAGAACTATGGCATAAATGGAAGCGTGTAGAAGGACTAGTTCAAACAACCATCACGGAAGTGATGGACTTTCATTTTGTTTATATATAGAGAATGAAACCCGTTTCAAATTGTGAAGAAATTTACCATTGAAGTCACAAGAGATAGATGATGATGATTGTTGTTGTTATATTTAGATATCTATATTAGTTGTACTAATGTACTACAAATCTACACAGTACACAACCTTCTTTTTTGGTTACAAACATCCGGTCCCTATTGAACCTGTCACTAAAATACACTTGGGGAAAATGGTTTTCCATGAGATGGGAGAATCAAATGCAAGTTACAGTTGCCCATTTACACAAAATAAGGGTTTTCTCAGGGCTGTTACGTGGGCTTGGTTCGTAAAAGTTATTTCAAGGAAGAGAAGAAAAAGGCTAAACAGAGGATAGAAAACTAAGCTAAAAAGGAAAGCATAAGTTGCATTAGGTGCTGTTCTGTGGTTTTGAATTAGAAACTTTTAGCTGTGGTAATTGGAGGGCTCATCAGTGAAATTCATTACTGATATCTACTGGGGCAATACGAGAAAAAGAAGGAAAAAGACACAAGAACTGACCTCTATCCTTGGAAAGGTTGCTGATTAGTTCATGAATTCCTTCTTTGCCCAGAGTGTCCTTCAGATACATAGCAGCAGATACAACCTCTTCAGGTGTCACTTTCCCATCATAATCCCTGCCAGAACATAGCTAAACATTTTAGTAACATTTATTTCCAACAATTAGGCATACAAATTTATAAGAGAAAAGAAATAAACAACTCCATTCGTGTAATGATGCTTACTAAAGTCTTACATGTTGTAAATGAATTAAATACTTGGGGCGGATTCATTTCCAGGAAGAGGGAAGGCCACAAAGTTCTGGTAGTGGTTGATTCATGAAAAAAAGAAAGATAGGATCCCAAGTAATGGATTCAATCTCAGTTAAAACATGAAAGGGTAATATCGTTTTGAAATATTGTGGGTCTGTATTGTAATTTGTAAGTAGTAGTGGTTTGATATAACATGCAAACATTATCAGCAAAAATGAAAGTGAAATAGGATTTGGAAAATCTTGTGGAATTAGTAGACATTTCATAGATTGTGAATATATTTAAACACAGGATTACCAACCGCCTTTCCTTCCATTGCTAACATCTTAAGGTTATAACTCTAGATTGCTGATGGCCAACACAGGATATCAGATCAGACACTTTTGCAATTTTTTCACCCAAAATAACCAAATTTGCATAACTACTATTACATTAAAGCAAGCTCAAGACTTGTCTTAATTATTATGACATCGTATGATACAAGTAATATTCTACTTGGTTTATTGAGGGGATGAGTATAGTGATTATTGGAGAAAATATCTGGGGCAGAGATGGGCTAAAGAGCTGCTTGCAGAGTAAATTCCAGTATATATTCCTCCAAGAATTAAAATACTATCCAGGTGTTGAGATTGCTCAATCCCACCATGAAATTTATATCAGAGAGGAACCTTGATTTGCTTAAAGAAACAGCTAAACAGGGATGTTGGGGGTTCACCCCAATAATAGATAATAGAGATTTATTAGATCACAGTTTCTCCCATATAACAATGAAAGCGGTCCCCCCTTCTTCCCCTATTGTGATATCGTTTTATGGATTCTGCAATTGAGCTTGAGCATTGGGCAATTGCCTTTTATAGAAAATGTCATATTTAAATATTCATAATTTGCATAAAGATAACAGAAGCAATTAAACATGGTTTCAAAGTATACAGTATGGCACATAATGTTTTTCCAAGCAAATATGTAACTAAGAAAAAACCTGTCTAGCAATCGCCAGCGGTCTCCAATTTTTGCATCGACATCATCAATTTCTTTTTCAAGAGTCTGGAGCATGTTATCAACCTGAGAAGCAAATGAAATTCCCATTGCTGTTAGACATTTCCAGTTTCAGAAAACAATTAATGATTAACAGATGATGTGCTTTGTTCTTTGTTTTTCAATTATCAAGTGGCATCAAGAGAAAGGTCGTAGAATTACCCTGTCAACAAGTGCTGAAGAAATCTTGTCACTAATAGCTGCCTCAATAGCACCATCACTTTCCTTCCTTGCAGCTTGATAGGCCTTCTTAGCTTCCTGCTCACCTTCAGTACCTTCTTTCCCTACCATACTATCATAAAGCTCCATCTGTGCAGTGGAGGTTAGAATTGATTGTGTGTAAAAGAAGCAGGGCATGATGAATAACTAAATGGTTTAAGAAAACGTTTTCTTTTTCATTTTCCTTTTTTCACCAAAATGTTGTTTCAGTGTTTCTTCAATATTTGAAAACAAGAAACAAAGTGAAAATGATATTTAAATTACATCCAGAAGGGCAAGTTAGACACACACCCACACCGACAAAAATACTAGAATCCAGAAAGACATCTACTACATTTTTATTTACTTATTTTTCCTTTTTAATTTCTTTTATTTTTTTCTTCCATCTTTCCTTAAGTCCCACAGGTTTGATCCTGTAGAATCTGAACTATTTTATCATTGAGCAAAAAGTACAAAATAAATCTGATTGATTTTTTTATCAGAAGTACTATGTGAAATGAAATCTTCGCCATTTGACTTTCAAGACTTTGAATTTTGAATGCCCAGAAAGTATTAGTATCCACTATCCAGTCACATATATACAAATGAATTCAACAATCTATATACCTCCTTTCTAACAAGCCTCAAAAACTCTTCACGTTCCCTGCTCACTGACTGAAAAATTATATAATAATGAATGAGTTCAAGCATTCATTAGTGCATTAAAACTTAGTCAGGCGAGAACAAAAATAATTTACTGCCACGCCTTACAGATGCTGATGCTAAAACAGCTAATGCACGGCTGAGCTTGCTGAGGTGTTCTTGATTATCCAATGTCTTTGTTTTTACCTCTTCTTGTGTTTGTTTGGTCATTGAAGCTCTCTCTTTCATAGCCAAATCCCTTTCACTACCAATAGATTCTGTCATTTTGGCCTGCTCTGCCTCCTTTTTCTTTTCCTCCTCCTATTAAATATTTTGCAACCATAAATCTCAAATTAAAGCAACAAGTATACTAATATCTTAGCAAGTTCAACAAGAAAATCAGTATATTATGGTGATTCATATATAGCGTTAATTGGATGACAATCACTGATGATTTCTCTAACATAATTGATTACAAGTTGCTCCACAAATACAATAAAAAAGAAAATGCTCAAGAACATAAAATTACATTTTTCATAGATGACTTGTGCATACTTCCACAATTAATTTATCATTATCCCTCTCTCTTCTCTCTGTCTTACTAATAGACTTCATCATATATTTATTTAAACTTGAATCCTATGTTCCTATTCCTACCACTAATTATTTACAAATTTCAGTGAAATGAAGCAAGGCATTTAACATAAAATGATAGGTATAAATGAAACAGAGGTTTTAACGAGGCTACTTTAACATTATGACAGAAAAATTCAACAACCCCACGACTCTCTCCCAGAACATATGTATCCCTAACAAAATTCATAATGCAAACAAATCAACCTTGATTAGCTCCTCTTGCATTTCAAGATATTCCAACTTCCTCTTCCTTTCTGAAACAGAATCTTCAGATGGCAAAGTTGTCACCCCAACAGTATCTACAACCTCGTCTGGGAGAGAAGAGAGTGTGGCTTGAACAGCTTCCTCTGGCCTCACCTTTCCTGAAACAGAAAATGCTCTATAGAGGAAATGAGATGACCACACCTTTCCAGAAGGAAAAAACTGTAAAAGATATTTTAACAGAGAAAATACGAAGATACCTTGAAAGAATTAAGAGAGAAGATGGCACTGAATGGTTGAGAGATAAATCCAGCCAGTCCTTCAGCTGCAAAGAAATATAACAATTTACATCCTCATACATGATATTTGCTTCAGCCATATAACCATATGATGGATTCTTTTATTCAGCATTAAGAAATGTCTACCAACTATACTCCATAAATGCTGGCTTTGCCCACTTTCTTTTCTAATACAATACTAATACAATTTTTTTTCTCAATCAACAATGGTAGCTTTCTCCATTCCTTTTGCATTTTAAGAGTTACACCTACAACCCTTTGTTTTTAAGATGTTATTTTTGTTATGCATCCAACACAATAATAGCATTCAATAGTCTTGATATTTTATTTGTTTGAGATATATATGACATGTGTGGAGAATGAATTAGATAAAGGGTAACCCTATCGCTAGAGGCAGAGTGAAACCAAGAAAAACTGGTGGCAAAATCATTAAGAAAGATTAAGAGGTCAATGTTAAGTCGATAGACATGATTCACAATATAATATTATGGTGTCATTTGATCCATGTACTCAACCCCATCTAGTGAGAAGACTTAGCTGTTATTGTCTTAGTTCTCAAAGTAGCAATTATGAGAAGATAAAGGTTCCAAAAATAGCAACTATGGGAAGATTTGGTTCTGATTTCTGAAAGTAGAATCTGTGACAATTACAACCAGTTTCTTGTTCCCAAAAATTACCAACATAATAAATAAACACAAAGTCAGATTTAATAATTGACTTCAGAGCCACAAAATCTACTTCAACATTGATGATCAACCTGCTGCCGCATTTCTTCTACTGAAAGTAATCCAAGTAATCCTCGATCTCTACAAGCCTGACGAAGCTCTGCTTCTGAAAGAGATTCCACACCTTCTGCTTGAATCAGTATATCATCATTCTTGATCCTGCCAAAGGCAAACTATTTACATATATTGATACTAAAAACAGTAATGAGATTATTGATTGAATATGGTTAATTTAGTTAAGAACCACTGTAGTTTTGAAAGCACATAAATCTTCAAGTGTGGTGTGCTAAGCAGAATTTCCCTTTTTTATCCCTTTCTTTTCTTCATTCCTAGGATGGCCTTAGTTTTTCTTTTTTTACTTTACTAGAAAGTAATATTGTGGTAGCATGAATTGAACATCATATGGAAGAACTTGTACTAGTTTTATTACACATGTAATTGACCTAAATTCATTAGCATATATATATATATATATATATATATACAGAGACCCTAACAGATATGAGGTTAATGCATCCCCTTTACATATTCTTTTCATTTCCATCTTTCCCTTTCTCCTGTTGTTCCCTTTCATGGTGTCAAGAGCTACATTCTGAACCTAGGTTGGAAATATAGATTCACATCTGGTTTCCCTTTCTCCTTTGTTTATCAACGTCCATAAATGATAAATTATAACATAGATCAAACTGCCAAATCAGAAAAATTAGAAGTTATCATATAACTTTGTATCAACTAAATTCACGAGTTAGAGATAAGCAAACTTGAACCGCTGAAATCCATCATAAGGTAAACTACCGCCTCTCAGCCCCGACTAAATCTATCATAGAAGCGAGCAATAGACAATAAATTGGTCAATTGTTCAGTGCAGCCAAGGGGGATTTGTGCCTCTTTCCATCTTTAATGTGCAACTCCGAACTGATTTATGTCCCCATGTGGCCCATCATCTCTTTATCCACAAATCCCTTGGCTGTCACTGTCACACCCAAACCTGGTCCACAAATAACTAGGACACACTGGATGTCATCAAGTGTAACACTCAGTCATACATCACCAGGAAGGAAAGATCCAGAGGAACCATATAATAAGAAAGGTGATGTATATAACAAGGAATTAGGGATATCAGTGAAACAATTTCGAAAACTGGGAATTTAGGGTTTCTGTGAAATCAGAGTTGACCAGAGAGAGAGAAACCGTAAAGGGTAGGCACTGACATAAATTGTTAGGTAAGATAAGGCAAGAGTTCCACGTATTATTCTGCTTCCTACAATTGAATTATGCACTATGACCAACCAAGAAGTGAGTGAGGAGACAGACATTGTGTAACAAATATAAGAAATCTACAACAATTGCAAAAATCCTTATCTAAGCCAGATACTAAGAAACTTTTCACCATAAAGCACAAAATGAAAATTACTAGACCCAACCTACAAGTCCCAATGAGCTATGCATGCATAAAAAATCAGAGTTTTCACAAAAAGGAAAAACGAATATATGAATCTTACTCCTGTAATCTTTTGCGGAGCATATAACGCAAATATGCATCAGTTCCATATGGGTTGATGCCCATATATTTACACATATTTACCAAGCGAGGCCTGTTCTCCATTTTCACAAAAAAAAAGCAGGTTAATGATGATAATCGAATCTCAAAATATGAGATTATTAACTGGAGAGCACAAGTAGCTGAACATAAGCAATGGTAGAAGCCCCAACCTGCTAATGTTATCCAGGGTTAGCTCATCATTAAATAATTTGGCAAAGCCTAATATTTCATCATTAGAAACTCGGGCACCCGTTCTGACCTATTTCAATAGCATAATAAATATTGATATAATAATATAAATATTGAACATACAGGAGGATAGCTAAATATAAAGGAACTATATCATGAAAAGCATGGCCAACCTTGTTCATAAATTCATCAAGATCTTCTGCTGTCTTCTTCATTTCTCCACTTCGTGAATTTTGAATCTCCTTTGCCATTTCCTTTACAGTATCTTGAAGAAACTTGGCATATTCTATTCTTGCATTTAGCCTTCTTTTCAATGCCTCCTATAAATCAAGCCTTCCCAAATTTGAGTGATAATATAGCACACCAGTAGTCAAGCATGATTTGGGTGATGACTATGAGTACAATAATAATTACCTGTTCTTTCATCTTGTCCTGGAAAGTGGATGGCAGCATGTTGGGAAACAGTTTCAGGAATACTGGCAACAATAACTCCATGAATGGAACTATGATAAATACAGCAAAAGGAACTAGCCTGAAAATATCAGCTGTTGTCCTCGTGAGTTGCTGCCTCTCCCTTCTAGAAAGATTCTTTCCACCGGCAAGTTTCAACAATAATCTGGAGCTTATCCTAATATCAGCCCAGAGTAGTTTTGTACCAAACCAGTAGTGTTGCAGGGTAGATTTAAATTCATCCCACCAATGACTAAACTTCTTTGCCCAGTCATCCCTAGGTAATGGCAAATCAGAGAAGTTTCACCAAAAAATTTATATTTCACACAAAAACAAGAGGCAATAAATTTTAAACCTGCTCATTGACATAATAGTTCTGAAAGCGGGACCAATTCCTAAAATCCTAGCCCATAATCTCTTAAGAATAGAATCAGCACTCTTCTGGGGTTCTTGCAGTTGTTTAGCCTTAGCTTTTGCTTTCACAGTGCTCAAGTCTTCAACAGCTTCATCACATTCCTCCGGTGAAGCTTCCTTCGTCTGTTTAGTTGCTGATTGTTCACTTCCTCTATTACTGCTACCCAATCCAGATTGATCAGTTGCAGCCGTGGAAATATAACGGGTACATTGGGATATCCACCCCAATCTTGAAAGAGAAACTAACTCTATCTTGTCAGTTCTAAATCCAAAACTTGAAACTCTAAATAAACTATTGGAGATAAATCTCGTGGCAGCACAAGCTGCCATATCATCTTTGTTGACATTGAATAAATTTTCTTCCCGTCTATGTCCTGTAGTGGCAGATGAACAGAAGGGAAACTGGATCAAACCTTCGAATTCATTAGATTCTAATGGTTGACCACGCCCAACACTCGAAAATCCAAAAATAAAGCGAGTGTATTGACCATTTGGGGGACTGGAAAAGAGACTCCTTCTCTTTCTTAAAATCACTCTTGAAGCCATAATAACAACAAAATTCCAGCCTTTGATGCCAGTTCTACCAAATCAAAATTCTCAATAAATCAATGCTTCAACGTCACGGATGCCAAGAGCAGAGATTTATCACCAGTAAGGCGCAAATAAAACTCCAATTACTTTTTACCTCACTTTCTGCAATCGGTCAACACAAGAGAAATAGAAAGAGATTATCAATTACAATATCAAATGCCACAGCCATACTATTCTGGCAAAAAGAATTTATAACACTCTACCATTTTTTAATTTTTACACAATGATGTTATACACACACCCAGAGGGAACATGGCAGTGAGAATAGTTCTTACCATAAGACTCTGAAAACATTAATCGATTATAATGCAGCAGTCCATTGCAAATAAGAAGAAATCCATGATTTTCTTCAATTTTTGCAGAAATCCAACTGAATTGAAATAAGCTTGTTAAATAAGAAACGCACCTTTCGTTCATGAAAACAACCCGTGGAAAAGAATTATCACGTGTTTTTTAAACTCAACAATTATTGGCATAGCCAAATCGAGAATCAACAATCGGAAAGAAAACGCGCGCAGCTTCAATAGTAACACGATCGTGTGTGCAAGGAAATGACTACGAGAGAGAGAGAGAGTGAGAGAGAGTGAAGAAGGAACATCAACACTCTGGGCGTTTCCAACCTTTTTTTTTTTCCATTAATGCAATATTATTATTCACCCACTGCACGCATGTCTTGTGCCAACGTGTTCATAATTATTTATTATTATCCTTAAATTAAGAAAATTTCCATGGGAAAAATTCCTTCACCATTTTGATAAAGCTCCCTCTTTAGAATTGAAAATATTTATTATATTAGTAAAATAAAAGTATAATCAACATTTTATTTTTTTATAAAAAGTTAATATTATTATTTGCTCAAACTAACTAGAAGTAAGAAAATATGAATGAAACCAAAATTCTTAATAAAATGTTCTTAGTGGTCTGAAGAGAAAGTTTAATTTATCAAAATCTTCACTGCATGAGATATACTCTTCAAAAATTGGATGTTAACTTAGTAAAACAGAGTCCCATATTACCTTAATAAATATATAATTTTAGGATTGGAATTTATATGAATAAATTTTTGATATTTTTCTTATAAATTTGTATTTTTTTGTAAATAAATAAAAAAATTTGTTAAAAAGTTAAAAATAGTAAAATTTTATTAGAAAAAAATATTTATTATATTTTTATAATTTAATACAATAATTATGTATTTTTTTTATAACAAATTTTTATTTGTGAAGACTAAAGTTAATAAATAAATAAAAAAAACTAATGAACAGTCAAACACGTTACATATTTAGTGACACATATATCAGTATATTCTCACCCTCTCACTGTCTTGAATCAGCATATTCTCAATTCCCAAACTAGCCATATGAGTGGCAATCCCTGACCTCACCTGTTTTCTCTTAACAAACAACTGTTTAATGGCTTTTCGAAACGCAAACTATTCTAAGGCCGTGTTTAGAGGAGTTTATGTTATTTTTAAATTATTTCAGTAAGTTTTTTTTATTTTTTTTATTAAAATAAATTATTTCAACTTCGTGATCAAATTTACAATATAAACTCTTTATGCAGTAAAAAATATTTAATAAGCGTTTAATTAAGTTGTTATCCAAACATATTCTGATTATAAATTGGAAGAAAAAAAAAATACTGGCAATCACCACTATAAGATATATTTTAGCATCATACAAACATTGCAAAAAGATTTTAAACAAAATTTCTTAAACTACAAACACTACATCAATGATAAAAAACACTGCACCATATATGTCTTGATGGCACATACTTTTTGAAGATAATAAGAAACAATGATTCTTCCCCAAAGCAAAATAGATAAGTAATGTTCCTATGAACTTTCAGAAAAGTAGAACAGTTGGAAGAGACTCTGCATTCAGTTGTATCTCTTGTGCTATTGTGGTTCACGCTCTCACATTTTTTTCATGACGATCTCTTCAGCTAAAGAAACCGGGCACGGTTGCTTTCTTATAAGAGCATGAGTTAAAATTACACTTCAGGCCATTGCATAGCACATGATGCTATTTGTCATCACCACAGGAATTTGTATTCTCTGGAGTTTTCAATGTTAATGAGGTGACCTTCAATGAGAGTCATATCTCCGATTTGTTTTTGCAACAAATTAACCTTACCTACTAAGATTCACAAAAACAAGATTTTCCATACATTGGTTGTATACTGGAAAGGACCCTCTTACTATTTATTGAAAAGTATTATTTAAAAATATAAAAGGAAAAATAAGCACAAGTGCAATTAATGAAGTCAAATAGAAACTATAAAATGCTCAAAAATGATATAATTCTCTTACCCCAGCATAATTCCTTCTTCAAAGTAGAATTTAGCATTCTTAGAACTTCTGGTTTCTTTCTCTAAAATGAGATCTGGTACAACAAATAAAACAATGCAAGACAATATATTTGCAGGCAATTCTTTACAAGTTCTGTGAAAATTTATTTAATGTTGTTCCTGAAGTTTATCATATACTATACTGCGTTTAAATACCACAATATTCACATTGGCAATTTACTGCGACAGAATTGCTCAAACCAATGTTTTGGAGCAGCTGGATGAATTTTAAAGACACGAGCTACAAATTTCTTTTCGCCATTTGCAATCATACTTCGAATGGAATATGTTTTACAACTCAGACCCTTTTCTGTAAGCCACAAATGGAATTTGTACCTAGGTATGATTCGGTCATCCAAATGATAGTACAACATTGCTGGAAAAGCGTTCACATAGTCCAAAGTAGTTCCGAATTCTTTATGCAAGAAATTCACCTTTCGCTTCATAATTTCAGAATTTTGGTTTAGAATCCTGGGGGTCATTCTTACCATCATACAGAGCTTTGAGAATTCAATACTTGAACGTAGAAGGCAATCAAACCTTTCCTGTAAGTCATAACTAGTGCCATGCAAATTATTCAACACATTCATAGTCAAACCATTCTCTCCAAATCCCAAGCCATGCAAGAAATTTAATTTACTAAGATTATAAACTCGAACTCTTGAAACATGAATCATCCGTAACCCATCTTGATAATCTTTATTCTGCTCTTCACAAGGATAGCTTGTGATATAATCTGCTAACAAACAGCAGTGTCCATCCTTGAGTTTGTCGACAAACCACTTTTGTAAACCCAAAGCCCTCATTACATTAGGTAGATTAACCATTTTATTTGTTCCCAATGCATGAGAGAAATTCTGATGAACATCCTCCACACCCTTAGAGCTCAAGCCAAAGTGTTTCAACAACTTTAACACGTTAATCACCAGCTTCTCCAAATCAAGACTCAACAATTCAGGGCACAGTAGAATCAACCGAGCCACTTCCTCCTTCTTCATATCAAATCTACAAAAATACTCTATTTTCTTAGCTAATTCCTCTTCTTTATGCTCAACAAATATACCCTTCTTCCTTCCTATGAGTTCCCCTAACCCACCCTTCCATCCATTTAAATCAAAAAACAACCGTAATTTCCTACACATCTCATACCAAGAATCCACATCACCCTCAATAGACTTATCCAAACCATAGTCCAAAAACACCATCTTCAACTCATCAAACAACACATCAATCTCAACACCCACTTGGCCTTCCTCACTCAAAACAAAAGGGAAGGCCAAACTCATCCCAATGACTTCAACATTACCAAAACCAAACCCTTTAAACCCAAAAAGCCTTGACTTCAACTCCGCAACACTTCTCCCAAAAATGGAACTTTTCTCCATGTACAACAAACCCAACTTCTCCCACGGAAACCCAAAATCAGAAAGCGCACAAGCAACATTGAAAAGGGTCCCATCTTCGGAAAAGAACACCTTGTCATGAGGCAACAACCCAGAAACAAGATCAAACTCTATGCCGATGCTTTCGAAAAAAACTTCAAATTCGTTAACGGGGTGATACCTAAGGACCCTCTCAAAGCTTTTGGGGAAAGTAGGAGCTGAAAAAGGTTTCACCTTTGCAATGAGATGAGTAAGGGAACGAAGCGTGTTGTTGCCAATGTGCTCTGCGTAGGTAAAGGGTAAGCAGCGAGTGGCGTAGAGGTAGTTGATGAGGGCCTTTTGGGCTTCACGAAGAGCAAAGTTTCTGTACCTTGTGGGTATGCTGGAGAGCTTTGGGAGCTTGGTGGTGGTGGTGGTGGTGGTGGTGGAGAAGTGGCAATGGAGGAAGAAGGAGAACATGGTTGAGGGTTTATGCCATGCCTCTAGCCTTTTCTGCTTCTCTTATGCCATGGGCTTGATTTTTTCCTCTTATTTATTTTATTTTATTTTTAAAGTTTCATTTAAGTTTTACTTATCATTTAACCCTTTTTATTTCATTCAATGTGGTCTTCTATGATATATTTCTAGGATAAAATCATTATTTAACCTTGTTATATCTTTTAACTTAATACAGTATTTTGAAATAATAATGATAATAATTTTTATTCATATGTTGTGAATTCATATATATACCGAATATAAAAATCTTCTGAATCAGTAAACAGTGAAAATGAAGCAGAGTTAAAACAAAAGAGCAAAAAGACGCTAATTTATAAGAACTAAATTAAAGTTTAAAAATAGTTAAAATGAAAATTAAATTAAGCTTAAAGATTAAGTTTGATAAAGATAAAGTAACAGGATCAAATTGAAAATTCACTAAAGTTTAAAGAATGAAAAACATAATTTAGCCTTTCTTTTATTATATGAAGAAAAATATTCTGATAAATAAAATGAAAATCGAACCCAAATTTAATGGATTCCATAAAAAAAAATACACAAAATAGAAAGAATATTTATTATTTAATGGAGTTTAGGTAGTTAAAAAAAAAAACTGTAGACATGTGTGTGTACATTAGCGTCATACTAATTTGTATTCATATTTGCACAAAATTTTTACTATATAAATAATAAATTGTTGTAAATTTAAACATTGTAAATTATAAGATATGTCACAAAATCTTATACATTCATAATATTAAATTTATATCGTTAGTAACGAAATTATTTATTAATTTAAAATATATGCAAAAGTTCACAAAGTTTAAAAATTGTTACTATATTTGTAACTAAGATTTCATAATAATTTAGATTAAAATTTTAATTGTAATTCTTTTATAAATAAATTATGTATTATCTTTAAATGTGTTTCTTATTTAACTTTTTGATCAACCTTTATGTAAAAATTATGAATACTAATTTTTAATCGACAGCATTTTTAAGAGTTTTTTTTTAATATAAATGTTTTTAAGTGTTAGATTTTTTTATTATCATGCAAGTGTTTTTTTTTTATATTAGGCATTTCAATTTTAGTTCAATGTTAATTTAAAAATTTGAATTTTTTAATTTAAAATTATTTTTTGTTTATATAATAGAATATTTATTATCAATAATTATAATATTTATTCCTTTAAATTTATTAAATTTAAAATAATTATATAATATATATTTATTTATTAATTTTAATTTTTAATTTTAATTTGATAATAGTGCAATTCATGAGAAACTTTTTAGTTTAATGTCCATTTTTATTGGCCTTTTATAACTAATTATCTATGTTTTGAATTTTTTATTAATAAAACACTCTGCTATAAACATCGATTTTTATTGGACAATTTTAACACATGATTTTATTATAGCATTTAATTATTATTTATTTATTAAAAATTATGTTAAATTTTCATTTTATAGTCGATAATAAATTTCTAGTTCCACTTATTATTAGTGTCCTTTTTTATTAGCCATTTTAATTATATAATATTAGCATCACATGATAATATTTATGTTTTAATAGTTTGTCAAATAAATATGCAGCAAGAGTAACGAGTTCAAATTTGAGTATTTGTTGAGAGCTAACAATATATTAAAATTGTTACTCACAAATGTATAAATATAAATATGAATATTTAAAGAAAATGCAGATATTAAAATGAGTAAATACCTATTGTAGTATTAATTACTCTAGTTTTTTATTATTTTTTTAAATACTCAGTTTTTATATATTTTTTTTTTGTTTTTATTACCATTATATACCCTAAATCATAGTTATCGATATATTTGACATAAATTCATATGGACTATTTGCTATTCTAACTTCTTCCTTTAACGTATGCTTAGTAAGGTGGCTTATAAGTTTTTTTTTTAACTTACATAATTATAAAAATTTATTTATTTGTATACTTTAATATTTTTTATAAGAATTAATTAATTAATTTTTAAAAGTAATAAAAATAATTATGTCTTAATTTTACATTATAATTTAAAAACACCTTAAACACTAGATAGTCAAATTAGTTACTCATGTATTAAATAATAAAAATATTGATTTATATGAGTAATAGACAAATACTTTACCAACACAAGGTTTATAACAAGTAAAAATATAACAAATAAATTAAAAATAATTATACATACAAAATTATAATTAAAACAAATTAACAATAACATATTATAAAAAATATTAGAGGGAATATATCAAAATCAAAAGATAAATTTTCTATTTGTTTAGCTTTTAATTTAGATTTCAAAAATTCGTTAAGAGAGCATTTGAAACGAATTAACTATTAATTGAAATTATTTAATTTTTTATTTTTTAAAGTAAAGTGATAATTTATTTACTATTAATTGAAATTAAATATTTTATTTAAACAATTAACTTTAAATTAAAGATAAATAAACTGTCATTTTCTGTGTTTTCTTACTTTAAAACAGTTAAATATAACAAAAATAACTTTCACGAATTTTTTAATTTATTTTAATAAAAATGTAGACCCAACTTATCAAATTTTAATTCATTCTAAGAAATTACATAATAAAATTTCATATAATAAAGAACAACCAAATAAATATACTATATGTCCAAAAAAAATCATAAATAACACAAAAACCAAATTCAAATACTACTGTGTATATTTCCAAGTTTTAATAAAGCAATCATTAAAGTCAATGACTCAATACCATTACCATTACTCCATTCATTCATCAACTTCTTTTTCATCCCAATTAAAATCGAAGAAAGAATTAAAACAAAGTGTGAAGGGTGTGTTGGTAATTCCAGAAATAAAACCCTATATTTTCCAACTCAGGAAAACCATTTACAGTTTCTACACCGAAACCACTCTCAGTTAGAACCACCGGCGATGTCGCAGCAAGGTCAAATTCCGATAAACCCCATGGTTCCTCAACAGAATTCAGTGCCACCAATCCCCATGCAGCTTCCCATGCCCATGCACATGCAGATGCACATGCCCATACCTATGCCCATACCCATGCAGATGCAGATGCAGATGCCCCTCCCCATGCCCCTCCAGATTCCCTTCTCCGTCCAAGACGCCGCCGCAAACCCCTCCTCCGGGAAGCGCCGCCGAGAGGATGAGGCTCCGGGCACCGTTGCTGCCGCAGAGCAGTCCGCGGCCAAGCGCGTTAAGGGACAGGACGTGATATTCAGGATCGTCGTGCCCTCGCGCCAGATCGGAAAGGTCATCGGCAAAGAAGGTTGCCGCATACAAAAGATTCGGGAAGAGACCAAAGCCACCATCAAAATCGCTGATGCTATCGCTGTAAGTCAACAATATATTTTTATTGAATATACTTGGTAGAACTAGGGTTGAATTGAATTACTTTTCAATCTTCAATTTGGGTTTAGGGTTTGTCGAGAGTTGGATTAGTGAATTAGTACTGCAGTGTGTGTAATTGATTGTTCTTTTCAGTTATTATTCAGTTATTGTTAGAAAATGATAGTTGTGTGGCGTGGTATGGAGACATTGTTCTAACCTTTGGTTGGGTTTGGAATGATATAATCTGGGGCAATTTATTTCTAAGCAGTAAAAATTTCAGGAGAATTGAAAACTATGGTATCGTTTGAATTTGTACATTTCGAAGCTTGTCTACTCTTGAATTCAGATCCCACAATGGGTGCGATGGCTGTCGCTTCTTCTTTCGTAAAGTTTTATTTTGCAGATGATAACCATTGTATTGTGCACACATTCCTTTTTTTTTTTTTTTGTCTTTTTATCCATTTTGGTTTTGTATCTTCTGAACGATGTCATTGTTCCTGCTAGGCTAGGAAACAAATGAGAAAGTCTTATTCTTTTCTTAATATCCTATATTCATATTTAGACACAAAAAAGGTCCTACTCTATCCTTAATGAAAAAGCCTTATCCTTTTTATAGGTTTAAAATTAACTTTGCCATTTAGATATCCTAATTCCTTTTGATCAATCACAAGCCTCACAACCTGTCAACGCCAGTTATTTTTTATCATTACATTTGTGAGCACTCTGTCGATGATGGTTGGTTGCATTAGAGTAAGAAGAAACGATCCATGTTATTGTGGTGGTGACTGGAGTCTGGTGGGACTTTGTTCTGCCCTAGGAGTACTGTCACTTATTTTTCCCAAGGATGCTAGGCCTTGGTTGGCCAGTGTCAAAACTGCTTCTGCCATATCTCTGATAAATTCTGGATCTTTGATATAATAACAACGACCAAGCCTTATCCCTCTAAGTGAGTTTGGTTATATCAATCACACAATACCATTGAATTCAGTTGAAAATTAATTTTCTTGAGATATTATTTATAATAAGATCTCATTTAATAATTTCCTCTAAAATTTTTTTGGGTCTCCCTTTATTTCCCTAAAAGTTATGTCATCCATTTTTTTTATGTTTTTAATGACCTTCTTTGCATGTGTTGAAACTATCTTAGTTAATTTTCTGTCATATTTTCCATAATAGATGTTATTCTAATATTCTCTTATATAGTCATTTTTTATCTTAACTTTTTTGTGTAACCACTTATTCATCTTAGCGTTTTCATTCTTGTAACACTCATTTTTTTTCGTGCTATTCTTTTAAACAAGAAAACTTTTCTTTCAGTTTAGTAGATATTTTACCATTATAAATAACTTTTGACGTCTTTCTCCACTTTAACTACTTAATTTGTATCCTATAGGTAGCGTCTTTTCTAATTTTTCCATCATTTTGTAAGATTGAACCCAAATACTTAAATTAGAAACTTGTGGTATTACATTATCATATTATTTTTTATTAAAATTGCAATGCATATATTTTGTTTTACTTTACTCGAATGAAAACCTTTAGATTCCAAATTCAGAAGCTTTGATATCACAAAAAAGAAGTGAAAGAATTTGTTGTATTTTTATTGTCAACAAAAACTACCATTACATAAGCATAGGTGAGGTATGAATATTTTTCCTTGCAAATCTTGCCTACTACAATCCAAAATAGAAAAAACTTTATCCTTATCTGAATATCGTATATTTTGATGTTTATTTAAAACAGAAAATAAATCCTATTCTATCAGGTGTGTCAAATGGTGCAAACTTCTTTAAAATTTTCAGATTATTATTGAAGGTTTATTATTTGGATTGAAGTGTTTGAGTTGGCATTTAAGATAAATAGGTCTAGTCATTATTCAGTGTAATTGGTGTTTACAAAATCCAATCTCATGCTTTTCTTTTGGACAGAGACATGAAGAGCGTGTTATCATTATTAGTTCTAAAGACAATGATGAAAAAGTTACCGATGCAGAGAGAGCGTTGGAGCAAATAGCTAATTTAATTTTAAAGGTAAGATGGTCCTGATTGATTGACCATTGATAAGCCTTTTTCTCTCGTGTTCTCTAATATGAATATGCATAATTAGACAAGAACTTTGGAGATTGTTGTGACTTGTAAATTTTGAATTGCTGATTGTGTTATCATGTTGTTTATAATTTATGCTAAGACCATTGATTTAGTGGACTTTGTTTAATTTTTATTTTAAATAGCAAAAATTATGTTTTTGACTTCCCAAAATATCATAATTTTCCATTTAGTATCCCATTTAAAAAAAAAATGTTATTTAGTCATCAGTTTTTTTTTTGGTTCCCATATAATCCATCTGTTAGACTTCTGTTTGTTTGTCCATTAAGTGCCTACATGGTTCTAAAAATGAGGCATCAAATGGGAAACTTGGGATATTTAGAGGGACCAATAGAAATGTCATGATATTTAGAAAGATAGAAAGTAAAAAAGTAATGGTGAAAATTAACGAAAAATTAATATAACTTATAAACAGCTTATGGAAAACAGGCTAGACTTTCATAAGCTGTTTTAAGCTTATCTCAATAAGCTTCTTGGTATAGGTTATGAAAATAAGCTGTTTTTAACTTATTCTATCTATCTTGAGGGTAAAAATTGGAACATTTTGGTTTCTAGTTTTATTGTTCTTCAGTTCTTCTAGTTTTAAAACTTCAGAAGCATGGTTTCTTATTAATATACTGCTCCTACGTCTATATATATCCATCTAGCATGAGGGGGAAAAATGGAACATTTTGGTAGATGCTTGAACATCTTAGAAATAACTTGAAATATTTAACAATGTTAGGAAGTGTCCTTGGAAGGCATTCAATAATTTACACAAAGAACATGAAACGTTTTGGCTATAAACTACTATAAGATATCAATACAACTTATTATTATTAATAATATTTTGTAATCAATTCATTTTGTATTATGTATGTCATTTAAATGTTTGTTGATAATACCTTGTCATACCTGTATGCTATCTTTCTTGTAAAGTTGTCAACCTTGAGATATTATTATCATGGAGATGATGACACATGTCTGTATCCATGCATCATGGTTTAAAATATTAAAAATCTGATTATGGATCTTAACCTCCTTATATTCTTGTAATTTTAATAGGCACGTGGCCACTTTAGTTTTATGTAGACAGTGGACCACTATTTTTGAGATTGTTATGTACTTCAGTTAATAATCATGTAGCCCTGCTGGTGTAAATTTTGTTTATTGCTGATATCGAGATGAATTGATAAAGTTATGCTCCATTTAACAGGAAGATGATAGCAGTCTCGATGCATCAAAAGTTACTGCAGGACATGTGGCTGCCAATACAATAAGACTTTTGATTGCTGGGTCACAGGCTGGTGGATTAATTGGGATGTCTGGTCAAAACATTGAGAAGTTAAGGAACTCCTCTGGTGCCACAATTACTGTTCTTGCACCAAATCAGTTGCCTTTATGTGCTTCTGCCCATGAATCTGACAGAGTAGTACAGGTGTGATGTCCAAAATGATGTTTTTGTCAATTTTTACTGTGAAGGATTTTGGTTATTTCTGAAACACTATTTTGTAACTTTGCTTTCACCATAAATATTTTAACTTCACTATTTTGAACAAGATGACAAGTAACTTAGTTTGTTATTTCAAATTACATGTACTATGCATATTAATAATTTTAATGGTTAAATGTACAAATGGAATAACAGTGTTATTAGTCTTTTTATAGTTTGCCTGAAATGATGCTTGCATATTGTTGAATGATACATACTCCTTGATCTGTGAAGTACTTATTAATGTGTCTGTTCAAATCATAGTTCTCAATGACATTTATAAAACAGATCATACCAATTTTCTATTTAATCTGAAGATGTTTTTTCTCCTTTCTTTCCATAGCAAAGCTGCTTAAATTTTTGGACACATAACCTTTCTACTTTTTGTTGGTAAATCATCTGATCAGAAAACTTAGCATGTTAATGTGCTATGAACGCCATCCAAAAGCCAAAAGGAAAAAAATGTAACACATTACATGTACTTACCTGAGTTATTAATGAATTTGAATGATAAGAAGCAGCTTTTAAGAGTTGTATGTATAGAGCTTTTCACACTAAAGTTTACTTTTCTTCTATTTTTTTAAAAATTAATGTGGAATCATTTTTCTTGTTGCTGTTTGATTTTGAATGACATGAATTATGAAAGCTAACAGCTTTAAGAGATGTTTTCAAACAATAGTGTAGATTTGGAATTTCTTTTCTATTTTTTAAAAAATGAATGTGGAATTGATTTTCTTGTTGCTTTTTTGCTTCTTATACCGTAATTCACCAGATGAGCTTCAAGATATGATTACTCCAGCAAAGAATCATAAAGATGATTTGGGAATTTGAATTTTATAGTTTCTATATGATTTTCTCTGTCATTCTTGTTTATATTCTTTTTCCGTTGCTTTAAAATTGATACTGAATTTTGATCAACATTCTTGTTGAATTTAGTTATCAGGTGACATTCCTGCAGTAATGAAGGCTTTGGAGGAGATAGGTTGTCAGCTAAGGTCTGGTGGTGAACTTCAGTATAGATTTTGAACCTGGTTCTGATTTAGTTATGAAAATTAGTTTGTCATTTTGTCTAACATATATCATAAATCAAATTTTGTTTAGGGAAAACCCCCCAAGACAAGTGATTTCAATCAGCCCTACATACAATTATGCTGCAATTCGACCTTCCCAACCATATCTTGACCCAACTTCAGGTTATTTAATGTTTGCTACATCAGAACAACTTTGTGCTTCCATTTAGCAGTTATATCAAGTTTTGAATATTGTCTTACAATCACTTCATCTCTAGGACAACCAATCTTGCAGTTGACTATGTTACATTTGAGATGCTGATATCGGAAACAATGGTCGGGGGGTTGATCGGCCGGTGCGGCTCAAACATATCAAGGATCAGAAACGAGTCTGGGGCAATGATTAAGGTTAGTCTTTTTACTTACTTTTTCAAGGCCTGAAACACAATTATGGCTTGAATTTGTAGAACACAAAGCATAGAAAATCAGTGTCCTGCAGGCTAGAGAAGATTACTTATTGATTTCATGTTCATATGTTACTATGCTTTAAGTGTAGAGTTTCTGCAACTGCATAGAGAAACATCACCCCTGGATGTCATATCTGCATTTAAAACCATGATATGATATGACATAGAGAAACATCACACACACTTTGGATCTCACTTTAACTTTTCAGTGCTTATGTGGACCAAACATACTGATAAAAGATATACTTTAGTAAAAAAAATTCTCAGCAAGAGAATTGAGGATTCTGAATTTCTTGAATGAATAGTATAGAAAGCCCTTGGTTTTCTTACTACGTTTAACTTTCTATCAAACAGCATATAGTATACTTGATCACTTATCTGTTTCAGCTGAAGATAATTGATAAATCAACTTAAATTTTGTTGTTGACATAATGGCATTTTTATATTCTAGAGTTGGTGTGATTCCATCGTATATTAAATGATTTCTGTTAAATTTTGTTTCTTTTTTCCTCTTAAATTCGTAGAACTAATTTTCATCTGATTTATCTCCTCATCAACTGGAAAATGTTGTAGGTTTATGGTGGAAAAGGTGAACAGAAGCATAGGCAAATTCAATTCGGTGGTAGTGCTCAACAGGTGATCTTACTATATTGATTTTATAGCCTTTTAATGTTTCCAGAAGAAGCAATATACCGTTGATGTTTGAGACATCTTTTGTTGTTACTATTGTTGTTGTTGTCGTGTTCTGTTTGTCTGGTGCACTTTATCACTTAGCTTCCGGCTTGGAGTCTTTTGCCTGAATTGTGGGACCTGATTTGAGATTGAAGAGTAGAGTATTAAATCAATATGCAGAAATTTTGCTAGTACCTGTTCCCTGAGCTGGGGTTTGGTTCAGATCCTCTCAAGTAAATGTCTTTAGTAAGTGCATATAAATAATCATTCATCGAACAAAATTAATCATGTAGTTAACATTTCTAGATTTCTAGTTTGTTTGTGTCAGTGAAATCTGGATTGTTGATTTCTTTTGTGAATAAAAGTAGGAGAGCCAGGGGCCTTCTAGCCTAGTGGCACCTCTTCTGGTCACCAGGGGGCTGCTGGGTTTGATCTCTGTCGCCTGGATTTTCCACTTTAGAAATCCCAACCAAGCCAATGGTTATGTAGCATAGCGGAACCTAGCTTCTTTTTTCTTTTCTTTTCTTTTCTTTTTGGGTGGGGGGGGGGGGTGTTGATGTTGAGAGTCAGCATGGATCATCAAGGTTTTGAAGCATGTACACTTGGAATGAACTATGTCACACAATCCAAACAAGACCACACCAAAATATGTGTGGACTTTTTCAAATCTTGTCTCTGTTCGCCCCTTCCCGCTTTTCCTGGTCTGGGATCTTCCTTGAAACAAAAATAGCGCTTGTTCAGCTTGGATCAAGATCCTAATTTATTTGGCTTGAGTTTCTATGTTGTAGGTGAAGTGCAACCAACAAGGAACTTAACCTATCACATGCCTTTCTACCTTGTTTATTTGTTTCCGGCAGTTTTTGTTGAAACTTTAATTTTCTGAGCAGGTAGCTTTGGCAAAACAGAGAGTTGATGAATATATATACTCTCAGTTGATACAACAAACTGGCACCCAACAATCAGCGTAAGTATTTATTTTATGACTTTGGTCATTGGAAATTGTAAAATTTTTTTAGTAAACAAGGAGGAGCCACCTCATTGTAATAACTAAGATTCTTCTTTTTCTGTAAAAGCTTAACCCCATTTTAAAAGGTGCCGTTTTATGGTTCATTGATAGTGTAAAATTTTTAAAAGTGTTAGTGGATTAAAACTAAAAAGTTCTATTAAGTGATTTGCTCTAGATGTTTTAGTTTGAGATCCAACAAATTTGAAATGAAGTATTGTCTAATTTACAATTTTTTGTGCCCTGCCAAAGTAGTTGATTGTAAACTGTAAAGGAAATTACAGCTCTAGCTTAATATATGATATTTTGTTTCTTACTTTTTACGTTTTGGACCTTAACTGCTTTTTATGTTTGGATATCCATCCTTTTATTTCGATCGTTACGATTTTGGTCAAGCGTACTGGTACCTTAATAATAAATGAATCGGTAAGACTAGTTGTTTGAAGCAAATGGTGGCCAATATTTTAATAATTAAAATACATGTATGGAAAGTATAGGGAGTAATATATTTAAATAAGGACCAAAATTTAAAAGATTTCTGGTCTATTCAGTTTCCAGAGATGACACCAGGAAAGCCAAAATCTCTAGTTCCTGTCTATCGATTCTCTGCTATGAATGCAGCTCTGTTGCTTCACCTTGGGTGCTTGTGTGTTAGTAGGATGTTGTTTAGATGGATAGCGTTTGTTTGCCATGTTATTGTAGTGTTTATTGAGTTAGATGTTGAAACTTTTCGCTGCTTGTACCGTATCAAACGTTTTAATTTAGTTGAAGGTGCATATTTGTCTCCAAAATATGAATGCTCGTGTACAATGTAACACGTTTATGAGATGTTGGCTTGGCTGTTATGAGTTTCGAGTGGTTTATGCCATCTTACTTTCGGGTATTAAACTTTTAAGATCGTGTTTGAAATGATAGAAGTCCAACGAAAGTATATGGCTGAGCCTTCAATTCAGTTTAACTCTTATGTTATTCGTTGTTGATTATAGAAACGATTCTTACAAAATCAGAGAGGAATCTGTAGTGTTGGAAACTGAATCTATAGTCAAGAAAACTGATAGTGCAAATAATTTATTAACACCTGTTATGTTACATGTGGCGCATAGGAAGGGGTTCATTTCACGTTTATCAATGGGGATTTTATTCATGTCTCATTTCACAAATCATCAATCAGTGTCCCTCTTCCCGCGTTTGGATCCTTTGTGGTTATTTTTTATTATACCAGATTCAATATTAATCCTTACCATCTATTATTTATTTTTTAGATATTTTTTTTAATGGTCAAGATTCTTGAGTGATAACGTGACTGCAAATATCCTTGTTTCTTCTAATGGTATCAGTGAGTGCAATTTTTTTTTTTATCAAGTGAGATATTTTTTTTTCTCATTATATATACATTTTTTTTGCATCGTTTTCTTAAATTGAGTTTTATTTTTTCTAAGAGCTTAATTTTGATCCATTATTAGTGTCAATATTTTTATATGGCTAATTAATTAAAAATTATTTCTAAACTAATTATAATAAAATTTAATAACTTTTATTAATATAATATTCTATAATTAGATAATAGGGTAAATCTTTTTGACACTATTAATATATTTTAGTTAAAATATTTTTTAAATATTAATTAATTGGAAGTGTTTTAACAATGTTATCAATAAATTGACTTATTCAAATATAAAAAATATATTTAAAATTTAAAGAGAGATGCATGTAATATATTAATTTATCATATTAAATTAGAATTTATTCACAACTAAAATTTAAACAAATTTAAAATAATTTATTTAAACATAAAATTTATAAGATATTAAAAAAAAACTCCAAAAGTTTAAAAAAAAATAAAGGGATAAAACTATTAATATTGTATTCACTCTTCAATCGGGATAATTTTTCAAACACTTTTCAACTTGTGAGTAAATAGTTCTGATTTACAACAAACTATCATCCTCAACAACAAAGGCCCACTTGATAATTGATTTTTTTAAAATATACTACTTAAGGCTTGTTTCTAATCGTTTATATAAAAAGTCGAATTGCTATAGGAATAGGAGGAGTAAAACGTGTTTATGATAATATTCAAGAGATTCTTGTAGCTATTAATCATGGGATACAAAATACCATTCACGCTTATATGTTTACAAATAATCACCAATTTTAAATATGAACTTAATTATATTATTGTTTCCTCTAGTTTAGTCAGTGGAATTTTGACCTCTTAATTTTCTAAGTTAATCAAATTATTTTATTGTTAAAATTATACAAATTTATTTTTTTATTGATTTTCTTCTACTTAAAACCTTAAGTTGTTGTTTTCTATCTAACTTTTTTTTTAGAGGGTTGTATCGGAACAGAGGAAAACTTAAATGTATCTTTTATTATTTTAGTTTAGACCACTTACAATTTGATTTTTTTAGGATATATTTGGGAGAAAGTTTTTGGAGAAAAAAGGAGGGGAGGACATGCTTTTTTATTTTAAATTAAAAGAATTATATATTATTTATAATAATAAATATAATATTAATATATTAATTTATATATTTCTCTTCCAATCCTATTTTTATTGTTAAAAAATTCTTAAAATTTTATTAGATTTCCCTAAATTTTTGAATCCTAAACTTGTAATTAAAATTTTCCTAGCATAACTTTTAAGAAGGACCTATGGCGAAAGACATATGATCCGCGCCAGGATGTAAAAAATGTTGAGATTGCAGAGATATGATGAGCAGATGATCGATAGATGTTGAAGTAACTTGTTTTTGTTACTGTTTTACCTACAAAATTCAAAAGAAAGATAATTGAATTTTAATTTTAATTTGAATTTATTTGCCTGCATTTAAACGTGGAACAATCGGTTTCACTTAACAAAAGTTGAATGGATTGCTTGGCGTCAACCACTTGTCCGGCTTGTGAGATTACCATTGAAGCAAGCAAACATAAATTTGAAGAAGAAAGTTCAACATCACATAAACGTAGAGGAAAGACCCCAATTTGAAAATTGGAAATTGTAATATTTATTGTGAGTTATTTCCGAGGGACAAATTAGGTACATCAATTAACTGCACAACTTTTTATTCCCAATATACCCTTACGCTGACTTTCGCCAAGCCTGGAAATTCATACTGCTTTTGCTGTCCACAATTTCATTGTGTGAAGCTCCAAACATGCCCTAATTTGTCAAATTCACATTCCATATATACATTTTTTAAGGATGAAAATTCAAGACTGAATTTTATATGCATAAAAAAAATGCAATTCCCAATTTTAGAAAAGAGATATATAGATAATAACTGAAAACAAGAGCAAAGTAGATGTTTAAATTACACAAGCTTCTCTTCTATTTTTAAAAAAATACCTTTATTTTTTGAGATATTTATATATAATACATTTTACTCCATTTTAATATAAATAAATCTTAAGTTATGTTTGAATTTTATGGAAATTAATGAATTATCATCTTATTATAAACAATTCAAAACTTGAATCGTGGTTAATTCTTATTAAATATATATTTTTTTTAATTTTGTATCAATTGAAAACTGAAATTTTCGTTAGTACTTTTCTATGAAAAAAATTAAATAACATCCCATAAATTTTATATTTTAAAAATTTTAATTTTTTTCTTAGCTCTGCTTTGTCTTGTTCATAATTTAAATATTAGTGTCATGTAAATTAATGTTTAGAACACTAGTAAAAAAGTTAAAATTTAAAAATTATATAAAAAGCGTATTTATAATAATTTTTGACAAAAGAAATACATTTTAATTTTATAATCAATGTTAATATCTTAATAGTAGTTAATATTTGACTAAATATCAGGTTCAATCTTCTGAGCAATGTAACTGGTTTTTCAGTTTTTTTTCTTTATTTTAAATTTGAAAATAAAGGTTGGGCCACGTATGCGAAAAAGAAGTAGAAAAAAAAACCCACTGCACAGCGTGCAATGAAAAAGGAGATAGTAACCGTTATATGTGGATGATTGCCTCATGATGACGAAACGCCATACTTTGACTTCGTTGACTGAATCAAGGCACCATATGAAGCGTGGCACTCACGCTCTCCAATATTTCATTTTTTTATTCAACATACACGAAATATAAATAAACTAATAATCAAGGAAATAGTCTAAGACAAAATAATCAATATTTTGAAATATAAAAAATAGCTTTTTAAAAGTTAGGGAAATGAAAACGGTAAGAAATCACAGAGATTCAATTTTCAACAAACGAATGATTGTATGCCCACAAGGCAAGATATCCGATTAGTAAAACAAAAGATTGCTTTCTTAATAATAATCATAATCACTTTACCTTAGTTATGGTTTAAACAAATTATACATCCCAAACACCAATTTTCATTTTTTTTAAAAATTTAATTGGCTACATTGCTAGTTCTTTTCTTTTATTTTTTCATCCAAATAATTCAAATTTTATTACGAGTTGGATTACTTGTTAACTTTGACATTTATGATAACTAAATAGAGAAAGGGAAGAGATGTAAAGAAGAGAAATTAGTTCTCTTATTTGACAGCTTAAAGAGATAACGAGAGACCAAAAAATAACGAAAAAACAGATAATAAAAACAACAAAAATATAGGCGTAAAGTTAATACTAATTTTATTCGATAAATTTATAAATAACTCTACCAATTCATTAAAATAAATTATAAATTTGTGTAATAAAACACAGTCGTATAAAAGAATGAAGGCGTTCCAGACTCCTCATCTGTGGTAGGTAACTGCTTTTTATTATATAAAAAATCAAATTTTTATATCTTCACAAGATTTTATTTTATTTTTACATTTATTCAATATTATATTAACAACAAAAAATATTTATATTTAAAATTAATTTTTAATAATATTATATAAAACTAAAGATAAGAAATGTGATGTGTTAAAAAAAGAATTTTCTAAGTAATTTGACTCCCTCCACTTTTTGTTCCTCTCTCTAAATTGAATAGATAAAAGCATTTAAATTGGGCCAACTAACACACAGCATCAACAAATACTCTCTCTCATCTCACTCAAAGAAAATTGTAAGAAGGGAAGCAACTCATAAGAACTCAGAATCAGATCTCTCCTTTATTCAGCAAAGAAAGTGTAAACACAACACTGAGACGGACGAATGCTGGTACCCAACAACAACAACGCTTCCACAACACACAAAACGCCGTCGTATGCAACACCCAGATGAAGTGCAAAAAACATACCTCAGACTTTAGCAGCACCGTCGGTGTCTGCGCCACCTGTCTCCGAGAACGCCTTATAGCCCTCATCGCAGCCCAGGCTCAGGCCCAAGCCCCGACACAAGCCCAATTAACGCGAGTTCTCTCACGCGCCTCCGACGACTATTCCAGAAACTCTGATCCCAACCCTCCGCCTCCGTTAATTTTCCCTCGCTCCGTCTCGCCTTACGTCTCTCGCCGGAAATCCGACTACGCCGCCGCGTGGCGCGGCTGCGACGACCGCCGTGAGCGGCTGTTCTACAGCACTCCGCAGCTCGGCCCGAACTTCTACGGCGGCGATTCCACGTACAACAGCAACGCGAAGTGGTTCAAGAAGCGTTTGAACAAGTTCAGGATTTTCTCGAAGCTCTTCAGGTCCAGATCGGAGAAGTTCCAATCCGATCCATCGTGCGAACAGTCCTCATCGGAATCGCCGTCGTGGTTCTCGACGATTTTCCCTACACGCCGGAAGAACAAGGATCGGACCGGAATGACCGAGGATTCTTCCGTCGGAACACGGCAGCGATACCGGTCGACGGATCGGGGAATGTCGCCGGTGAGAGCAGAGGATTTCGCCGACGAATGCGATCAGTCGCCGTCTGTCAGCGGATACTTGTCGGAGTCTTCTCCGTGGTGGCGGAGAACGCCGACGGTGGCGCCTTCGGCGCGGCGTTCCCGGCTAGGGCATGGAAAGAGCATGTCAGGTTCGGGTATGGCTCTTTGCCTGAGTCCTTTGGTTCGGGCCAGTCCGAACCGGAGGTGGAACCACAAGGGATTGCCTCCGGAGATGGCTGCTGCGGCGGAGGTTAGGGCCGCGGCGGCGAAGCCTCATCTCTCCGCAGCGGCGTCGTTTTGCGCGAACCGTTCGAGGAAGCTTGCTGATTTTGGACGAGTCAACCAGAACCGTTGATTTTATTGACCTTTTACATGACCCGGTGATTTTCATTTTTCTTCTATTTGTTTCGGTTTTGGTGCAAATTCTTAATTTCATTTCAGCGTAAAGGGAAAACAAATTAAAAAGAAAAACATTTTTTTAGGAGGGCTTTGAATTCCCTTTGTACACAAATTTGTTCACTATATGAAACACAAAGTCTAGTTTTTTTTTTTTTTTGTATTTTTATTTCTACAGATATAGTTGACATTGATGTGATTTATTACATATTTCTTGCTATGTTACATTGACTTTAATTTAGTTGTTACTCAAATTTGTATTATATTATTTTTTCTAAGGAATCTACAGTTTTTTTTTCTTCTCACAATTATTACTGATTAGACTATTCCATTTTACCTTAAAAAAAACTAACCTTTTCAACTGGTCGCTTTTAATTTTTAATTGTATACAAATAAATGTAAATATAATTTATTTGTATTTGCCTTGAAATAAAAATTTAGACAATGATTAAGTCTAAATAGCTAAATGTTATTTGTTAATTAGTTTTAGCCAAATATTTGGAAGTTATTTTCTATTAAATCTAAATTGATGTTTTAACAAATTTCATGGTGTGGTTCAATCTGTAAAATGAGTTCTATGCGGAATCTTACCATTTGATGGAGAAATTCAAATGTTACTTAACGGCGTCAAGGAAATGATACATAAAACCTTTTTAATTTGAAAATTTTTAAAAAATTAACATAAATTTAATGTCTTAATATTTTTCTTTTTGATAAGTATTACATAGTTCCTTTACTTTATTTTTTTAATATAAAATTTACCTTCAAACATATCCTGAAAATTTATAGTGATTAAGGTTAAATTGACACTAATGAGTGTTAAATACACACTCAAAATTATAATTTAATGTATTTTATACTGTTTTGTTTTAAAGTAATATTTTTAACAAGTATGAAATAGTTTTTTTTTTTATATATAAGAATATAATCTCTCTAAAGCATAATTTGACACTTTGAGCAAAAATAAATGTCACATTCAAATATTATAAATATTTTGTTTCTAAATAAAAAGATAAAATTAATGTTCAAATTGAAGATTGACTTTTTCATTAGAACTCAAATAAAGTTATTTTAAAAATTAATGTAAAATATTTAGATCAATTTTGATTTTTCAAAGGTTGCTTGTTCTAAAGGTAATGAGAAAGAAGAAACATATATAAATTTACGGTTCCTATTAAAGAAAAAGTTTAATGTAAAAACTGATGATTTAATATATATTTTTAATCTATTTTAATTGAAGATTTGCAGTAGACAATAAAAAGAATTATATAGATAAATTTTCTCTTAATGAAAATTGTAAATATAAATCCAAAGATAATAATTCCAGCATATAATATGTGAATTGCATCCAAACTAGTTGGGTGATTTAATAACACAATTTTAAATTTATTTTGACAAATTTCATATTTTTTATTTATACAATAAATTCTTATATAATAATAGTTTATCAAATAAACATATAATTAAACTGTTTACTAAAGAGGGATAATAATCTCATAACCTTTGCTAAGTTACAACACCCTTTTAAGAAGAAAAATTCAAAACTTAAAGACTTTGTACAAACTATCTAAACTTTTGGTCATTAACTTAATCCTAATGCCCAAAACAAGGTATATTGTTAGTGGATTAAAAAAGTAACAAAATCACATTGAGTTTGAAGAAAAGTGAGATAGTGGGGATAAGCATAATGAAAGGATTGTGCTCCCCACTTGAAGTGTAAGTCAATAGCAATAGTGGTGGGTCATTGGGTTGAATTTGAAATCAATGTTAAGGTTTGTGGATAGTGAATTGTGGTGGTGAATCAGAACACACAAAACTCACAACCCTTGCAAGTGTTGGTGATGCCAATTCCTCATGGATGGGGTCCGCACCATTTATGCACTTTCTGCGGTTCATTTAATTCCTTGCTACCCTTTTAAATGCATATTTAGTATTATACACTGTTTAAATACAGAATACGATGGAGCCTGCACTGCACTCAGTAATATTATATCATTCCTTGCTTGATATATTTAATATATTGCTTTTTCATTCTAGGAAATATTATTATCCTGTTTATTTTTTCAGATCTATATAATTGTTATTTATATATCATTTTCCGGATTTGGGTGGATCCATTTTAGTTATTAATAAGGATACAATAAAGTTCAGTAACGAGCTGTTACAATAATAAATATGATATCTATATTTATCTATTTGTATGAAAAAATAAATGTTGTGAGGCATTCATTAATGTCTGATTGTATTTTGAAATATTATTCATATTAAGTAAAAGAATATTTTAGAAAATTAGACTTTTGACTAATTTTGAGGAGTACAATTTTCTAAATGATAAAGTTTAATACAATCAATGAACTAAAGAAAAACAAATCAATATGATTAGTGTACTTCTTCCTTTATTTTCTTTTATTTGTTTGGAGATTTTGTGCCTTTAATGCAAGTTTGCCATATAAAATAGTTAAACCAGATTTTGAAGTTTAAAATTGAAATTGAACTTATTAACTTTGATTTTTAATTAACACCGTAAAAATTGATAATTCTACGTTTAAGAATCGAAATCTATTGAACCCAAAAAAAAAAAAAAAGAGTTTACATTTTTGCTTCTTTAAAGACAATCAATCAACAAGCTTTGAAAAGGTATACATGTCTACCTTATATGTTCATTAAAAACACATATCTTCATATTTCTTCATAATTGTTTTATTTGTTTCAGTATAAAAAATGTTAATGGTGCATTTCTTTTTAGAAATTTTTAAAGAGGGTATGTTAAAATGCCTCCTTTCTATCTTTTGCTTCTGCTTCAATATTGGGAGAGATAGAAGGGGAAGAAAAGTGTGAAACAATAGTGGCCTATGCTAGCTAAATTTGTTAAATACTTGAGTTTAATAATTCTATTTATCTACTATTAAATTAATTTGTTTTCCTTCATTTTCTCTTCCTATCTAAACAGGGGTTAAAGAACAGTACACTAAATTATTCAACCACTTAAAATAGTACACCTCAATTAACATAGTCCACTCTAATTTAATATAGACGGGTGAATCATTAATACATCACAAGTGATAAGTTTTATTAAGGTTTTTATTTGCAGTCTAAAGTGCAACTAAATGTAGTTGGGTAGGGGGAAAAGGAAAATTATTTTAAGAGGAAGAAAAAAGGAGTTTTCTTCCTTCTTTTTTTTTGCGTTGAAAAATTTTTTGTTTTTTGTTTTATTTAGTTTATTAAGATATATGGGGGTATGACTCAATTGGGAAATCAAGTTTTATGTGAATGAATTTTGATTTTTCAAGGCTGTTCAAATATTCACAATTTTTACATAGCCAGGACAGAGCTGGAAAATAGTCAAGTTTGCTTGTAAGAATTGTATTAAGAGATACTCATTGAACACTTCAACAAATTCACTAGTGAAGCAAGTTTTATCTACCCTGCTCTTCCTCTTCAATGGAGAATACAACCATGCTTGCACCATGATCATTATTAGCCTTGTTCAAGTTTAAGTGTTTTTGCTCTTCAAACATGAGCAATGACCATACAATTTATTTCTGAACTGAGGAATATAAAATATAATCAAGGTCAGTTAATGAGTATTCATTGAAAATATAAAGCCCTTGTAGACTGATCAATATCTACTACAAGTCGCATCTATTCTCAAGAACACAGATTATTTTTTAGTGACTTTCTAAAGAATAATGTGCATTTGTCACCTTTATCAACTTAGGCTTCAATCCTGATTCTTACATTGTCGGGGGAAAATAGTCTCTATACTTGTATAAGAAGCAAGATAACTTCTTACTTGTAGCAGATGTTATGTCTGCTTGTGGGAAACATATGGATACTAAGGATAACATAGCCAAGTTTGGATAATTAATTTTGGTGACACAAGTCCTGGGACACTACTGTAACAAAGTCACATTGGAACTGTTTAAGTTAACTTTTGCTAAAATTATTTTTGGTTCTTCTGGCAAGTACCCCTTTGATCCTTTTATTTCCCTTTCACCCAATGATTTATTGTATGTACCATTAATCACTAAAAAGCCTCATTAGCATTAGTAAGCTACCAAAAGACAAATTTTTTTTTCTTCAATTTCATCCTTCCCATTGTTCTGTCAAATCTCATGCCACCAAATAACATTTTTAAATAAACATTATACCTGATGGCTTGTGCTACTTCAATCAAATTTATGAAATTTAATTAAAATATATTAAAAATATAATATTTTTTTTTAATGCTATTATCCAATGATGGATTGCCTTCAGTGATATTGTTGACTTTTGTAATTATAAAATTTAAAATTTTATCTATTGTATATTTTAATTAGTTTACACTATATTTAATTGAGAGTTTCAACATTAAACGTGATTCTAAGCATAAACATGAATATTTGTTAAAACACAAATATACTTTAGCTACATGCTGACTGAGTTTAAGAACATGGTTGAACTCCAACTAGACAGATTGAAGAGAATGATTTAGACCCTCTTCACTTATATCAAACCCAATGGAGAAAATAGTGTACAGAAGAAGGGTTAAAAATATAGATTAAAAACTCAGATGTTTGTATAATATCAGCCAAGAAGTGACTCCTATCGATGTGATAAAACGGCATTTTAACAATGTCATTTTGCACTTAGTTGTAATCAAATTTTATCCAAACACAACCCAAATTTACTAACTATATTACTGTAAGCAGAGGCCTAAACCTTGAAAATGTCAAACCAAGTGGGCACTTAATATTATGTACATAAACAATCTATTTAGAAAAATATAAAGCAAATAATGATAATAACATCAACGATGCTTTATGCGTGTCTCAGTCGCACAGAAGTAACAATCTAATAGACTAAGGAAAACGAAAGATTGAGAATTAGAAAGAGAAAGAGATTCATGGTGGATTTGAAAAAAGTGAAAGGAAATTTGGGGTGTGGTTGGGAAGGGAAAAAAGGTGAGGATTGAACTTATAGTAAGAGAAAATATATGCTTAAATAACGTAATTTTTTTCAATAATCTTGCAATGCATTTTCTTTCCTTTAAAATAGTAACAATTATTTTTGTATATTATTTTTTAAAACTAAAAGAAAAGCTATAGAAAAAAGAAAAGATAAGTGCAAGGAGGTAGATATTACAAGAGTACCAAAAATTTATCCATAAATAACAGTAATGATAAATCACATTCTTTGGTAGAGAAGCGTCCTCTGCCGTCACCATGAATACAAAAGATGACATTTGATCTTATTATTAAAATTATTTTATCGCAATTACTTATTGTCGGTAAAAAAATGATTAGTAAGCGTCACATCAATATAATTATAAAACTAAGTTATGCATAAAATGTTTATGAACCAAGTCAGAAAAATAATTGTTAATGTCGACAATGGTGACTTAAACATTAAAAAAACACATATATAGCAGTACGATGTCAAGATCAATGAGTCAAGAGCTGTATTGTATTACAACTTGAAAATTTTATTTGTTGTCAAAGGGATAATCAAGATTGAACCTAACTTTTTTAGTATTGAACAATAGATTGATCCTAACCCAAACTTTCATGTAACACATATTCATTATTCACCCATATCTGTTAAGGACCAATTAATGTGATCTGTCATTGGGCCAAACCCAACTTTCTTTATCGACACATACAATACAAGGATGTCGTATAACCAATGGTCCACTGGTTTGAACGTTGTTTATACTTTATATAAATTGGGCTATTGCAAAGAATAGTTTGCAAGAATAAGCAGGTGGAGCATTGAGGAAATAAAATTAAGATTAGACATTATATGCTGTTAAGAAATATTTATTTCCTGTAAATTATATTTTATAAATTCTTAAAAAGCTTCTGATAATACCAACAAATAAATTTTTGACAACTCAATTGAGATATCGATGGCCTTATAAATACCATAACAACTCCGACAATGGCAATATCTACAGCCTCGTTTTTAACCTATGGAAAAAGAGTAAGGGCACCAAGTAAAGAAAAAAGACTAACAGTGAATTCGAAAGAGCTTACTAAAATAAATTATAACTATCAAATGCTTTTTTTTAACTTACTTCGACAAAGTTGTTAATATATTTTATTCAGATAAATAATTTTTAACTATGATCAAATTTATATCATAAATCCTTATATGTAAAAATAGACTTATTGAATAAATATTTAATTATGCTACTTATTCAATAAGACCCTTAATTGAATAAATTCAACTAATTTAAAATGAATTAGTGAATAATTTATTTTAGAGAGAAAAATTAAAAGACATCTTTATTGTCAATGAGAAAAAAAAAATTATGATACATGGGCATGCAATATTCATTGTTGATTTTCTAATTAATACTTGAAATTCCTAACCATTTGAACAAGTGCGGGTACAAAGTCTTTTACCATTTTCATCTAATGATATGTTGACCTCATCATTAAAAAGATATGAAAATTATGACAGTAATAGCAAAACTATAACATTACTTAGCAATTCATTATTGGTTATGAAAGCATAGAGAAATTTTACATACAGAGGACTAACGTTAAATTAATCAAAAAATAGATGAAAGCAAAGAAAATTGTAAATGACTATAATCTCAACATTCCATTCATCATCGAAAGGTTATTCAACTTAAACAATTCACAAAAGCCATCCAAAAAAATTTTGGAATCAAAGAGCCGAGTCTTTTTAAACAGTCTAAGACACCAAAAATCTTTTCATTTAGGAGATGAGAGTACAATAATCTACAATGCCCAAGAATCTCAACCATTCTAGCTCACTAGTTATGTGAGACTAGAGTATAAGTATAATCTAAAGCTAGCAAAACCTGTACTTAAGGATTTCAAGCTAAAAAGAAAAGGGTACTTGAAGAAAAGTATTTATTTGATGTGGTCAAATTGAATATTCTCAACATGAAGAATCATTTTGAGACTTAGAAGCAGCAGCTTGCGCATGTCTTACCTTCAAATCATCAAGATAATTCTGATAGATATATGAGGCAAAACCCCATAGAGCCAAAAGCATAGAAATTATCTTCACCCCATTCATCTTATCATGAAAAACTATAACAGAAGCAATGGGAGTTATAGCCAAAGAGACAGTGCTTATAACATTAGAGTATAGAGAAGACACTAGGAAAATCAAGCCAACAACACCAACCGAGCAAACCTGCCACGCTATAGCTGTCCAAACCAAAGTCATTATATAAGCAACTCCTCCTTTCTGAAAACCCAGCATTTCTCCATGCAAACTAGTCCACTCCCCACTTGCAAATAGGCCTATGGTGGAAGCACAAGCGGCAACAAGCGAAGTATAGATTTGCATTTCCAAAACAACAGAAAATGTTTCCTTTTTCAGAACCTTCTCAAAGGACAGTTGCATGAGGGAAAGCAAAAGAGAGTAAAGTGCCGAAGCTCCAAGGGTACAAAGAAAACCAACAATGTATTTTCCCTTGGAAACACCAGCTGGTCCATCCGATTCTTCATTAACAGCAAGGAGTGAAGCAGAAAAAGTGAGAACCACAGCAGAGTTTATAATCAAAACGGTGAACTTTTGAGAATTGATAAAATATGAGAAAACAGCATTAAAAGCTAACTGAGATGCGCAAATCAGCGAATATGTTGAAGCAGAGAGGTACAAGAGTCCAGTGGAGTACATCATGTTGTCACCGGCAATTATGAATCCCAAAACAAAATACACCAAAGCGAGAATTTTGAAGGAAGGCGAAGCAGAAGTTGAAGCCTCTGGAGATGAAGGAATTGTAAAATATGGAATGAACAAGATTGGGAAGGCAGCAGTTTGAACTAAAGTAGCCATCCATTTACTATTTCCACCCTGATCATAATAAAATCTCCCAAGGATAACTGCAGCGGATTGTCCAACAATAAGAAAGGTTATGCTAAGTGCCACCAGAAACCACCATTGCCATCGCTTATATTTGTTATATGCTAATTCAGAAGTTGTTCCAACTGTGATAATCGGTTCTTCATTATCTGTAATGGAAGCAACACAAAATTTAATGTCTTCTACACACATATTTTACATGTAAGATGTAACCACAGGAACTTCAAAAGACAAAGTAAACAGAAAAAGAATGAATGTATTTAAACTCATTAAGTACAATAGTAAAACTTTGCACAAAGGTTAATATTCAATAGTGATGATTGGTGACTTAGTGCTAATAAAAGGTGAAATTTTGGATGAACATTGTCATAGTCTATACTGGAACTTGACCCCTCTAAAATGTAAAGTGCAATTTAGATTGTGGTATCTGTACAACAAGTTATAAAGTTGCTAAAATCTCAACTACTTATTTACGAGTCAACAATTATGAGTCTCACTTTACTCTCTAAAGCACACCCTACACTTCAGAACCGCCAAACTCAGAAAAAAGACAGTTAATAAAATCTTTCAAACAAAGTAAGCTAACCCTGAACTTGATCCTCGGTAGATTCTCATAACATTAAATGAACATAAAATTGGTTCTAAAAATTGTATTTTTTCAATAAAATAATGCATGAATTTGTTAATTGAACGGTAACTTTTGAACTATCTCGATGCCAAACATCAAGGGTAACATGCATATAACACTCGCTAAAGATCAATTATTTGGGAGGGAACAATCAGAACTACACTGGAAACGAAACATTAAAAAATATAAATAAAAAATCAGCATACCCACTTCCCATAATGATTCAATAAATAAATAAACGAAACCAATAACACAAGATCATAATAGAAAAAAGAAAAGTCTCTTATTTTGTAATATCTATGAGTTTGGAATCTAAATAACTATGATGAAAAGGTACCCGTCATGTTATTGAGAAGCAACGAAGCTATGGGGGAACCGGAAGGACGGGAAGTTAAGAGAGAGGTTGAAAGGTTTAAACTTTCGAAAAGGGTAGAGGTAGGGAACATGAAGATCAAAACATTAATTCATCAATGAATCGAATAGGATTCACAGGTTTAGGACTTGTCGTGGAAAGTTGATGTCCTTATTCTCCCCTCACGTGACAGACATGGAAGATACTATTAACCAAAGCTAACTGCTGTGTCGAGTTGGTAACACCTGTTGATACTTCTGGGGTGCTATATATATATATAGTTCAGTAAATTAAACTCACTTATCTAAATTTTTAAAACGTGACTCATTTAAAACTGAATTAGGGATGTATAATAAGCTGTGCCATTATTGGCAAAATAATAAAAAGCAGTTTAGAAATTAAAGATAATGTTATTGTTTTGAGTTTGAAATTTAATTCAAAATTGAGATTTATATATTTTGTCTAATGTTTTGGATAAAAAAGATCAATAGATTATTTCAATAAATAATTAGATGTAACTGATTATTGTTGTAATTAACTGCTTGAAATAGGTTTTATATTTGAATATATTAGTCAAAAAGAAAATTTAACATAATCGATTTTGTCCAGATTGTCTAAAGTAATTATTCTTTGTGCTACGATTACAATAAAAAAAACTATTTGTAATAATTAATTTTATATTTAAATTAATTATTTGTAATTATTATAATTTTTAATATATATATAATTTTTGTTAATCCTAATTTAAATTTCTTTTTTAAAATTAAAGAACGCTTAGTATTAATAGAGATGGATTATCTTAATTTAAATGATTTATTTACATAGTTTGCGTCTCAATTTCAAAATTTCATCTCTCTGATTTATTTTTATTTTTATTTTTATTTAGTAAATGAAATAGAGTTATTAATAAAATATATATTAGTTTTCATTTATATTTTTTTTCAAATTTAAGAATGTCTGTATAATGTATAAAAATATTTCTAATGTATAATACGAATGATCTCCATGTAAAATAAACTAAAATGAGCAAGACAAATCGTTGTTAGCATAAAAAAAATTAAACAAAATAGATTAATAACTAAGCAAGCCGCAGGTCTTAGATTGTTTTACTACCAAATGCATCAAGTTATTCTACACACTCATTTTGCAAAGAGAGAGAGAGAGAGAGATGGCACTGAGAGCAGCCATTCTTCGCCATGTTCGTGTGCCAATCCAAGGGGCTACGAAATTGCAACAATGCCGTAGTTCTATGACTTCCCTACGCTTCATGTCCTCACACGGTGATGATCATCTCACCAAAGAAGAGGTCATCGGGAGAGTCCTCGCTGTCGTCAAAGATTTCCCCAAAGTCGATCCCTCCAAGGTCTCTCTCTCTCTCTCTCTCTCTCTCTTCTGACCCTTCATTCATATTTTTCAATGGTTTTTTGTCTTGATTAGTGTAAAAATATAAAATGAGAAATGGGTATTTCTAATCGTTAATTTGCTGATTTGTACCAATGGGTTGCCCTCAAATTTGGAAATTTGCATCAACAGCCATCTGGGTAATGTTGTGAAAAATCAGAAGTGGGTATCCCAAAATCGTTCTTCTGTTGATTTTGTCAAAAGGGTTTTCCCAAAGTTTGGAAATTTAGCTCAATAACTATCTGGATGATGTTTTTAATCTTAATTACTGTGAAAAATGTGAAGTGGATTTCTGTTGATTTGGCTTCTGTCTGATCTGGGTTGTGTTCATACTTTGTTGTGTTAGTTAATGTGGAAAATGACAAATGCGTATCTCAGATTGTTATTATGTTGATTTAGCCAAATGATTTCCTCAAAGTTTGAAAATTTAGCTCAATGATAACTTGGGTTGTGTGAAAATGTGAAATTATATCCCAAATCGTTGTCCTGTTTATTATGCCAAAGGGGTCTTCTCAAAATTTGAAAATTTTACTTAATAACCACCTGGCTTGTGTTTAAGCTTGATTGTCATTGTTTATGTGAAAAATGTGTACCCCAAATTGTTATTCTGTTGCCTTGACCATAAGGATTTTCCTTTAGTCTGAAATTTAGTTCAATAACCATGTGGATAGGGTGGATAATCTTAATTCGTGTGAAATGTGTATCCCCCATCATTATTAAAATATTTTCTCGAATTTTGATGATTTAGCTCAATAACCTTATGGGTAGTGTCTGTTTGGTCACCTGGAGAATTGTTTGAAGACTTTGTTGGAGATTTTATGTTAAAGAGTGAATTATGTTATTGTTTTCAGCTGATATCTTGTTCAACTGAGATAGTTGTTGTAGGAACTAGGAAAAAATAGATGGGACTGGGACAGTGTAGCCTAAACTTGTCTCCAACATATTTTTTTAATATGATTTACTTAAATATCTTCCTAAATGGGTGACCCGGTCCACAGGGCCCCTATCATTGTCGAGTGTGGGGAGGGTTATATGTCTGCAGTCTTACCTTGATAAATGAGGAGGTTGTTCTCTTTGTTGCATTAAAACAAAATAAATTTATTCATATGTGGTGCATGCTAGTGCATTTGGATTTTATATTGCTGTAATTTTTATGTCAAAGTGTTGACTTGGAAGGCATTCAGATAATGAGATTCCTCTCATTCAATAAAACATGATTTCTGACTATTTGAATAAGATATTTTGAATTCTTCATTTGATTGTTTATATAGTTCACATTCCTGAGCTAAATGTGAAAGGCTTTCATTTTATGAAGGCATTTTTGTGTTTAATGTGCAAAGAAATGAAGGACTTGAAGATAGTCCCCCTTGCTTTGATGCACTCTTCAATTCTTTTATCTTTCATCTTGGCTTGTCTTTATCCTTTCTTTTTTGTTAAGGATTGTTTTATCCTTGTACTTGGTAACTCTGTTTCCTTCAAAAGTAAACAAATTAGTTGTATTCAGCACAAAAGTTATGGAACCATAACCTGTTTCCCAGACACCTTGGGTTCAAACTTTTCTTGATTAATCTTTTTCAAAATTCAAGGTGATTTCTTTACTGGGTTCAGGATGGCATTCCATGACCTTGTACCTGGGTCTGAATTTTGAACTTCAAGCACTTTCGTGTTGCATAGAGAGGAGGCTGATACAGATAAGGTTGTTGTTGGTGGCGATTTTTTTGTTTGAAATTTTCTCTGTAGTTTCTCCCTTTTTCCTTTTTATTTATTTATCAATTTTGGAAATGGGGGGGGGGGGTGCTCCCCAAAAATGAAGAAATATGGGAAATGAGTAAGTGAAGAAATTGTGAGCTAGAGTCCTTAAACATTATAACCTTTACTTTTTTTGCTATATCCATTACCTCACTTAGAGAAAGCCAACTCCCCAGGGGTGGGGGGTTATAGCTGTTGAAATTATAGGATTTTAGGGAATGCGGGGGGAAAATTTTAGAATAGAGTAAATGTTATGGGATTGATATTGACTTGATATGATGTGATGTATTAAAATATGACAATATGATCTTAAAGCCTACTAACCCTTGTTATATTAATCATAATCTTAACTAGATTGGAAACAGTTCTTGAGATAAGGAAATACAGTAACCAATGCTAAGAACAAGAAATAATGGGGAAACTAGGCCTGAAGGATAATCTAAGATATGATATTTTCATATTCTAACAATTTGATAAATACATCTAACTCCCTAATTAGTCTTATTGACAGCAAAGGGGTTGAATTTGATCCTTATTACAAGGCCTTACAAAATTATTAGCAGTACTTAATTTTCATTATTAAATGGAGAGTTCAGTGGTTTAGTCTTTAATATGGTTATTATATCCAAAGTGAAAATAAAAGTTTTATGAAACAACACTAATACACATAATACTTGTTCGTAATAGAAGGTTTCATCATATTTATAATAAGTTAAACCAAAATATAGAGAATGTGTTCCATTCCCAAACTTGGATAAAAAGTTTCCTCCCACAATTTTTACTCAGCTACAAGATAGATTATTTTCCCCCAAATTTGGAAACTTCAGAGCTGGATAGATAGATTTCTTAAGCATATATAGAAACTGGGAAAAGTCCCAAGGGATTCATTTATATAAAAAATAAACATGACCCAAATTGTGAGTGGGCAACAGCAGCATCATTTGTGCATCTACCACCATGAATGATTTAAGACCATCATAAAATTTACAAAAAAATACATGATAACATTCAAGGCAGTGTTATGGTCTTGTGAATAATATCAAGAGAATCTAATTATTTAAACATTGTAGATCTTGGTTAAGGTCTCAGATCTATAAATACTATTTTGTTAATATTCACACTGAAAGTCTGAAACTTACCTTTTGCTACTGATATTGGATGGATATCAGTGCAGGAAGAAGGTGTAGATACACTCAGCAATGAGAGATAGAGAAATAACAAGGGTAGAGACACTGCATAACTTCAAGGGTCTGCATTCTCCCTGCCAATGAAGCAATGACCCTGGATACAGCATGTGCAATGCACGTATTTATACACACACGCACACACACTCATGCACAGAAAGAGAGAGAAAATGCTCCAGGCATTAAGTTGATCTGAAGTAGTGTTGCCTCAGATCATTTTACATCATAATGAAACACATGATGTTAGTGTGCCACTAAGGATAGAATAGACAGTGCAAACTATCTATGTTTGTTTGTATTCTTCTGCCCACAAAAACTAATTTTCATTCAGAAGCTTCCAAAATTGTTTTCAGAACATCTTTTAAACACACAAATCATCAAAGAGATTAGATTTCTTTTGCTTTTCAAAAATTTTTCTTTTTGTTAATCCTGTGTTTAGCTCTTGCACTTTATTTCTTTAATTTGATTGTGATGCTTATTATTCCATTTTGTATATTCGGTGACACAGTTTTCTTGTAAATTTTAAGCATGGCAGATAATGTTTTCTTGTATTTACTGGTTTCTTCTACTCCTCAGGTGACTCCAGATGTCCATTTCCAGAAAGATTTGGGTTTGGATAGCTTGGACAACGTGGAGATTGTAATGGCACTAGAAGAGGAGTTCAAGCTAGAGATCCCAGACAAGGAAGCTGATAAAATTGACTCTTGTCATCTTGCCATTGAATATATTTCTAGTCATCCTATGGCTAGTTAACTAACTAGTAGTCTTTTCCCTGTTTGAGTCTATGTTGAACTTAAGCATCATGGCAACCTTGAACCTGCCCCTTACTTTCTCTGGATGTTTCTTTTTCCTTTTTCATTTAAATTGGAGGAAAGGGGCTGGTTGTTTAAAATAATATGAATTGTTCAGAGAGGAGTTTACCAATGAAGAACTGGTGGTGCTGCGTTTTTGAAGGATCATATTTTCTACTGAGTTTTGATTTTTTCCATGCTATTTCTGTGATCTGCTCCGGTAAATGGCCTGTGGTATGTCTTTAAGCAAATCCACCCCCCCCCCTCCTCCCCCAAAATGAAATGTTTTAGACTTGTAAAGCATACCTTCGCAGGAAATATCATTTTTCTCCAACTGTGCTCGCACCACCACCCATATGCAAATCAATAGCCTGTTTGGTTTCATGTTCAAATTCACATGGATTCATGTTTATTTTAACGTTACTAATTGTAACATTTGTTTTAGATTTACGTTTCCAGGTTTTTTTGACATGTTTTCTTACACAAATTCACTGCAAAGATGAATTGATTTGGAGAATCATGTTAGAACTGCATTTATATTAAAGGTTTTGTTAATGAATATTCTATGGGGCCTCAAGAGTGTGTAAACTCTGGTTGGTTATGCAAAACACACTTTTAACTAATCAACAACGAGTTCACATGCTCATGGCTCAGGAAATCTATAGTAATAACTTAGCTTCGAGATTGTCAATTTACTACTAATGTTTAAAGGAAGCTAGTTCCTCTGGAGGAAATTCACAACTTCTTTAGTTAACCTGTGCATGAATACTTACCCTTATCATGGTTTAAGATAAATGCTGAAGGTTCAACAACAAATAATGTGAAAGTTGGTTGTGCTTAGGGGTCGATCATGAAGGTACATTTCTTGGTGTTTTCTCTTGTAATTAACTTGGGAAGGTACTTAGTTTAAGATTCTGACAGTGTTGCTGCTTGCTAATAGTTTGGCTTATGTGTGGCCACTTTGATTCTGTTTCTGCGGTTACTTCTGTTGCTCCCTTGGTGATGTACCTCTAAATCGTTGTTTTTGTTTTGCTCAAGATCTTACTTTGTTTTGGGCCAAAAGAACAAGAACAGATTTTTGTTATCTCTGAAAACATGAAATCTCCGATGTTCGTAATCAAACAGGCCTTAATATTTTTTTATGAAAAGTCAAAACAAAACAAAACATTTGCACAATAATGATGATCACGTGAATAGCAACGTTATTAGCAAAGAGCTACGTGGCTTGGCTATATGATCCATATGATTGAAGATGACATATGCCGTCACTTGTTGCCTTAATTACTTAGTCACAAAAGGTAGAAAGTTCATCCACCACACCATCAAAATTTAAATTGTGTCATTAGTTATAGGAACGAGATACAGAAAAAGAAAATGTTGGATTAAAATATAATAGGATAAGGTAAGAATACATTTCTATAGGAGAATAATTATTTATATTTTATAAATAATTATTATGAAATTTATGATAATAAGATATACAAGTAAATATATTTCAAATAAAAATTATATATTATTCTTTTAGATGTTATTGGTATTATTCATTAATCAAATTTTTACTTTAATAAAATTTAAGGAACTCTTCTCTATAAATTTATTTATTAATTATAAGTATGTTTAAATTATAATGTAAATTTAATATATATATATGTATATATATATATATAATTACAGTTTATTAATTTTGATAAATCATATTATTTTATTTATTTCTAATGTAAATTCTTTCATAAATTAAAATTTATCATAAAAAAATAGCATACGATAAATTTATAAGAAATTTATGATATTCTGTTACAATACTAAAAGTAAAATCTAAAGCTAGCAGAAGTTGTACTTTCGTTGGTATTGGATGCATCGTTTGGTTGTGCCGAGTCAAATCAGCTCCGTTTTTTCCCGTTGCAGAAAGGAGATCCCTTCTCCTCGCTTTCAAAAATGAAGATGAAGTCCGCGGGGCTGCAGGTTCTATGGATCCTCTGACTCCCAATCGGGTAAGTATTTCAAGTTAGCAAAAAAAAAATTGGAATCCGAAGAGAAGAATCTTTCTAAGCAGTCTAAGACACCAAAAATCTTTTCATTTATGAAATGAGAGAACAATACCAATTAATTTAAAAAGAATTAGTGAATAATTTATGATGCATGCGCAAGCAATATTCATTGTTGATTTTCTAATTAATACTTGAAATTCCTAACCATTTGAACAAGTGCGGGTACAAAGTCTTTTACCATTTTCATCTAATGATATGTTGACCTCATCATTAAAAAGATATGAAAATTATGACAGTAATAGCAAAACTATAACATTACTTAGCAATTCATTATTGGTTATGAAAGCATAGAGAAATTTTACATACAGAGGACTAACGTTAAATTAATCAAAAAATAGATGAAAGCAAAGAAAATTGTAAATGACTATAATCTCAACATTCCATTCATCATCGAAAGGTTATTCAACTTAAACAATTCACAAAAGCCATCCAAAAAAATTTTGGAATCAAAGAGCCGAGTCTTTTTAAACAGTCTAAGACACCAAAAATCTTTTCATTTAGGAGATGAGAGTACAATAATCTACAATGCCCAAGAATCTCAACCATTCTAGCTCACTAGTTATGTGAGACTAGAGTATAAGTATAATCTAAAGCTAGCAAAACCTGTACTTAAGGATTTCAAGCTAAAAAGAAAAGGGTACTTGAAGAAAAGTATTTATTTGATGTGGTCAAATTGAATATTCTCAACATGAAGAATCATTTTGAGACTTAGAAGCAGCAGCTTGCGCATGTCTTACCTTCAAATCATCAAGATAATTCTGATAGATATATGAGGCAAAACCCCATAGAGCCAAAAGCATAGAAATTATCTTCACCCCATTCATCTTATCATGAAAAACTATAACAGAAGCAATGGGAGTTATAGCCAAAGAGACAGTGCTTATAACATTAGAGTATAGAGAAGACACTAGGAAAATCAAGCCAACAACACCAACCGAGCAAACCTGCCACGCTATAGCTGTCCAAACCAAAGTCATTATATAAGCAACTCCTCCTTTCTGAAAACCCAGCATTTCTCCATGCAAACTAGTCCACTCCCCACTTGCAAATAGGCCTATGGTGGAAGCACAAGCGGCAACAAGCGAAGTATAGATTTGCATTTCCAAAACAACAGAAAATGTTTCCTTTTTCAGAACCTTCTCAAAGGACAGTTGCATGAGGGAAAGCAAAAGAGAGTAAAGTGCCGAAGCTCCAAGGGTACAAAGAAAACCAACAATGTATTTTCCCTTGGAAACACCAGCTGGTCCATCCGATTCTTCATTAACAGCAAGGAGTGAAGCAGAAAAAGTGAGAACCACAGCAGAGTTTATAATCAAAACGGTGAACTTTTGAGAATTGATAAAATATGAGAAAACAGCATTAAAAGCTAACTGAGATGCGCAAATCAGCGAATATGTTGAAGCAGAGAGGTACAAGAGTCCAGTGGAGTACATCATGTTGTCACCGGCAATTATGAATCCCAAAACAAAATACACCAAAGCGAGAATTTTGAAGGAAGGCGAAGCAGAAGTTGAAGCCTCTGGAGATGAAGGAATTGTAAAATATGGAATGAACAAGATTGGGAAGGCAGCAGTTTGAACTAAAGTAGCCATCCATTTACTATTTCCACCCTGATCATAATAAAATCTCCCAAGGATAACTGCAGCGGATTGTCCAACAATAAGAAAGGTTATGCTAAGTGCCACCAGAAACCACCATTGCCATCGCTTATATTTGTTATATGCTAATTCAGAAGTTGTTCCAACTGTGATAATCGGTTCTTCATTATCTGTAATGGAAGCAACACTAAAATTAATGTAAGGTGTAACCACGGAACTTTGAGCGACAAGGTAAACGGAAAAAAGGATGAATGCGTTTAAACGCATTACGTAAGTAAATACAACAGTAAAACTTTGCACATAGGTTAAATTTAATGTATGATAGTTAATGAAATAAGAATGATAGATCCAAGAAGAGTGAACAGCAATCAAAATGAGACATGATAATCGGGCAATGAAAATGGTAATGAGTATTTGGCAATCGGAATTGTTGACACTAGAATGGGTAATGAGAGTGTGCAGGACAAACGGGCAGTAAGAACGAGCAGGAGATGAATATTGGGCAATCAACCGGCGCTTGCTAGACGGTGTGGCATTGTGGTATTTATGATTTTCTCACCGTTTTTGGAGTTTCCGGGAGCTTCTTCATTTAACGACGCCATTGTTGGCAAGCTTCGAGAAACAATCACACTATGGCGCTGACGCTTCTGTTGCAAAACCCCTAATGTCGTTGTTAACAGCCCTTCTCTTTTATTTATAATTTTAGTTTCTATAATTTATTTTTATGTTGATAATTTTTATTTTTTCCAATATTATAAGCTTAAGTTTTGTTTTTTATATTTTAATTTTAATTTCGTATAATTTGTTTTTATTTAAGATTAAACAGGATTTAAATACTAATAAAGACAGATTTTAAATAAAATAAATTTAAAGGATCAGCTATAATAAAATTATAATTTAAATTAAATTCTTAGTTACTCTTTTTTTATTTATTTGTGTATTCTCTCTCTACTTAATTTTAATAATTATTTTTTTTTTATTTTCTCTGTACGGATAGAGGTAAACATGACAATAAATAAAGTTATGATATTAGTTTTTATACTTGCATGTATAATAATATCGATCTTTATATTTATATTTACTAGAGGCCTAAATTGTTGTACTTATAGTTTAGTTAATTGAAATATATATTTTTTATAAGCTAGTAAAATATTAATACTATTACAAAATAAAAAATGATTTAAAGCACATGAAAATTATAATAAACGTAAAGATGAACTCATGAATGTATATGTTATTATCACTTTATGTTGGTTTAGCTAAAAAATAAAATTTTTATTTTTATTTATTAAAAATTAATTATTTTATAAGTTTATTTATTTATTATTTTTCATTTATTTTAATCTAAATTCAATTTGAGTCGTGTATTTAGTGAATAAGTATTAAGTGATATTGAATCGCTTACCACTTAAATCAATTTCTATTGATTTATAAAATATTTATTTTTCTAAAAGAAAATTCATCTTATATTAATTTTTTTTATGATGTTTAATTAAGATGTTTTCTTTTTATTATATATAACAGTTTAATTTACATTAGTAAAAAACAATTAAGTTACCTGAATTAATATAATATGTCACTAATACTATTAATAATAATGACTTAATTAAAAATCATCACTAATGATAAAAATATATTAATCAATTAATTGCAAAAAAAAAATTATGTATATCTATTGTTGATATCAATTACTTTATTTTTTTACTAATTTTATATTACAAACTTGTAAAAAAAAATATTTATTAAATATAAATATAGAGATTCTTTTGACAATTTATTTATTTTATATAAAAATAAGTTAATAACAATTTTAATTTAAAAAATTTAGAATAAAAAAATGAATAAAAAGTAAAATTATTATAGAAAGAATACATATATTTTACATATTATTTTTATGTAAATTTAATTATAAAAAATATATGTGAAAAATCAGTAGTTTCACTAGATGCTTCATTCTTCATATCAAATACTTTAATTTATAATATACAGGTTGACAGTAAGATTTAAAAAAAATATTTTGATTTTTTTAACAATACATGTAAATAAAAAGCTATTATCATTCAAAAATTATATATGGTAGCATCTAGATATATCTAATAACAAAACATGCAAAATAATTCCAACAAATTAAAGAATATTAAATTGTCAAGTAAAATACATTTAAAATAGTTGATACTACAAAATAAATTTAAAAACTAAAAAATAAATTATGCACAAAGCAAATAAATCATAATTAAAATGACAAACCTTTGATTAACATGACAAACTTTTAATCTAAATTTTTAGTGTACAATCAACATAAAAATATCTTTATTTTTTAAATAAATTAACTATTAGTGTTATATTCTTTGATATCGTTAGTTTTCACCATCTATCAAATTTTCTGTGAAATTAATATTTTTATAATCACTTTCTTCTTCATCATCAACAACTTCTATAAGTATCATTGGACTTTCACTAACGATAGATTGTGTTAAATTAATTCTATTCAAAGATAATACTTGATCATTATTAAACAAGAGGAAACTAATTTTTAACTTTAAATTAAATTTTAATCTCAACATGAATTGATTGATGCTTAAAAATTAACTTTTGAATCTCAACAAAAGCAAACGAATCAAGACTTTGAAATGGAGATGAAACATCAATAGACTATCTTATTGGAAGAATTATTATTTAATTAAATATTTAATAACCGACTCACGTGTTCCAACTAATAATGTAAATTTATTAATTAATCTAGTTATCATTATTTAATTATTACATAATTACATTTCTAAAAATTTATTAATTAATTGATTTGTATTTATTAATATTATTTTTATTTTCTTTTTTTTATTTGTAAGGTCAGGATTCGTAAGAGCATTTTCATTCTATTTTAGTTGTTTAATTCAATATTATTATTTTTTTATTTTAAAATTTTAATATATTAATGATGTATTTTAATTTTATTTATAATTTTTAAGTGTAAATTTTTATTAGATATTTCTTAAAATTTATTATCAATGTATGTCTTCATAATTTCTCATTTATGATTTTAATTTATATTTATTTTATTTAAAAATACAATCATTATAATAAAATTGCTTTGATATAACAACATTATTAATTTTAAAAATAATAATTAAAATTATTAGTAATATAAATTTGAATAATAATATATAAATTATTAATTTAAAGTAATTATTAATTTTTTTAAAAATTTATTATAAAAATATTATTTAAAATAATTTTTAATAATAATAAATAAATTAAATAATAACTAATAATCATTCTAAATATTATGTATATTAGTAGTAAATTATTTTATTATTAATACTTATATATATTAGTCACTAATATATATTAGTGACGTTAATTTTTATTATAATAAATATTTTATTTTAATAGCTAAGTGATATCATTATCACGTTACAGTGACTTAACATAGATAATATTGTTATAAAATTATTTTAATAATAAATTGTAAAATTTTTAATGATAAATATTATAATAACTGTATATATGATTTTTTTATATCTGTTTAATTCTAAAAGTTCCACAAATCATTCTATCGTGCTAGCTCTATAGCATACAGAGACTAAGGTGCAACTTTTTTTAAGCAGCCCTACCAATTGTAGAACACACATTTCACATTCTTTGACGCCATGTTCTCAAAGCCACTTGAGTTCAATTTCAAATGAATTTTGACAAATTTTAGTAACTCATGTTTTTTGTTTTACGTACTCTTAATCTTAATTGGCTTAACTATGAAAATATAAAAATATGAAAGAAAAATATTAAATTAAAAATAAAAAGTCATATAATTTTTAGTAAGTTTTAATCAATAACTTAACATGCAAAACAACTAAGCAAAAACAAACTAGACGAGTGTTTGTTCTACCCCAAGTAATGTCCATTCAATGATTGTATTCGAATTATATCACGAGAAATCACATTCATATAACAAAGTTATATTTTCTTACCAATAATGGAAAAACTCAAAGAAAATATAAAATAAAATTAATAATGCAATAAAAAACAAGAACGTTATATAAATAATTATATAATTTTATTATATAAATGTGGTTTTTTTTTTTGTATTATTAAATGATTGATTATATTATAATTTCTCTCCGTACTATTTATTTGTCAACAAACGCCACTGGTATTATCTTAGTGCATTTTATTTTGCATAAAGTTATTATAATGTCAAGTTTAGACAAATAGGATTTAAGAATATAATTGGTTAATGAAAAGTTAAGTAAAAAAGTTTAAATAACTTTTAATTTATTATTACAAGTTATAATTAATTTTGTCGCATGCACTAAAAAGTTATTGTTGCAAAGTAAAATTTTCATATTTTATAACAACTGGTTTCATTATTTCGAAAAGTGTAAAAAGGTAACTCAAACGTGAAAATAAACAGGATATAATTTTTTATACCAATGCAATGCCATTGTATTAAATATTTCAAGAGACTCAACTCAAATCAAATTATCTCTGACATGTTTTTGGTACTGTTGAGTGTTGTTGGTTCTTGAAAATCTGTCTCTTATATATTTAAGTTGTAATTAACATTGCTTACCAATGATCAACCACTCCTTTGGATCCTCCTAACTACTCCTTTCTTTGTGCTAATGGAGAATCTATGTGCATACTTGGTTTCTCATGCGGTAAATACACTCATTGTACAAAAACACTTTCATGATATCTAAATCAATTAAATATTAAATTTGTGAATTGTTTTTTGTCTTTTTGATTTGTTATTACAGGAAATGGGTGATGATGATTTCTTGAATGAAAGCTCTTTTAACGAAGAAGAGTTCCTCAAAGATATTATTGTTGAGCAACCAGTTTTCTCTCATGAAAGTGATAGCCCCTCTTCCAATCCCTCTTCTTCCTCTGTTCAAAGCAACTATAAAATGGTCAAGAGTTGCAACAATTTGAAACCTCACTCATCATCTCCAACTGGGTACATTCTATCTTTTGATAACCCTGTTGATTACTCTGCTTTCATGTGCTCTAAAAGCAGGGCACCAAGCCATTATTGCACTGACCCGCCAACAAAGAAGACTAGAAACTCTTCTGGGACACAAGTACACATTTTGGCTGAGAGGAAAAGGAGACAGGAATTGACTAGAAGCATCATAGCACTTTCAACCATCATACCTAGCTTGAAGAAGGTCAATTCTATTACCCAGTTAATCTTACTCAAATATTTTTTTTATACCTTTTAAAGAAATAACGAGTCACTATAAAACTATGCTTAAAACTTTAAAATGATTATATTATACATTATTATTATTATTATTATATTATTCAATTTCTTTGTTCTTACTTCATATAAATTTTTTACTTACACTTACTGCCTTACATTTCAATCACATTTTAATGTTTAAAATTAATCTGACATAACAATCTTTTTAAGGGTAATTTAGATTTATAAAATTATTTTTGAGAAAATAAATTTAAAAGTATGATATTTTAATGTTTATCATAAAGTTTAAAGATATATTCATGGGCACTAGTTATAATTTCCAAATAAGTAACATTTCCAATGTTTTACTTTGCATTCTTTCATATAACAAAGGGTGAATATGTTACCTGAAAATAATAGATATTATATAACCAAATTCAGCTAGTTACGTTAATATCACTTGCCCAATTTTTTTTCATACCAATTGAATTCCAAAAATATTGCTACAAATATTAAATTCTAATTGATTATATTTTCAAATTATCATTCCTAAAATTAAAGACACGTGTCTAAAAACCACATCAGCTAAATATTAAAAATTTTACTTAGCAAAATCAATCTTTCATGCATAATGTTAAATTTGTGAATTATTTTTGCACATTTTAAATAAAACATTAAAGTCTAACCAACTCCCACTAAAGTCATGGATGTGTACAGCAATTGCATAAAATAAAGAAGGGTTTCATTGTAATCAAATCCATTTAGAGCACTATAAAGATTCAAAAAATTTAAAATTCATTGATTCATTTTTGGAAAATTGTGTATTTGTATATTTCTTTTTAATAATTTATAAGTTAATTATATATGTATAGACAGACAAGGCCAATGTACTGCGTGAAGCTGTGAATTATGTGAAACAACTTCAAGAACGTGTAAAAGAGCTAGAAAATCAAAGCAAAAAAGAATGTGTGGATTCAATTATACTCATAAAAAAAACACAACTTTGCATAAATGATGAAGCCACTCTCTCATGTGATGGTTGCAATGGATGTATCGTAGAACTCCCTGAGGTGGAAGCAATGGTTTTAGAGAGGGAAGTGCTCATTGGAATCCATTGTGAGAAACAAAAGCATAGTTTCCTCAAAATATTGTCTTTGCTTAGTAATCTCCATCTTTCCATAACCAGTACCAGCATATTGCCATTTGGAACTTCCACTGCTAAAATCACCATTGTTGCACAGGTACAAGAACATTTTGATTTTTCAAAATCTATCTTTATATATATTTACTGCGACTTCTTATTCTTAAATAACAATATGTTTTATCTTAAATAAGAGTATTTTTAAAAATTATTTTTTATCATTATGTTATGTTACTTTTACTGCATTTTGAGTATTTTAACTTTTTAAAATTATATAAATCGTAAAATTTCAATTTATTTCATGATTTAGAAAAATATCTCTTTATTAAAAAATTATTTTGATTTGATAAAAACTCGCTGGTAATCGTATAAAGTGTAACTCAAATATATTAATTTTCTCACAGTTGACATCCTGTTTCTGTCTTTTGTCAATTAAAAAATAAAATATTTTAATACATTTTATTAATGATATATACATAAAAATATTCAGTTAAGTATGGGAACACGTCTCAAAAATAACTCTTGGCAGGCGAGAATTATAAAATTTTTACTTTTAAAAATTAACAAATCGTAGTTTTATAATAGTCAAGCATAGTGCTCTATGAAAATTATAATATTTTTGTTCACATAGAAATGTAGATATTATTAAACTCGTTAGGTGAAAGCTAGCAAAGAGAAAGAATAGTAACACGTTTTAACACATTATTATCTAAAATTTATCAAGAAAACATTAAAAAATTTATTTTATTCTTAATTTAATAATTTTTACTCATATTTTTATATTTTTAAATAAATTTTATATGATAATTTAAATTATGTTAAAAAAAATGTTTTGTTAGCAATTTTTTTGAATTAAAATTCTGAAAATTTTATACTAGTATATTGCAGATGGATGATGGATACAACATGACAATTGATGATCTAGTAAGAACACTGCGACAACACCTATTGAGTTTGAAGTCACAGGACATGCAAAAGTGATCCGTGCTAGTGAATCAAAAGAGGTTCTGCTTCTTGTTTAAATGGAATTGCAAGTTTTTCAAAATCAACACATGTTCGTGTTTTGTAATATTTTTTCTTGCTTGTCTAATAAGATTCTATTTTATATTCGGTTTAGTAAATTTTATACTACATGGTTTCGTTTTAGATAATGAAAGTTCTTTTGACAACTTCCGCAATTTGTGAAATGTTGAGGAATAATGAATTCATTTTTCCTTGAGAAACATAAAGTTTTGGTTGAAAATGGATTGAAGTTATAGCTCAAGCACACTCTCAATGGAGACAGTACTTGGGACAATTTGAAGTTAAAGCAAGCTTATAACTCATGAAATGACTAAAACATTGCATCATTTCTTATACATAATACAAGAAAATATTCGTAAATAAAAAAGAAACTAAACCATGCAAATTAACCAAATTATTCTTAGAAAGAAAGACCTTTTCATAAAATAACTTCACGAGTCACTCATTCAAATTAAGCATAATGGTGTATCTATCACTCATTAAAATTATTATCTCACTAATACTTATTTTCGTTTTTGACGTAAGATCCAAATTACCTAATTGAACCCGTATTGAATTGTTATGTCCAACTCAAAAGAGACGATAACCCAATTGAAACACTATGTACATAAATTCAAGACATTTATACTATAGCATTTGAATAAACCACCATGTACACGGCGTTTTCTTTTCTCCCTTTGATGCGACAACAAAGAAACAAACGAAACCATCGAAGTGCAACAGCTTCTCAAAACATCCTCAATCCACCGTGAAGTACGTACAGTTGAAGAACTTCTTTGATGCACTAGCCCGGATCACTATTGCTATGCCTCTAACAGAGATTCTCTCAGATTTTTCACAAGGTCATCCATTGTCATGCTATATTCATCACCCATCTGCATCATATACAGCTATAGCAATTTAGAATTCCACTCACTGGAACATTTAAAATTATGTATTTTCATTTAAGTTTGAACATAGATATCAAAGAAAAATATAATTTTGTATCCAATGGGTCTTATCATTAATCATAATGGATCATTGTTTGATTAAAATTGTATTTTTCTCACTCCAACATAATTAGCAACACAGGAGGATCTAAATTTTATTGAGAATCAATATTATAGGATTATATAATTAAAACGGACACTTGAAATGAAATAATATTTTATTTGATTAAAGGACAAATTACATTAATATTGTTTCATACCTGAGCAATAACGTGGATTATAAGAGTAGAAGTTCCAAATGGCAATGCGCTGCTACTTGTAATAGAGAGATGAAGCTTTTCAAGCAAGACGTGTATTTTGAACACTATGTCCTTTTGTTTTTCACAATGGATTCCAATGAGTACTTCCTTCTCTAGGACTCTTGCTTCAACCTCAAATAGTGATTCTGTGTTCTTTTCACATTTGCCAATGCTCTTATCTGAGGAGGCTTGCGATTTCTTGATGAATATTGTTGAATCTACTCTCTTATCTTTGTTTTGATTCTCCAACTCTTTAATTCGCTCTTTAAGTTGTTTCGTGTAATTGACAGCTTCTCGAAGTACATAAGCCTTGTCCGTCTGTAGTTCTAATATAGCTATGAGTAAAATTAAATGCTTTACGATACCTAAAACAATGATAATTCTATGATTGAAAATTTAATTATAATAATATCCGACAAAGAAATGGACCATGAAATATTTCTTTTATAGTTTTTCCCGGTGTCATCATTAGTTTGATTGTACTATGTTTTCAATTAAATACAATTAAAATGTTATCCATTTGTCACTGATAGAGGTGAAAGTTGATCGCAAATGCCAATGAGCTTTATAGTGGTTTGACAAATACTTTACCTAATCATTATTTTAAGTTTAAAATGTACAAAAATAAATTATAAAAATGAAAGTTTAAAAAGAAATACTAATAAAAAATGAGTTAAGTGGTTTGCGTAATTATATCGACAGTCAATGGAAAACCACGTTTTCTGAAATTATTTTTTTTATAACGTTTGTGTTTTAATCCTTAAACAAAAGACTAAAAATAAATAAAAAAAGGTAATATTTCCCGTGCTAATAAAAACATAGTCTTAATATTAATAAGTTCATGAGATAACTGACCTTCTTCAGCCCAGGAATTGTTGCTGAAAGTGCTATGATGCTCCCTGTGAGTTCCTGTCTTCTTTTCCTCTCAGCAATTATGTGATCATGTGTCTCAGATGACCCTCTAACTTTCTTTCTTGTTTGACCCACCCTTGATTCTAATTCAGACCCATCTTTCACTACAGCCCTTTTATTAGATCCAAATGCTGAATTAAGCTTAGGGGAATGATGGATAATTGGTTCAGCAGTTGATTTATCAAAAGAGAGAAGGTAAGCAGCTGGAGAACAAACACATCTCTCCAAAGACTTGATAGAGTTGGAGCTGTTACTTTTGTGGAGGGTGCCATCATTCCCACAAAGGCTTGTCTCATCAAAGGACAAAGTGCTATTGGTGGGGCTTGTGGCACCACCTTCAACACTAATGTTATTGTTTTGGATTGTGCAACAAGGGGAGGGATATTGCTCCCATTCAGGGGAGAAATTTTCTGGGTGTTGAAGGATCTCTCTTAAGAACTCTTGCTCATCAAATGAACTAAAACTTTGATTATTCAACATATCTTGTTCTTCCATTTCCTGTGACAATCGGATACACCAAAGAGAGAGAAGAAAACTTACAAAGTTAGGTACTTTCAGGCATTACATGCACGATCATTGTTAATTTGTTCATAAGAATAGTTATATGCACTGATAAATTCTTAGTATGCTATAATGAGTTTGAGGGATCATTACCAATTGAGAAACCCAATCCCTCAATGAATCCTCCATTTTTGCCTGAAGTGGACCTTGTGCATCACCGCAGTTGATAAAAAGTAGGCTTTGGAACTTAAATAGCAAAATGAAATTTGTGTCACGTCAGGTTTATTTATTTATTTATTTGTGAAGTATCGTTTCTGTTGGGGTCATCTTGTTGGTCACAAAATGAAACCGTGCACTTTATCAAATGCCATTTGTAGTGTATAATGCGAGTACCCATATGAGTTTTTTTCATTATAGTAAAATGCAATTTGATAGGACGTATATGAGAAAATTTTCATGAGTTTAATTTTAATCGTATATTTAGTATAATTTTTTTTATACTTTTAATCAGTTAAAATATATAATTAAATGAAATTATTAATAAATATATGATTAAACTATTTTAATTATTTTTTGAGAACACCGTTAAATTATTTAATAATAAATTATGCATTTATTTGAGACAATTATTGTGTCTGAAAAGCCACAGATGGAACTAGCTAGATTCATCAATGGGACCACAAGACAATTATCGTGTCTACTGTTTTCCTACATTGATATACTACATTATTCATATTATTATTATTATTATTTACAAATTGATGTCTAATTTTTTTAATAATTTTCTCGTTTTGTAATTATAATATATATTATGAATTATCATATGTATATATATAAATATAATATTATATTATAAATATAATATTAAAAATAACATAATAAAATAGTAATTATGATAAAATAATTAAAATTTCACTATATTATAAATAATTATTTATTGAATCAACAATTAAAATATTTCATTATATAACTATTTCATATATAACTAATATATTTTTATATTATAAATTTAACTTCACCACTATTTAAAAGAATTAAATATCAAATAATTTATAAATAAAATTTTGATATATTATTTACATGAGTTTTTATAGTATCAATTAATTAAAATATATAATAAAATTTATTTTTAAAATAATTACTATGAAAATTAATTATTACGAATATAATAATTTATGATTAAATAACAATATAATCAATATTTTATTCTATCAATGATTTTTAGTTAAATTTATAATTTATTAATTAAATATATTTCAAAAAATAATTAACATAAATATATTTTTTAATAATTTTTACTGTTAATTATTATAAATAAAATTAATTTTATATATCACACATGGCGTGAGAATTACATTTAGTTTTTATTTAATTGATGAAATGGATTTTATTTTTATTTAAAAAATAATTTATTCACAATACATATAATTATTTATTATTTAATAATCGTTATCTCTTATTATCATGATGCTATTTTTTAAATTTAGTTATAATTTTTAAAATAAATATCGACATATGATAATATTGATGTGATTCTCTCTAAATACATGGGCACTTAACAATGACGTATCAAGTATGGAGAATAAAATTAAAGTAAAAAGAGAAATTAAAATTTTATTTAAACTTTATTTAATCAAAATTTTAATTGAGTTTAATTCAAAATTAATATAAATCATAAATGTACGAAGATTAATTGAAACTTTATGCAGTAGGTAATGTTAATATGAATTAAATATTTTCAAAATAAATGCTTGAATCAATATAAAACTCAGTGTAAGATAAATTAAATTCTTTTAATATATTAAATCCTTATTTAAAAACTAACGTAAAAAATGGTACATACATAAAAATTATTATTTTTACACTATCTAAAGTCACGTATTAAAAAATCGTAATTTTTATTAAAAAGTATAATAATTTTATTAATATATTAAATTTTATAATACTTTAATAAAAATATATTATATATAAGTTTTTATCATCTATCTTTAAACAGAAAAAATCGAGTAAAAAATACTACTCATTCCATAGCAGGTGTCAAGAGGCATCAAAAAGTAATGTTTGTGTGTTTTTAATAGAAAAAAGATTGAGGGATACAACTCAGAGAGTCCCCTGCCATTAGGGGATACCATGATAAAGCGTCACTAAACACACTATTTTAAATATATTCTTTTAATATATATTTCATAATTAGTTAATTTTTATAAAAATAGATAAATAAATAAAATATATTAAAGACTACGTTTAGAAGAATATTTTATTAAATTTTTATTATACAAAATAAAGGAATTTACAAGTGTGTACTATGAAATTGTTTAAACATTATTCTTTTAAAATTTTTTAATTGATCATTATAAGTGATTGAAAGAAAAGAAAAATATTAATAATTAAATGTTAATGAGATGGCTATTACCAATACGTATTTTAGCTTAATGTTACAAGAAAATGGTAGAAAATAATAAAATCTAAAATGAATTTTTTATAAAAATGAAAAGAAAAAGTAAACCTTATATTTTTTGAACATAATAATCTTATCTCAACCTATAAAATTTCTGAAACCAATGGGCAAATTATAAGCACATCCCAAACAAAAGTTATATAATAGAAACTCAAATGTCATGTCTCGATAACCAATCATTTTTAATTCATCGTGTGTACCATATTTTATCTGTTTTTGGTAACTTGATTAGGTGTTTCCTTCCATTGTAGTCACCTCCTCAACTAAAAGCATTTATGTTTGCTGAAACCCATTTTTCAAGTAAACGGTGTTTTGATGTTTATTATAGGTAAACAAAATTATAAATATTCACCTAACATACAAGTGTCTATTAAAAAATTAAATATTAAAGTGAATAAATATAAAATACTTTTTTTCTTTTTCAAATTTTCAACGACACTTAAATAAATAATTTAGTCTCACCTGTTACAAACATCAAATGTCATGGCTTGCAATAAACGAATCATTGTTAAATCACCATGCGTATCACGACTGATTCAAAACTCTGTTTACTAAAATTTGTCTTTCAATTTTTATCAAAACTCTGTTTTATTTTTTTAAGTACAAGTATTTTCGTGATTTTCAAAAGGATTGTGTTTTGTAAGCAGTTAATTTTGACTAAATAATCCTAAATATGAAATTAGGTTAATGTCATTCCACTAAATAAGAATAAAATATCACTGTTTAAAAAATTCAGATGCAAGTGTAAGCAATTCTTCAACTTTATTTTTTTTTAAAGAAAGTTTAATTGAATATTATTTAATAAGTTTTTTCATATAATCATTAGCTAATTATTACATGTAAAGTTTATGTTGGTGATAGTTAAATATTAAGAATACGACAGAGCTTATTTGACCTCAACATTTGAAAATTCATTCATGATAGAACAGACAAATAAATGGAAAGAAGCATAAACATTATGGATTCAAGACAAAGAGAAAAAAAAAGTGGGAAATGGTCCATGTTTGCATTATGACTTAAAAGGGTTGCTGTAAATAACTCTAAACAAAACTCACAGCAAATATTAATAGTCATAAGTGGGATGGAAAAGAAATGTTTGTGGCTTCTATCCTTCTTTTACTTAAAAACAAGGAATCAAGACTTTATAATATAAACGCACTGCATTTTGTACTTCAATTTTCACTTAAGTGAAAAGTGTAAAAATATATTAATTATGGATACAAATTTTCTTTGGTTACAGTTTAATTGGACACTCAGTTTTATTTTTATTTAAAGAAAATTAAAATAATAATAATAAAATTTATTTAAAATACAAAATTTGCTTAAACAAATTATATATATATTTTTTAATTTTTTACCTTTTCTCTTTTTATACTTAAGAACCCATTAATGATAAGCTTGGCTTACGCAGGAGAGATATTTTCTAAAATAACCACAAAACAAAACTTAGCACACGTTCGTAGTATTATGTATTTTTTATTCCACGTGCTTTTCAGCTTTTCTTAAGGGCAGCAAAAAGGATTCACTTTCTTTTCAAATATCAATCATATAATCAGAAGCTATAAAATACACTACCCGTCAACATTTGCTGTTTATACAAATACACAACTTTCCAAAAATGAATAATTGAAATTTTAATTTTTTGAACCTTTATAATGTTCTAAATGGGTTTGATTACGATGAAACCATTTCAGCTTTTTTTTTTTAATGCAATTGCTGTACACATCCATGACTTTAGTGGGAGTTGGTTCGACTTTAAGGTTTGATTTAAAATGTGTAGAAATAATTCACAAATTTAATATTATGCATGAAAGATTAATTTTGCTAAGTAAAATATTTAATATTTAGCTGATCGGCGTTTTAAGACACGTGACTTAAATTTTAGGAACGATAATTTAATAACATTATCGGCATGAATATTGTTTTAGATAAATTGAAAAACATATTCAATTAGAATGGTAGTGTGGTGGATGATCCTTCTACCTTTTATGCCTTTTGGTTTATTGTGACTAATTAATTAAGGTAACAAGTGACGTCATATGTCACCTTCAATCAAATTTCACTGTCTACTCAATCAATGCTTCAACTAATATTATATTTATTCATACAGCCAAGCCACGTAGCTCTTTGATAAATAACATTGCTCCTTCCGTGATCATCATTATTGGGCAAATGTTTTGTTTTGTTTTGACTTTTCCCCATAAATTATTAATGGTCTGTTTGATTACGAAGAACATCGGAGATTTCGTGTTTTCAGAGATAACAAAAATCTGTTCTTGTTCAATTTTTCGTAATGTTAATTCGAAGCCTTTTAGACCAGCTAATCGTTTTCGGCCCAAAACAAAGTAGGATCTTGAGCAAAACAAAAAATGTGTTTTGCATAACCAACCAGAGGAAAATACACATTCTCTTGAGGCCCCTTAGAATATTCATTAACAAAACCTTCAAGATAAATGCAGTTCTAACACGATTCTCCAAATCAATTCATGTTTGCAGCGAGTTTGTGTTAGAAAATGTGTTAAAAAAACCTGGAAACGTTAATCTAAAATAGATGTTACAATTAGTAACGTTAAAATAAACATGAATCCATGTGAATTTGAACAGGAAGCCATACAGGCTATTGATTTGCATATGGGTGGTGGTGCCTAAGTGGCCCATTATGAAAAGCACAATTGGAGAATAATGATGTTAATTTCCTGCGAAGGTATGCTTTACAAATCTAAAACATTTCACTTTAGGAGGGAAAATGGATATGCTTAAAGACATACCATAGGCCATTTACCGGAGCAGATCACAGAAATAGCATGGAAAAAATCAAAACCCAGCAGAAATTATGGTCCTTCAAAAACCCAGTACCACCAGTTCTTCATTGGTAAACTCCTCTCTGAACAGTTCACATTATTAAACAATCAGCCCCTTCCTCCAATTTAAATGAAAAAAGAAAAAGAAACATTCAGAGAAAGTAAGGGGAAGTTGATGCTTAAGTTCAACATGGATTCAAATAGGGAAAAGACTACTAGTTAGTTAATCAGCCATAGGATGGTTAGAATATATTCAATGGCAAGATGCAAGAGTCAATTTTATGTATATTTATGTCACAACATTTTTATTACTAGAGAAATAAGGTGGCAAGAATACATAAGAACTGTTTGGCTTGAAAAGAAACTGAGCATACACCAAAATGTGACCCAAGAAGTCAAATTAGAAAAATGAATGATCCATCACCCTGATTTCCTCAAATGGTCCATGCAACCAAAAGTTAGAATCTTCCATTGCCAACTAAAAAATTGACTTTGACAAGTGAAGAATAGAAAAAGAAAACGAAATAGAATATATACTTTTTTAAAATTTTTGTAGGTGAATCTCCATATGACAAACGTTGTTGCATTGTTTGTCATTAGAGTAGAAGACAATGAAGTATAGGTCTTGATATAGTTGTTGACAGTGTTGATGCAATCGCTGATGTGAAAAACTTACTGTGAAGGAACAAAGAGATTTGTGTTTTCCTCATATATACTTCCCACTTGTGAAGGAAGAACCAAAGAAGAGAAAGAGATTTGTTTGGTGGGATAGGAAAGATAACGGGCCTTTACCCACTTAGATGCCCATAAAATATTTTCATAGTAAAAACAATAAATATTTTTTTAACATATTATTATTTAGGTATTAAGTTTAGCAAATATATATAATATTATATTAGCATGGATAGTATCGTCCTAATATTTTCTTATTTATTTATCCACACTATTGTGCTAATACTATCAGTGTGTAAAAATTGAATATATAATTAAATCCAGAGTTTTATTTTTTAGCTAAACCAATATAGAGTGATACTAATAAACACATACATAAGTTCATTTTTACGCTTATTATAATTTTTATGTGCTTTAAATCATTTTTTATTTTATAATAGTATTAATGTTTTATTAGTTTATAAAAAAATTAACTATAAGCACAACAATTTAGAAATCTAGTAAATATGAATATAAAGATCGATATTATTATACATGCTAGTATAATAACTAATATCATAACTTTATTTATTGTCATTTTTACCTGTGTTAAAGGAATTAGTGATAGAAAAGAAAAAAAAAATAAAAGAATTATTAAGATTGAGTGGAGAGAGAATATACAAAAAAAACAAACAAAAGAGTAGCTATAACCTATTATTTAATTATAGTTGATCTTTTAAATTTATTCTATTTAAAATTTTTCTTTATTAGTAATTTAACTATAATTTGAAAAACTTAAATATATTAAATTTTTATGTGAAACTGACTCATTGTGTTAAACCTCTTTCAACAAACAATGTGCATTACAGCAGATTGAATAGTAAAATTTAGTGTTTTTAATAATTTTTAATATTAAAGATGATTATCTTAGCTATCTCAAATGCATTTAAGGTTTTTTACTTATGTAACTAAAATTTCTTTCATTTGTTTTTTTTTTAATCTTTACGAATAATAATAAAAAATTGTTGCTCACTATATTAGAAAAATTAATCTTAAATAAAATAAATTATACAGACTAAAATTAAAATTAAAATATAAAAAACAAAACTTAACCTTATAAGATTGTAAAAAGAATTGTCTAAGATAAAAATAAATTATAGAAACTAAAAATATATTTAAACTTAAAACGAAATAAAACATTCGAGAAGGGCGTAGGTTGCAAGTGGCGAGGTTATAAGCTGTTAACAAAATTGGGGTTTTACAAGTTTCGTCGGAAAGCGGTATCAGCGGCATATTCTGATTGCATTTGGTTTCTCGAAGCTTCGGCAACAATGGCGTCGTTCGATGAAGCACCTCCCGGAAACGCTAAAAACGGCGAGAAAATCTTCAAAACGAAGTGCGCTCAGTGCCACACCGTCGAGAAAGGTGCCGGCCACAAGCAAGGTATCTTCACTCTTCTCAGATCTATCATTCCTATTTCATTTTTCTTTATTCTTAAGACTCTTAGGTTTAGGGTTTTAGTCCATTTGTGCGTTTCTCTATTTGATACACTAATTGGAATTGTCGTTTATTTTACCAACTAGGACAGTGATATGTTGTTCTAATTTTTCGTTGAGGTTGGAAGCTCCTTGTCAAATCTGAAGCTTCTTTTGATGTTAAATTGTTGTTGAAAACTTAAAATTGGTTTCTTAACCTCATAGGCCAACTGATACCGTATTGAACTAGAGAGAAATCAGAGAGTTGAGTCTATTAGAGATTGATTGGGAATGTACAGATGGGTCTGTGTGTGTGTCGCCCGGCCCAGGCACGGATTTGTGACTAGATAAAATCTAAAACTCGGGTGTAGAAACATGGGTGTGTAAATTAACTCGCCAACCAACTAACTAAACGTGTATAATTGTAAGCTATCTGACCAACTATATACTCACGGGGTGTCAGAAGGGGTTTATGTACTGACTACTTTCTCTGTTACAGAGTTTTATAGTACATTGTAATTTGTGTGCAGAATGTACAGGGTTTGTGATTCAACTCTTCAACTGTAATTTGTATCATTGGCTCTGTAAGGAAGATTTCTGCTGTTTGGTTTCTTTTTTTATTTTAAGTTGTATTTTTTTTTATTTTTAATATTTTTTTTGTTAATTATGCTTTTTTTAATCTATATTCAAGTAACTTTCGTGACATTAAAAGAATCTTTTTTTGAATATAAATTTTTTTAGTTTGTGTAATATTGTACCAGATACAAAGTTATATATGTTATATAGTAAATTTTTATTAAAGTTTACAGAATTCAATGTAATTTAACGCATTGATACTATTAAATGCTATATTTTCAATAAAACCAGACAACATAATTTCTTATCCTATATAATGTTGCAAAAGTTGGAAAAATTGTTTGATTTTTTTACTTGTTTTTGTGCAAAGTCTGTAAAATGAACAAGGCCAAAACATTTATGCCTTTTGATGGATTTGGTTACCAATTTGTAGATTTCTTCTTTGTCTCCATATGATTAGTTTACTTCTAATTATGCTGCTTCTTTTCTGATCACACTCTTGGCAGTTATATCTTTAGTTTTCTGTTTCCTATCTCCCCTCTGTGAATACGGTTGTTATGTAATATTCTAAAGACAAAAATGTTTGCACTTTTTGTTGACAAACCTAGGACCCAATCTGAATGGTTTGTTTGGAAGGCAATCTGGCACTACTCCTGGATATTCCTATTCTACTGCTAACAAAAACATGGCTGTGATTTGGGAGGAAAAGACTTTATATGATTACTTGCTCAACCCCAAAAAGGTATGACACCAACATGTATAATTTTCATTTCAAGATACTTTATATAATTTTCATTTTGAGATTCAGTATTTTGCATTGTAATTGTGGTATTGTGCTGTTAATTTTCCATTAGAGATGTAAAAAAGTGTTTTGGTATTGATGATTATTAATTTATAACCTTTCATTGTCCAAGTTTGAAATCTACTTCGCTAACCTGCTTGGCATTGGTAATCATTTCATGTTACTTTATTTAATTTTCAATTTGAGATTTAGCTTATTTCTAATATAATCAGGTATTGTGCTGTTAAAATTTTATGGTGATGTTGCAGTTTGACATTGAAAATCTGTTTCCACCACAATGTTACTGATTTGTGTTTTCTTTATAATTTTGTGCAGTATATTCCAGGGACGAAGATGGTATTTCCTGGTCTTAAGAAGCCTCAGGAACGTGCAGATCTTATTGCATTTCTGAAAGAATCCACTACACAATGATTAAATATCCATACTTACAGTATGCATTGTGCTTTTGAAATTCTGGAGATTTAAGTTTCAGACATTCAATTCTGTGGTGCAGTAAGTACCGTATCAAATAAAGTAGACTTGATTGGTTTGCAATGCTATTTTGTTCATTTTGCATTGCTTCTTAAGAGGTTGCCATAAATTGGCCGGACTATGGCTCAATTAATTTACCTGTTGAAAGTTGAAACATTCTTATCAATATTTAGTTATTTGGAATCACAATTTAGTCTCTCATTGCGGGGTAAGTGGATTGAGTCTTGATATTTTTTATTTTTGTTTTCTTAGCTGAATGCAATAATATGCAAGATTCTTACAAAGAAAGTCATGGTATGGGAAAGGGAGAGGGTTGGCTAAATTTAAAGCGTTGCTGGTATATTGAGATTCAATTTAGGATCAAACAGACCTAAAGAAATTCGAGTTAACCGATCTTGCATTTTATTACGGCAAGTCTGAATTAGGAGTAGATCTGCACTTGGACGTAATCTAATTGGTGACTTATCTTTCCATTGTCATGTGATGGAGGCAGTTGCAATGAGAGTCTATAACTATGATGAGTAAACTATCAAATAAGTCTTCAAAAGTATAATTATTAGTTAGTCTAATGATCATTATGATGTATCACTTATAGTTCATTCCCATGTTTTAAGGGAGCCTTATGGTATGTGTAAGAACATTTTCTAGTTGTACTAATGGCATTTTCTTCATCGGTGGATGTAACTTTTGATTGCCAATGCTCTTCGTTAGTTCACATCCCTTACAAGTTGTATATATCAATAACCTTTTACACCAAGTCTATTTCGGTGAAAATGTGTGGAAAGAAATCAAGAGATTTGAGATGGTATGGGAATTTTTTTCATTTTACTCGCTTGACATAATTTAGAGGGTGGAAGAATTTTTAAGCGTAAGAAAGTTTTTCTTGATTTTTTTGGTGAAATTCACTGCTATACTTATTTTGATAGAGTAATGCTAAATAAAACAAATGAAAATTCACGAATTTGAAGTTACCTAATGCTCTTGAGTGGATTTTATTTGCCAATAAATTAAGCTACACACTTTTGTACTAATTAACACTTCTGTTTCGATAATCTATTTCTCTCCTTTTTCTGTCTCTACCTAAGAGTCAAATATTTTTACTTTATTTCACTCATTCAAACAAAACGGGAAAATTCTTATATTTTTCCCCCCCTCATTTTTATTAACCTAAATAATTTATCTTTTTCATCAGATTTTTTTTCATGTTTCTTTTGTCATCCAAACAAGCTGTTAATTGAACATTAAAAATTTCTGGAACTGTCCCAGGAATTTGTTATTTTCGCTATTCAAAAAAGTCCTTAAGGTTGTGCGAAAAACACTTGGTTAAAAAATATTTTGTTTATATCGGTAATATTTCTGTCTAAGTAATTCACACAAAAGATAACATCAAGAACTCGGTTAAACTTGTAATAATGGAACATAAATAGGCTGAAGATGAGAGTAAACACTCGATTTTATCTTATGATCGTCAGTCATATTTCATGTTATACTTTAAAGTTAATAGTAAATTTCATTAAGTTTAATAAAAAAGGTAAATTCGAATAATAGTTTACACACGATTTTCAAATCAAATCGTTGCCACATTCTGAAAATGCATCTATGGATCAAAACTGTACACAATTTTAACCTTGTGTTGAAGCATTTGAGTTTATGCTTGGGTTTGGGTTGAATGAGAAAAAAATGGGTTGGAATTAAAAACTACATGTTAGTTTTTAGTTATACGCTATAAATAACGTTTTAAAATGAGTTTGTATATAAATTATATAAGTAGATGCTTCTTAAATTATATAATTATGTTCATAACGTACTTTAAATTAAATTAAAAATAAAGATAGTCTTATTTATAAAGAAAAAGTCTTATCTATGTTCATTTTATCTAGACAAACAATGCTCTATAATGTCGTTTCTGTCGGATCCAAAACAATAAAATACACACAATTAATTTCTATTGTCGACTTTTATATCTCATGAATAAGAATGTCATTTCGTTGTATGGTACAATTATTTGTCCAATGTTTTATTTTCCCTCTTTTTGTATATTATATTATTTTAACATTTTAAATTAATTAATTTTTGCATCCTCCTAACAACTTACAATATCTGGTTATTCTTATTCCAAAGAAAAACATTGTGGTTAGCCTTCTTTTCAAAAGCAATGTTGTTATGTTAGGGACATGACTACCATATGTCCAAAGCCACATTAGTTAGGTTCAAATAGGTCTAATTATTCTTTAATCCCACACACCAAAAAGTTTGAATAATTTCCCAAAATTAGAATTTTCTTATAAATATCTACCTATGGGAACTTTGAAGCTAGGATACTCTTTCACACAATAATACATTTGTAAGTTTATCCTCTACTTTTGTTATTTAAATATCTAAAAAAATAAAATTGCATATAACACTGTATAGAATTATCTAAATTTTTCTTATGCTATCAAAACATTTGAAAGAAATATAAGAATAGAAAAAAAAGGGGGTGATAAATGTAATAAATAACATGATATAAAAGTAAAAGATAAATAAAGAGAGATGGGCGGCGTTGAATAACTATTAACATTGTTTGAACCTTTACCAATTGAAGTTGAAGAGGCATTCGACAAACACAAATATAAATTTACTGTTGTTTTGAAGACTTTTGGGATACCTTTTAGCAATGGTGGGGAATGCACAAGATATGATCGAGATTTGTCTTCTGAATGTAACAAAAATTAACCAGTAACTTGTGAATTTTTCTTATTAAGGATTTTAATTTAGGGTTTTATTAACTCTATAAATACAAATTATTTATGAAAAATTTACATATTTGTTATATTAAAGTTATAAATATACAATAAGTATGTTTTTTTTTAATAAAATTTTACTATTACAGATTGGATTAGCACTCAAGTTAACAATTTTTCTTTTAATTTATGAGAGACATGGTCCAACTCAGCCAAACATTTTGATTAGTAGAACATGAGCATAAACTTGATTCGGTTCCAAATAGAAATGAACCCCCTTCCCTTTTTTTTAATTGCAATATTTACATATTCTAGGTCGACATTTTATCCGTTTTGATAATTACTTTGAATGCCACTACAAATATAAGTTATTTTGTATGGTCTCCACTACTCTCTCTTTGCAGTGGATAATCTCTAAATATTTACAGAACTTTGAAGTAATTTATGATTTTTGTGAATGTCTAGTACTAATTACTTATAATTCAAACTAACTCCTTTTATTTATATTAATAAGCATTGTAGTAAAATATACTAGCATAGGTTATTTTTAACTTATTTTGATAAGTTTTTGTATCATAAGAACTTACTAACCTATTTATCCAATCCTAGTCATGTAACATTTCCTGTCTTCATTTTTTCCCTCCAAAACATGTTACTAAATCAACCAGGTATAAGTGTGTTGCACAATCTTTTTTTCTTTTTGATTTTACGTCAAAATAATAACTTAGTCCATATTCCCATTTAATTGTTTTCATTCCAAGCATTTTAGTGTTTATGTATCCATGCTAATGTGACCACGAATTTATATTGGCCCACGTTCTACATGAACATCCACTAATGCACATGGGATTGTGGAAACAATCGAAATGATATTAAATGCATACTTGGTCTACTATGCTGCTCATAGATAAAATAATGTAAAATGAAATTTAGCATGATGACCCTCCTATGGTTTTCTTGTAATTTTTCCCAATAATGACACTAGCAACTCAATTCATTGAATTCATCAACTAGTTTAGGAGAAAGAAAATCCATAATGTGAAATGCATATTTCTTTCACTATTATATCAAGAAGCACGGGGGAGAACCAAAAAAATTAGAATTTAGAACAAAATAAGCATTAAACAAAGTCACCTGTATATAATGGGCATCCTTGATTTGATGATATTAAATTGACGTTTCAATATTGATAGCACACAAATGGATCTAGTCTAGACCATAAAACCTATATGTAAGTATATAACACTAACATTTATTTTTATGACCACAAAGCAAGAGATACTTACATATTGAAACTGATCACATACCCTAATTATATCTCAATTCTCACATACCTTTTCAATCATGTTCCTCTCGAGCTACAATAAGTTCTTCTAAGTTATCAATATCACCAGTGTCTGTAGGTAGCATTATCTCATCCTCAGTTGTGAAATTATATCTACTCCCAATGGCTCTTAGAAATTGGTATACTTCAAACATGGTAGGCCTCTCCTTTGGAACTGCTGTAACACAGTTGCATGCAACCTTCAGAAATTGGAAAAGCTCCTGATCTACACCCTTCCCAATTAGTGATTCATCAATGGCGTCATGGAGTTTTGAGTTGCTAGATAGCTGTGTAACCCATTCTACCAAATTTCCTTTAAAAGTTTCTGGAGCTTTAGCCACATGAGTAGCTTTTTCACCTGTTACCAACTCAAGAAGCACTGTTCCAAAGCTGTAAATATCTCCCTTTGGAGTAGCCAGCAAAGTTTTTGTATATTCAGGAGCAACATAACCTAAATCACCAAACTCCCCATTTACAAAAGTACTCAAATGTGTATCAATCGGGTTCATCAATCTAGCAAGGCCAAAATCAGAAATTTTGGGCTCAAAATCTACGTCCAACAATATACACTTAGAGCTTATGTTTCGGTGGATAATGCGAGGATTGCAGTTATGATGAAGCCATGCTAATCCTTTGGCTGCTCCAATTGCAATTTTGAGCCTTAGAGACCAATCCATGTTGCACCCATCAGAAGCAGGATGTAGTTGATCATAGAGGTTACCATTTGGCATATTTTTATAGACCAAAAGTTTCTCCCTTTTGGCCATGCAAAACCCTAAAAGAGGAACCAAGTTTCGATGTCTGACAGTCCCTAGTGTACCCATCTCAGCCAGAAATTCTTTCTCTGAGTGTTGAGATTCCTGCAATCTCTTAACCATGAGTGATGTACCATCCTCAAGAACAGCGTTGTAAACGGTTCCTGATCTTCCTGTCCCAATAATATTGCTTTTGCTGAAGTTATTAGTACCCTTCATGAGATCACTCAAGTTCATTTTTGAAATTGTCTTCTCAAACATAGAAACCTGATGTACAATTCAGCAAAGTTAGGCATAGTACATAAAGAGTTCAAATCACACAAACCAAGGCTCGGTAGACTGTAACTTTAAAAGAAATTAAACTGACAGAAATTATTGTCTGTCTTCCTAATGTCTGCTACAGAAAATATATTGTTTTCTACCATTTGGCACAGGTAAAAGATTTTTCAGAGTTAATATAGTAAATGATGTCAAGAAGAAATGTTAAAAAATGTTGAAATTGAAAATATTATCACAATAGATAACTTTCAATAAAAATGTTACCCAAGAAAAATTTTCCTATTGAAGATGTTTTCCATAATTAAATAATATCCTAAAACACAGATCAATCTAAGATGGAAAATGAATATCAGCTCACAAGTATAATACAATGACATATGTAATAAACCATGCATCAATATAGCTTGCCTTTATTCCTTTAGTTCCCTTTAGACTTCTTGCCCACTTGTTTTCTTCAGGGTCCTCTTCCTTTTTCCTATAAGAAACGTGGCGCACATAAAAGAACAATCCAACAGCCAATCCTAATGCTGCAAAAGTCACACCACCAACAGCTGCACCAGCTATAACTGCAGTGTTACTCTTGGAAGACTTGGGCTGGCAAGGCTCCAAGGGACCACCACATAGGCCTGAATTATTTGCATAACTATCTGCACTAACTATACCATTTCTAAAGGTTGGAACTTGCCCTGTCAATAGATTATTGGAGACAATAAATGACTTAAGCCGCGGTAACTGACTCAATTGTGCAGGAATTTGACCAGTGAGTTGGTTTTGGTCAAGTTTAAGAGCATTAAGGTAAGTACAGTTTGCAAGGGACAGAGGTATGTCCCCAGTAAAATCATTTGAAGATAGATCAAGAGATGTCACAAATTTAAGAAGGGTAGATATATCCGCCGGAATGGTTTGAGAGAGTCTGTTAAGAGAAAAATCTAATCCTGTCAAGCTTGAGCAATTTTGAATGCCACGGGGAAACTGACCCTTAAGCCCCATGTTGGACAGTTTGAGATTCAAAACTCTGTTCTCATCAGGGTGCCAACATTCAACCCCAGTAAACTTGCATATAAACCCTTCTGTTTTGTTGTTGAAATTCCAATATTGCAAATAATTATAGGGGTCTTCAAGTGAACGTTTCACACTTTTCAAGCAGAATAGATCACTATCAGTGCCATAAGTCATGCCACAAATAATCAGCAGAAAGAAACTAACAATAACACAAGCACTGAAAATTTGGCTACTCACAACCATATTCACCGACTCCCAAAACAAAAACCAACAAACAGCAAGTTGTTCAAATAATTCACCAAGATTGGTATCTAATGAAGCTGCAGCACAAAATGCATAGATTCCATAGCACTACAATCCTCATAAGAACACACCCTGAAACACAATAAAACAAACAACATCAACCCAATTCAGCACTTCACAGTTCACTTCACATCAACCAACCAATAAATCAAAAACAAAGAAAAAAAAAAGGAAACTTTTTTGCCTCTCAGACCAAAATTCACAGCCTACACCGAATACTACTAAACAAATATGAAAAAGAACCTGAGAAACCCAGTAAAAATTTCCTTGAGGTAAATCAATACAAGCAAAAACAGAAGGAACCCAGATTAAAAAAAACACATGAATTTTGCAGAAAAGCACTAAAAAATCGACCTTTAACATTGGAAAAGTCAACCCAGGAAATAACATGGGAACATGACTATGCCCAAAAGAAAGGGGGAAGGCATAGTGAAGTGTAGAAACGGAAGAATAGATCAAACGTTGAGTAGAGTGAGAGAATCAGAAATAGCAATAATGGGAATGGGAAAAGAGTGTGTTGTGTTACATGAAATTAAGAAGAAGGAAGAGAACACGGCAAGGCAAGCTTTGTTTTTTATTTATTTATTTTCATTTTGGAACCTCAGAGACGACTAAGACTATTGAGGAAAGCGAAGACTTAACAGGTTTCTTTGACCACTTCACTTGCTTTTGCGGAAAATGAGGGGCCTGTATTGGGCCAAAGAAAATCAAAGCACAAATACTCTTTTCTTTCTCATTTTCTATTTTTAACTTAAACATGAAAATAGTCTCTTTGTAAGAATTGTTTTTCTATACTTTTTTTATCAGTTAATTCTATTTTTTTATAAAATTTTAATTTCAATGCCTCTTCTTAATGCAATTTATTGAGTGTAAGTTTGATACCGTGTATATCAAGGCTTGATATGCATAAATATAGCGTTGCCAACAATGTTAGTATTGTTTGTGTAACACTGCTTTTTTATTAGGTCACGCCAGCAATTGAGATTGAAATTAAAATTCAATAAAAATATAGAGATCAAAACTAAAATAATAATTTTAGAAAGATTAAAAAAAATAGTAATAGAAAAAGAACGCTCAAATAGAAAACTAAATTTATATTTAAGTCTTTTTTTAAAAATTAAATTTTATTTTAACAAATATTAATCAATGTCAAGAAATTATAATAACAAGGCTTATTGAAAGTTATTATTAATACTTTCTTATCATAATTTCGACACACCTCAACATAATTTGTAATAAAAAAATATTATTTATTTATTGATTTTTAACAAATATATCCTTATAATGTTGGTTAATAAAATCCTTGTTACTTTAACCATTTAAATGGATGATAACATTTAATGAGTGGAAAAAAATAAAATTAAATGTCTAATTTATTTTTTTATAAATTATCTTATTAAAATAAAACATATTTATTATTTAATTTTTATGTTTAGTTTTACTAAACTTTTAAAACAATAGTTTATGAAAAAAAAATGAATTATGTCCTAACAAAATATTTTATAGAGATTAAGTTCAAATTGTGCAACTTTTAGAGAGATAAAACACCTAATAAAAAATTAGAATATTAATTATTTTAAAAATAATAAATTTTTAAGATATTAAGAAAGATTTAAAAGTCATTAATTTTTTTATGATAAAATATTTATAAATGAGAGTGTAATTAAAAATCTATTATTTTAATTTGAAGATGATAAATAATTTTAAATAAGTTAAAATATAAAAATTATAATTTTTAAAAACAAATAATTACTAAATTTAGTCTACTAAGTATATCATTTTGCACTTATTAATTAGCTCAACAACTAATTTTACTAAACATTTTAAATCTAATCAACTAATTTTTCAGTTTTCAACTTCTTTCTTTGAACTTCCAATTATCTTTTAAGCTTTTAGTTAACTTATCTATTAATTTTACAAATACACTTTACATAATTTTAAAAAAATTAATATAATGTGTGTAACAGTATATATAATAAGAGATAAAAAGATTTTATATTGATTATATAATTATACACAAATTTTTTATTGATTTACCGTCCATTGTAATTTTACTCGACTCAAATAAAATTACTTTTAATGAGCAATACTTATAATTTAGTTCAATTTTAATTATAAATTAGTATAACCGGGTCTTCGATCAGGGCCCTTCTTAAATCAGTGGTTTCGACAAATCGACTAATTTCTAGTTTTTGCCTCCCTTCTTCTGCTCACCGGGATAGGCTAGGGATTCGCCGACAAGCGAGTTCGGATGCACCAGGGATGGCCCATTGGCATCCTTCCTTTCAGACAGGATCTGATCCAAAAAGTTTGCTGATAACCTAGAGCGTAGAGCAAGTTCCCCAACCCATTGAGGATCTACCACACGACCCGAAACATAGCTCATTGAATGCTTCCACCCAGCTGAGCGCTGTTCTACGATTGAGATTGTTCTTTTTGTTTGTGACCTAGTTGCTGATTGTCTCTTCTCCCTAAAGGAGAATGCCCTCAATCTCGTCGGGAAAAAGAGAATAGCAAGATGGCAGGTGCTGCTCTCTGAATCTGAAGCTGAAAACGATCTTGTGTATGTCACAAGGAAGGTGGTCAAGGGAAGTAGCTGACTACCTCGCCACTTGGTAGTTGAGTCCTTTTGTGCCCTCGCTACTTATTCTTTTATTAGTAGTCGGGTCCTTTCACCTCGATAGAGAACTTAACGATCCCGGGACTCATAGCTTCGATAGCTGCTAGCCGCCCTTCAGGTCAGAGTTACGACTACGATAGCTGCTCTCATGACCGAGAGGATTGGATACGTACGAGAGAACCTTGCGCCTCAAGGCCAGTCGCTTTCTGGTAGAGATGTGGAACTTTTTCTTTTCTTGTTTTCTTTAAAAATTCATTATTATAATCGGTCACTACTTCGTATGCTCTCTTTCCTACTTACTCGCAGTATCCCTGGGTTTCTTCGTCCTACCTTTGGATAAGACCTTCCTTAATCCCGACGCTGTCCGCCCTGAGCGCAACGCTCTTGATTCCGCTCTATTTATTACATTACATCCTAGCTCGGATTAAGAACCTTACCTCCTCTCGTAGGGCCCTTGGCTGCCGATTTCGTTTGTGTTCCATGTATGGCGCCCTCCGTTCGTCGACTGGCAATCTGTTACCACTCCTTGACCAGATCCCAAGTAGCACAAGACGGCCCTAATATGAGGAAGCGGTTTAGGGGGATCCCCGAAGTGATCTACCGGCCTAGCTATCCGGTCATCTATTAGCCTTATCCCAATTCTTGTTCATGGCACCATGCTTAGCACACCGAATTGGTAATCTGGCTAAACGCTTCTGGGATGTACGTATCAGTACATCCTCCATCTCCTTGGTTGGTCGAATCCATCCCCTTCTGGAGACTTGGAGAAGCCTCTTGTACAGAAGGATGAACTACGTCCCAGGTGTCACCTCTTGTACAGAAGGATGAACTACGTCCCAGGTGTCACTCTGTCTGGACACTCTCACGGCTCAGTGGCAAGCCGCCCTATTCTATTACCAGCTCTTAAACCTTTCTTTTCCCGGACGAGACCATCTCAGACAGGCATTCTTATGTTATGTAAGCTCTTTCGACAAATCATAAAAAGAAGAATTAGCAGCTGCGGCTAAAGCCTCATCTCTACCTGTGGAAGAGTCACCATTTCCAAAAGGCAACCCCGATCTTGCAAACCTCTGGTAGAAACGTCAATCCACAGTCAATCATCCAGCAACAGATTAAGTTGCATCTACGACTAGCTACAGGAACTAGATGAAAACTTCTACAACAGGGTATCGAAGAATGCATTCTGACATCGAGTCCTCAATCAATGTAGATGATTCAACAAGGTAGACCGAAGCAACTCGTCGATCAGCTATCACCACATCGTTGCCGAGAATGGCATAGCGATCAAACTAGTGCTAGTGACTGTCTACGGCTACGGCTTATGCCTTCACTCGGGGGAGAGCACCCATCCAAAAAGCAGAAAAGTGAAGAAGTGCAGAAGGAAAAGGCAAACCCTCGGATGGACCTAAACTAGACTCAGTCCGAGCTCCTGCAAGAGGGTCCAAAGTAGAGTGGCATGGAATCGGCCGGAAAAGACAGATCTGAGAATTGCGTATATTGAGTGAGATGCCGCTTCAAAGATGTTACCTAGGATGGTGTGCTTTTCGCTCCTTTGGCTTTCTTTCTCCCGGAGACCATGCCATTCCTCGACACCGACCTTCAAAGTCAGATGAGGAGCTGGCTTCCCTCAAAGTAGCTCTGGCTGACTTGCCCGTTCCGCTTCTCTCCCGCTTTTGGGCGTCCTCCAGCAGCCTATTCTTTCACAGCTTCTATGCCAAGGGCTATTATATAAATTCGATTATGCATGCAAGATGTATTGGGGTCACATAAAATTTTTTATGAAAATAAAGCGCTCTTAGTTCAGTTCGGTAGAACGCGGGTCTCCAAAACCCGATGTCGTAGGTTCAAATCCTACAGAGCGTGATTCCATTCTTGTTAGATCGAGAATGACACTGAAATAATTGAACAGCAGTCTAAAGTCTGAATTTGACCTCCTGTGGATTAGGATTAAAAACAAAGAAATAGGAGGTCAATAAACAAAAGAGATGTTAATTAATTAATCAAAGGTCCAAACGCGGAGGCAGTTCCAGTCCTTGTCGCAGCGCAGTAGTGAGTAGGTGATCCAACACCAGAGATAAAAGACGCAGCAGATTCATATACTGACCTTAGTTATATAGATCGTTTACCTAGGTACAGAATGAGACCCTGAGGTCCATATCGGTAATAGAAAGACCTGCCACCAAAAGCATTCCGATGGAGCAGAAGTAGACCCTTCCCCCGCCATAATAGCACCACCTAGCTTCGGGATAGTAGTAGCACATATCTTTTGATAGTGATCGTTATAGGGATAATGAAACCAATGATAGAGTTGACCTAGCCTAGCGACATCCATCCCTTGTCTCCGACCGGGAGATAGAGACTACTTCATGCGCAACTTCAACATCTCCTGCCAAGGGGTAGGCTTTTTTTTTTCAAGACCCCCTTTCGGTTCGGAAAACGCATTGGCTTTCACTCAAGTTCGAGGATCCATTAAATAAAGCAAAAAATGCACGTTACAGACGAAAGGTAGATGTTCGCGAATAAAGAGAATGCAAGCTATGCAAAAACGGATTTCACTCATTTTCTTAGCCCTCAATCTCTTTCTGACACAGGGCTGAGCGCTCTAGAAGCGAAATAATTACCCTCGCAGGGTTGATGAACCTGCCTTTTTGGTTGGCGTGGGGTGAAAGAAAGACCTCGCAGGCGGAAACGAAAGAAGGACCTGTACTGCTTAGAGGGAGTTCACTTGCTTTCTTAATGCGTTCGTGTCCCTCAGCCTAGCCGCTGAATTGCCGACTAGACCTAGCAGCGGAAAGGCCGCTATTCCTGCTGACTAGCTTCTCGCGAACTATGCTACGCTCCGTTCGCTTGCTTGCTACTCACTGTAATTCACATTCACTGGCTTAAGAGCTAATGAATGCGGAGTCACAGTTGGTCCTTACTCTAACAAGTAAGTAA